GGGGGGGGGGGATCGTTTGCGTCAGTCACTCTCCTTCCTTCTCTCGCATCTTTCTGCCCATTCCTCGCTTCGTTTCGCAACGCCGCCTCTCTTTTTACCCTCGGGGGAGGGGGAGGGGGGGCAGCTCAAGAAAACGCGCAAGGAAAAACCACACTCACTTCCTCCACCACGGCCTTGCGCAGCAGCTCGGCGACAAACTTCTCCACCTTGCCGACGTTGAGCAACGTGTGCTTGTCTGCCTGGCCCACGCTGGACTCGAGGGTGAGCGCGGGCAGCAGGCGCTCGCCCAGCGTCTGCGGCGGCCCGTTGGTGGTGTGTGCGTTGATGGCGGCGAACGTCGTCGATGAGGGCGTGTGACGATGTCTTGTCGCGAAGGGGGGTGTTGAGAGGAGAGGCGGCGAGGCATCGATGTCGTCGAGTCTCTCGTCTCCTTCTTGCTCGACGTCCTCCGACGAAGAGTGAGCCTGCAGTTCCTCATCGCTCATCGCCTCCGTCAAGCACAGATGCAGTCTTCGCCCCTCCTGCGTCTCCTCAAACGCCACGACGGCACCCGCGCGCAGCTCCAGGCTCGTCAGTGTGATGTCGAGCGGCAGCTCGAGAAACGCCGGGGCCGGATGGTTGATGAGCAGCGCGGTGCGCAGCGTGAGGCGCAGCGAAGTGCTGAGCCAGCGCAGCAAGAGGTGCAGCTGCAGAGAAGGCAGCGCGCTCTCGCAAGGCGCAGGCGAGAGCTCGAGAGGAGGAGAGAGGGAGAAATGCCGCGCTTGCTGCTGCTGCTGCTGTTGGTGTTGCGGCGGTGCTTGGGCGGGAGTCGCGGCAGCTCGGTCAAAGTAGCCCAAGGCGCCCGGAGGAGGCGTGTGCAGCGGCGTGTTGGGCCCCAAGGCCGCCACGCCGAGGCCGGCACGCGGCATGCTCCAGCCGGGCGTCTGCGCCGAGGGCGCTGGAGTGGGCAGGCCATGCCGAGGGAACTGAGAGGCGAGCAGCGAGTCGCCGCCCCACTCGCTGCCTCCAGCTGCGCCGCCGCCGAAGCCGATGCCCGCCTCGCTGCCCGAATGCATGCGCTGCAGTCTGCCCTCTGCCTGTTGGCGATAGCTCCGCACCTGTGCCGCGGCGGCGCCGCCGGCAAAGGGCAGCGCGGCCTCTGCGAACTTTGCCAGCTTGTCTCTGGCGCTGGCCTGGTGTGCTCCCTTTGCCTCTGTCTGGCGCGTCGTCGTGCCTTGTGCGCCGCCTGCTGCGCCCGCCATGCCTGCCGCGGCGCTCTCGCCAAACTCGCGCCACACATCGCCCACGCCCACGACGTCGACGCACGGCGCCTCTGCGCCAAAGTCGAGCGCGGTGAGCGTGATGGGGCCGAGGAAGGAGGGCCGTGGCGCAGAGGCCAAGGCGCGGTTGAGCGAGGTGAGCAGCGAAGAGGCCAGCGCCTCGTCGGGCGGCCAGGCGAGCTCGAGCGACATGGTTGCGCGGCCGCCGCAGGAGAGGGGCGGGAGGTGGAGGTGGCAAGGGAGAGAGGCGCGTGCGGGCGGGAAGCGCATAGGAAGCGCAGCCGCGAGGCGGCGGCGGCGCGCATTGAGTTGGGCGCGGCAAGGCTTCTTCTTGCCGCTGTCGCGCGCCGATCTCTCTCGACTTCTCTACCACCACGCCCCCAGCCATGCCCGACACCCTCACGCTCCCCTCGCCCGCCGACTTCCACGTGCATCTGCGCGCCGCGCCGCAGACGGCGCTGCTCGCGCCCCACGTGCTGGCCGGCGGCATGCACCTGGCATACGTCATGCCCAACCTCTCGCCGCCCCTCACGCTGCCGCAGCACACCGTCGCCTATCTCGCCCACCTGCGTGCCCTGGCTCCGGAGATCGACATCCGCGGCACCTTGTTTCTTTCGCCTGCTCTCACGCCGCAGCTCATCCGCGAGGCGGCACAGGCTGGCATTGCTGGCGTCAAGTCGTACCCGCGCGGCGTCACCACGGGCTCCGAGGGCGGCATTGAGAGCTACGAAGTGTACTACGACGTCTTCGAGGCGATGCAGCAGCACGGCCTCGTGCTCAATCTGCATGGCGAAGTGCCGAGTGATGCCAGCAAGGTGAGCTCTGTCTGTGGGTCGCTCTGCCCCCCCTCCTCTCGCTGAGCCTCCTCCTCCGCCCAGAACATCTCCGTCCTCACCGCCGAAGCGACGTTTCTGCGGCACCTCGTCGCGCTGCACGCGCGCTTTCCGCGCCTGCGCATCGTGCTCGAGCACGCCACGACGCGCGCCGCCGTCGAGTGCGTCAAGGCGCTCGGCGACACGGTCGGCTGCACCATTACGCCCCACCACCTGGACCTCACCGTCGACGACTGGGCAGGCCGGCCCGTCAACTTCTGCAAGCCCGTCGCCAAGCATCCCGATGATCGCGAGGCGCTCAGAGACGTGATTCGCAGCGGTGAGTGCTGCGCAAGACCGGGGGGGGGGGGGTTGGGTTAGCGCCCGAAAGCGCAACGACGAGCGCTTGCGACTTGGCTGGCGCAGCTTTCATTCGTTGTTTGCTCACTCATCTCCCTCTCTCTCTCTCTTCACGCCCGTCAGGCCACCCGCGCTTCTTCCTCGGCTCCGACTCTGCGCCGCATCCTCTGGCGGCCAAGCTGCCCTCTGCCGTGTCGCACGGCGCCTCTGCGCTGGCGGCGCACGCCTGTGCCGCGGGCATCTACACGTCGCCCATCCTGCTGCCGCTCTGCGCCACGCTGCTCGAGAGCTTTGGCGCCCTCGAGCAGCTCGCCGGCTACGTCAGCACGCACGGCAGGGCGTTCTACGGCATGCCGGCGCCGCAGGGAAAGGACGTCACGCTGGTGCGCCGCAAGAGCACGGTGCCGATGAGCTATGTGCTCGAGCAACATCAGCACCTCCCGCAAGGCGCGCCGGAGAAATGCGAGGTGGTGCCGTTCTGGGCGGGGAGGGAATTGGAATGGAGCCTGGAGCCGTAAACAGAAAGGGGCCAAGAAGAGGGGGGGGAAAGAGAAGCGGAAGCAAATCGCAATAGATGAGTTTCTCACTCGCAAGAGTAGATCAGAAGCGGCGTGGCATTGCGGAACGGGGGCAAAGGCGGGCATGTAAGGCGCGTAGAGAAACGTGAGGAGCACATGTGAGAATGCCGAGACTGGAGAGAGGTGGGGGGATGTACGGGTGGAGGCTCAGGGCGCGGGATGCAGGGGGAAATGGTGCGGGTTGCAAGGCCCCCGAAGAGCCAGAGGCGAGCGAGGGAGAGCTAAGAAGGGGGGCAGAGCGGGCCCTCAGAGTTTGCGAGCCCAAATCTTGAGGCCCTCCTCGCTCAGGTCCGCCCTGATGCTCTCGCGATCGATGTGGGCCTGCTCGAGACTTAGCTTGAGCGCCTTGCTCTTCTCCTCTGCGGCGTGCGCATGCTGGGGCGTGTGGACCTCGACAAAGTCTTCTTCTTCTGCCTGCTCTTGCAGCTCCGAGGCAGGCACGATTTCCTCGCCCGCCTCATCCACGTCGTGCACCACCGTGCGGCGCGGCGAACGACCGCGCGAGCGGCGCGATGCATGCGAGGTGGAAGACGTGGCGGAAAGAGTGGGGCTCGAGGGAGCATGCGTGGGCCAGAGGCCGGAAATGAGAAGCTCGCCGCCCGAGGCAGAAAGGTGAATGTCGAGCTCGGAGACGCGCAGCGAGGAGGGCGGTGGGTGAGGGTAGCTGAAGAGCAGCGTCTCTGCGGTTGCCGCTTCTGCCTGAGGCTGCGGCTCGGACGAAGTGGCAGGCGTCATGGCGACGTCGGCGTCGGCGTTGGCGCTGGCCTGCTGCTGTTGCTGCTGTTGCTCCGTCGAGTAGGTGGCGAGCTCAGCCTGCGTCGAGGGCTCGGCGACGTCGATCTCGATTGCGTCCGCTGTGCTGTTGCCCGCCGTCGGCTGCACCTGCGGCTGCGAGACGTCCACCTCGATTGGGTCCGCCTCCGCCGCCTCGGGTGCGGCGCAAGTCTCGACGGCAGGAGCACTCGCTGCCGTGGTGGGCGTGGTTGAAGCCTGCGGCTGCGGCTGCTTCTCGACGTGTGCCTGCTCCTCGTCGTGGTGCTTGAAGCCGAAGAATTGCCCGAAGAGGCCGAGCGCCTGCTCCATCAGTTGCTGCGGGTCGAACTCGATCTCGAGTGCCTCTCGCCGCTGCTGCTGCTGAGCCGCGGCCGCACGACGCCTGGCCTCGACCTCCTGCTGCTGCTGCTGCTGCTGCTGTTGCTGCTGCAGACGGTGCATGTGCGCCTTGCGGGCAGCCACATACTGTGCCTGTTGGCGCTGCGCCGCTGCTTCGCGTGCCCGACGAGCGACTTCGAGGGAGCGTTGATGTGCTGCGATGGCGGCGTCACGGCGCTGCATCTCCTGCCGTGCTTGCGTTTCTGCCTGTGCCTGAGCTCTGGCGTGCGCCGCAAGCAAGGCGTCACGGAGGTGCTGCGCGACCGCTCGCTGCTGAGCCTCGTGCATCGCCGCACGCTTGGCATGCTCGTAGGCGGCCGCCTGCCGACGTGCGTGGGCCTCGTATGCAGCTTGCTGTTGCAACACGCGCTGGCGCTCTTGCTCGCGCTCGCGACGACGCGCTGCCTGCTCGAAGTCGACGAAGGCGGCGGCGGCGTGCGCGCACGAGAAGGGCGACGCCTGCTGTATTACGTACGAGTCGAGAGCGCGAGGAGCGACGAAGGAGCTGAAGTCGACGTCGGACGCGGAACGACAGCGAGAGGAGGAGCTCGGAGCGCCGGCGTGCAGCGAGGAGGCGGGGTAGAGGTAGAAGGCCATGTTGCTGGACTTGAGTTGAGCAGGTGTGAGGTGTGTGGGTAGGCTGGTGAGGCAGGAGGTGTTTGGATGGCGGATGAGCAGGAAGAGCACGTCGACCTCTCGCTCTTTGTACGTCGTCCCCTCCCGCCTCGCACCCCAGGGTGCGCACTGCCCTGGGCGCAGTAGAGCCATGCCACGGCCGTACGCGGCGCTGCTCAAGGGTGCGCGCAGCTTCCAGAAGCGCCACGGCGCAGCGGAAGCGCGTGGGGCACGCGTGGGAAGCGCCGCGAAGCTGCGAGAAGCGTCGAGCGCCGCCGGCCGGCAGCGCCGCGCCGCCGCGCGCCCCAAGAAGCCGCAAGCCACAAGCAGCTCAGCAGGCGTGCGCTTCCCCACACCGCGGAGCTCGCTGCAGCTCTCAGCCGGCTAGGCGGGCCGAGGGCGCCACATCGCCTCACATCCACAGGCGTCCAGTGCCTTCTCCCAGCTGCGCCAGCGCCGAATCGTCGTTGCGGCAACCACGCACCGCACGGAGATACCGGCATGCTATCGCCGGCCTCTCACACTGACTGCTATGGCGCCACGTCCGTGCGTTCTACCGTGACGCGCAGCCGAGTCTGAGTCGCTGCGCCAGTCCGACCTCGGCACGCTGTCGCCCAGAGCCATCGCCGACGCGCTGGTGCGGCCACCGCGAGGCCCATTCGCAAGGCGGGAGTCCGAGATGAGAAAGACCGCCAGAGGCTGCGGTGACAGCCTTCAGCGAGCATACCACACGCGCCGCGATCGCCTCATCGACCTCCACGGGCGGTTCATGAACGAACCTGGAGCGCCACGACACAACTGGCACGGAGGGAGAGGAGGCCGAGCCGCTCAAGAGGCGCCCGGCCGTCCGTCGCTAGACTGAGCTTGAGCCTCGTCTCCGCTTGCCCTTCATCTCGTGTCACCGAGCGTGCTGCGCTCGTGTCAAGCTCTTGCATGGCGTCACTAGGATGGCATTACACGACTCCCACTGTCTCGCTCTTTTCCGCCCCCGCGCTCACTGCGCGCCTCCGTCGTAGATGATAGTGACCGCGCCCTCGACGCTGCCTCCGCTCAGCAGCAGCGCACGCAGGTTCTTGGGGCCATCCGTCAAGCCCATGTCCTGCGCCAGCCCATCTCGCATCAGCTCCCACTCTCTCTCTCTCTCTTCAGCGCGCACGGATGGGAGAGAGAGCGCGCGAACTCACCTGCATCTGCGCCAGCTGATCCGCATAGCGCTCCTCCGGCGGACGCGAGTCGGCAGGCCGTGCAGGCGCACTGCCTCCGGCACCCGCTCCCGCGCCAAAGCCTGCGCCGAATGCAGCGAAGGGATTCGGCGGCGCTGCTCCTCCCGCGCCTCCAGCGCCTGCACCCGCGCCGCCCTCGGGTGCGCCGAAGAGTTGACGCAGGCTGAAGATCGGGGGGCATGAGCACGATCGCTCACTCCTCATACGACGTGAAGGGAGGAAGAGGACAAACTCACAAGGCTGGGTCCATCATGCCGCCTGCGCCCGCACCTCCAGCTCCTCCAAGTCCCGCAAAGGGGTTCGGCGGCGCCTGTCCTGTCTGCGCTGCCCCTTGACCTTCACCACCCTGCTGAGCTGCTCCGCCAAACGCACCCGCCGGCGGCCACTGAGGCTGTCCGCCCGCTGCGCCGAACATGCCCGCCCCGCCGGCGCCGCCGAACATGCCGGCTCCGCGGCCGCCGGGACCGCCCATCATCTGCGCCATTTGCGCCGCGCGCTGCATGGCTGCGGGGTCCGTGAGCATGTCGATGAAGCCGGGACTGCGAAGCATCTCGCGCGCGCCGGGCAGGTTGGCGAGCTCGGGGTGCGAGGCGATGATCTGGTCGATGACTTCTGGGCGTCTGCGAGGAAGGAGCGTAAGACTAGGTGGACGCGTACGACACACGGGCGCGAGAGAGGCACGCACGAAAGCACTTGGCGCATCTGAGCGCGCACTTCGGGGTCGTTCATCATGTTCATCATGGCGTTGGGATCGGAGAGGTTCATGCCTGAGTCAACCCATCGTCGTGTCAGCTCCGACTTGCCGCAGCGCGCGCAGCTCACGCGCACTCACCAGAGCCAGCAAGCATCTGATTCTGCGCTGCAGTGAGCTGAGGCCCGGCGTAATCTGCGCGGTTGAGAGCCGAGAGGCTGGGGTCACGACGGGGCATCAGCAGCGGCACAGCGTGGCCTTCCCTGCCTCCCGTCACTCACGGGTTGTTGGCGAACTGCTGACCGGCGCCAATCTGGCCAAAGTTGGCCGGCACGCCCGCCGCTGCATTCTGCGGCGTCGAGCTAGGCTGACCCGCGGCGCCGGTAGAAGGATTGCCAGTGACGGGTGCAGAACGAGAGGCACTGCGGACCATGTGGATGGTATGCCCGTTGACGAGCTTGTAGAACGCCAGCGTCTCGTCGTCCTTGAGCACCTTGCCAGAGTAGATCAGGCGCTGACTGTGTTGAGATGGGAGTCAGGCGGTGCGCGAGAGAGGGGAGTGCACAGCACGCCAGTGGCGGTCGCTCGCTGCAGCATGGCAACGCTTCCCATGCCTGCGACTCGGCGCTGCGCAAGCGCTAGACCTTGCCTGGCCTGAACTCTGAGCCTAGCAGTGCCGAGCCGCTGGCACTGCTGGGTCCGCATGTGCACGGGCCGCTGCGCCCACTTGGAGGCCAAGCGCCACCAGATGAGATGTTCCGCTGCGTGCGTGGCGTGCAGCAGGCACCTCCACTCGCCGTGCGCCAAGGCCAGCGGGCGTTGCTGTTGCCGGTCGCGCACGCTGCACCGATCTCGGCGCTGGAATTGCTCGCAGCGCACTCACCTCTCGGCAGTCACATCGCTCTTCTCCTGCTGGATGCGCTCCTTGAGCTGGCGCACCGTGGCGTCGGCGGCGATGGTGATGTGCAGGCGCAGCTCCGAGGGCCCCTTGATCTGCACCGTCAGCTGGGGCGCGGCGTCGTCCGAGGGGGAGGCGGCGGCCGACATGCTGGGTGTGAGGCGGTGTGCGTGTGAGGAGGCGTGAGCAGAGGTGAGGAGAGGCGAGGAGAGCGAGAGGGTGGATGTGGAGTGGAGATGAGCTCGCCGAGGCGGCACGGCGCGTAAGCCGGCGAGCGGCGCAGCGGCGCCACGCCAGCCAGCGGCACGTCAAGGCGCAGCAGCGCGGCTCGCCGAGGCCGTGCGCCGTTCACGCTCCGCTCACCGGCCCTGCTGACGCTCCCTTGTCGCCCACCAACGCGTCCTCTTGTCCTCCAGCACCATCGACAAGGACAACGTTGTCTCCCGTCCAATGCACGCCTCGAGACTCCTGAGCCAGTCGTCGAGTCGCACGGCTGGCTGAGCAGGCGCCGCATCCGCCATCGCGACGGCGGCGGCGGCGCTCCGGCGCTTTGCCAGCACCACAGCCTCGTGGTGCGGCATCTCCCGCCAACGCCTCTCCGTGCCCGATTGCAGCCGATAGCTGGACTTCCTTTGGCCACGCTATTCGGTCGCACATCGCAGCTAGATGCGCGTGCTCACAGCGCAGCTCGTCGACTGCGGCAGCGGCAAATGGCAACAGCACTCAAGCTGCACCTGCAAAGGAGGCCCTGCTGGCGCGGCGGCGCACCCGCGTCCCCCCAACGCACCTCGGCCTCACGTTCTTTGTCCACGCGGGCTCGCCGTCGTAGCGAGGAGTTCAATGGCCAGCAGTCGAGTTCGCATGACACGACCTCGACACCCTCTCACAGGTGGCATCTTTGTGTGTCAGCGCTGTGCGTCCCCTGTCGAGAGCTAAGTATAGCGACACTTGACGGCCAGGGGTGATACGGGCGCCTCCGGCCAAGTGAGCATGAAGTGGGCACTTGCTGCGCCATTGCGATGAGCATCTCGCGCCCCGAACTCGCTCGTCGGGTGGGATCGAAGAGAACAGGAGGTGCTTAAGCTCGCCGGCCGTCGCAGTCCAAGCCCGTGCGCAGCCTCACGCTGCATCCTCATGCTGGTGAGTAAGAGAGTGTAGTGCTCGCAGCCCGCACCGCGGCCTCACCGCCTCGCGTCCCACTGCCCATGGCTGCGAGCGGCACCCTTGAGGCGAATCGCCAAGGGAACGCCGCCTCGGCCGCCTGCTCTCCCGACGCTCAAGCTCTGCACGCCGGCAGCGGCGGCCAGCCCGCGATCTCGCTGACCGACGGTCGGCACGGTCGCGCCCCTGAGTGGCTTTGCAAGGTTTCGCACGCCGGGTGCTGCCGGCGCACGAAGGACCTAGATCCTCAGGGGTGACTTCCAGGTGACGCCGCCAGAGCTAGAGAGCACCCTGCTTTTCCAGGCTCGTCCTCTTCATCAGGCACATCGTATGGGCACGGCTCCTAGCTCGCTCGTCCATCACAGCCCTCCGTCTCTTCCAGCCACCTCAGGTCCACCCGCGGCAGCGTCAGCACCGCCTTTCCTCGGCCGGGAACGCTGTCGAGATGAAGGTCGCCGAGGTGGCCGAGTCGAGGCGAGCCGCCAACCTCGGGCGCAGAGCGGCGACTTGAGAAGCACCTCATAAGCACGAGACGGCACGAATACTTCCGCCCTTCCCCCACATCCACTTCATCCTTGCGCCCGCACACCGTCCAGGCTCGGCTCCTGTTCCCGGCTCGCAACTCGACGGACTGGCTTCGTTCGTTCGCACTCGCCTGCCACGGGCAGAGAAAAGGAGTGGATCCTCGAACTGCTCCCGCATCCGGCGCTTCGGATCCAGTGCGCCGTGCGACGGTGCCACTTCTGCTCCTGAGGAAGCCGCTCGCTCGTTCCCGCACAGCACTCGCTCCAGTCCCGCACTTCGGCACGCATGGCGTAGCAGCAGCAGCAGTGCAGGAGATCTCAAGGTCGCACGCCGGCACTATGTCGATCCGCAAGGGCAGCATCTCGGCGCCCAGCTCGCCCAAGCAGCTCACCTCTGCCAGCTCGATGCCCGAACTGTCATTCGCAGGGCTCGCCCCTCTCCCTCCTCCCTCTGCTGCCGGGCGCTTCGGCCAGCGTAATGCTGCCTCGCTGAGCGGCCATGGAGCATTCTCACCACACCACGACCCGCATCCACAGCAGCAGCACCAAGCGACGTTCGCCAAGCCCGCTCTCGCTGCTCTGCGCATACCTCGGCGCTCAAGGCTCTCCGAGTCTGCGCTGCCCACGCTGCACGAGCCCGGCGCACTCTCCGCGCTGCACATGCCCACGGGCGTTGGCGCAGCGCCAGCAACGCCAAGCAAGTCGCCTCGCTTTCGCTTCTCGCTCCGTACACTCTCGCAGCGCGTCGCACGCCGGCAGAGCGGGCTACCGCAGCTTGACATGCTCAACGCTGCGCAGAACGGCAGCAGCATGCCTAGCTCGCCACTCTTCAGCCCGCCAGTCTCGCCCTCGCCTCGGCGTGCCACGTTCCGCAAGGGCACGCTTCGCATCTCGCGCGAACAGCAGCGCAGCAGCACGGCGCCTCTTGCGCTGCCGCTCTCGGAGCGTTCCTCGAGCGATGTCTTCTCGCAGAGCAACTGCTCTACGCCTCGCGTCTCGGAAGCGACGCACGCCACGCACGCCTCTTCCTTCCTCGACATGGGCGTCGGCAAGGGCGAGCTTTTGTGGGCGGAAGAGAACGCAGAAGCGCAGTACTGTCGCAGTGCGTACGGCGCTTCGAGCTCCAGACCGTCGACTGCCTCTTCGACTTCACGCACCAAGCGTCTGCTCAACAAGTGGCTGCCACGCACGAGCTCTGATCGCTCTGCAGAGGACTTTGCCGCGCAGACGCTCCCTGCGCTGCCGGGCAGCTCGAGGCCGAGTCTGCCATGGACTGCGCAGACGGCACAGCAGATGAGTAGCCTCTTCGGCGGCAGCGGTGGTAAGGCACGCTCGGCGTCGGTGGAGCGTAGCACGCAAGAGCATGCTTCGCCGATTCCTCGCGGAAGGACCGTCGATTCGCAGGACGTCTTCTGGCGCACCGGCCCACGGCAGTCGAGCGGCTCTCGCGGCCGAGCATCAGCCTCGCAGCTCCTGACGGACGCTGCTGCTCTGGAGAGTCGCACCGCCTCCTCATCGCCAACGCAGCCACGCATCTCCCTCTCGATCTCGCGCTCGCTCCGCCGCCGCAAGCCCAAGCGCATGCCTAGTTCCGAGAGCTCCTCGGAGTCTTCCTCGTCCCGCGCTTTCGGCAACGTGGTCCGCCGTTCGCCCTTCGAGCTGCGCATGCCATTGCCTCGAACACCAGCTGCTTCACTACCGCCGCTGCCGTCGCTGCCCACCAGTCCGTCTGCGTCTGCAGTTCCTTCGCCCGCGAGACCTGTTGCGCCATTCATCGAGACGACACGTCCCGCGATCCATCCTTGGTCCACAGCCAGCCGCACGTCGTGCGCGAGTCCAGCGCAGACAAGCACGAGCATCTCGATGCTCAGCTGCGCGCCATCCTCGTCCAGCTCAGTCGACAGCGACAGCATTGACGCCGTGCCTCTGCGCATGCTCAGTCCAACGCCGGACTTCTCAGCCGGTCAACCACTCCTCCTCTCGCCACTCTCGCTTTCTGCCTCGCGCGTCTCATTACTTCAGCCGCGACGTTCAGGCGAGTACGACTCGCCGCCTTCATCTCCGCGCGAGGCGACGTTACGAGCATCAAGCGAGCTACAACGCGCAGCCAGTGTCGGCACGTCATCCTTCGCCTCTGCTCCGTACGGCATCGACTGCGCCTCGACACGTTCTTCAGCTGCGCTAGATCCGTTCGCATACGCCACGTACGCCTCCAGCTGCGCCGCTGCAGACGGAGCTGTGGGAGAGCAGGAACGCAAGGAGATGTTGATGAGCACGCTGCCGGCGGCAGAGAGCTCGGATGAGGAGGAACTGGGATCGCTGGCGGACTTCAGGACGCAGCACACGTGGCATAGCGCTAGAGAGGTACAGGGCTCGCGATGAGCATGGCTTGCGGCTCGAAAGAGCAAGGGAATGTAACGTGCTTTCGGCTGCTACTCCAGAGTGATGCAGTCTCTGCGATGAACAGAGGCAGGTAGGCGGCAGAGGAGAAGCAGCTGGGCCCTTCGGGGCTCACATGCATGGCGCGACCGCGACGGGCGCGTTGCGAAGAGCAGATGAGCTGCTTTTGCGCCGGCAGCGAGAAGAATGAGCGGCCCCCGCAGATACTTGCTCAGCTTAAAAAGCTTCTCCGCAGGTCGGTTCAGATCAAGCCTTCGGATCAGATGGAGGCGCACGTCGGCGCCGGAGGTAACGGCCTGCCGTCCCCTCGCGAGCGGCGCGTCGGAGAGGGCGCACGGCCAAGTCGACGTCGGAGTCACAGCCGAGCTTGCCCCTTGTCATCCCTCTTGATCAGCGGGCATACGCTTTTCGGGCCTGTCGGAGCAACGGCAGCCCCTGCGGACCCGAGGAGGACGAGAAGTCCGAGATCCCCAGCGTGCCAAGAGCTGCACGCTGCACGTCGCTGCACGCTAGGCGCGCGGAGAGCGCGGGGAAGTCTGTGGATGCTGCCTGTGCGAGGGTGACGCGCCTCTCCTCCCTCTTGACGCTGACGGCGCAACGCGGCCAAGGGTGCTCGCTGTACCCTACACTTCAAGCCGCCGGCGCTGTCAGCGGCACAGGGCGCCCAGTCGGCGGCTCGCAAGCATCCGCAGGCCGGAGGCGGCTCGGAGATCTTGCTCCCGCCGGCGCATGCAAAGCTCGGGTACCGCCGCTGCCGCATGCCCCGCACTCGGCCGCACGCCCGCAAATAGCACCGCGACCGGGCCTCGCCGGCCCTCTCCAGCGTCGCAGCTGGCAGCACAGCAGCACACATAGCATGTTCAGGCTCGAGCTCGGTCACCTACGCAAGCAAAGTTCAGCGAGAAAAGGGCCGTGCCAAGTCTTTGCCGTGCAGGTGTGGGGTTGTCCGTCCTTCTGCTCTCTGGCTGCTCGTCCCTCCACCATGCTCGCAGTCTGCCTCGACAAGGCCGCCACTAGCCCGTAGCTCACGTCAAGCACTGCGGCTAGCGCAAAGATCTCCGGCTCCCAGAGTATGCTTGACACGCTCTGCCATGGCCCTCGGCAGGCGCTACGGGCGGGTTCGAGGAATTCTCATTGGTGCAAACGGCATCGCAAGCGGCTTGACGCAGGCACAAGGCTACTCGCATTGCCATTCGGCCATGTCTCCTCTCGTCTGGGATCTCCGTGTCATGCAGCCTCCGTCGGCTCGGACATGTCCAGGCCCGAGCATGTACCGCCGGGGAGAGGCCTCTCCAGGCGTCCGTCTCGGCGCAGCGCACTCCAGTCCGTCGTAATTGAGGCAGGTGCAGCCTCTCGCTCGCGCAACTATAAGAAGGCCCCCGCTCGAAATGCTCAGCGACTCATCATCATCACCCTCGCCTCCGCCTCCCTCTCGCAATGGTCTTCAAAGCCGCCCTCACTCTCCTCTCGCTCGCCGCCTCGGCAACGCTCAGCAATGCCGTCAACTTTGGCGCCACCGGCTACGTCGATGTGGCCGTGTACGGCGGCACTCCCGACGGCAAGGCCGCTGGCATTCTGTATGGCGTGTAAGTCCTCGCACTCTCTGTGCTGCCAATCTGCGTCTCACCATTCCACCTTGCCAGGCCGAACCAGGTCGCGTACGACCCCAACACCGCACCCTCGTTCCCTGATAGCCTGGCCACCGACGCCGGCATCACCTACGTGCGCACCGGCGGCGCGCAGACGCCCTACCCGGGGTGGGGCATGCAAGCGAACCGTGGCAACTACCAGGGCTACGAGAAGCGCTTCGCCAGCTCGCTCGAGAACTACCGGTGAGCCGCCCTGCAGTATCTACACGGAGACGCTCGCTCATTCGCTTGTGTCTCAGCTCGGCGAGACGCTGGGGTGCTAAGGTCGTCCTGCTGCCGCACGACATCTGGGGCGGCGACGCCTACGCGGACCTGCAGAAGGGCGAGTGGCCCTGCGACAACGGCGACTGCTCCGAGTACGGCCGCTTCCTCGACCGTCTGATTGCCGACCTCAAGTCGAACAGCATGGTCGAGGGCCTGGCGATTGACATTTGGAACGAGCCTGGTGCGTAGGAACTGCCTCGCGCACGACGAAGCTGCGGCTCACCAGTCTGGTACCAGACGGATACGGCTTCTGGCCCCGCAGCCAGGACCAGTTCCACCAGATGTACAGCTTCTCCTTCAACAAGTTCCGCTCTGCCTTCCCGACGTCGAGCGGCGTGCTGCTGCAGGGTCCCGCGACCGAGCAGCCTCCGGGCGCCAACAACGGCTGGTGGCAGGCGCACGGCGCCTACCTGCAGAAGAACCCGTCGGTCATTCCCGACGTCTACTCCTACCACGCCCTCATCGGCCGCTACGCCGCCGACTGCGGCAACGACCCCGTGACGATGCAGCAGGACTTCGACGCGCTGCGCGGCAAGTACGGCCTGCCGATCCGCCCGGTGCAGATCAACGAGTTTGCGTACAAGGACGAGCAGACGCCCGGGTACTACGCATGGTTCATTTCTCGTCTGGAGCGCGTGGGCGTGTCGGGTCTGCGTGCCAACTGGGGCTCGCGCGTGGGCCTGCACAACGACCTGGCGCGCCTGCTGCTGCCGTCGAGCGACGGCAAGAGCTGGAGCAAGCTGGGCGAGTGGCACGTGGCGCAGTACTACCGCAAGACGCAGACGGGCAAGATCACGCTCGCGGGCGCCGCGGGCAGCAAGTGCTTCGACCTCTACGTCACGCAGGACCGCTCCGCGGGCCGCGTCAACATCCTGGCCGGCGTGCGCGGACAGGAGGGCCCCTATCCCATCAACGTCAAGAACGTGCGCAACATGCCGCAGTTTGCCAACCTCAACGCTCTCCGCGCCACGATCAAGGAGATTCCGTTCAACAACCTCGGCGCCGTGTCGGCGCCGACGATCCTGCAGAACGCCGCCTCGGTGCCCATCGACGGCAACGGCTGGGTCAACTTCAACCTCACGCTGAAGCTCGACTCGGCGTACACGATTGACCTCTTCGCCTGAGACACTGCTGCGCCGAGCTCACCTGTCCTGTGTTACCCACCCCTGCCCGCCGGCGTGCACTGATGCTGCGGCACGCCCTCGTCCCACTCTCTTTCGTCCGAATGACATCCTTGCACACTGTATGTTTCACTCTCTTGTGTGTCCAGTCGATTGTAAGCAGTGGAGTGGCGTGACGAGAAGGAGATGGTGGCAGGAAACATCGCTGTTCCTTCTGAGGCAGCCGTCTGCTTGGCCGCAGCGCACGGACTTTGTATGCGGTCCGACTCCCGCGGGGCTGATTTGTAATGCGCGCCGCGGCCGATTACAAATGACGTACCTCTGCAGCTCCACTTCTCGGCGCCTTCGCCTGCCCCGCTCATGTGGTCAGCTCCAGCTTCTGCACCACATCCTCTTCTCTTACCCATCACTCGCCATGAAGATCGTCTCGCGCCATCTAGAGCGCGACGGCTCCGGCGTCGTGTCGCTGATCCCGGAGGAAGAGTGCGTCCACTGCGCTGCGTCGGCACGTAGCCATGCCTCTGCGCAGTCCCGCTGACGCTGCTTCTCGCAGCGAGGACATGTACCACCTGCTCAACCTGCTCGAGCCAGGAGACCTCGTGCGCGCGCCAGCAGTGCGCCGTGTCGTCTCCGAGTCGAGCACCGGCTCGACGGACTCGAAGCGCGTGCGCCTCACGCTCACGCTGCGCGTCGAGAAGCTCGCCTTTGACGCCTCGGCCTCGTCGTCGGCGGCCATCGACCCCTCGGCGCCGCCATCGACGGCGCCGCAAGACACGAGCGCTGCGCTCGGCGGCTCGTCAGGGCAGGGTGCGACGCTGAGCATCTCGGGCCCCGTCGTCACCGAGAACCAACACGTGAAGCTCGGCGCCTTCCACACACTCGATGTGGAGTGCGGGCGGCAGATTGCCATCACGAAGGAGGCATGGGACAGTGTGCACTTGGAGAGACTGGGCGAAGCGGGGAATGCGGACAATCGGGCAGAGGTGGCGGCGATTGTGCTCGGCGAAGGTGAGTCGTAGAAAGTGATGCGTGGCGGGGTGTGTGGTGCTTCTGCTCGGCGTGCGCATCTGTCGACGGGCTCGCGCTGTCAGCGAGCTGACGTCCTGATTCTCCCAGGCACGGCGGTGGTGTGCCTCTTGACCTCTGCAATGACGCTCGTGCGGCAGCGCATCGACGTCTCGCTGCCGCGCAAGCACAAGTCGCTCTCTGCCTCGACGCACGAGAAGCAGCTGGCCAAGTTCCACGCGCAAGTCTACAGCGCCGTGCTGAAGCTGCTGGCACTGCCGGCGCTGCGCATGATTATCCTTGCCTCTCCCGGCTTCACGAAGGATGCGGTGTACAACTACCTCTTCGAGGAGGCAACACGGCAAGGCGAGAAGCTGCTGATGGGCAACGAAGTCAAGCGGCGCTTCCTCAAGGTGGCGTGCAACAGTCCGCACGTGCACTCGCTCATGGAGGTGCTGCGCAGTCCCGAGGTGCATGCGCAGCTGAAGGACACCAAGTTTGCGCGCGAGGGCCAGCTGCTCGACAAGTTTCAAAGGACGCTGGCGACAGACGAGCTGCGCGCCTGGTACGGCGAGGCACACGTGTTTCTGGCGGCGGCACGCGGCGCAATCGGCTCGCTGCTCATCTCCGATGGTCTCTTCCGCGCCGCCGACCCGGCACGGCGAAAGCGCTTTGTCAAGCTCGTCGAGGAGGTGCGGCAGGCGGGCGGCGAGGCAGCCATCTTCAGCGGCCTGCACGAGAGCGGCAAGACGCTCAATGGCCTCACGGGCATTGCTGCAATCCTGCGCTTCCCACTCGACGTCGAGGTGGCCGAAGAGGAGGAACGCCTCGAGCAGGAGCAGGAGAGGAAGAAGAAGGAGAACCAGCTGCTCGACGAGGGAGCACCGCTCGTGGCCAACCCGAACCGGTAGGCAGGCAGTGGCCCGGATACCCTGGAGGTACATGAGTGCGCTGCAGCATTGCAATGCCATCTCTGCCGCCTCTTGTCGATGGTATGCTAGCGAGCAGAAGCTTCAGAGCAATGCCGAGTCACTATGCATGAAGGGAGCGTCGAAAGGCTGACAGCGCCTCTGGGAGTCAGCCAATCCGGGCGTGCAGGTCCACGCTCTGACAAGTCGACGGGTCAGGACAGACTCTGTGCCTCAGGCCGGCCTCCAGCAATGGCGCTCGGACGCAGCGCTGCAGCTGGAAGGCATTCGGCAGGTCGCTCGTGGGGCCGCCCTTGCACGTGAGCCGACCCACTGCCCCGCCCCGGCTTGTGATTCTTGGGGTCGTCATCGGCCGTACCGCTTTCTCGGACGAGGCGGTTGCGGTCTCGTAAGATGACAGGCCCTGTATTCGCCGTCAACGTCCACCCGAGAAAGGGACTTGTGGGCGCGGTGAAACACATGCGATCCACTGTTCTGGCTTTGCGGCAGGGTCGGCGAGGAGCGGTGCAGGAGGGGGCCAAGCTGGGTGCAGTTTCTCCGTGGAGGCCGCTCGGCATGCAAAGTCCCGGACGTGGCGGCCGGTGCTCGGCACCGCCTGTTCCACACATTCCTAGGGAGACGTACCAAGAGTGCTTTGCTGGCAGGGTCGAACGGAGCGTGGATGCGACGGCATGAAGACAAGATGTTGGGCAGGGTGGTGCCAAGCGCGAACGGGACGAGCCGGGCGGCACGAGATGCCTCTCGCGCGCGCTCAACGCCCGGACAACGACGGCTGTGCATCCGTCCGTCTATCAAGAGGAGCGTTCTGCTGATGTCCTGCGCGAGCCAGCGCTGTGGACCGCACCTCGCGCTGGTCTTTCCTGCCCTGCGGCGGCCGCGGTGCAGGCGTGGCAGCACGTGCATGTGGCTGCGAGGCGAGAGTTGGACGTCGAATGCGCTGCCTCGAGGTCATGCAAACATGACTGCATTAGCCTGCGTTCATCGGACTCAGGCCGAAGAGGTCTGTGAGGGTGAGGCGCCGGCGGCTGCGGCACACGCTGGCGCCAGCGGTCGAGGTGCAGCCGCAGCCGCGCGGCGGCGGCCACGCGCGAAATGCCCTTTGAGCGCTGCGCCTCCTCCGCGCCGGCCGCCGTCTCGCGGTGAAGAAGCGGACAAATGCATGAGCGCGAGACGCTGGCACCTGGGCCGATGCGGACGCTCCGGCGGCGTGCATCGTAGGCTAGTGCGCGAGACGCAGTCCGAGGTCCGTCGGAGCGGGACAGATCAACTGACCACGTGCGGCGGCGGCGAGAGGTGCGGCGGCGCCTCAGGGGGTGGTGCGTGTCTCAGCGAGGCGTCGTACCACTCCATCGCTCCCAAGCATCAAGCATCTCAAGACATCTCGATTTGCTCTCCTGCGTGTGTGAGCTCGAGGATGGAAGGCGCAAGGCTCAGGCACTGGCAATCAGCTTAGGCGGCCGCATCTTGCTGCCTCCATCGCGCTGGCGCGCTCTGGCGCGGGCTGGCAGGCACTCGCTGCCGCATTAGGTTTGTTTGTGCAGGCCGCTGGCACCAGCTGTGCACGCCGTTGACTGCGAGAGGAGCGTGCTGCGGCTGAGATGCGGTGCTGCGGCGCGGCCGTTGTGCTCAGGGCCGCCGGCGAGCCCGTCGGAGGCCGACGACCGCTGGCGCGGCGAGCTGGTGCGGCGGCGTGGCGCGTGGCGCGAGGCAGCACAGCGGCCGTGCCGCGCTTTCTTCGCGCCGTGGGCACCCCCCGGCACAGCAAGCAGCGCAGCGCCGCAGCGGCTCGCCTTGCCCGCCATACCATGCCACACCACAGTGACGCTCCCTGCCGCTCGCTCACGCCGCACACGGTCAACATCTAGCCAGCCGGCCGCCCGGCCACCAAGCACCCTGCGCCACTTGCGCACCTCGCCACCCGTCCGCCCGCAGCACGGCCTTGCGAGGGCCCGGCACTGCGGCGGCGCTCGTCGTCCAAGCGAGCGGGCCAAGCGAGCAATCATGCACCTGTGCCGCTCTCTCGCACCTCTCGGCGATCAGCGCTGGCCCGAGGCATCGAGACGAGGAGGCGCTCGGCGGCATCGGCACAGGCAGGCGGCACCCTGCGCTGGCGCCTTGGCGGAGTATCGTCCATGTTCGTAGACACCGCCCTCGTGGGTCCTGCCTGCCGCTCCTTGCCGTCCGTTGTTGCCGAGCGAGGCGCCCGTCGACCGCACGCCGGCAGTGTCCCACTCCTGGGCAACCCTTCAACGGCCTGAGCCTGCGTTTGCGCTCGTCTGCTGCCTTTGTGCCCGCTTCCTCAAAAGCGCCACGGCCTGTCCAGCCACCGAGCTGCGCGGCTCCTCCTCTCCTTCCTTCCACCTCCGTCCCCCTCCCTTTCTCGGCCCCCTTCTCTTCTCTTTGCCGCGTTTTCTCGGGCTGGCTACCCCTAATACTCTCTTTTTACTCCGACGCGGCCCTCTACTCGTTTCGATAATTCTCGCACCTCTGGGCTCTGTGAGCCCCACCCATACGAGCCGGATCTCGTAGCGTGAGTGGGTGGACAGTGCAGGCGAAGTGCGGAGAGCGCAGAGCCGTGGCTGACCCCTCTGGCAGCCAACATTCCTTTCCTATCTCCTCGAGTTGATCTCGACGTCTCTCCGAGCCCCATTGGGCGCGCCTGCCCCTCCGGCACGGCGTCCCGATAGCTCGCCGAGGCGAGCGATGCTTATTTTGGCACGCTCAGTTCTCGTTATTTTTCTCTTCCTCGCGACGCTCGCACATGCCGCACCCGTGCCACTCGCGCGGGATGGCGGCGCACAGGTAGCGCAGGGCCGCGCCGCGCTGCTGCCGAGCACGGCGCAGGACGCTACTGCGGCAGGCGAGACGTCGTCTGCCGCCCGTGTGGGACGGCCGATGGTCCGCTGGGTGAGTAGCGTGCGGCAGCGCAGTGGTAGTGGTGCTGATGCGCCGGCTCTCAGCTCGTCGACCGTGCCTCTGCGACTGTCCCTGGCGTGGCAGCGCCCGGCGACACGACGGAGGCCGCGGGCGCCTCGCGCGTCCGCAGCACGTCCGGTGCTCCGCAGCACCGCGACGTGCCCATCCCCACACCCACGGCCATGGAGGATTTTTACTACTCCGGCGCGTTCGTAGCCGCACGCACTGAGTCTGCCCTGGTCGCAGACTCAGCCGCGCACGGCACCACAGACGCAGGCGCAGCTGCAGCGAGGCAAGACGATGCAGAGGCGGTTGTAGTCGCAGACGAGCGACGTCGGGGCATTGACCACGACCAGGCAGTGCGCACGGGTGACCGGTCCATGAAGAGCGGCGAGCGCGAACATGGACGGGCAGACTCGGCGCACAAGACATCAGGCAACAAGGTGGGTGGGAAGGCGGCCCCATGCGTCGTCGCAGCACTGACATGCTTGCCTCCTGCCAGGCACACCGAGAGGACCATGACACCAAGACCACGAAGCAGGCCAAGCACACCTCGGAGCACAAGCGTCTCAAGACCACGCAGAAGCCCGACGCCAGCGGTGCGAAGAAGCTCAAGTCGACGCAGAAGCACGGCTCGCGCTCGACCACGAAGCACGGCCATGCCTCGACCACCCGGCACGGCCATGCCTCGTCCACGAAGCACGGCCGCACCTCGTCGACCACGCACGCTCACACCACGTCGACGAAGCACGGCCACGCGACGGCATCGAAGCACCGGCCGCACGCTACGCACTCGAGCAGCAAGCACAGGCACGAGCCCACGCGTGCCAGCAAGAAGCACTCGAGCCACGCAAGCAGCAAGCACCGGCACACGAGCCACCGCTCGACGCACCGGCCCACGCACCACCACACGTCGACGACGCACCGGCACACGTCGCACCGCCACACGTCGACGCACCACTGGCACCGGCCGTCGCACACTTCGCACCGCACCTCGCACTCGAAGCACCGCCCGCGGCCCACGCGGTCCAGCAGCAGCGTGAGTGGCTCCTGCGCATCGTCTCGCGCTTACTGACGCCTCATTGATGCCCTGCAGCACGCGCACATCTCGTAAGTGTTCCGCCCGCGCCACAACTCTTCCTTGCTGATCTTCCCGCAGCACCACGCACAGCAGCCTCGCACCCGCCAAGACGACGCAGCCCACCGCATCGCACGCGCCCGCAAGCAAGCCGCACGCTCCGGCCGCCACCGTGACCAAGGCTGCGGCGAGCAGCGTGTCGAAGGCCAGCGCGCCCAAGGCTGCACCGAGCACGCGCCCGGCCAGCTCGACCGCCGGCGGAGCACAAGCACCGGCGCCATCGATCTCGAACGGCACGGGCATCGGCGCTGCAGGCGGCGAGCCGGGCAAGGGTGAGTCCCTCCCGACTATGCTGCCTGCTCCGAGCGCCCCGCCCGGCACGGTTCCCGCCGCGAATGGCGCGACCGGGCTCAGCTCAAAGGCGCCAGCGCCGAGCGCGCTGCCGTCGCAGAGCGCCGGGCTTCAGGGCGGCAACGCGCCCATCGCTCAAGGCCCTAGCCCTGTGCCGGCCCGGACTCCCGAGCCCGCGCCCGGGACGGGAGCACAGGCTGGACAGGCCGGCGGCACTGCTAGCTTGCCGGCTGCTGGCGGAGGAGCTCTTCCCGGCACCTCGGCCGGTCAGCAAGGCAGCGGAGCTACGCCGGGATCCAACCCCAGCGCAGCTTTGCCGCTCGCTGGCGCCGGTGTGCCGCCGAGCGCAAGCTCGCCGCAGCAGCCCGCACTGAGCGAGCCTGCCAGCGCGCCCAGCTCTCCGAAGGGCGCTCCCTCGATCCCGTCCGTTGGAGGCCTCCCGGGGCAGCCAACTGGCGGCGCGAGCAGCGGCACGACGTCTCCCGCTCAGGGCGCTCCACCTGCGGCCGGCGGTGGGACTCTTCCTCCGCCGGCTAGCGGGGCGGACTCCAGCGCTGCGCAGTCAAGCTCGAGCACGCCATCTGCGAACAACGGCGGCATGACGCAGCAACCATCTATGGGCCAGAGTTCGCAAGACGCGGGCCAGCTAGCGGGCACCGCGAACGAGCCCGCTGGCGCTGCGAGCAGCCCTTCACAGCAGTCGGGAGCAGGACAGCCGGACGGCGAGGCCAGCCCGACTGAGCCTCAGCCCGCAGGCACGCCCTCGCTTCCTGACCAGGAGCAGCCCAGTGATGGCCAGGCCGGCGAGACGCTCCCCGGCGATGGACAGGCCGGCGAGACGCCCCCCAGCGATGGCCAGACCGGCGAGACGCTCCCCAGCGATGGCCAGACCGGCGAGACGCTCCCCAGCGATGGCCAGGCCGGCGAGGGAACGCTGGGTGACTTGCCCGTGCTTCCGATCGACGCACCGAGCACGAGCAGCTCAGCAGACGGCGCCGAGGGCTTACAGAACGGCTCCGTGCCGGAGGACCAGAGCACTCCGGCCGTGGAAAGTGGCCAAAGTGCTGATGATGGCCTTGCAGACCCAACGGCGCCTGAAACTGCAGACGACGGAGCCGCCGCAATGAGCCAACAGGAAGGGGCGAGCGATCAGCTGCCCCTCGCGAGCGAGGGCGACAACACCAACGCGTCAACGGCGGATGAAAACGACGGCTCCATCGATCAGCAGCCCCTCGAAAGCGGCGACGAGCAGACGCCCTCGCAAAATCCGGCGGAGCAGGACCAGCCAATCGAAATCGGGCAGGAGGAGCCACTCGGCAGCACCGATGACGAGAGTGCTTCAACGACGTCCAGCGAGCAGCCAGAGAGCAGCCAGCAGTCTGATGGCGAAGACGGCCTGCAAATTGTCGACGGGGCGCCGAGCAGCAGCCTACCCGATCTCGCGAACCCAAGCAGCGGCTCGCCCGAGCTCGAGGGCGCAGATACAGACTCTCCCGAAGACGAGACGAGCTCAGAAGGTGACGATGAGCTTCCTCCCGCCGACACAAGTGGCGAGGAGCAGCCGCAAAGTGGTTCCCAGCTCGGTGACACAAGCAGCGAGCTGCCGGTCGATGGACAGCCGCCCACGTCCGAGCCAGACATGCAGGACGGCAGCCTCAGCGACGCAGAGGCTGCTGCCGAGGACGAGCCAAGCGCAGATGATGGCCTCACGTCAAGCGATCCACTCGAAATCGAAAGCGACGAGCCAGCCGAGACGCAGGAGGACGGCGACGGCCTCGGCGACATGCCAGCGGATGACGGCACGCTTGGAGACGATCAAACGCTGCCAAATGATTCGAGCAGCGCCACGGGGGAGGACGTGCAGGACCCCAACAGCGCGCTGTTGGACGGCGCGGACCTCAACGATGGCAGCACAACGCTAGCGGAAATCGACGGAGAGGACAGCACGACCTCGTCGGAAGTCGATGGCGATGACAGCGCGGCGCTCTCGGAGCCCGAAAGCGGCGCGCTTGATGGCACAAGCCTCGATGAGGGGGAGATCGAGCCGAGCGGATTGGACGACGATGGCGCGGCCCTTCCAGATGCAGGAGATGACAGCATCGATGGCGAGGCGCAGCTGGAAGGCGATGACAGCGCAGCAGACGAGGAGCCGCTCGATATCGACAGCTCAGATCAAGCCGATCTGCCGCAGGAGCCCGCTCCACTAGATGAGGGACAGCCCGATCTCGACACTTCGTCGGAGGACGTTCCAGACGACCAGCCAGAGCTTGTCGACCCGGATCTCGCGGCAATTGACGACGAGGAGGAGGGCCTCCTCGATGACGATGCGCCACTCGATGATGCTCAACCACTCGACGAGGATTTGGCGCCGGAAACAGAGGAGCAGCTTCCCGACATCGAAGCCGAGCCTACGGGCGCAGAAGACGACCTTCCCGTGGACGATGAGGACCTCAGTGATGATGAGGAGGCGCTCAGTGATGAGGAGGAGGACCCTGCCGAGGAAGAGCAGGCAGATGAGGAGCAGGGAGATGACGAGAGCGATGAGGAAGAGGAGTAGCGACGTAGCTTGCCCTCCCTCGCATTTGCTGCCTCGCCACGCCTCGCCACGCCAAGTCGCCGCTTCTTTGCCCAAGCCTTCAAGCCTCTCGCATCTCCACTCTCCTGCTACCAACGTGCTGCCTCATCTGATGCACTCGCTACGTCGCATCGCATCACTTGGCGCCCTTCATGCTGCTTGAACCCTCGCCTCGCCCGCGCCGCGCGTGCCTTCGCCTTCGCCTGCCCGTCTCAGCCGAGCTACCGCCTTCCGACCCGCTTCTGTTTTGCCTCACACACACCTACACCTCTCGCTCAACCTGTCTACAGCCTGTCGTCACTAATTTGCCTCTATCCGCCGCCGCACACTGGCCGCCTAGTCTTACACAGTCTCTCAACGTCTGCACCACACCTGGCGCGCTGCACTACTACATGCGCGTGCCACGTCGCTGCAATGCGAATCACTACCGCGTCTCTTTGAGACTTTGTCTCCTATTTTGCGCACAAATTGCGCACAACAGCTTGTCTGGATGAGGCGGGCCCGTGTGCGAAGGTCGTTCTCGAAACGCTGTGCGGTCGCGTTGAGAGCGGACCCGTGAGCGCACGGATGGGACGTGCGCGCCGCGTGGCGCCACGCACGCGGCCAGAGCCCGCAGCCTGGCGTGGACCGCAGCCGCCGTTTGCTGAAAAGCCGCCTTCTACAGCAGGCCGGAGCCAATCCGAGCGCAGCAGAAGATGATGCGCCACAATCTACTGAGCCGAAACCCGGGCTTGAATGAGGACGACTCAAATTTGAGGGCAGCGGCCGAGGCGCGCCACGACTACTAAAGGCTGCGCGCGCAGCGAGCCAGGCACGCTCCTTCCACCACCACCTCATCGCGCCACTCTCGTCCCCTTGCAGCTCCTCACCACGCCTTGAAGACTTTCCATCGTCTGCTTTCTCCTGAACATCAGCTCATCGTCGTACTCGAGCCATACGCGTCCGAGCCGCGCTTGACGCTCCACGGCCTCCGCCAACACTCTCGCCGCACGATGTCGACGAGCGAGAAGGCGCTGAGCAACGGTGCCAGCCTCCTCGAGATTACGCGCGCGCAAACACGCACCATCGAGACTCAGGCACGCAGCATCGAGTCCCAGGCACGCACCATCGAGTCTCTCGTGAAGAAGCACATCGAGACCAGCTCGGCAAGAGAGAGCGATCTGCTCCTGAAGAACCGCGAGCTGCGCAACAAGCTGCGCGAGCTGCGCGAGCTGCGCGAGCTGCGCGGTGAAGAAGCGCACGGGTGAGCTATCTCTGACCCTGTGACCCTCGCCTTGGCTCACGCTTTGAGCTCAGCACCACGTCGAGCCGCGAGCCACCCATTCCGGCGCACGATTCCTCAAGCGCTGCGCCGTGCTCTCACACGGGCACGAGCTGCGGTGGTAGCCACGGCCTGGAGGCGCCGACTCGCGAGGTGAGTAGGCTGCTGCTGTCAGCGATAAGACACGTGCATGCAGTTCCACAGCGCTGACTCCGCCGCCGATCCCTTGTCAAGGACGCAGCGAAGAAGCGCAAGCTCGCGACCAACGAGAGCCGCGAGGATGCGCCGAGCGCCGGCAGTGCGCAGCACGGCGCCTGCTCGTCATCGGCGCCCGACATAGCTTGCCCGCCCGTCCGTCGACTGGGCCCTCTCACGCCCACCAGCTCGCAGAGCACATCGCGCTCAGAGAAGATGCGTCAAGCGCTCGACGTCTTCGACACTTCCCGTGCGCAGAGCCCGGTCACGCCTGAGCTGCCTCGCCAGCAGAGGTGAGCCGCATTTCCTTGCCCAGCTTCGCGCCTGTACATACATGCTGACACTGTCGCCGCCGTCAGCGCGCTCCAGCCTATCCGTGCCGCTTCGCCCGTCTCCGAGGACAGCGGTGACAGCGAGCTGCGCATTCCAACGACCAAGGAGCTGCGCTCGCCGCCGCCCACCCGCGCCGCATCGCCTGTCCGTGCCGCATCACTTAATTCGGAGGACGAGTCGGAGCCCGAGCTCGTCGTCCCGCGCGCGCGCCCGCCCTACTACTGAGTCGTCAGCCACCCTGCTGCAGGCCTGGGCACTCGGCTTGGCCCCATCTTTCTACGCTCCTGTACTTCTAGCTCGTGTGACGGTCACGCTCCCAATTCATCTCTCTCGTGCGCCTGAGCATCGGTCGTCGCAGTGCTCATTCTCTCCCCCCTACTTTACCAGCTCCAACCTCCCCTCTCTCTCGCTCGTAGCATGCCAGACTCGCGGACTACCCACTGTTCTCATGCGTGCTCACGCGCGCCCGCATATGCTGAACTCTCCTCGATTCTCGCGACCAGTGACGGCGAGCTTCGCTCTCAATCGAGACAAAGCTGAGTGGAGAGGAATCTTCGTGGCATCGACCTCGCTTTTGCACACATTTGCCCCCCCCCCCCCATCCTGAGCACGCGAGGGCTGCGTGGCAGGCTGAGGGTCGGCCGACACCATCTTGTCGGTGGCGCTGCTGACGCATTGTCGCTACATAGCTTGAACAACACAGACTGCCTCGTAGAGAGGCTGAAACAGACTTTGTTGGCGATCTTTAAGAGCCCAGCGGCAGCTTCGTGATGCTACAACGAGCACGAGGCTCTCGCGCCTGCCTGGCGGGCACTTTACGCGAGACGCGCCGCGTCGCTCCTGAGCAACGGCGCGCCCAAGGCGGGGGGCCGCACGCCGCGCCGCGCGCCGCGCGCTGCGCACATCTCGGCTGCCCGTGTCGCACGCTGCTTGCCTCCGCACCACCACGCCACTCAGCGCCTGCCTGTGAGTTCACTTACTCCTTGACCTCGTACTGCCCCGTCTTTGACACCTTTCATCGGCAGCCGCTTCACTGTACGCACGCGGCCCACCACTCTCTCCAGTACTCGCGCTGTTCACCAAGATGGCATCGGTCTACGACGAACTGCTTCACAAGAACCAGCACCTCGAGGCGAGCGGCGAAAGTATGACTCAGACGATCCAGGAGCAAACTCAGGTCATCAAGGATCTGGCTCAGACGCTCAAGCTGCTGGCCAAGTCAGTTAGCAGCTCGCAAGAGCAGGTGCGCGCGAAGCACTTTGAGCTGCGCGAGAAGGACTCAGAGCTGAGCGAGATGGCCGAGGACATGCGCGAGATGAACAAGGAGCTGCGCTCGCTGCGCGACAGGTACGTTACGTGGGGGTACCAGGCTGCCCACATCACCGCTCACCTTCTTTGCTATCCATCCGTGCGAACAGCGACGCCTCGGCTGCGTCTGTATCTTCCCCTCGCAAGAAGCAGAAGCTTGTGGCATCCGACGAAGAGCACTAGGTGAGTCGACGCTGTGCCGAGCGAGCAAAAAGAAGAGTCGCTGATGCTTTTGCAGTGGGCTTCGCATCTTCGCGCTCTGAGCAGCCCGCCTCGCCGCTCGCCTACCTCACGTCCAGCTCGTCCATCGACCGAGCAGGCGCTTGTACCATTCTCTGAAGCCTGTCTCGCATCGCCCTCGCTCTTCCACCGCAGCTGGCGCTTATGTCATTCTTTCTAGCCACTCTCCAGCCACTCATGTACTTGTACCGCGCTCGTGCGACCCGCTTTCCCTTCCTCTCTCCTCTTGACCTCGCCGACTCAACCATTTCTTCCTGCCTTTCTGAGCATGGACTTGGCGGCGAGACTCCGCGATGAACGCGTGTCACCCTTGCCCGCCATTCGTGTGCTCATTGATGAGTGGCCTGCGTCGTCGCGGGCCTCAAGAGCGTTGAAGCCCGCCATGGCATCGGGCAAGGAGGCACGGAGGCTTGCACGAAGCTGTATAGAGGATCTCATCACCATTCCTCTTCGCAGCGGCAACACTCGAGCTGCGTGCTCTGGCAGCGGGCCGTGTTGCTCGTGCAGGCCTGGCAGGAGCTGCCCGTGCTTTTGCGAGCCTCAGACTGACTTGCACCAGACAACAGCGGCCGGCAGAGGACGTGGCGTGCCTGCAAGCTGGAAAGGGAGACTTCTCGCTGCTGCCAGAACGTAGCGTGCCACAAGCAGTTGCTGCGAATGAGCGTGGCCTGGCAGCGTTGGGGCGAGAAGAGGGGCGCGGCCGGCAGCGTACACGTGCCGCCGCGCGGCGCGCCAGCTCTGGGACGTGCACGCGGCGTAGCCGCCACTTGCCTTCGCACCACCATCACCTCCGATCGACCATCTGTGAGCACACCTGAAGCCGCGCCAGGTGGCTGCGTGCAGTCTCTGACACTCCTACTCGAAGTCAAGCACGCACGCACGCCGCACTCGCTCCACGTCTCGTCCGGCGCTCCTCGCCGACGCACTCCACGCGCACACGTCTGCACCGCTACTCCGGCGGCCACCATGGCGCCCACCCAGCAAGAGCTCGATGATGCGTGGCACAACTTCCTTCTGACGGCTCAGCGTACGCCAGCTTTCCTCAAGGACTTCGACATCGACTTCCGCCGCGAGGGCGGCTTCGCCATCTACAAAGCTGATGATGCAGCTTCCACCACCTTCCCGACTCGTCTTCCCGATAACTACCACGCCTATCGTCGCAACTTCGAGCGTTTCAGGCGTGCTAGCAGACGCATCTGCAAACATTGGCTTGCAGAGGGCCCGGACATCGCAGCGGGTACGCAGGTAAGCAGCAGCGGCAGTTTTTTTGGCGGGCCAGGACACCGACTGACCCCAGCTCACAGGACGGCCTGTCCGACGAAGCGTTGGTCGACATTTCACACGGCGTCACATACCCGAAGGGGCGATTTGCCTGCGTATACGCCCTTCTGCACAACGATCTCGATCTGCTGGACGGACCGAGCGTAAGACTCATCGGCCAGACGACCGACGCACATGCGCAGGAGGCGGCTCATCGCCGTACTGCCGATATGCAAGTGCGCCTGTACCCTCTTTACATCCCGTTGATCGCAGATTCGAACGAGGAGGAGACTCGTATCGTTGGCAAGCACTTCCTCATCGTCATGTGCTGCTCCACGCTACCCGAGGCGGGAGGCTGCAACTTGCAGGTCCTCGACGACCACATGCCGCAGGGCAGCAATCTCCCTGCACTCCGCGAGCCGGACAACAAGAGGCGCTCGGCGACGGCGTCGGCCGAAGAGCAGCGTGCCGAGAAGGCGCCGCGCTACGAGGCGTGAGCTTGGGTGAGTGCGCGGCGCCAGAGTCGAGGGGAGTGAGGTGTCGTGGTAGTCCTTAGCAGATGTACGCCATTGTGCGGCACCCGTGACATTCGAGGCCGTAGGCATCCGCAGGCCCTGGAGAGCCCCGCCCATTCTGCAACACGACGCTGACCTTCTGCACAATCTGACCTCATAGTGCGTCGCTCGCAAAACTTAAGCCGCTCGTCTGAGCGCGAGGAGCGCCCAAGTCTCGAGCCGGCAGCCTCCGTCGCGCCACCGCGTCACGATCGTGTCACCTTCTTTCAGCCGCCCGTCACCTCGTCGGCCTCTCTTCTTCTGCCTCAACATCCGCACGACATCTTCTTCACCGGTCCATGCATGTATTCCTTACCCCATGTCGCGCCGCTCGCCTGTCTCGCACGCTGCACTCACTCGCGCGCTGCACGCACTCGCAAGTCACCGCCCGATCGCACGTCCGCCTCACGACTTCTCAAGCTTTTCACCACCGCCATTCGAGCCAATCCAGCGCACCTTACCACTTCAAGCCTTCCTGTACTACCTCCCAGCTTCTCGACCAGCCCGAGCCAGCCTCACGACCAACGTTTCAGCCTTTCAAGCCTTCCCAGCCATACTACCACCGTCCGACCTTCACGCCTTCCTGTGCTTCTAGCGCTACGCCCCGGCCACGTTCAATACCATCCTCATCCTCGCCGCGCCGCCGCTGCGTGTCGTGTCTGCAAAGCTGATTGCTACCGCGTCTCTTCCCGCTCCGCCTCTTCCCGTGCGCGTGCTACCCGCGAGCGCAGCGTCTCAAGCAGGCCCACAGCGCCGCCCGCGCCGAGGCCGAGCACGAGGCTCCTCCGCACTGATGCGCGCGGCAGTTTGTCTGAAAGACATGTCAGCGATGCCGCAGCGGGCGTCTTGGCGAGACTCACAGATGACAGCTGCGCCCGCCGCCAGCAGCACGCCGGCGCCTGCGCCCTGTGCCGTGGCAGCCCCGGCATTGATCAGCTCTGCGGAGCGGTCGTCGCGGGTGCTCTGCATCACAGGCGCAGGCAGCAGATAGCCAATGCCCGCGTGCAAGCCCACGAATGCACCGCTCCATGCGCCCAGCCTGGCGCCGCGCGCTATCCCTGCACCTAGCGCCGAGAGGACGACCTTGTAGTTCTGCGCAGGGGTCAGCCACAGCGTGCAGAGTGGACGAGGTGCGGCGCACCTTCGTCTTGTTGTAGAAGAACCAGCCCTGCACCGTCGTCGGCTGCCGATGTGCATTCTCGGCCATGAAGACCTTGGCCGCGCGCGAGGCGCCGCTGTAGATCCCGGTGCTGAGCCCGAGTGCAGCGGCGAGGAAGGGCAGCGAGGGCGGCAGCGTGGCGGGTGCGGCGGCCGGCGGTTGGAAGGGTGCCTCACTGGGCGGCGGTGGCGCGGGCGCAGGTGGAGCGACCTCCACCGGCGGCGGTGGTGGCGCTGGCTGCGCGCTCGTGGATGCGGCGGGCGCAGACGACGAAGAGAAGGGCCACATGGCTGGGTGATGGTGGAGAAGAGGAAGCAGGAGCGCGGCGCAGTGTGGAGGCGACGCGGCGCTGCTGCCGCCGTCGCTCGCTGCGCGGCGCCCCATGGCACGGCCTCGATGCCGCACGCGCCTCTCCTTCCCACCACCACATCCCACCATGTCGTCCTCCCGCTCCGAAGGCTCGCGCCAGAATGCGCACGAAAAGGCGCGCGCCGTCATGCTCTCCGAGTTTGAGCGGCAGAAGGCCGACCTGAAGCGCGAGGCCGAGAAGAATGCACGCCCGGCAAAGGAGCGCTTCACCGCCAAGAGCGAGAGCATCGAGGAGACGCTCAAGAAGCAGACCGTCGGCCTCGTGTCCGCCGAGGACTTCAAGCGCAGGAGAGAGGAGCTGGAGGAGGAGAAACGCAGGGAAATGGGCAAGGGCGAGGCCAGGTGAGTGATGTGAAGTGCGACAGGGCGAGCGTAGCAAGGCAAGGGGAGGAGCACATCGGCGTGACGAGCGTCGCAGCCTTGAACAGCAGCGCAGTCGCAGCAGCACTGCTTTGCGCTCTGGCCAGCACGCTGACGCTCGCCAAGGGCATCCTCACCTGCAGCAGCTCGGCGGAGCGCAAGAAGAAGCGTGCCAAGGCCTCTCGCGCCGTGCTCTCCTTCGATGCCGATGACGGCGACGACATAGCGCCGGCACCGATCAAGCGGTCAAAGGCTGCATCGTCCTCTGCAGCAGGCAAGACGAGCCTCAAGAACCCCGAGGTCGACACGTCCTTCCTGCCCGACCGGGCACGCGAGGAGGAGGAGGCCAAGCTGCGCGAGGAGCTGCGAAAGGAGTTCTTGCGGAAACAGGAGGAGCTGAAGCGAGAGGAGATCGAGATTACCTACTCGTATTGGGACGGCAGCGGACATCGCAAGAGCGTCAAGGTGGGTGTGGAGCGAGGTGGGCGCAGAGGCGGACTGGGCGACAGACGGCACGTGGGGGTCATGGGCAGGTGGCCTGCGAGGGCGTGCGCGAGCATGAGCGGACCGCTCGTCTTGCCCAAGCTGCTGCAGCCTCAGCACGACGCTCACACCCCGCTCTCCAGGTGCTCAAGGGCGACACTGTCGCGACGTTCCTCGAAAAGTGCCGGCTGCAGTTCCCCGAGCTGCGCGCAGCCAGCGTCGACAATCTGATGTACATCAAGGTGCGTGCCTGTCTCTCTTCTTCCATCCTGCGCCGCGCTCTGCTAAACATGCGCCTGCCTGCAGGAGGATCTGATCATCCCGCATCACTACACCTTTTACGACTTCATCATCAACAAGTCGCGCGGCAAGTCGGGCCCGCTGTTCAACTTCGACGTGCACGACGACGTGCGGCTGCTGGCTGACGCGCGTGTGGAGAAGGACGAGGTGGGTGTGGGCCTGTTCCTGCTTCTGCCCCTGTATTGCTGACTCTCCTCGTTCAGTCACACGCTGGCAAAGTCGTCGAGCGCTCGTGGTACAATCGCAACTCGCACGTCTTTCCCGCCAGCCGCTGGGAGCAGTTCGAGATGGGCAAGTCGTACGGCAACTACACGATTGCCGACCGGACATAGACGGAGCGGGGGCGTGCGGTGCAATGCTCATGCTTGGACAACGATCTCATTCGTCTGCGAGCTCTGCGGGCCACCACTTGTCCTGCAGTGCCTCATCTCCCGTCCGCTCATCAGGCCGCGCCACCTTGCCGCCCTTCACGAGCCAAGTCTCGCTGACGCCTGCTTGCGCTTCTTGCTGTGCCGTTGAATGCCGCTCGAACGCCTCGAGAGGCTTCGCCAGCGCATCACAGAGCGTCTCGCCCGCCTTCTCCTCACTCTCGAGGAACGGCAGCGGAAGGTACGACATTGCGTACATGCCTGCGCGAGCGAAGAGTGACGCTTGCCGTCCGAGTCCTGTCGTCGGCACAAAGCCGGGCTGCACGGCTACGAGCTGCAGGCTAGCATCGGGATGCGACGCAGAGAGTCGCCGCGCGAGACGCCGCACGCCGAGCGCTTGTAGGAACTTTGAGTGCACGTAGAGATCTCGCCCAGAGCTTGGTGCGGAGCTGGAGAAGAGCGAGTCGAGATTGGCTGGGAGACATGGGTCAGCGTATGCCGCAGATGTGCAGCCGAGCAGCGCGCACCGGGATCAGCGCGGCGGTGCAGCGCCGAAGAAGTGAAGACTACGCGTGCCTGCGGCGTGTCGAGTAGCAGCGGGAGGAGCGGCTTGAGCAGAATCAGGTGTGCTGAGAGGTGGTTAGGTCTGGCGGCTCTCTCGCGCGCGGACAGAGCCACGCACAGAGGTAGTTGACGGCACAGCTCTGCTCGACATTGCCATCGACATGCAGCGCGTCTGCCGCACCGGCCTCGTCTGCAGACATGTGCTTGGCATCGGGCCAGATGGCGGCGTTGAGAAAGACGACAGTGCGCTGTGTGCCGTGCTGCAGCGCCTTGACCTGCTCCGCCAGCCGAGGCGCAGCGGCCCGCACGGCGCGCAGGTCGGCTAGATCGAGCGGCATCTCAGCTAGCGAGCTGTGCGGGTGCGATGCGAGAAGTGCAGAGAGACTGTCGATGCCTGAGCGTGCGCTTGAAGATGGACGTGTGAGAAGCAGAAGCTTGTATGGCGGCGGCAGTGAGACGGGTGCGGTGAGGAGCAGGCGGCGCAGCGCAGTGAGACCCTGGAGGAGCGTGAGCGGCGAGGCGGGCACTCCTGCGTCGCACACGCACAAGGCCGGAATGCGCGCCAGTGGCGATGATGAGCGACATGCTGTGCTGCGAGACCTGTGCGTTGCGGTGCTTGCGGCCCTCGTTGTGGTGAGAAGGCAAGAGAGGCGGCGCCACGGCGAGGCGCGCAAGTTGCCCCGTGCGCATTGCGCCTCCACCGCAGCGCGCGGCGCCGAGCTTCCTTCTCGCCTCCATCATCCCTCTACACGTCGCAGCTATGAGCAGCGCCGCTAGCGCCACAGCCAGCGGCAGTGGCAGTGGCAGCGGCAGTAACGATGCCGCGCTGCACGCCCACTTCCTCGCCCAGGCGCCCTCGTACCTCTCGCTGCACTCGCACCTCAGCACCTCGCTCTCGCAGCTCGACGTGCTGCACGGCTTCCTCACCTCCTTCTCCGCCGACCTGCTCACCGTCTCGTCGCACATCGCCGAGCTGCAGACGCGCTTCCAGTCGCTCGAGATGCGCCTCGGCAATCGGCGAAGGCTGGAGGGCGCCCTCGACGCCGTCGTGCGCGACGTGGCCCTCGATCCGGCGGTGGTCGACGGCATCGTCAACACCGAGCCGGGCAAGCCGTGGGCCGAGTGGCTGCGCGAGCTGGAGCGCGTGCTGCATGCTACTGCCATCGGCGACTCGGGCGCCGTGCAGCAGACGCGCGAAGTCGTCGAGAAGCTCAAGCTCGTGGTGCGTACCCTGCCTTGAGCTGCGTGCGCCTGCCGTCTCTCTAACGCGCCCTCACCAACAGGCGGCAGCCAAGCTGCGCTCTTCCATCCTGGCGCCGCTGCACTCCATGCGCAAGCAGCTCTCGACCAATGTGCCGATGCTTCAGGCGCTGCTGCTCGCCTCGCAACGCGCCTCGTACGGCTTCCTGGCGCGCCACGCGCCACGTGTGGCCATCGACGTGCAGCGCGAGTACGTGGCCATGGCGCGCTTGTACTACGAGACAGGCTTCAGGCGGTATGCACGTAGCTTAGGAGTGGCCAGAGAGAGGGCGAGAAGGAAAGAAGCGCGATGGGGCATCGCAGAGCGAGGTGAGTCGAGCCGTCGCCAAAGGAGGGGCATGAGCTGACCTCTGCAGTCGCAGCGGCGACGACGTCGGACAAAGACGCCTGGCTGCTCGAGTTTGCCGGCGAGCGCCTCGACAATGCGAAGCTGGAGGACGGGCCGCCCGTAGTGCTGGCGTATCAGGCAGACGACCCCAACTACGTGCGTCTTTCTCTGATATTCCTCACTCGTCTGCCCACTGACGCTCGACTGGTGCTGCGCCCTGCAGCGCACCACGCCCGAGGCACTCTTCCGCTCTCTCGCCCTCGTGCTGCTCGACAATGCTTGCGCAGAGTACACATTCATCTGTCGCTTCTTCGACGATCTTTCGCTAGCTGCACAGCCGGGCGGCACCTCGCACTCCTCGAGCGCGCCGCGGACAAAAGGCGCGGCGGCACGAGGCACACGAGCGCTAGAGGACATGGCAGAGGAAGGGCCCGAGCCAGAGGAGAGCGCCAGTGTGATGGCCGAGGAGGAGGGAGAGGAGGAAGTGCAGGGCACGATTGTGGCACTCAGCGTGCCAGAGCAGCGTGCGCTCGAGATGCGCTCGGCGGGCGACGAGCTCTGGCGGCAGGTCATGGAGCCGGTGCTCGGCACATGGACGGTGAGCCGCGCTCTCTTTCATGCTCTTGCACTGCTCACACTGTCTCGCGGCAGACGTTCGTCAAGTCTCTTCTCACACCGGCGCCGCCGCTGCTCTCGCTCCTCACCATGATCCGCCTCAATACCTCTCTCCTCTCGCTCGCGTCCTCTCGCGGCGCAGGGCGCGTGCTACAGCCGACGCTCATGGCGTTCAAGATGCAGGCCTATCCGCTGTTGCAGAAGGCATTCGGCGCCGAGCTGGACTCGCTCAAGCGTCTAGCTGACGGAGGCGCGCCGGGCGAGGCGGCGGGCTTGGCAGCTGGCCTTGGCGGCTTTGTGCGCGCTGCCACCGGTGGAGGGTGGAGTGGAAAGGAGGCGAGAGAGTTTGCTGGCACGGTGAGTAGCACTAGCGCCCGAGATGTCTAGCAAAGCGTCTGATCATGCCTTGCCACCCTTGCCTGTCCAGGTCTGCGGCCGCTACGCGCATCTCTACTCCTCCGTCGTCGTGCTCTCCGACGAAGCAGACGACACGATGCTGTTCAGCAGGTATGTGTCTCGCTCTTGCCTCCGCTACAGCAATCTTCTGACCCTTTGCTGTGCCGCAACAGTCTCTTGCGCATGCGCACCGAGCTCGAGCGCTTCCTGACGAGCCTCGCGAGCAAGCAGCGCGCCGCTGAGGGCGCACCTGCAGCGGCGGCGTTCGAGCGCGGAGTGTATGAGGCTGTGAAGCGAGGGCTCGAGGTGAGTCGAGCAGTCAGCACCGCCTATCAGCGATGTGCCGGGCTGACGGACATGCCGCATAGACTGGACCGGCTCCACTCTCGCATCCACGAGTGCAGAGCGAGATGTCGCACTTCACCGAGCTGCAGCGCTCGAGCCGAGCGGCGGCATGATGCACGCGCAGACTGGTGCCGCGCAGAGACGGAAAGGAGAGCGGGAAGCTAGAGAAGCCGAATGTCACCCTTATTATGGTTCGATGCCCATGCCGCCCCATTTTGTTCCCTCGTTTGGTGTTGAGCTATGACATTGCACCCTCCCCCTCTCATGCCCATCGCACGTCTCGCACGTCTGCTCAATCGAACAGCTTGAGGCCCCAGTAGCGCACGCAGCCATACACGACCGCCAGGCTGCCCAGGCTGGGCGCCAGGTCGAGGCGCACCATGGTGTACATCCACAGCGTGCCCAGCGGCGGTGTGCGGCGGATGACGAGATGGTACGGCGACTTGGAGAAGATTAGCATGAGGAGAGAGCGCGCAGGGGAGAGAGGCACATACCTTCGAGTAGATGTAGAGGAAGGAGGCGCCGCTGACTGTTGAAATGACGGTGAGGAACGTCTGCATGAGGAAGTGGCCTCGAGGCGTGCGGGGCTTGCGAATGGCCGCTGTACGAGAAGGCCGTGCTGTCAGCGAAGTACGAGCAAGGCGTATGCTGAAGCCAGGACGCACTGAAGTAGATGAAGACGAGCAAGACTGCGGTTCGCACGTCAGCTGGCCATTCACGGCACGAACAGCAGCGGGCCGAACGCACAAGGCAGTGTCCCGAGCAGCCTGCCAAACTCCCTGAGTGCCGTCGGGTGTTGCGCGTATTGCTGCTGTATCATAATGTCCATCAAGACGAACATGAATGCTGCTTCACCAAGTCTCTGTCAGCTCTCCTCTCAGCAGCACAGGTAAAGGGAGGCACGCACCGAAGGGCATGCCCCAGATGAACAGATCGAGCGTCTGCTCCATGACAGGATGCATGCCGCTCTCCTCCTGCCTTTGTGCAAGGGACGTCGCATCGTCTTGACCATAGCTGTCCATGCTGTCCACTTCACTGCCCTCCCCTTCCTCCTCCTCGTCTGAGCTTGCCCACTCCACCGCAGGGCGTCCTGCACTCTCACGCGCCAGCTGCGCCCGTAGCTCCGAGGGACGCATGCCGTCTCGCCGATCGGCTGGTCGCGCAGAGGTGAAGGGCTGCTTGTTCTCTGGATCGAAGGGGATGAAGTCCGGCGGTCTACACACAGTTCGCGACAGGTCAGCTCTTTGACGTTGCAGCTTCTAGCTAGCAGCCCCCGCCCCCCCCCCCTCGCTGCATAATCTAAGCCAGCTTCCCACGCAAACTCGACACTCACAGCCGCTCCAGAATGCCCGTTGCAGCGATCAAGCGCTCCTGCTCCTCGCGCGAGATATCTTCTGCCTGTGTGGCCTCAACAGCAGCGCGCAGAAGCGCGGCATCGGCGGCGCTGGGCGCTGGGCGCGAAGATGAGGAAGAGGCCATCGTGACTGACGCGCTGGCCTTGCGGCTGGGCAGGCTGCTGTGAGAGAGAGTGCGTTGAGACGAAGCGGCAACAGGAGCGGCGAGGAAGTCTTGTGGGAGAGAGGAAGAGCGCGTGCAGGCGACGCAGAGACGAAGGTGCGGGGCAGAAAGTGGCAGGCGAGTGCGCGTCTCGCTGTCGAGGTCAGAGCGAGAAGCGCACACGTCGCTCGGCGCGCCTCCACCTCACGCGCGCCCGCAGGCGCACGCCGCCGCCCACGCGACCTCGCTCGTCTCGCCTCCGCCCGCTGCGAGGTGGACAGGCGCATGTATGCGGCCCACAATCAGCAGATGCCCCTGGTGCTTCTGTTTCTGCCCTGTGCGTTGCGTACATGCTATGGTGTTGATGACCTGGCATATCCGAGCGGTTGACGCGCGGGGCGCAACGCCTGTCACGCTTTGGAGAGGCTCAGCTCCCAGTCCTTTCCGCGCCGGTGGCTTCTACAAGAACGCTGGACATCACAGGTGGTGCCCGTGTCCGAGCATCGCATACGACTCTCCCTCCGGGCTGTACACTCTGACTGCATGCTGTGTGCTGGTGCTCGCAGCGTGAGACGGCTGCGGGATCCGAGGGGGCAGGCCGCGCTCTCGCACGGGAGCGTCGCGTGGCGCGGCGGTGCTTGCCGCTCTCGCTGGCTCTCGCCAGGGTACAAATACCATCCCCTCGCCTCGCCTCTTCCTTCCCGACCACATCCTCCCATCCTCTTCTACAATGATCCCTCTGCCAGGCGCCGGGCGGCGCGGCGACATTGCCGTCGATCGTGCTCGCGCCGCCGCAGCCGCAGCCGCGTCAGCAAGCAGCAGCCCACCGCTCGACTCCTACGCTGCGCACGCGCACGCACAGCTCGACGCTCTCGCATCAGGCATCGGCCTCTCCTCGCAGCAACAGGCAGCGCAACAACAGCAACTTTCTCGGCGCTCGCGCTCTCCACCTGCCTCATCGGCACACGCCTCCTCCTCTCGCCTACCCACCACCTTGCCCTCCTCGGGCATCTTTGTGCCTCGCACCTCTCGCACCTCGGCCGGCGTACGCAAGCCTCTCTCGCGCTGCTCCGAATCTGAGCTCGAGGGCATCTCCGAGCGCGCAGACTCCCTCCTACGCTCTGCTGCCGTGCGCGAAAAGCTTGCGCCTGCAGAATTGGAGCGATTGCGGAGAGATGGCGAAGAGGCAAGAAGGAGATTGGAGGACATCAGGAGAACGAAGGAGGAGGAGAAGGGCAGGAGGGAAGAGGTACGACTGGTCGGCAGAATGGAGGAGCTGGAGCTGCGAGAGGAGAGCGCAAGTCCAAGGCTCACGAACTCGCCAGCGATGCTGTATGGACGAAGCCCGACGAGCAACTACGCGCTGGGCTCAAGTCCGACACACACGACCGAGGCTCGCCGCTTCGTGCGCGAGCGGGAACAGGTGCGCCGTCCTCTTTCTCTGTCGCCCTACTGCATCGCTCACGCGTCCTTTCTTCAGTCGCCAACGCCAGGTCGAGTCCAGCTTCTCTCCTTCCAGCAAGCCTCCGCGCTCGAGCGGCATACCTACGAAGTCCAAGCTGCCGTCGAACGTCAACGCATCGAGGCTGCGACGCAACGCGCGCTCGCCAGGATGGGCATCAAGGATGACGACGCTCCTTCTGCCTTGCCCGGGAACGCGACGGCGGCGGCGCGTGAGAGGCAAAGAGACGAGAGGGAGAGGAGAGAACAACAGCAGGCGGAGGAAGAACAGGAGGAAGAGAGGGAGGAGATGGAGGGTGAGGGAGAGGAGTACGCAGAGGAGGAGTGGGCCAGAGGCATCGAAATTTGAGCCTTGTTGGCGCCCGCCATCCTTTGCTTTGTGCGTGAGAGAGGTGGGACCGCTGAGCGTGCAGTTCCGTGTGAGACTGGGAGAGTTCGGCTCTCGTCTGTCTCTTCAGGCAACACATCACCCGTCTTCTACTACGCCTCGCTGCGGTCCTCCTCATCGATGCTATCGAACGTCTTTCTATTTCGTGCTTCCTTCGCCCTATACCAGGCGCACCTTTGCGTGCTGCACAAGCGTCTCGGCGTCCATGGCCGCGAGCGCATCAAGCAGTGCAGCAATGAACGTTCCCGGCCCGCGCACCTCGGGCCGCGCGGCGGCGAGCTCAGAAGCGATGGTCATGCACAGCAGTCTGCGGGTCGAGGGAGAGCGTCAGTGCGGTACAGGAGGAGGGCAGCAAGGAGGGCTGACTCACCCCATCAAAGCGCCAGCGATCAGATCATCAGGCTGAGCCTTGACCATGGTGCTCTTCTGTGCCTCGCCCGCGCTGTTCGCAGCCGCGAGGCCAGTTGCAATAGCCACGCCCAACGCGCAGCCCGATCCGGTGATTGCGCCGAGGAGCGCATGTCCGTTCTCGCACGCCAGCGTGCGTGCTCCGTCAGAGAGGTAGTCCGTCTTGCCAGACAGCAGCACCAGGCATCGCTCGCGGCGCGCCAAGGAGGAGACGAGCCCGATGGGATCGGAGAGAGAGCCGGCGCCGCTGTCGACACCGCGGGAGGTGACCTCAGAGAGACCGGCGATCGCAGACAGCTCGGCGGCGTTGCCCTTGAGGAGCGTGATCTGCGTGTGGTCCATGATCTCTGTTTGGAAGACGAGGTGAGCTCTTGCGCAATGGCAGGGGCAGAGAGAGCGCACCGTTGACGGCGGCCTTGCGGAATGCGGAGGCGCCGACGCCCACTGGGTCGAGCACGACGGGCTGTGACGGGCGTCAGCTTTCAGCTACTGAGTTTTTGTGTGCCGCCTCGCATGGTCTGATTCACCTTCCGTCCCCGGTTTGCTGCGCTGCCGACAGCCTTCATGCCTCTCCTAGACTCTGCGCCGATGGTGCCGATGTTGAGCACCACGGCACCAGTGACCTTGCCCAGATCGTCCGCCTCTGCCTCCTGCGCCGACATGATAGGGCTACCGCCCAGCGCCAGCGTCACGTTCGCCGAGAGCGTCGACGAGACGTGGCTGGTGAGCGTCTGAATCAACGGCGGCGAGCCGTTGCGGAGCGAGGAGAGGAGCAAGGCGGAACGCTCCACGAGTGCCTTGACGTCGGTAGAGGAGCCGGCGCCAAAGGCAGCTCGCAATTGCTCCGCGCTCTGCTCGGCACGCGAAGCTTTGAACGCGGCCACCTGCTCCGCCAGCTCGCTCGCTGCCACCTCTGTATCCTTGCGCGCCATGATGGCGCTGATCACCGCAATTCCAGCAGGAGCAGCCGTGGGAGAAGAAGCACCGAAGAGCGCCCGTGCCGCGGTCTGCTGGTTGAGACCGCCAATCAGCACCGCCGGGAGGCCATCGAGCGCCTCGATGATCTGAGCTGCCTGTCGTGCTCCCAAGACGTCGTCATCGACGATGCCGGCCTTCGACTGCGTGCCGTAGATTGGGCCTACGCCTGCGTAGTCTGCCCCGCTGGTGCGCGCGTCGCGGGCCTGCTCGACCGAGTGCACAGAGATGCCCAGGAGACGATCGGGCCCGAGCAAGGCACGAGCTTGGGAGACAGGGAGATCCGACTGCCCGATGTGAAGCCCCACGTGAGGAGCAAGCGCGAGCGCGACCGAAAGGTTGTCGTTGATGAGCATCGGCACCTTGAACTGGTGGCTGGCACCGTCAGCGCTCGCTCAGTCTCTGGGCAGCACAGCGCAGCCCTTCTCCTCCATTTGCTGCAGCATCTCTCGATGTTCTCGTCTCTCTGCACTCACCTCGTCGCACACCTCCAGGCTCTTGCGTGCGATGTCCAAGAACTCGTCCGTCTCGACGTCCTTCTCGCGGATCTGTACCAGCGTCACACCGCCCTTGAGCGCTGCTCGCAATGCATCAAGATAGTCGACGCCCGCGGGTACCTGCGAGCGTGCTGTCACGAGGTACACGGAGTAGTCGGCTCTCGGGGGCGCCATGCTGCAGGTAGTGAGGGGGTGGGGGAAGAGAAGGAAGGCGCGCCAAGACGGCTGGACGACGCAGTTGTATTCGGCCTCGCGGTGTCTATTCGCCGAAACACAACTTCACCTCGCGGCCGTGCGCCGAAATGAATTTGAGGCTTGCCTCCACATCGCCTCGACGCCGCTGCGAGGGCCTCCATCTCGCCTCTCTCTCGGTCCGCGAGCGCAGGGCGCTCAGTCTTTCCCTTCACTGACCTGCACAAGAGATGCAGGGTGTTCCTCCTCGTCGAGTGAATCTGGGTTGGCTGCCCTTCGTTGCTCCAAGACACCCTCGAACCCGCCCGGCCGCGCGACTTGCCCTGGGCCGGCAAAGGCCACGCGCCTGGCAGCTCCAGCAGCCGCAGACGCTTGTTGCTTCGCACAGACTCACCGCCAGTGGATGCCCTACTTGGCCACATCTGGGGATTGCAGCACAGCTGGCGGTCAGTTAAGCGCCCAGCGAGATGCGGCGAGAATGCCGCTCTCGGCCGGGCGAAGCGAGATCGACGAGGAAAGTCCGAGGCGTGTGCCTGGCTCGCGCGGCGCGGCGTGCCGATGCGGACGTCACGGCGCGCCGGCCGCGGCGCGCGGTGAGCTTACGCGCGGTCAGGCGACCTGCGGCCGGCGCCGTGCCTGCTGCTCGCGTAGCGCCAACGCGCGGCGGTGAGATTCTTCGGCAGGGCTCAGCCTCCCCTCTTGCCTCTCACCACACTCCTCCAGCTGGCACGCTCCCTGATGTCGCAGGCATCTCCAGCGCCCGCGCTCGCGCGTCGCGCCCAGCAGCTGCTGCTCGACTCGCTCGGTGCCGCGCTCAGCCCCGACGTCGAGGGCTCCTTCGCTGCAGCGCCGCTTGCCGGCAATGTCTCCGTCGCTGATGTCTGGCTGACGGGCAAGCAGCCGGCCCTGCCGCGCCCGCCGGGCAAGCTGGCCGGCCTCTGCCACGACGCAGAGGGCTGGGGCCCCTTCTCGCAGCAGCGCGACCTCGACCTCACGCCGTGCGCCTGGGACTTCTGGCTGCTCTGCATCCCGGCGCTTCTCTTCGGCCTGTGGGGTAGGTGTCGTGTGTGGTGACGCGCTGCTGCCGGGGCTGACCACTTCCACAGCTGCACTCGACCTCTCGCTTCTGGCTCGCAAGCCTGCTCGGCCGCTCTCGCGCCGCTCGACGCACGTCCTGCGCGCCAAACAGGTGCTGCTGCTCCTCCTCGTGGCGCTCTCTCTCGAGACGTGCATCTCGGCCGGCGTGCGGGGCCCGTTCCCCTCCTTGACCTTCGTCGTGGCGCTGCTGCACTCTGCCGCATACGCCGTACTGCTGCCGCTCGTGGCGCACAACCACACCAAGCAGCGCCGCGCCTCGACCAGCGCGCTCCTCTATCTGCTCCTCCACATCCTCGTGCTGGCGGCCAGGCTGCGCACCGAGTTCGTGGCGCGCCAGCACTCGCCGCAGCACGTCGCCGTCTCGGCGGGCGTGCGCATCGCAGCGCTCAGCCTGCTTGTTGCCGTCTTTGGCCTCGAGTGCGCCGGCCCCTCCGTCGGCGGCCCGGCGCAGGGAGCGTACGCACCCGTGGCGCAGGAGGAGAACGAGTCAGAGGACAGCACGTTCAGCAACTTGCCCGACGAGGAAGGCAGCGCAGGCCCGTCGAAAGAGCGCAGCGAGCAGGACAAGGAGTGCCCAGAGAACACGGCCAACATCTTCTCGCGCCTGGCCTTCTGGTGGATGGGGCCCATGATGACGCTCGGTGCGCAAAAGTACCTCAAGGAGGACGACCTGTGGGCGCTGCCGCCCGGCGAGGACGCCGAGAACCTGGGCCTGCGCTTCGAGCACTACTACGCCACGCTGCGCACCTCTGCGGGCAAGCCGCGCATCTGGACGGCGCTGGGCGCCGCCTACGGCGGGCCGTATGCATTCGCTGCCATCCTCAAGGCCGTGCAGGACTGCCTGGCCTTCGCGCAGCCTCAGCTGCTGCGTCGTCTGCTCGTATTCGTGCAGAGCTACGGCACGGAACATGCGCAGCCGGCGTCGCACGGCTTTGCTCTCTCGGCCAGCATCTTCCTTGTGGCCGTCGTGCAGACGAGCTTCCTGCACCAGTACTTCCAGCGCTGCTTCACCACGGGCATGCGCGTGCGCGCCGGCCTCGTCAGCGCCATCTTCAAGAAGTCGCTACGCCTCAGCAACGAGGATCGCGCGGGCAAGAGCACGGGCGAGACGATCAACATCATGAGGTGCGTGCGACGCCAGGTCGCTCTACCTGCTGCAAACTGACCCCTCTCCGCCATCAGCGTGGACGCGACGCGCCTGCAGGACCTCTGCACGTACGGCCACATCCTCTGGTCGGCCTTCTTCCAGATGACGCTGGCCTTCATCTCTCTGTACGAGCTGCTGGGCTGGAGCAGCATGGTCGGCGTCGCCATCATGGTCATCTCCGTGCCGCTCAACACGGTGCTGGCGCGCTACATGCGCAAGCTCAGCACCAAGCAGATGAAGATCCGCGACCGCCGCACCAAGTTCATGTCGGAGATCCTGAACAACATCAAGAGCATCAAGTGAGTCGCCTGCTCGCTAGCCGCCGGATTGCTACATGCTGACCCCGCACAGGCTCTTTGCGTGGGAGGAGGCCTTCACCGCCAAGCTGCACCAGATCCGCAACGTCGAGGAGCTGAGCATGCTGCGCTGGTCCGGCATCGTCTCTGCGCTCTTCCAGTTCTTCTGGACGGCCATCCCCTTCTTCGTCTCGCTCGCCACCTTCACGACCTACTCGCTGACGCAGAAGGAGCACCTCACCGCCGACATCATCTTCCCGGCGCTGTCGCTCTACCAGCTGCTCTCCTTCCCGCTCGCCATGGCCGCAGGCATCATCTCGGCCACGCTGCAGGCCACGGTGAGCGCCCAGCGCATCTCCGAGTTCCTCGACTCGGGCGAGCTGGACTCCGACGCGCGCAAGGTCGAGCTGCCGCAGCAGCAGCACGAGCCGCTCATTCCCGCCATCGAGGCCAAGGCCGGCGAGCCGCTCGTGGAGCTCAAGGGCGCGTCGTTCAGCTGGAGCACCTCGCAGCAGACGCCAACGCTCAACGACATTGACCTCAGCGTCGGCAAGGGCGAGCTGCTGGCCGTGCTCGGCAAGGTCGGCGACGGCAAGTCGAGCCTCCTCTCGGCCATCCTGGGCGAGATGCACCGCTGCAAGGGCGACCTGACGGTGCGCGGACGCACTGCGTACTTTGTCCAGGGCGGCTGGTGCATGGGCAGCAGCATCCGTGACAAGTGAGTGCTTCCGCTGAGATGGCCTGTGCTTGCGACTGACATCACGGCAGCATCCTGTTCGGTCTGGCATGGGAGCCAGACTTTTACAAGCGCGTCGTGGCCGCCTGCGCCCTCGAGCCGGACTTCGACGTGCTGCCCGACGGCGACGCAACCGAGGTGGGCGAGAAGGGCGTTTCGCTCTCGGGCGGGCAGCGTGCACGCGTGGCACTGGCACGCGCCGTCTACGCCCGCGCCGACATCTACCTGCTCGACGACCCGCTGGCTGCCGTCGACGCTCACGTCGGCTCGCACATCTTCAAGCACGTCATCGGACCCGAGGGCATGCTCAAGAGCAAGGCGCGCATCCTCACGACCAACTCCGTCGCCTTCCTGCCGCACGTCGACCAGATCGTCTCGTTCCTGCCGCGCGTCGGTAAGCTCTCGCACGAGCGCGGCACGTACGACGAGGTCATGGACAAGCACGGCGACGTGTTCAAGCTCATCAACGGCCTCGGCAAGCAGTCGTCGCGCAGCCGCGAGCCCTCGCGCCCATCGTCGGACAACGAGGAGGAGCCCGAGGACGCCGAGAAGAAGCTCGACTCGAGCCGCCTGAGCAAGCAGCGCTCGTTCAGCAGCGCCTCGATGCGCCGCCCAAAGGCACTCAGCAAGGGCGCTGTGAAGCGGCAGACGGTGCGCGACCTGCGCGAGTCGACGAAGCCCAAGGAGAAGAGCGAGGAGGGCGCTGGTGCGTAGATGCATCGCCTCGCCGTTCCGCCTCCACGCTGACCCTGCCCTGCCAGTCTCGTGGAGCGTGTACAAGACGTACGCCTCGAGCGCCAGCGTCTGGGGCTCCATCCTCTACCTCCTCTCGCAGGTCCTCACGCAGGTGCTGCAGGTCGGCCGCGACTGGGTGCTCAAGGCGTGGGCGGGCGCCGAGCCGGGCCACGACAAGTACTACCTGACCATCTACGCCATCATGGGTCTCTCGGGCAGCCTGGCGATCTGCGTCGGCCCGCTCATCCTCTACGCCTGGCTGGTCATTGCCAGCGCACGGCGCCTGCACGACGGCCTCTTTGCCAGCATCCGCAGCACGAAGCTGCAGTGGTTCGAGAACACGCCGACGGGCCGCATCCTCAACCTCTTCTCCCGCGACGTCAACACCGTCGACGAGGTGCTGCCGCGCGTCATCAGCTCGGCGCTGCGCACCCTCATGGTCGCCGTCGGCGTTGTCTGCGTGGTGACCTACTCGGTGCCGCCGTTTGTGCTCGCCATCATCCCGCTGGCGTACGCATACTCGAAGGTCATGAAGGTGCGTTTCGACGTGGCGAGTGTACCTCGCATCTGCTTACATGCCAAGCACAGTACTACCTGGCGACATCGCGCGAGCTGAAGCGCCTCGACGCCGTGTCGAAGAGCCCCATCTTCACCTGGTTCCAGGAGTCGCTCGGCGGCCTCTCCACGATCCGCGCCTTCAACCAAGAGGGACGCTTCATCGCCACGAGCGAGGCACGCGTCGACCGCAACCAGATGGCATATTTTCCCGCCGTGTCGTGCAACCGCTGGCTGGCGGTGCGCATCGAGTTCATGGTGAGTGGCCCGGAGGCTTGCTGCACAGAGCTAGCGGCTGATCCGTCTCTCAGGGCTCGTCGATCATCCTCGTCGCCTCAACGCTGGCCGTGTACCTCATCACGAGCGGCTCGGGCCGCATCGACGCCGGCCTCGTCGGCCTGATGCTCTCGCAGGCGCTGAGCACGACGCAGACGCTCAACTGGCTCGTGCGCTCCGTCAGCGAGGTGGAGCAGAACATCGTCTCGGTCGAGCGCATTCTGAGCTACAGCAACCTCGAGGCGGAGCAGTACGAGGCCGCCTACACGGTGCCCGCGGAGCAGCAGCCGCCGAAGGGCTGGCCTGGCAAGGGCAAGGTGGAGTTCCGCGGCTACTCGACGCGCTACCGCGCCGGCCTGCCGCTGGTGCTCAAGGACCTCAACCTCAGCATCGCGCCGGGAGAGAAGATCGGCGTCGTGGGACGCACGGGCGCTGGCAAGAGCTCCCTCACGCTGGCGCTCTTCCGCATCGTCGAGGCAGCGTCGGGCGGGCTGTTTATCGACGGCGTCGACTGCAGCAAGGTCGGCCTGCGCGACCTGCGGCGCGCCATTGCCATCATCCCGCAGGATCCGCAGCTGTGGGAAGGCAGCCTGCGCGACAATCTCGACCCCACAGGCGAGGCCGACGAGCCGGCGCTGTGGGCTGCGCTGACGCAGAGCGGCCTCAAGGACTACGTCAACGGTCTTGATGGCCGCCTGGACGCTGCGCTGACCGAGGGCGCCAGCAACATGTCTGCCGGCCAACGACAGCTGCTCTGCATTGCGCGTGCACTCCTGCGCGGCTCGCGCATCCTTGTGCTCGACGAGGCGACGAGTGCCGTCGATCTCGAGACCGACGACGTCATCCAGAAGGTGCTGCGCGAGATCCGCGGCACGACGACGATCACGGTGGCGCACCGCATCAACACCATCCTCAACGCCGACCGCGTGCTGGTGCTCGCAAACGGCGCCGTCGAGGAGTTTGCGTCGCCGAAGGAGCTGCTCGCAGACGAGAAGAGCCAGTTCAGAAGCATGGCCCTCGAGGCGGGCCTGCTGGACCAGGACGACGAGGAGCCGCAGCAGCAGAAACAGGGCTGAGGCGAGACGGAAGACTGCATCACCCCCCGCATCCCTAGACTGCTCCATCACATAACTTATCGACGGCCTGCAGCAGATTAATGCGATGCTACTGGATACAAATACAGCGCTGAAAAGCGAGCGTTGAGGAGTCATGAGCAGTGCGCTCGCGTCACCGGCCGGCGAGATACAGGCGCATGATGCGGGCAGCTTCTTGTCCGATCGCCAGCACTGTGATTGAGACGGACGGTCGAGGCGAGAAGTCAGCGGCTGCGCTATATGAGAGAGCCGGCGACGGACGGCAGGCTTGCTGGCTGGCATCGGCCGCGCGAGAAAGGCAGGCCGGACCCAATGGTCCCAGCTCTGCTGCAGCTGCAGCTGCCCTCACGACCGGAGAATGGCTGCCCAAAGATGAGAGGCACAGCTGATCCACGCGGCGCATGTCCGTTGCGGGCCCTCCCAAGCGCAATGGCGTGTGCCACCTGGTCACCTTCTTGCCCCGCCCTTCTTCGTCCCGCTCGACGAGCACTCACATTCTCTCTCCCCCTCCTCCAGCCCCTTCAAGAAGTTGACCATCTCCTCGCCCATGCCCACGCCCGCGCCGCTGCCAAAGCCCGGCGCGTCTGGATCTGTCGTGGCGCCATTCGCGCCGCCTCCTGCGCTGTCTGCACCGCCGCTGCCCGTCGCACTGCCCGCTGGCTCGCCATGTGTCGCGGCGACGCGCCCTGCAGCAGCCAGATGCTGTGCGGCGGAGAAGATGGGAGGCAGTCGAAGGGTGTAGGTCTGCGATGCGCGGGTCGTGAGATGGAGCGTTGAGCGTAAGACAAGACGCGCAGACGCACCTTGGAGAGCAGCTCCTTGAGCTCGCTCGACTCTGCGCTGCTCGCCGTACGCCCACGTCAGCAGCTGCTATCATGCCCTGCAAGCGCTGAGCCACTCACAGGCCGCCCAGTCTCGCCCCAACGGCATACCACCACGCGCCCAGCCCCCTCAGCTGCACGCTCCTCGCGTCCGCCGCCAGTGCATTCCTGACGCGCGCAGCGTACGGCCGTGGGAAGGAGATGTCGATGAAGTCATGCAGCGTGAGGTACTCGGCCATCCAGAAGGGCAGCTCGAGGCGCGTGCCGAGGCGGATCAAGGACGGGTCGTCCTCCTCGGGCGCCTGCAGCTTGTCCGAGGCGGCGGAGAGGGCGGGCGTGGCGGAGACGCCCTGCCCGGCGAGGTGGCCGAGGCCGGGCGCGTCGATCTTGAAGTGGCAGGGCAGCTTGAAGGACTCGCAGACGATGGAGGAGAGGTCCCAGTAGGACTGCTGCATGGTGCGTGCGGCGCGAGGGTGGAGGAGCGGAGGGAAGGAGCAGGCGAGAAGCACGCGCGCGCCACTGTACGCGTGGCCGACGCGTGACGCGTGTCGGTGTTGCTCTCGCCGCGCGCGCGTTGTGCTTTGCCGCAGCGTCCTTCCCGCTCTCCACAACCCCGCGACCTGCCGCAGCCGCCGCAGCATGGCGCCGCCCCTCTGGGCACAGCATGCTCTCTCTGCGCCCCCACAGGCCTCTGCCAGCTCACACGCCAGCAGCAGCAGCGGCTGGCAGGCCTTCGAGCCGCTGCTCCCCGCCTCTTCCTCCGCCGCGCCTCTCTCTCGACCCGCACAGCGCTCTCGGCCGCGCTCCTTTCGTCTGACCTCGCCCGCCGTCGATGCGGCCAGCACGCGTCTCTCGCCCGCCGATGTCGTCACGCTGGTGCGTGCACTGCGGCTGGCGCATCTCGAGCCTGGGCCCGTCCCTGCTGCCGCTCCAAGCGCAGCCGATGCCGTCTACGAGCCAGGTGCTGCAGCGACAACGGCAACAGCCACGGCGGAGGCGCTCTTCATCGAGCTCGCGACCTGCATGTTGCCCTCGCATAGCGCCGCCTGGCTGCTCGACGTCGTTCGACAGTCCTCCTGGGCGCCTGCGTCTTCGCACAGCAGCGCCAACGAGCTCCTCATTCCAGCACACGCGACGCTCTCTTCGCTTCCAGTCCGCCCGCGCACTAGCGAGACGGGCAAGCGCGAACGCAAGCCGGCCGCACCGCCGGGCCTGGCGCCGGCATTGGCGCCTGTGCCCGTGCGCATGCGACGCCCGTACGGCAGTGGCAGAAGCAGCGGCGGCATGGCAGTAGAAGGCAAGCAAAGCTCAGAAGAAGCGGAAGTCGAGCGTGCCCTCTTGGCCTCTGCCGATACGTCGACGGGCGGAACGCAGCAGCCCGAACGAGCAGCCGAGCGAGAGAAGCGTCGGCGTGCCTCTGGGCGTCGACCAGCTGGCCCCCGTCCGCAGCCGCCTGTCGCACCAGCAGATGGACAGCCCTCGACGGAGTACGAAGCTGCATTGCGCGTCTATGAGAGCGCGATGGAGACTTGGACACGGCGCAAGGCGCGAGAAGAGAGGAGAGCGAAGCGGAAGGAGGAGCGGAGGCGGAGGGAAGAGAGGGAGGAACACGCGCTGAGGCTCCAGAAGCAGGCGCCCGACGACGACGAGGACGAGTGGCAGGACATCTCGTCTACCTCCACTGCCCAGCCACATGCCTCCACCTCGCATACCGAGGCTCCGCCGCTGCGTGCGTCGCAGAAGCCATTCAACGTCTACAATGCGCTTCCGGCACACATCAAGGCCAGACTGCCGAAGCGCGGGCGCGGAAGACCGTCGAATGAGCAGCGCAGAGTGTGGGAGGAGGAGCTGTTCAAGTACATGACGGAACAGGGAGAGGAGGTCAAGGGAGAAGGCTTTGCAATGTCTGGCGAGAGAGAACGAGCGCTCAACGCGACCTCGACACACGAACGGCGGCGCGACGAGGTGCAATCGGGCCACGACTCCTCAATGCTGCAGGTAGCGAACAGCTCTTCGCGCGCCCACAGCTGGACGTCGGCTTCCCGCACTTCCGAAGAGGTCGTCTCGGGCCCGGAGTCGGGCTTAGGCTCGGGCTATGGCTCGGGCTACGGCACGCCCTTGGGCGTCGCCGGCGCCGCCGACTTCGACGCGATGCCGCGGCCACCGCCTTTCGCGTCAGGGCATCTGCAAGAGCCGTGGCAGCATCATACGAGCGCAAGGAGCGAGAGCACACCTGCGAGCTTCGCCAGTGCACACTCCGGGTCTATCGAGCCTGCGTTGGATCCTAGTCTGGAGGACGCACCGACGTCCCAGGTGGAGGAGGCGTCACTGAGCGCCGCCGCGGCGTCCGCGGCCTTGACGCCGGGCCAAATGAGTGCGCCAGCACCAGCCGCGGCGGACGTGCACCTTCATCAGCAACCACTACAGCAGGAGGAGCCGCAGATCTACAACTTCGCGGCCATGGCATCGTCTCCGCGAGCTGCTGCGTCCGCTGTCTACTCTTCAGTCGAGCAGCCGCCGGCACACTTCTTTGCCGACTCCACGTGGCGCGCGACGACGCCCGATGCGCCGATGCCTGCGCCTCTTCCTCCGCTCGGTGGAGGCTGGACTTCGTCGCCAATGCGAGCCGTCACGCCCGAGCCTCCAGCGCCGTGGCTCTCTCCCGAGTACGCCGCACCGCAGCCGCGCTTCACGCCGCTGCGTCCTCGACCCGCACCGCCCGTCTTCGCACCCGCGTCTGCGGCTAGCTTCGGCTCGCCTCGCGTCAGGAGCAGGAGCAGCAATAGCAACAGCAGCGGCAGCGGCAGCGCGCTCACTACGGCACAGTGGCTTGCTAGAGCGACGCAGATGGCACAAGAGAGCGAGATGCCTTACATCCACGCCGTCGATGACCAGCGCATGGCTGCGTCGAAGGCCCTGGCCGGCCCCTCCTCCCCGCGAGCACATCAGCGCTGGTCGGGCGCGCAGGAGCCGCCGGCGAAGCGTGCGAAGGGACGGCCTCCCAAGCAGCATTCTCTCGACGAGACAGAGGCGAAAGAGACGGCCTCGCGGCTGCCGCTCCTCCCGAATGCGCGAGACGGCGTGGCATCGCAGGCCGGCACCTCGAGCGGCACGTCTGCCAGACGACCTGGACGGCCATCGGGCAGCCGCAAGCCTGCCGCAGCTGCTCCAGCCGTGCCTCTGCGCGAAGTGACGACGCGCAGTCGACGTGGCGGCCCGGCGCCGAAGATGCCGCTGCCTACCTTCTGGCTCACGCCGGCGCAGCGTGCCGAGAAGGCGCGCCAGCGGCGCATGGCTGCGCTCGCGCAGGTGGCGGAACAGCCGGTTGGCGAGACAGCGGAGGGAAGCGAGAGAGAGAAGAGCCCGTCCATGCAGGAGATGCTGGCGAGCTTTGCGGAGGAGATCAATGCTGAATAGCGACGTGGCAATGCATTCATACCCAGCGTGAGCATGTGAGAGGCCGGCTTAGCGTCGCCCGTCCCTGTCCCGATCCTTGCGCGAGTAGTCGCTCCTCTCCTCGCGTCTCCGCTCGCCGTCTCGATCTCCCCGATCATACTCCCTGCGTGGCGGCGGCGGGTGTCGCTCATCGCGATCCCTGGCGTAGGAGCCGCCGCCCCTGCGTCCATCGTCCCGCTCCCGCTCCCGCTCTCGCTCATAGCCCCGGTCCCGGTCTCGCCGCTCGTACCTGTCGTCCCGCCGCGGCGACCGTTCCCTCTCTCTGCGCTCGTAGCCTGAGCGCTCGCGGTCGCGCCTGTCTGGCGGCGGCGGTGCGCGCTCGTCAAAGTCGAACACCATCGCGCCGTTACCGCGGCCAGCGCGATACGTATCTCGTCTCGCACTCGCTCCGCCGCTTGCGCTGCCTGCTCGTCCGCCAGCGCCGCCGCCGCGGCCGGCCAGCCAGCTGGCGTGCAGCTTGCCGACGGACTGCGAGAAGTCGACCCAGATGCGCCGGTCATCGACGAGCACGTTCTGCATCTTGAAGTACGCCTGTGCTCGCGGTGTCAGCGGGAGGACGGTCACAAAGAGAAAGCTACGCACCTGCTCGGCCTGTGACTGCTCGTCGAACTCAATGAATGCATACTGCAGCGAGTCGCCGGACTGCGAGCCACGAGCAGTCAGTGAAGGTGCCTCGCCACAGCTTTACACCACTCACCTTGCGGTCCCTGATGACTTCGCAGCTGCGAATCTCTCCGAAGCGGCCAAAGATGAGGCGCAGATCCTCGCTTCGCGTGACCGGGTTGAGCTTGCAGACGAAGAGGATGTTCTCGGGCGGGCGCACATCGGCGTGCGCAATGTCGCCGACCATCTCGAGCGTCAGCGCCGCAGCAGTGGCATCGGCCTTGCGCTTCGTCTCGTCGTTCTCGTCGGGCAGAGGCGTTGGAGACCGCGAGAGCGTGGCGGCAGGACGCGCGGAGAGAAGCAGCGAAGGCGTCGGAGAGGGCGTGCGTGAGGGAATGGCGAGTCCAGCGAGCGGCTCGACGGGGTCATCTGAGCGCACGATCGTCAGCTGCGCGAATAAGCGCAGCGCTGTGCCAGGCCGCACACGCGCCGCAGGCGCGACATGCCCGCGCAGCAACCTCGCTGACTCTAGCTGCTCCACCAGAGCACGCCGCTCGGCCCCTCACCGCACAGCGAGGCAGCCTGCTCCCTTACACACATGCCTCGCAGCGCACTCACCGAGCACCTCGACATGCCTGATCCGAATGTCTCTCAGTGGCCGACCCTCGCCGTCGCACAGCTCCTTCTCAATCTTCTCCATCGTGCCGCCCTCCTCCATGCCCTCGACGACGCTGCCGATGAGTGCATGCTTGCCGTCCAGACTGTCCGCTGCGCCCAGTACCACGAACCACTGAGCGCCTGCCACTCTCCGGCTCTCGGGTCCCGTGCATGCCAGGCAGACGTCGCCGCGCCGCAGTGGCTTCTCGGAGCGACGCGGCTCGAACACTGCGGCTCCGCGAGCGCCCTCCACGCGGGCCCAGGACGAGCGAGAGTCGGTAGCGCTGCGAGCGGCGTTGCCTGGCTCGCGCAGGCCGGCCTGCACGAGAAAGCCGGGCAGCAGGTGGTGGAAGAGCGTGTTGGAGTAGGCCTTGCTGCGGCAGAGGTGCAGGAAGTTCTCGGCTGCCGGCGGCGAGAGCGCGGCGTCGAGGTCGATCTGCAGCGGAAGCGCAGTCAGCAGCGGTGGAGGCGGCGAGCAGCACAGCAGCACGCACGACGAGATCGCCGAGCGACGTCTCGAGCAGCACGGACATGCTTGAAGCAGGGACGCGCGGTGTGGTGGAGGTGCGGCAAGAGGCGCGCCGTGCGCCTCATGCGAAGACACCGAGTGCGGCGCAGCGCGCGGCCACGCTCGCCGCGGCCGTGCAGGGGGAGCACCGGCCTCGCTGCCTCGCAACACCCGCTCCTCACGAGCAAGGGCCATTGGTGGCATGTCGAGGCACGTTCGCAGGGCAAGACGCTGCATTACATCGACAATATCCACTACAGCGGCGCGCAGCTGCGCCTCGGCAGCGCAGCGCCGCCGCGTGCAGGCACAAGAGAGGGAGAGTGAGGCGTCGTGAACGGGATGGGGAGCTGCGCACGTGTCGCGCGTGTATGGAGCGGGGTGGAGTGTGTGTGTGGTGTAGAGGGTCATCGTTGAGGGAGCCGGAGAGGGAAGGAAACCGCGATGCGATGCGAAAGGGAGACGGAGCCGACGAGAGGAGAGGCGCGAGAGAGAGGCGGCAGTGATGGCTGCCAGAGCCTGAGAGAGATGCAGAGAGACGGAGCGGGAGACGATGCTGGCATGCTGGTCGCCGCCTAGTCGACGCGCATCGGGCTGCCCGGCACGACGCCCGCCTTGCCGGCGCCGTCGACGGGCTCGTGGCCGTGGGCGTCGAGGAACTGCGAGTGGATGCCGGGCGTGGCGCCGCCCTTATTCCGGCGGCCCAGCAGCGTGGCGTTGCCCATGTTGAGCTCGAAGCCGCGCTTGCGCCCGCTGCCGCGATCCCGCGTGCCGGCACGGCCGTCATACAGCGCCGCCTCGGCCAGTTTCCGGTCGGCGCCGCCGCGGCCCTGGTACTGCTGCGCCGCCTGGGCCTGCTGCTCCTTCTCGCGGCGTCGCTGCTCGATGGCGCGTGCTGCCTCGTCGCCGTGCTGCTTGCGCACCGCCGCCGTCGCCGCCTCGGCGCCGCCGTCCTCGTCCTCCTCGTTGAGGCCGACGAGCGGCGCCTGGCCGGCGGGCCCGCGTCGCCGGGCGCCCTCCTCCTCCATGCGGTGCACGGCGTACGTGACGTCGAAGGCCTCCTTGAGCTGGTTGATGCCGGGCGACATCATGCCCGCGCGCTTCTTCATGCTCTGCAGCAGCGGCGAGTCGAGCGGCATCTCGCTGGCCTTGGCGAGCGCAATGTCGGCCGTGTCGAGGCTGGGCACGGCGTCGCGCACGTTGCACCACGGATGTGCGAGGAACTCGTCGATGGTGAAGCGCTTCGACGAGTCGACGCAGAGCAGGTGCGTGATGAGGTCCTTGCTCGACTCGCTGATGTCGTCCCACCAGGGCGAGAGGAACGTGTAGTAGCCCTTGGCCACCTTCTCCGTCAGCACGCTGATGCTCTCGTCGTAGAACGGCGGGAAGCCGCAGAGCAGCGTGTAGAGCACGCAGCCGAGCGCCCACATGTCGACGCTCTTGCTGTAGCGCTCGTCCTTGACAATCTCGGGCGCCGTGTAGCCGACGGTGCCGCACGGCGTCATCGTGCTCTCCTCCCACACGACCTTGCTCAGGCCAAAGTCGGCAATCTTGACGCGGCCGATGCCGCCGCCGCCGATGCCCGGCATGTACTCGCCCTCGTCCTCCTTCTCCTCGTCGTATGGCCGCGCCTTGTTCTGCTTCGACGGGATGATCTTGATCGACTCGAAGAGCAGATTCTCGGGCTTGATGTCGCTGGAAGAGGACGTGTCAATGGCATGCGGCGGCGCCACCTCTCGCTGCCACTCACCGGTGCACCACGCCGCGCTCCTCGTGCAGGTAGCGGATGCCGTGGGCGACCTGCAGAATGACGTGCCGTGCGAGCGCCTCGCTGAAGTACGTGAGCTTGACGATCTGGTGGAAGAGCTCGCCGCCCTCGAGCAGCTCGAGCACGAGGTAGTAGTGGTCGCGGCTCTCGGAGAAGTCGAGCAGCTGCACGATGCCGGGGTGCTTGAGGTTGCGCATGATCTGCACCTCCTTGAGGATGTTCGCGCGCTGTGGGAGGGGAGAGAGAGGGCACAAGGGAGGAGAAGAGAAGAGAAAGAACGACGGCGCAGAACAGAAACAAGTGAAAGGAAAGGGCAATGCAAGAGAGAGAGGAGAGAAAGCGCGTCAGAGCCGGTGGATGGGGAACAGTGCCACGACGAGCGAGGCGGGGGCGTGCGCAGCGGGCGGACGGGGGCCACGCAAGCGCTGTGCAAGCCTCTCCCGGCGCCTCGGTCAGGAGCAGCTGCGTGCGGCACGACGCAGCCGGCGGCCGGGCCCTGCCCACGAAGGGCGGGCCCAGGCACGCCTGCCACGTCGGCGCACCAGCATAATCTCGCGACGTGTCTGCGCACAGCCCCGCACCGCAACTACGGCACATGCACGAACCTCTGTGACACGGTTCTTCTTGCGGAACTGCGGGTCGAGACGACCGTCATTCTGCTAGAGAAGGCGTGGCGCAAGAGAGAACGATGGAGTGGCGAGTCGCAGGCGCAAAGGAAAGAGGCAGGACGGGTGGGCGGGTAGAAAGAAAGGAGGCAGAGACGAAGAGTAAAAGGTGGCGAAGGGGTGGGGTGGCGCAAAGCGTGAGCGACGAGTTTGTGGGATGAGGAAAGCCGGGAGCCGCAGAAAGAGGCGCCAGGGCGCCAAGTTGAGGACTTGCGCGACGCTGGCCGACCGGATGCCCGCCAGGGCGCGCTGCCTGCTGGCCGCCGGCCGGGTGCATCGGCGAGTCGCAACAACGAGCAGGCAAAAAAGAAGAAGAGGAGATGAAAGCGCAGACGGACGGATGCAGAGGCCAGACACGTGCGGAGCGACTGCCGCAGCAGAGCCGATCCTTCTCGCCACCCCAGCCCTGGGCCTCAACCACGCGCGAGCGGACGAGCAACTCACCTGGTTGGAGTTGAGCTCGTACTTGCGCACGACCTTGATGGCCACCTTCTGGCCCGTCTTCTTGTCGCGCGCCTTGTACACGTTGGAGAAGGCGCCGCTGTGGAGTGGCAATCAGCGCGTGCTCGCCAGGACTGGCCCCGCGCAGCTCTACTCACTCTCCCATCTTGCAGAGCAGCGTGAAGCGCTCCTCGAGGCCCTCGTACTTCGGCATCTTCTCCGACGCGAGGCGCTCTTCCTCGACGATCTTGCTCGACTCGGGGTTGAACTGCGCCGAGTTGCCCTGGAAGCCGGCGGCGTGGTGCGTGGAGGAGCCCTGGTGCACGGCGTCGGCGAGGGCCGACTGGGCGACGCCCGAGTTGCCGCCGCGCGTGCCGCTGGCGTGCGTCGAGGCGCCGGCCTTGCTGGCGGACGACGAGGCAGAGGGCGCCGAGATGGTGCCCTTGGCGTGCGAGGTGCTGGACGAGGTCGTCACGCCGCCGACTCCGGGCTCGAGGTGGTCATGAAGCAACGGACCGTCGCCGTGGCCACCGTTGGATGCAGTGGCGCGCATGTCTTGAGACTGCGAGGGGTGTGTGCTGTCAGCCGCCGTGCGGGCCTGATTAGGCAGGAGGAGAACATATCGGCGGTGCCTGAGGTGTCATCATGGGCGAGGGGCCGTGCCGGCAAAGTGCCCCGCCGGACCCGCGGTGCGCCTCGGCAGAAGGACTCGCACCCCAACATAGCACACCTCTTTCCCTCTCGGCGCAGAACTCACGTGTGCAGCGGGCGAGGCCTGGGCAGAGGCGTCTTCGTTGCGGCCTGCTTTTCCGTGGCGGAGGATGTTCTTGAACTGGCCAAAGACCATGGTTCACGTCGGCGAGCCGCGCAGGGTTCGCTGTGCGGCGGGAGAGAAGGAGCTGGACACGGAGCAGCGGCTAGACGAGCTGAAAGTGCGGCGGTGCGAAGAGAGGAGAAGCTGATGAGACGCAGCAGCGGGCGGCGGTGCGATCACGAGCTGCAAGTGGAGCAGCGAGGGTCGAGAGGAGCGCGCAGATGCTGGAGCAGAGAGGCACGCGCGGGCAGGCGACACGGAGAGCGCGGCGTCGAGATGGAGCGTGTGGTGGAGTGTGGTGTGCGGTGTGCAGGAGCTCGGGAACGGGCGAGAGGGCCGTTCGGGGCTGGAGATGGTGGTGGAGAGGGTCGGGCCGGCGCACGCTGCAGGCCAAGCAGAGGGCCGGCCGCGGCGCGCGAGGCGCCGCGCAGCCATGACGCGCGCTGCTGCCGCCGCCTCGCGCTCGCTGCAGGTACAGCGCAGGCGCTGCTCAACACCGCATCGGCCCTCCCAGCGCAGCCAGCTCCAGCTCCAGCCCCAGCATGCAGCTCTCTCCACCCTGCTGAGAGCGCAGCGGAGGCGGCAGCCGCCTTGCAGCGCTGAGTCTGTCAATTCGCCGGCGGCAGCGCAAGGGCAAGGGCGAGATGCAGCGCTGCAGCACGCGGCGCGGTGACGATGCAGCGCCGCGGCGCTCGGCGGCAGCCCGGCAGCAGCACGGCACGGCAGCACGGCAGCGGCGGCGCTGCTACGGCCGTCCATGATCTCATCGAGCGGAGTTGCCCGACGTGGGCGCTCGTCCGGCGTGGCTGCAGCGCTCGTGCTGCGCTTCTGCCGCGCCCAACGTCGCCGGGGCTGGACCCCAGCGGACAGCGTCACCACCTCCGCGCTGCGCAGCACACCTGCTCCGCTCGAGCACCGGTGCGCTGCGACGTGTGCTGGTGATGGAGCCTCGAGCGCGCACGAGCGTCCGCCCCACTCGGCAGCGGGGCCGGCCGCGCCGCAACGCGCAGCTCCCAGCGGACAGCCTTGACGAAGCCGGGACGATGCGTTTGGAAGGTGCCGCAGCACGGCGGCAGGTGCAGCGAAGCAGCAAGGCGCTGCTTGCTGCGTGCAGCATGCATGCGTGCGTGCATGGCGGTGCATGCTGCGCTTGGTGGATGCTCAGCGCAGCGTCGCCCACGCACGAGGAGCAGCCCCGGCATGCAATGCAGGGCAGCTCGCCGAGCGGCAGCTCCCTCCCGGCCAGACGCTGCGCAGACCCGCGGCGCAAGCATGAAGCTTGAGGCGCCTATCGTCGTCGTCGACGACGCCGTCAGCTGTGCTGCGGCTCGCTCCCACCCGCATCGCCGCAGGGACTTGATCCGCCGCCGCATGGCCAACTCGCCGTGCGAACCGGCAGCGCGAGGAATCGCATGATGCGGCGCGGAGAGCGGCAGCGCGAGGCCAGCGCGCGTCATCCGCCGGCGCTTTTCCCAGCAGCGCCGCCCCCTGCGTCATCCAGGCGGGTGATCGGGGCAGCGCAGCCACGCCCGCCGTCACGGCCGCAAGGAGCGCCCCGAGATGACGCCTCGCCTTGGCGGCGGCTCAAGCTTCAAGCGTCGAGGGCCTCGCCTCATCCAAGGCGCAAGCTCGAGGGGCCAGCGCCGATGAGGCGGGCCGTGCTGCTAAATGCGAACACACGCGGCGCAGGGGCGCAGCCAAAGTGGCCGGCCCGGAATAGCGCGCCATGGCCCAGCTGCTCTCCTCCTCGAGGGGACGCTCTCTTAGACAGGTCAGCGCCGCAGAGCCGGGAGAATGAGCATCGTTAGCGAGGATGTGCGTGTGTGGGTGTGAGATGACATGTGGGAGCAGGCAAGGTGACAGGAGAAGGCAGCAGGACGGTGACAAGTGAGGAGGACCGTGTATGACGCGGAATGCAGCGTGGAAAGGGGTGTGGGACAGCGCCACGGTTAGCAGGAGTGGCTGCGCAAGGGTTGGACGAGACGAGGAGAGGACAACGACGAGCACGAGACGTTCAGTCGACCTCCTCGTCGCTCATGTCGCGCTTGACGTGCTCCTGGCTCGGCGGCGTGCGGAGCAGGTCGAGCTCTCCCATGCGGCCGGCCTCGCGCGCCAGCTCCTCGAGACCGCGGCAGCCAGCCTCTCGGCTCTTGAGCATGTCGCGGAAGTTGCTCAGCACGCCGACGAGGCCCGGCGAGGCGTTGCCGTCGGCCATGCAGGGCCCGTCCGTGTTGCGGCGAGGCGGTGCTGCCTCCTCGGTGCGCAGGCGCTTGGCGTACGACATGGGCATGTCCGTCTGCCGGCGTTGCTGCAGGCTCGGCTGTGCAAAGGCGGCGACGTTGGACATGTATGCGTCGGAAGGGCGTGCGGCAGCGGCCTCGTCGCGCTCGCCCGAGATGCGGCGCGCCTCGGCCAGCGCACCTTCGGCCCACGCCGCTTCCGAGGCGTAGAAGTGCGCCCAGGTGGCCGGAGCATGTTGCCGCGGAGCAGCTGCGACGGGCGGCGTAGAGACGGCGACGGCCGAGGGCATCTGACTGGAGGTGCTGGCGGCCAGCGGCGAGATGTGCTCCGAGTCGCGGCGCTCCACGTGGTGCAGGAACGGCTGGAACCGGGGCGCGGGCGCTGCCGGCAGCTCGGTGAAGCGCTCACTGTCGTCCTCCTCGAGCGCATCATGCGAGCGCTTCAGCGGCGAGGCATCGGCGCGGAACATGTGGCTGGCAAAGACGCCGTGCGACATCGGCGGCTGGCCCTCGTGGCGCTGCGTGAAGAAGGCGGCGCGTACGCGAGTCGTGCGCGGCGGCGATGGCGGGCGGGAGACGGCGGCCAGCTGCTCGACGGGCGGCGTCGACGGTGAGGCAGACACGAGGCGCGAGAGGACGAGCTTGGCGATGGCGCTGCGCTGCGCGGCCGAGAGCTTCACCTTGCTGCCGCTGTTCCGCGACGAGCCAGGCGAGCATGCGCTGGCGGCGCCGGGCGTGTGCGGGCTCGGCGCCGACGAGGGCGCAGACGAAGAGAGCGGCGAAATGTCCATCAGGTGTGGCTGGCGCTCAGCGACGTGCGGCAGCAGCGAGGCGAGCATCGGCGCTGCGCTACCTGCCGGCGATCCAGGCGAGGAGAGGGACTTGCGGTGCGGCAAGTGACGTGCCTTTGTGCGCGGTGAGGCGGCCGCGGCAGCCGATGTGCTCGCCTCAGCACCGCCGGCGTAGGCGTAGGCGTACTTCTGCAGCGGCGAGCTGCGTCGTGGGCCGACGTCGTGGCGCGCCAGGTCGGGCGCCGAGCCACGGCGAGAGCGCGGGGCGGTGCCGGCAAAGGCGCACGGCAGGACCTCGCTTTGGCGGCGCGTGGCGAGCGGCGAGGACATGATGGTGAGTGGAGAGGTGGAGTGAGGCAGAGGAAGTAGAGGGAAGGAGGGAGATGGTGATGAGGGAGATCCGGGAGAGCGGTAAAGGTGCTGGGACAGACGGCAGTGCACGGCAACAGCACGGAGAGAGAGGAGGCAGAGAGGAGCTGCGCCGAGAAGAGGCCGAGAGTCGAGTGCGCCTTTGGTTCGAGAGTGTGCGAGGCTCGAGGCTGAAGTCCACACAGCACGGCACCGGCAGCGAGAGGTGCGACGACGCCGGATCGATCGGGGAACGGGAAATGAGGGTGGGTGAGGAGAGGGGCAGAGGAGAGGCTGCAACAGCCGGCGGCCCATCGCAGCCGGCAGGGCATCGCATGTGGCGCCGGGCGGTGCGAGATCAGCACGCCACCCGCGTACCGGCGCAGCGGCAGGCCAGATGCAGCCGCGCGCGGCACGGCGCCTGTGTGCCTGGCCTCGCACGCGGGCTGAACCCTGAGGAGCCGAGCTGGGGGCCGGACACTGGCCCTGCGCCGCGCTCGGCACCGCAGCTGCACCGCAGCCGCGCGACAGAGCCTAGGCGCCGCGCCTGCGCTTGCGCTCGCTCTCGCGCGTCTCGCCCTCGCGCCTCGTGCTCGCCCGGCCGGCCCATCCGGCGCGGGCCCACCGCCGCACCGCCCGCCGCCGCCGCTTCCGAGCGCGAGGCAAGCACGAGGGCGAGCCTATCGATCTCTTACGCGGCCCGCTCCGCCGTCGGCATGCCACCTCGTCCTGCCCAGCCTGCCGCTGCGCTCTGGGCCATCGTCGGAGCCTTGCGCCCGCAGCTGGGGGTATTCCGGGCCTCTCTCCTCTCCGCTCGGCTGCAGAGAGAGAGAGGCTCAGCCGCGAGCACAGCATCAGGCGGCGCGCACTACGCCCTGAGGTCGCCCTAGCACCACAAACCGGCGGCATCGGAGCGTCGACTGCCGCTTGGCTCCTGCCGCTGCGGCTCTGGCTTGCGCTTCAATTGGCGCAGCAGCGCAAGCCCGAGCGGCAGAGCTGGGCCTTCCGGCTTCGAGCGTCGCCAGACTCGCAGAAGCGCCGTCGGAAGCGCGATATTTTGAGACCGTCGTGCAGCGCAGCCTTTGCAGCTGCAGCACAGCGGCATCGCATCTGCAGAGCCAGCACCAGCGAAGAATCGTCATGCTACCGCTGCGACTGCGAGCGCAGGCCCGTCTCGAAGATCCAGACCAGCTCAGGAACGCCTGTCTGGGCGCTGCGTCTGCAGCAGGCCGCGCCTCACCACGCGGCACGCCCACATGCGGCACGGAGAGCAGCCTCGGCAAGCAGCAGCGCAGATCCCGGGCCGGGCGGCAGATCGATGTCGTGCGAGCCTCTGGCCGCCGCCGCAGCGACCTGGGAGCTCCACGCTCGGCGTCGCAGCGAAGAGCGAGAATCAACCGAGCAGCGCACGCCGCAGCCGCATCTGCGCTGAGGCTGCCATGGCCGCAGCCACGGCTGGCGGAAGAGCCGAGCGAGGCGGGCGCAGCGCAGACGCAGCACGAGGCGAGGTCCTTTGGCGGAGGGCGCAGCGCTGCGGCGCTCGTGCAGACGCCGGCAGCTCGGGCAAACAGGCGGAAGCGCATCTCCCTCTTGCGCAGCAACGAGCGAGCGAGGGCGAGACGCTGCCGCTGCTTGAAGCGCCGACAGCGAGCGCCGAGAGAAGCCCGTGCCCGCTCTCGGCGCCGGAGATCTTTCGTGTGCGGCGGGAGGCGACGGCATGCGGGCGTGCTGGGGGCTGCCAGCCTGCCGCCTCTCTGGCTGACATGTCCTTGAGCAGCTTGACAGCGGCGCATCGACGATTGGATGCCTGTCTCTGGAAGCTCGGGTCTGCAGGCTGCTAAGGGCTGCAGCGCTGCTGGGCACACATCATCACTCGCGCCTCGTGCTCGCTGTCTCGAGACGGGAAGGCATGCCATTGATCTCTGCCGGTCCCTGTTGCTCCTCGCAGCCTTGTGCCAGCAAGAGGTCCTCCTCACTTGCTCGAGGTGATCTGAGCGCTACGCAGCCCTCCCTCACGCCGAGAGGCGTCCGGCACCTTGTCATCGCTGGGAGACGCATCGCCACCGTGCGCAGCTCGCGCCTTGCCGCAGCGGATCCCCGCTCATTTAGGCTGGACCCATGGTGCTCGCTGAGAGAAAGCGGACCGCGAAACTTCCGCCGCTGTGTTGTTCTCGCCCTCGGAGACATTTGGCACACAAAAGCTCACGGAACGCAACACTTGCGAGTGCAGCGAAGGGTGGCGCACGTCGGAGCGAGAGGGGGCGGATATGCATCGGCGACTGCCGCGGCGCGCCGCTCCCACAGCGCCAGCAGGCGCGGCCGTGGCGTGCGGTGCGGAGCTCTTCGGCGACTGCCAGACGTCCCGCGTGCAGCCTCCGCACATGCCGCCAAGCCGCCACCGCACCCTGAGCGTGCAGAGCGCACAGAGCAGGACAGCTGCACAGAGCGTCTGCGCATGGAGCCAGCCTTACAGTATCTGATTAGCGCGGGAGAGCGCCACTGGGCGTGGCCCGCCAGCAGCGGACCCTCGGCGAGAGGCCGGCTCTAGACCGCAGCGGGGCCCGCCATTTGCCTGCCCGCTCAGCGACGTCCGTGCGCACCAGCCCGCAACCAGCCAGCGCAAGGGACAATGCAATCGGTTCATAGGTCGTGAGGCAGAGTACATGAGGGAGCAGGCCAAAGCGGGAATGGGAGAAGGGAAGCGGAAGCGGAGCAGGCGCAGAGCTACGCGAACTGGTCCTCGATGTCGGCTGTGTCGCCGTCGATGTCGCCCGAGTCGCCAAAGGTCTGTGGGAGGACAGCAGGTCAGCACATTGCGGTCACGCATCGCACACGTCAGCACTCACAAGGAAGGCCGTCGGGCGGTGCACCTCGGCCCAGAAGGGCTTCGGCACGTCGAGCTCGTAGCTCGTCTTCATCGTCGGCGTCCACTGCGCGCTGAGCGAGAGGCCGTAGTTCCAGCGGCCCTCGGAATGCGCCGGCACGAGCGTGGTGCCGAGGATGCGGTCGGAGAGCAGCAGCTGGACGCGCTCGCCGAAGGCGCGGTCGAAGCCCTGCGGGTTGCCCGCGGCGTCCATGGCGCTCAGCTTGCGGCCCCACTCGAAGCCCGCGACGCTGAGCGAGTAGGCCGAGACGCTGACGGAGCCGGGCGTGAAGGCGCAGGTCATGCACACGCTGCTCGCGCCCCACTCCTGGTGCGCAGCCATGGTGCGCGCGTGCGTGACGACGTCCTCGGGCGCCAGGTAAGCCTGGTCCACCGCCTGCGTCTTGATCCAGCCGAGCGGCTCGAGGTCCTTGAGCATGTAGTCGTGCTGCGGCAGCTCGGCGGGCAGCTCGACGCCGTTGTTGCTGCCGCGCTGCGGCACCCACACGATGACCTTGATCTCTTTGACCGACGGCGCATCCGCCGGCGACGAGCCGTACATGTAGCCGGCGACCTGCGTGCGCAGGTCGGCGTTGCAGATGAACGTCTTGATGAGGTTCTTCGGGCAGACGTAGGTGATGGCGCCGGCGTCCTCCTTGATGTCCTCGTTGGAGACGTACAGGTGCTGGCAACGCAGCGGCAGGTTGGTGGCGCTGAGTGCGCGCACGCGCCAGTCGCTCTTGCTCGAGAAGGCCGTGTTGCCGTACGCCGTCGTTGTGGTGACGAGCAGCTCGTCGCCGTGCACGTTGGCCGTGCGCGTCTGCGTCGCCGTCACCTGCGCGGCGGCCTCGGCGCCCTTTTCGAGCTCCTGCATCTGCTGCCGCTGCACCGACGGCGCCGAGATCTCCATGCCGAGCAAGATGTCGCGGATCTCGCTCGACGTCAGCGACGCGACGTTGACCGAGTTGCGCTTGCCGTAGTCCTGCAGGATCAGGTCGCGCAGCGCAATCTCGACCTTGATCCACTCGTCGTCGGAGAGCGTCGGCCAGATGTGGTGCGGCTCCGTGACCGTGCTGACGTTGGGCCGCAGAATGATCTTGGCCTTCTCCTGGTTGACGTGCAGCGCACGCAGCAGCAGCAGGCAGCGCGAGAAGGCCGTGTACGACGAGATGCTCTTCAGCCAGTCGTCGTACAGCGAGTAGAGCACCATCTGCGGGCCCTTGGCGCCGAGGATCAGGTCGCCGAACTTCTCGAGCTTGACGAGCGCCTGGAAGGGAATCTGCAGCTCCGAGCCCTTGATGGTGATGTTCGGGAAGTCGAGCAGGTGCACCTCGAGCGGGTCGAGCATGCCCTTGCGCGTCACGATGATCTGCTTCGGCTGCTCCTCGACGGGCAGCGAGCGCACGAGCGACGTGACCTCCTCGGCGCACTTCCACTTCGCCAGCTGGCCGAGACGCTTCTGGCCCGCCCACACGGACGTGTGGATGACCTTGAGGAACACCTGGCCCGTGCGCGGGTTGAGGATGAAGATGGCGCCGTTGATCGGCTTCGTGACGAGGTTGCCCTCGAACGTGCGGTGGATCGTGACGCGGTACACGTTCGTGTCGTCGACCATCCAGATGACGGCGTTGCCGAAGAGCTCGGCGTAGTTGGCCGAGTTGAGGTACGGCTCCGTCGGCTCGGAGCTGTACAGCTGCAGGCCCTTGCGGATGCGCTCGCGCAGCACGTGCAGCGCCGGGTTCGCCTTCATGATCTTGGCCATGGCCTGCTGGATCAGCGGCTTGCTGCCGGGGAACCAGTTGCCGTATGCGCTGTGCATCGTGTACGCCAGGTCGACGGCGATGAGCGCGCCCGTCGCCGACGGGTAGATCGACGTGCTGTCCGACGAGTAGTCGAGGAACTTGGCGCGAGCATAGCGCTCCACATCGTGCGAGTCAAAGTCGCCCCAGCGCAGCTGCACGTCGAGCCACCACTGGAGAGGGAAGGATATCAGCAAGTGCGGCAGCGACGCCCACAGACAGCACGCACCTTGTTTGAGCTCGTGCCGTCGAGCACGTCGCGCGAGTCGGTCAGCAGCGACGGGCGGCTCATCGGCCACTTGTAGCTGGCGAAGAGCAGCACGTCGGCACAGCTCGAGTTCATCTTGTACGACTTGCGCGGGTGGATCGTCTCCTTCTGCACCGTCTCGATCTGCAGCGCCTCGAGCTCCTGGTCGAAGACCTGGCACAGGTCCATCACGACGGACTCGTGGATCTTCTGCCACAAGTGCGCGCGGAAGATCTGGATGTACGAGATCTTGAGCGTCGGCAGCTTGCCGTGCATGAAGATGCCCGTCAGGTCGAGCTGCACCTGGAAGCCGACGTAGACGTTGGCGCGGTTGAGCGTCGGCGACCACCAGAGCGTGAAGCGACGGTTGGGAATCTGGTTGAGACCCGAGCGCTGCGCGTTGGTGAGCTTCTTGCTCTTCATCGACTCCTCGAAGCCGCTGGCCTTCTCCCAGAAGAGACCCTCCCACGTCGTGAAGGCCGTCGCGGCGAACAGCGTGTGCTCGAGGATGCCCTCCACACCGCCGAGCGCGGCAATGACGTCCACGCGGTAGTTGTTGAGCGCCCACAGCTTGCCGTCGTGCCGCTGGTTCGTCCACATGAACGGCGAGTGGCGCAGCAGGCGGAACTGCGTGAAGTACTCGCGCAGGCGCCAGCTCTTGTCGTAGCTGAGAATCGTGCGGTCGCGCTGGAAGAGCGTGTTGATGCGCGGCAGGCCGCGGTCCCAGCTGTCCTCGAGGTCCTCGAGCGTGAGGCGGCGGTTCTGCGCGGCGGCCTCCTTGCGCTTCTGCGCGTACTCCTGCCACACGCGCGCGCTGTCGGTGAACTCGGCCTCCCACGGCTGGATGTAGCGATACAGGTTGGGAATCAGCTGGTCCTCCTCGTGCGTCATGCCGGAGCGGAAGTGCGTGATGCCCGTGTCGGTCTGCTTGCTCCAGCGCAGGTCGGAGGCCGGGATGAGGCAGTGCGACATGCTCAGCATGCCCAGGCCGCCGAGCTCCTTGGGCGTGTAGAAGACGGCCGGCGGGAAACGGCTCGGCATCTTGGAGTTGAGGCCCATCTTGACGCGCGTCTGGCACTTGTTCTCGGCAATGACGAGGTACTCGAGCAGCTCCGTCGTGTGCACGACGGCCTCGCGGTAGTACGTCATGAGGCTGATGAGCGTCGTGTTCCACTTGCTGATGATCTTGGCAAACGTCGTGGCGCCGGCGGCCATGAGCGTCTGGCGGATGCGGTTGCGGAACGCCTGGATGCCCTCGTCGGACACGCGCACGTACGCCTGGCTCGTGCGCTCGCCCGAGTCGGTGTGCACGAGCGACCAGACGCCGTCGCGCTCGTCGTGCACGTCGCCCGCGCGGCACTTGGGCAGGATGCGGATCTCGAAGTTCTGCATGCTGAACAGCAGGTTCGGGTTGTCCTTGCTGTACACGCTGACGAACGTGTCGTCCCAGTCGATCGTCGTGAGCGCGCGCGGCAGGCGGTTCTTGATCTCCCAGAACGCGGCGCGGCCGAGGTTTACGTCGTGCTTGATGAGGCGCATGCGGCAGTCGCGCGGCCAGCACTTGCGGTTCGCGTAGCCGATGAGGTTCGAGTTGTTCGGGTCCGGGTTGGCGCTGAGGTAGCGCTGGATGAGGTCGCGCGACTCGTCGGCCGTGAAGCGGAAGAAGATGTGGATGCGGTCGACGTAGCGCGTGTACATGCGGATCGGGTGCTTCGTCTCCGTCGCCGTGTCGCGGAACTGCAGGAAGCCGTTGGGCATCTGCGGCGGGCCGGCCATCTCCGACGCGCGCTGCAGGCCGAGCACGAGCAGGTCGAGGATGAGGCCGTAGTACTGGAACACGAAGCCCGAGAACTGCAGGCCGCGGATGAGGCCGTAGGCATTGACGTGCGCCATGTCCTTCCACACGATCGAGATGTTGTTCTTCGACGTGATGTAGTCGGCCAGGTTGGAGTCCATGATGAGGCGCAGCAGGCGGTTCAGCAGCGTCAGGTCCATCTTCTCGTACACGCGCGCCAGCGTCGTCTCCATGAGCACGTTGCACTGCCCCTCGGCCGTCTCCCACACGCCGTCGAGGTTGTTGATTGCGTTGCACCACTTGTACACCAGCAGCGGCGGCGGCTCCTGGTCGCTGGGTTTGATCCACGCCGGAAAGAGCTGCCGCTTGTCCGCCTCGTAGCAGAGGTACTGGTCCAGGTACGCGTCCGTGATCTTCTCGATCGGCTCGACGTCGTACGTGGGGATGAGCTTCTCGTACGTGTCGAAGAACTCGAGGCCGACCTCCTTGAAGGCGCGCTGCGTGAGCATCAGGCGCTTGATGCGCGCCAGCGTCTCGTGTGGGTTGTCGAAGGCCTGCTCGACGAGCGCCAGCTCCTCGCGCTGGTTCTGATTCAGGCGGCCCTTGACGCTGTACGCCTCCTTGAGCTTCTCGAGCGCGAGCACGAGGAGCTTCGTGTCGTGCTTGAAGTTGAGCGACGGGAAGGGGATCGGCTGGAAGCGCCGCGACTCGAGCCAGTGCACCGTCGACGTGTAGATCGCCACGGCCGACTCGGACGTGATGTAGGGGCCGTCCTTGAGGTACGAGTTCTGGCGCTCCTGCTCGGCCTTGAGGTAGAGGCGCGTGAGGCGGCCGAGGTTCTTGCGTGCGACCGTCTTGTCGACGGTGGCGCCGCGGCGGATGCGCTCGCGGTTGTAGTGCGCCACCGACGTCCACCAGTCGGACTTGCTCTTGATGTAGCGCAGGATCAGGTTCTCGACGGGCACGGGCATGCCGGGCACCTTCCACGGCACGTTGGCCTTCCAGCAGCGCCACGCCTCGGACAGGTGCTGCATGATCGTCTTAGCCTTGTTCTGCTTGACGCCGTCGGGCAGGTTGTCGAGAATGTCGTGCATCACCGCGGCACGCAGCTCGAGGTCGAAGTGCGACTCGACACGCTGCTTCGTCACCGTCGTCGAGTTGTTCTTGCTGTTGCGGCCCTCGAACTGGCGCGCCAGCAGGTTGCCAAGCCAGCGCTCGAGCAGCGGCGTGATGCCGCGCAGGAAGAACATCCAGATGCGCCACGACGGCGCCCAGAAGCCGACACCGGGGCCCTTGCCGACCGGCCCGCTGTTAAAGCGGTGGTAGATGACGTGCTTGAGATCCTTGCACGCGCGGATCTGCCGCATGATGCGGTACTTGTACCGGTACGCGCCCGTCAGCTGGCCGATGTGGTTGAACGTGAACTGCAGGCCGTCGGCGAGCTGGAAGGCATCGACGTTGCCCAGCCGGTACATCACGAAGCTGTCGACGACGAGCTTGACGAGGCGCGCCATCTCGCGCACAAGGTGGAAGGCGTTGCCGAAGCGCGACTTCTTGCGCTCCTTGGTCGTGAGCGTCTTGACGGGCTTGAGCGAGAAGTTGTGGTCGAGATGCAGGTACGTGAGGCCCTTGCGCGCGACGAGCAGTGAGAGCATGTTGTGCGCCTGCCGCTCAACCTGCAGGCCCGCCTCGACCCAGTCGATGCTCGTCTGCTGGAAGAACTTGGTGCCCTTGAGCTGCTTGAGCAGGTACTTGCGCGTGTGGCTCTTCGGCGGGCGCGAGCCGAGCGAGTTGGCGACCCAGCGCTTCAGCAGCTTCTGGTACGAGACGCGCGTCTTGACGGGCAGGCCCGTCGGCGCGTGCTCCTGCCACCACGAGCTGATGAGCGGAATGTCGAGCACGCGGCGCATGCGGCCCGAGCGCTGGTTGTACGGCGCCGGCGCCCACCACAGCGCGATGGCGTCGGCCGTGAGCTCCTGCGTGAGCTCCTCCTCGGCCAGGAACGGCGCGACGTGGTCGGGCAGCGTGAAGGCGATCTCGTCGGGCAGGTCGTCGTCGCCCTCGACGCCGACGCCGAAGACGTCGTCCTCGTGCGCCACAACCGGCTCGCCGTCGTCGAACACCGGCCGGAAGGCGTCGGCGTTGGCGAGGCCGCGGCTCGAGATGGGGTTGAGCACCGGGTCAAAGTAGAATGCCGGCAGGTCCGGGTCGTCGGTGCGCACGTAGACGTTGCGCGGCTCGTGGTACACGCCGAGGTGCACCGAGCGCGGGCGACTGTTGTACAGGTGCGGGAACGCGACCTTGTACTCGGTGCGGATCTGGTGCCGAATGATCACCTTGCGGATATCGTTGAACTCGTCCCAGTCGGCGTTGTGGTCCTCGACGTCGGTGAAGAGCGGCTCGAACTTGGGGCCGCCGGGGATGGCCACGTTGAGCGCCTTGGCCGTGAAGAAGCTCTTGTCGTCGAAGAGGTAGTGGTAGTTGCGGTCGCCGGCCGTGTCAAAGTCGCTGAGCAGCGTCTTGCCGATGCGGTGCAGCGCCGACATCTTCGGCAGGTCGAGCGACCACGTCTTGTACGAGGGGCCGTTGACGTAGCGCGGGTTGTCCGACAGCGGCTTGTGGTCGTAGAACCAGTCGATGATCGGCGCGTCCTCCTCCTCGTCGAGCTCGAGCTGGATCGCCTCTAATGGCTCGACGTCGAGCAGGTTGTCGCCGTAGTCCAACGGCGGCTCCTCGTCGTCGAACGGCGGGAAGCGCATGCGCTTGAAGTGCCGGCGGTCGCGCTTCTCGCGCCGCATCGCCAGCCACATGGCCGCCCACTGGGCGTGGTAGACTGGCTCGATCACGCGCGGAATCTGCGGGAGTGTGAGAGAGTGGCGCGGCATCGCAAGCTGTGCTGGCACGCACCTCATTGACAAACGAGATGGCGCCCGTGATGTGGTACAGCACCGGCACCTCGCGCACCTGCTCCCACGGCATCGGGATGTTCTCCAGCAGCTTGAGCATGGCGTGCGGCAGGTACTTGAGCGCACCGAGATGGCTGCGCTGCGGGTCAGCCTGCGCACTCCACAACTAGCCTTCAATCGACGCACACTCTCTTGTCGCTGCGGAACTTGCGGTTGCTCATGTCGCCGTGATCCTTCATGATCTTGCGCAGGTGCTCCGGCGGCAGCTCCTGCTTGCCCGTGTCGATGATGCCCGTCTTGCCCTTGCGGTCGCCGAAGCGCCGCGACTGCGTCTGCGTCCACTTCTTGGACTTTTGTGCGAGCGCGGCCGCCGAGAGCGACGACGGCTCGCCGGTCGACGGGCCGGCATGCTCATGCGGCGTCGCCACAAAGCCGGGCGGCGGCGGCAGCTTGGAGCTCGAGGCGCCGTTGGCCTGCCGGCCCTTGGGCCCCGTCGGCGCACCGGCAAAGCCCGGCGGCGGCGCCGTGGTCGGCATGCTGGGCTGCGGAGAGGCGTGCGCCAGCTGCTGCTACACGAGGCGGCTCGAGGGTGGCGGCGGCGAGCGGAGCGCTCGGGTATGCGGGCGCGGGAAGACGAGGTGTCTGTGTGCACCTGTGCCGCAAGCGTCGAGGGAAAGGAGGGTGGGGAGGGGCGGGACAGGGTCGTGGCGGAAGGAGCACAGGAAGCAGCAGCGCTGCAGTGGCGCCGCGTCGCGCAGCGCAGGGACGAATGGTCGTGCGGCGGGGCGCGGCACGTGACGCGCGGATGGGGTAACGCTGGGCGGCGCGAATACAAACGCCGGCAGGGTGCAGCCGCGCGGATACAACTCGGCAGGCGCGAATACAAGCTGCTTCGCCTCGAGGTGCACGGTCCTGGCGGCACGGCCGACCTCTCCACCTCATCAACCCCTGCCTGTGCCCACTCATCATGTCTGCAGCCGCGCCGGACGGGCCGCAGGTTGATCGCGACGACGACGCCGTCATGACGCCGTCGGCCAGTGCGCAGCCGCAGCAGGCCTCGCCCGCAGCCGCAGCCGCACAGCAGCCCGAGGGCGCGGCGCCCAGCACCGCACCGGCACCCGCCTCGCCGCCGCGCTCGGCTCAACAGACGCTGCATGTCGTCGCGTCACCAAGCAAGAAGACGCGTGCCGTCGATGTGCTGGCTCTCGACGACACGGGCACGTCGGGCGATGATGCTGGCGAGGAGGACGAGGAGGAGGAGCTCGAGGCGCAGCCGCTCTCGTCGCGCACGCGTGGCGCATCCCACGGCGGCGACGAGGAGATGGACGACTTCCGCATCACGAGCGCACGCCGCTTCGACGCTACTCGCAAGCCCAAGGCGCGCAAGCAAGACGTCGGCAAGGAGGGCCGTGTGAGTGAAGTGCGGGTCGCGGTGTGAAGCAGGCGTTCGAAGACTCGAGATGTGGCGAAGTGGGGAGCGACGACGTTATGGGTGGCCCTAGACCGATGTCCACTCGTGCTGACACTCTCGCGGCTCTCAGCTGCTCGACGAAGATATCCGGCAGCGCTATATCCGAGGTTTGTCTGACGGGAGCTTGGCATGCCACGTCGGCGCTGACCCATCTCATTGCAGAGATCGGCGACATCTTCGCCGAGCCTGGCGTCTCTAAGTGAGGCGTGCTGCTGCTCGCCATCAACCCCAGCGCCGCGTCCTCTCGGCCCACTTCTCTCGCGTCACGCTCTCTGTTCAGCTCCCTTCTTCATCATGTACCACCACCCATGCATCCGTCATTCACGCGCGTGTCTCAGCGTCCTCTCATGACGCGGCAGCTATGCGCCTTCGCCGCTCTGACGCCATGGTGCCCTTACGAGCGCTGCGGCCAGTCGATCTGTCCCTGCGCGACTCCATCCCGCGTAAAGTAAGAGTCCTGGCGTCGTGAGCGGACGACGGCCGGCGGACCCAGTGTGCGTCGAGGAGCACCTCGCCAGTGCACAACTGCTCTGATGAGCGGCGCGCAGCGAGCCTAGCATAGCACACATCACAGCTTCACCGCAAGTGGCACTTCCTGGGCTCGAGCACGAGATGGCGATCTCATTTTGACAGCGCGTCGCTGTGCACGCCCAACTAAGACCCCCCCACACTCTCTCTCTCCTCCCCTCCAAGCTCATCGCATGTTGATGGCCTCCAGTCCCTCCAATGATGTCACTGATGAGCCGCGCACGACCTGAAGTGAGAGGGAGAGCAGGTCGTCAGCAAGATGCGCGTGCGTGCGGCAGCGACACTCGCTCGGCAGGCGCGGGACATCCAATCGGGATGCCAGCGGCGGACGGGACTGCGCCCGCGCCTGGTCACTCGCGTCTGCGTCTATCGCATGCGCCATCAGCAGACAAAGCTTGGCCAAGCGACCCGAGCACAAGACCGGCTCCGAGACATGATGCCACGCAAAGCAGCGCTCGCCGCTGGAGCCTGCGCCCTCCCAGCAAAGGTCCAGGTGCTGCTGGCGAGAGGCCTCGACCTCCACGCCCAAACTGAGCCCAGCCGCATCCTATCCTGCGTACTTGCGCTGGTGCGCACATCGTTGAAGAGCGACGAGCCGCAGCAGCACTCGCTGCTTTCGCAACGCCCACGTAGTCTGCCAGCTCGAGATCTCTGACTAACGGGCCGCCACATCACAAGTCGCCCGCTCTGCACCTCGCCCTCGCCGCCTCAGCACACCAGACATCACCACCGCCGCACGCGCCTCATGATGCGATCTACTCACCACCGTGCCGCACCCTGCGCCCTCCTTCCACGCGCCCGCGTCGTTGCGGTCCATCTCCGTCGCCTCGTCGACAACAAGGTTGAGGAAGATGTCGAAGCCGCGCAGCGTGCCGTTGAGCTTGCGCCCGCCCTGGATGTTGACGCTGATGCGCTTGTCGAGGAACTTCTTCAGCTCGGGCTGCGAGACCTTGGCCATGGTTGCAGAGCGAGGGGTGAGGTGTGGGGGTGAGGGTGGGAGGAAGGCGGTGCCGCGCGATGGATCTGCGATTTCGACTCGGCGCGCGGCGCGTTTTCTATTGCGCGACTACAACGAGCGTCGCTCGGTTGTAGTGCGGCCGCCAGGGTGTCAACCCGGCCTTGCTCGCCGTCGTTGCTCCTTCTCGACCACATCCCTCGCGCCTCTCTGCGACCAGGCCCGCGCTCCACTCGTACGGCACTGCCAACCCGATCTCTCACAAAGCATGCGTGACAAATAAGGTCATCGGGTCTTGGCACCGTGCGCTGCGCTGGGTCAGGGGCGCTGTGGTGAACGGCCACGAGCCGCGGCGTGCGCTCTGCCCGTGACGACCCCTCAGCCGCGACGCCACGGTCTCAGCACGCCAACGAGGAGGAGCAGGGGCGCCCGGACGACTCCATCCGGCAGCTCTTGAGGGCGCAGCACGCACCCGAGGCGTTGAGCTGGCTGCGGCGGCCTGCATGTGTGACGGCGGTCTAGGCCGTGCCGCCATGTTGGCGCAATAGAGTGGCCCGCGCCCAATGTGGCACCGCATGGGCGTCGCCACGTATGCCGCCCACGCACGAGCTCCGCACCTCCTCGAGCTATGCGCGGGTGAGCGCCTGCTATCACTCATCTCATCCCTGACCGCCCCTTCTCTTTGCTAAGCCAGCGCAGGGGCACCGCAGGGGCGTTGCACGTGTGGTCGGCGTGCCGAGTGCGTCATCCATCTGGCCGGAAATGAGGCACAGGCACATTCTCTTTCGAGCGGAGCCGCGCGCCAGCGGGTGCCGAGGGCGCAGAGATGAGATGTGGGTGGGCGTCGAGGAGAGCACGCGGCCGTTGCTGCGCCCCATATCGCGCCAGCGGGTGCCGAGGGCGCAGAGATGAGATGTGGGTGGGCGTCGAGGAGAGCACGCGGCCGTTGCTGCGCCCATTCCGCGATACGGCCCTCAAAAGGCCCACGAGCCGCCGCCGAGCCTCCACTCTCACCGTCTCGTTTCTCGTTCCCTTTCCCGTTTCCAGTCCCTCTCCCACACTCGCTTCTCTCGCAGGTCCTTCGACGGAGCTTCGTCCGTGCACCGGCAGCGTCCTTCTCGGCGGCCATGTCCTCGCACCGGCACGAGCGCGATGCGCGGTCCCGCTCGCGGCCACGGCACGACGAGGATCCATCGCGGTCACGGCGAGAAGAGGAGCCTCGCCCGCGTCGCAGCGAAGACAGCCGGCCGCGGCGCGATGACGAAGCTCGCCCGCGGCGCGAGGAGGCCGGCTGGTCGCGCTTCGAGGAAGCTCGCCCACGGCCAAGTCGTGACGAGGAGCGCTCGCGCTCGCGGCACCCAGCCGACGTGTCGTACCGTAGCGAGCTGCAGACACGTCGCGTGGAGTCACATGCCACTCGCAACACAGTCGACACCAGAGCGTCACGACGCACAGTCGAAGAGCGCTACTACGGCGACGGCTCGCCGTACGTGGCGCCCGTCGTGGCGCCGTTGCAAGTGACGCGCCGTACTCAGGACGGCCAGCAGCCCGCGTCGCGAGCACTGCTGCCCACGCCACGCACGCCGGCGACCAGGCGGCCAGTGCCTCCATCCGCAGAGCCGAGTCCGTCGTCGGAGTACTCCGTGCGCCGGCAGTCCTCGCTCAACAGCCTGCGCTCTCGGTCCAGCAAGCTCGAGCCGCCGCCGAAGTCTGCTGCACGCTACACGAGTCGGAGCGGAGCGTCGGTTGCTACGGGTCGCAGCAGTCTGGAGAGCAGCTACAGCATCAGGAGCGATGCCAATCCGTACCGCAGCAACCACCCATCTTCCCAGTACGCTTCGCGTGACTTCGACGACGACGCATACATGGAGAATGTGCAGACACCGCGACACGACAGCACGTCGCAGCAGCGCCGGCCCGACGTCCAGACTCGCTCTCGCTCGCAGAGCGACCCGTCGCACTTCGGCGAGCGCCCGTCGTACGTGCACTCTCGCTCGTGGGATAGCCCCGCCACGCGCCTGTCCGCAGCACGGCAGCATCTCTCAGCAAATCATGGCGCCGTCACCGACCATCCCGACGGCGACCTCTCGACGCGGTCGATCACTCCCGTCACCCGCGTCATCGGCCTCCACGGGCCGCAGACGGTGCCGCCTATCCCGCTCATGCGCGGCGCCGACACGCGGCTGCCCGTTCCGATCGCCCGAGAGCCATTGCCGGCACTCGTAGGCCAGCCGCTGCCGCCCGTGCCTATCGCCGCAGCCTCGACTCACTACTCGCACTCGTCGTCGCTCTGGCGCACCACCAGCCAGCCACGAGACGGGCATGCGCACCAGGCGCACCTCTCGACGGCCTCTTCGGCGTACAGCTCCGCCTCGGCGCCCGGCAACTACGACGTCGTCGAATCGCTCAGCACGCTGGAGGGCCGTGACAAGCGTCTGACTGCGCTGGTCGCCGACCTCTTCGATGTGCAGACCGTCTTCGAGAAGGCGCGCAAGAGTGCTCATCAGTCCGTCATGACCGACTACTTTGCCTCGCGGCGCGCGACAGCGCAGATGGAGGCGAAGCAGAAGAAGGAGGGCAAGCTCAAGCGCCTCACCGAGCACCTCTCCATCAGCGAGGTCATGTCGTACCTCACGCCCGAGGATCTCATCCGCGCCGACTCGGGCACCGTCGACGGCGGCTCGACGAGCGTCGCGGCGATGCAGCGCAGCTCCTACTTCGTCGACGGCACGTCGCGAGTCAGCTGGGCGCAGTCGACCGACTCGAATGGCGCACACGACGGCTCTGGCCGCCGCCGCTCACTGTGGCCATGGGGTCAACGCCAGAGTGCGCAAGCGGACCAATTTCCCCAACCGCCGCCTCGCACCAAGCGTGGCACGGTGTACACAAATGCCCAGCCGCCTCTGCGGAGCGTCTTTGAAGAGGAGAGCCCTCGCGGCGGCAGAGACGCGAGCTTCGACAACGTCCGCCTCACGCCGCGCACACCGCATCGCCGTCAGGACAGCGATGCGACGCTGGCCAGCGCCTGCAGCGAGGGACACAAGTCGTGGCGCTCGTCGGAGGACTCGATGCGCAAGGGCGAGAAGGGCGTGCGTGCCTCGTTCAACTCCATCCTCACCGTCGCCCATGACCGCGCTCGCGCGGCCTCGACGCTCGAGGGCCGGCCATACTTGTACGACGCACGGCAGTCGCAGCAGCCGCTCAAGAGCAAGGCCGAGGTCGTCGCCGAGTGCCTTGCCCAGGGCTCGGCGCCGCCTGGCATGCCATACGACCCCACGCTTGTCACCTGGGACGGCGACAACGATCCGGAGAACCCGCGCAACTGGCCGTCGCGTAAGAAGGTGCGTGCCAGTGCGCTTCGCCATGCGCTCCTTGCTGACCATGCCGCTGCAGTGGATCGTTACCGTGCTCATCAGTCTCAGCACCTTCGCGTCCAACTTCGGCATCGCCAACATGGCGCCCGCGCTGGGCCTCATCTCGCAGGACTACCACATGACGACGTCAGTGGAGCGCGGCCTCGTCATTGCGCTCTACGTGCTGGCCTTTGCCGTGGCGCCGCTGGTGTACGCGCCGTTCAGCGAGATCTTCGGACGCAAGACGGTGCTCATGTTCGGCCTCTGTCTCTACCTCGCCTTCAACACCGCCTGCGCGTTTGCGCCCAGCTACGAGGTGCTGGCCGTGTTCCGCTTCTTCGCCGGCTTCGGTGCTTCTGCGCCGCTGGCCGTCGGCGGCGGCCTGCTCACTGACGTGTGGCCACCGGAGCAGCGTGCCACGGCCATGGCCGTCTTCTCGCTGGTGAGTCGTGTGCGAGACCACTCGTTGCTCGTCACTGACGCACGCTTGCAGGCACCGCAAATGGGCCCTGTGCTCGGCCCCATCATGGGCGGCTGGATCACCGAGCTGCTCGTGGCGTGGAAGGACATCGTGTACATCTCCTCGGGCCTCATCGCGGCGCTGCTCATCGCCTTCATCCCCTTCGTCAAGGAGACGTACGGCCCCTTCATCCTCGCACGACGTGCCGCGCGGCGGCGCAAAGAGGAGAGCAACCCGGAGCTGAGCACGGTGTTCGAGCGCAAGGCCGAGACGCTGCGCATCAAGCTCGTCAAGGGCATGGTGGTGCCGTTCGTGCTGCTCTTCCGCGAGCCGCTGCTGCAGATCCTCGTGCTCTACGTCGGTGTCCTCTTCGCCGTGTTCTACCTGCAGAAGACGACGATCCCGGCCGTGTACGGCACGGTGTACAAGGAGAAGCCGGGCATTGCCTCGCTGCACTACCTGTGAGTGCTGCGCCGCTTCCACACACTAAGCTTTGCTGACACGCTCGCCGCAGTGCCATCGGCCTCGGCCTCATGATCGGCGGCGTCATCGGCGGCCGGCGCACCGACATGGAGTTCCGACGCCTGACGGTCAAGAACATGGGCAACGCCGTGCCCGAGTTCAAGCTGTCGATCATGCGCGTCTTCTCCTTCTTCCCGCCCGTCGGCCTGATGCTCTACAGCTGGTCGGCCGACCAGGCGCTGCCGTGGGCCGTCTCCGACCTGGGCCTGTTCATCTACGCCATCGGCATGTCGGCCAGTGTCATCTCGGCGCAGGTGAGTGGCGGAGCGCGCCTGTGCGTTACTGCCGCTGATCAGAGTCTCGCCAGGCCTACCTCGTGGAGTGCTACGCGCTGCTGGCGGCGCCGGCGCTGCTCGCGTCCGTCTTTGTGCGCTCGACGATGGGCTTCAGTGCGCCCCGTGAGTTGCGCTGCGCGACCATTTGCCCTGCTCCATGCTCACGCTCTCTCATGCAGTCTTTGGCGAGGCGATGTACGACGCCCTGGGCCTCGGCGGCGGCGGCTCGATGATGGCAGGCATCTGCTTTGCCGTCGGCGTGCCCACGCCCTTCCTGCTCTTCCGCTTCGGCCCCATGCTGCGGGCGCGCAGCACCTATGCTAACCACAAGCACGCCGACTAATGCCCCGCGCTGTGCCTGCGCTGGCCGCCGACAGCCGTCCGTTCCTTGCACATGTCCCCTGCAATGCCACTTGCCGTTGATGCGGCAGCCGTGCTGAGGCCGAGAAGGAGGTGGTCAGGGTGCAAGGCGTGGGAGCAGGCACGCCAGCACGTGCCGCCGCCGAACGATTGCCGATCCCGGCGTGCGGCGCTGTGACGCGGCTATGCAGGCACGGCACAGGCACTGGAGCAGCGCGTGGAGCGTGCGTGCAGGAGCCTCTCGAGCCGGCGAGATTCGTCCCTGGCCGGCGAAGGAGCAGCTCGAGACGGCGGCAGGAGGGCAGAGGGAGGAGGACGAGGCATGCGAGGACCCTCGTCGAACGGACGTCGGCCGGCAGCCAGCAGGATTCTGCCTGAACGGCCGCGGGCAGGAGAGGGCGGCGGGATGGAGTCAGTACGCGCGCCGGCCGCTGTTGGCCTGCCTGCAGGCGAGGTGCGCCGCTCTCTGCGCGCGCCGGCCAAGCCAGCTCGCCCGGTAACGGTTCGCGCGCTCCGTCGGGCTGCTTCGCTCCTGACCACCACCACACCACTCCAACCTCAACTCACCCCCACCTCACCACCCCCACCTCACCACCCCCACCTCACCACCCCCACCTGCACAATGGTTCTTTTCAAGGAGGGCGACGTCGTTGAGTGTGAGTGTCTGCCGCAGATGTTCGCGCACAGGGAGGTGGTCGGCAGGGTCAGAAGGTCAAGGAGCGTCAGACACTGGACACGGCATCGCTCGCGCCAGCGCATGAGCTGCTGTGTGCGCTCGATGGCTCTGGAGTTAGAGACGCACATCTCCCAGCACCTCGCGGTCTCGATGGCCCTCGCTGGGTGCGCGTCTGCGTTTGGCTGGCCGGCGCGCTGCTCCCGGGTAGATAAGCTCGTCTCGCCGAAGAGAGGGCATCAGCATCGACGCCTCGGGCTAGACGCTGCCTCGCCTCGGACTTTGATGCTGCAATGAGGAGCTCTGCGACCAGGCTGCACCGCCAAGGCGCAGCGCTCGTCCTGGCGCGCCCGGCCGGGGAGCGTACGTGGTGCCGAGCTGCGCGCAGCTTTTGGTCCAGTACCCCTGCGGCCGCACGCTCTCTTCGCTATCGTTGCTGCAGAGAAGAGCACTTCATCGTGCTGTGGAGGTAGGCAGCTTCAATCGACAGTCAGCGGCTTCTTGCCAGCTGCAGAGTCTGGACAGAGATTGCCGACGCGGCGACCGCAACGCTCCGGCGCACCTTCTCCCTTCTCCCTTCGCGCCCGCGGCGCTATCACCCTTACTGACACTCTCCCGTCTCCAGACCGCCCCTTTGGCGGCGAGGTCAAGGAGGGCAAGATCGACAAGATCGAGGCCAAGACGGGCGGCCACGTCGAGATCACGTACTTCGTGAACGACGACAAGCTCATCTCGTGCCAGGTGCGTGCTGCTGCTGCAGCCAGCCCTGCGGCGCTGTATCTCACGCTGTCTCGTCGCCGCAGATCATCGGCATCAAGAAGAACGCCGCATGAGCGTGCCTTCGAGCCGCACGGACATCTAGACGCTGCCGATCGCCGCGTCGCGACGTGCAATGCTACGTTTCACTCTGTCGCGATGCGTGAGGGTGATCAATTGCCGACGGGTACAATGTGCGGGCTCAAGACGGGAAGGGTGCTACATGCGTGTGGCCGTGTTGCGCTGTGGAGGCGCTCACTTGCGCTCCGAGGGCGGCGTGCTGTCGACGGCGGCGTTGACGATGCCGGCGGTAGCCTTCTTGCGCGCCTCGTTGAGCATGCCGAAGAAGCCGTCGTCCGAGGCGCTGGTGGGCTTGTGCTCCCACTCCTCAGAGTGCTTGGTGACCTTGCCCTGCGCGTCGCGCTCGAGCGCGAGGAGGCTGTTGAGCGTCTTGAAGGGCTCCTTGTCGTCCGTCTTGCGGTAGTACGACACGTCCTGGTCGACGAGGATGGTGCTCTTGGGCAGCGTCGCCGGGTTCTCGAGCACGCGGAACTTGTCGAGCGTGGCACGCGGGCTGCGGGAGGAATGTGAGTGGTGGAAGGAGAGGGCCGCGCCAGGCAGGCACACTCACAAGACCTTGACGAGGCCGTTGAACTGCGCCTTGATCGACTCGACGCCCTCGGCAATGCTGACGGGGTCGTGGAAGACGGCGGCCTGCGCGTACATCGAGTACGACTGCGACGTGGGCGAGACGGTGTAGAGCTGTATGCGAGGTTGGAGTCAGCGACAGATCACGACGCATGCAGCCTCTGAGCTCGACACAGGTGCACACGACATCACTCACGTCGCGAATGCCCTGCAGCACGCTCTTCTCGTCGTCGTTGGGCTGGCGCTCGCGCAGCTGCTTGCTCTCGGTGGGCGTGAGGCCCGAGGCGTTGGTCTTGCTGTCGGCGGAGGTCATGGTGCGTGCGGAGCTGGCGAAGGTGCGCGTGGACTGGGGTGCGGCGGCGAGGCGGGGGAGCGACAGGCGGGCGCGGAGAGGCATATGAGAGGTTGAGAGTGAAAGGTTGAGCGTCTGTGGAAGCAGACGAAAGGGGCTGTGGTGGCGGGAGGGAGAGAGAGGCCAAGCCGGCTGGGCTTATGTAGCCGTCGAGCAACGCCCAGCAAGGCGTGGGACGCTCGGCGTCATCGCAGCGCAGGGTCGCCGGCGCAGCCTCAAGCCTCGGCGCTGCAAGTGGCGCCCCGAGGAACGCTCTCGGCCGCAGCAGGTGCAGCGTGCCGAAGCAGCGTCAGCGTCGGAGCAGGGTCCAGCGCAAGGCGTGCGCCGGCGCGGCGGAGCGGTGACGCGCTGCCTCCACCCGGCGCGGGGTACGCCCGTGCGTGGGAGCAGCGCTTGCTGACACTGCGCACCGCCTCCGTCGTCACTTTCCGCACCACCGCAGCAATCTGTCCTGCGTCAAGCTCAACGTCAAGAAACAACGAGCTTTGTGCCGCGGCAGAGTGACCGGTAGAAATACAGCAGGCGTGTGGCGAAAGAGGGTGGGGCTGCGGCGAGCACGGGCTGCGCGGCTGAGGGACAGGGCGGGACAGGCGTGACGAAGCGGGTCGGGTTGGACAGGAACGAGGAGCGAGCGAAGGAGGCAAGGTAAGGTGAGGACTCGACGCCGCTGTGTCTACGCCGCAACGGCTGCAGGGGCAGCAGTGCGCGCCGCACAAGCTGTCACGTCGTCGCTCTCGTAGTAGCACGGGTACAGCGACACCGGCTGCGGCGCCGGCGCGCTGTCCTTGGTGGGCGTCGGCGGCGCCTTTTCCTCGAGCTCGGGCAGAGTGGCCTCCTGGCGCGGCAGCGGCGGCGCAGCGACGACAAGAGCCGGCATCTGGTGGGCGTGCAGGCTCTGCCGGTTCTTGTTGCCGCTGCCACTGCTGCGGCCGATGCTAGTGAAGATGCGCGAGAGCCGGCCGGCGCCGCTGGCCTTGGTCGGGCTCGGCCCCGCCTCGGAAGACGAGGGCGTGACAGCACGACGCAGAGTGAGGCCGAAGCTCGTGGCGCTGCCGGTGCGGCGCACCGTGCCGCGCGAGGGAGAAGCGGCCGAAGCGACGCTGGCACGCGCAGGCGAGGGAGACACGGCGGTCTCACCAAACGAGATGCTCGGGCCAGAGCCGCGACGAGCGGGCGACTCGGTGCCGGCGACGAGGCCGAGGCCGGGCGCAGCGCGAGCCAGCTGCGTAGCCTGGTCCTCGAGCTCGCGCTCCTCGAGCAAGTCCGTCGAGACGACGCTCATGCGGCTCTTGCGCGGCTGCTGCTGCGGCGAGGGAGGAGCCGTAGAGGCAGGCGTGGCCGTGTCGGCCAATGCGCTGACAAGACTCTGCATCGTCGACATGGTGGCGCCACTCTCGGAGCGCGACATGCCGTCGAACGCCTGGGGCTTGTACGGCGGCATGCGCGTGACGGCTGCCGAGTCGGGCACGTCGCCGAGACTATCGAATGCGTTTGTCTCCTCGAGATCGAGTGCTGCCTCGGCGTGCATAGGAGCAGCCCAGTCGGCTCCGAAGCGCCTGTGCAGCGCAAATCGCGTCGGCGTGCTGGCGGGCACGAGCTTGCGCACGAACGCCACGCGGCGCGAGTGGTAGCGCTGCGAGCGCACGGGGTGGAACATGTCCAGGCGCATCTGCTCCAGCTCGGCCGTGCGGAAGGCCGCGAAGCCGGCGGCGAAGGAGAGAGGCGTGCCAGAGCGGCCTGCGCGAGAGGCGAAGAGCAGGCTGAGGTAGGCATGCTTGGCGTCGAGCATCTGCTGCATGATCGGCGTAGCGGCCGGCACGCTCGAGTCGAAGCCAAGCGCAGCCGGCGCAAACGGCTTGGTCCAGCGAGCGCCACAGCTGAGCAAACCTGTGGCGTCGGTAGCCGCGTCGCCGACGGTGGCCAAGACGAGGCGAGCGACGTCCTGCTTGATGAGCGCCAGCAGTGCCGCAGGTCCCTCAGCGCCGGTGCCGACGATGTGGTCGACCATGCCACACTCGAGCGCCTGCGTCGGGCTCATCGGCATCATGTTGCGCGCCAGCTCACGAGCCTTCTGGGCGCCGCAGCGCGCCGTCCAGCTGAACGTGTGATACTCGGAGCCGAAAAGGCCCACGCCGCGGTAGTGCGGGTTCAGCGTGGCGGAGGCCGAGCAGAGCACTACATCGGCGGCAGTAGCGAGTGCCAGGCCACCGGCGGCTGCATTGCCACGCAGCGCAGCGATGGTGAGCACGTTGTGCGGCGCGAGGATGCGCTGCATCACATCGTCGATGGCGTTGATGTTGGCCCAGCTCTCGGCGGCAGGGTCGGCAGAGCCCTCGATGACGTTGAGCGCAATGCCGTTGCTGAAGTAGCCCGGCCCGCCGAGCAGCACGACGGCCGAGATGCGCTGCACCAGCGCCCACTGCAGTGCCGCCTCGAGCTCGCGGCACTGCTCTGTGGCGCAGGCGCCGTTGTAGAAGTCGAAGTGGACGTATGCGACTGTGGACTCGTCCACCTGCTCCAGCTCGACCCAGACTTGCTGGTACGTGCCCTCGGCGCGCTGCCAGTCGGCCTCGTCGCGCGGCGCAGCCCACTCCTCGACGTGTGCGAGCTCGAGACGCTCAGCGAGACCGGAGATGCTCTCGATGCACTGCAGTGCCGGCAGCTTGGCGTGCAGGTAGGTGTCCGTCTTGGCCTTTGGCCGGCGCAGGTGGGTGAGCCAGATGGGGTGCTCGGCGCCGCAGTCAACGAGGACGGCGCCGCTGCGGGTCGCAAGTACCTTGCCGCGGTGCGAGTGCTCTGCGCGAGCGGCGGCGGAGGGGCAGAGCGGTGCAGTCTGCACATGCGCGCCGTAGATGAAGAGCGACTGGCCGCCCAGCAGCGCAGTCTGCACACCCGGCTGGCTGTCGGCGCTGTTGATGCGCTGCACGAGCGCTGCTGCGCTCAGCGTCGAGCCGGAGGCCAAGCCGGAGAAGTCGCGTGCCGAAGCCTTGAGCAGCGGCCGCTCGTGCGTCGCGCCGCCCTGAAACGGCAGGCCACGCGAGACGCACGCCGTGCGCGCGGCATCGGTGAGGGATGTGGGAAGCTCGACGGGCAGCGGTAGCGTAGGGCATGCGGCAAGCAACCGCTCAAGTGCGCACAGCACGGCGCTGACGACGGCACGGCTGACGGGTCCGCGGTAGAAGTCGCTCTTGGTGAGTGCGGCCGTCTCGGCGTCGAGCTCAAACTGCTCGAAGGCGACTGTGGCTCGTGTCAGCCCTGCGCATGTGCAACTCTGCCCAGCCGACACTTACCGATTGGGCCGGCGTCGAGCGCCTCGATGGCCTGCAGCACCGTGATGGCCCAGTGGGAGCGGCGCGAGGCGCTGGCGCCAGGCGCGCCGTGCCGCTCGTTGATGAGCTGCAGCTGCGTCTCCCAGTCCTCGTGCTCGCCCTGGTCGCCGAAGAGGGCCATGTCGATGGCCGACGGGCCAGCATCACCGGGTGCGCCCTGTGGGATACCATTAGTGCAATGTAGCGAGAGTGCTGCCGCGCATCCACTCACGGGATGCACGATAAGCGTCAGATGGTTGGCGTAGATCTCGGCCGGCACGCGCTTGGTGAGGAACGGGCAGAGGATGACGTCTGGGCGTGCCAGCTCGGCCGCCTCGACCATGAGGGCCGGCGACAGGGCCAGCTCGACGGTGACGGCATGCCCGCGCGCCTGCAGTGCCAGTGCCAGGCGCTGCGAGAGCGAGTTGTGCGCCGTGACGAGGAAGAGGACACGCATGGCTGCGGATGCAGCGGGGAGCAAGAAGACAGGACTTGTGAAGGCGGAGCGAGGCGGAGGCGTGGGTGTCCGGGACGAGGTGGAGAGCGTGGAGGTGGGATGCGATGCGGATCTGCGCCGGCAGGGTGCGCCTCTTATGGCCCTCGCGGCGAATGCTGGCCGTGCCAGGGGCTGCGAGACTGATTGCTCCCCCTGCGCAGTGCGGCCGCGGCGCCGGACGGACGCGGTCGCGGACGACGGCTGCGAGCCCCTCGCGCTGCACGCTGCACGAGCGCGGGGCAGCGTGCGGCCGTGCGTCGAAGCTACTGCACGCTGAGGCTGCATCTTGCCCTCCTGAGCACGGAGGGTGCGCAGCAAGCTGGGCGAGGAGCGGCCGGCTGCGGCGAGCCGCTGCGGCCGGGAGGCGCGGCCGCTCAAGGGGTGCGGACGCATGAACGCACACGGGCACAGCCATGCACGCACGTGCAGGCACACGCGCTTCACGCTTGTGACGCGGGCGCAGCTGCGCTGCTGACGCCCTGCCGCCGAGTTAGCGCGGGAGAGAGCGAGAGGGAGAGGGCGCGGCTGCATGCTGGTGTCCTCGACCTCCTCTCGCAAACCGCAGCTGCAGCCGACGCGGCGGATGCGGCACGGAGCAACGAGCAGCAGCAAAGATGGACGGCTGCTGGCCGCGTGCCGTTGCCCGCTTGAGGCCGTTGCGCGGCATTGCGCCGATGCCTGCCGATCGTCGTTCACTCGTTGCCTTTGCGAGCCTCTCCTTCTCGGCAGCGGTGTTGGTGCTCCTCTCTGAATGCTGCGCTGCGCTTGTGCGGAAAGCAGCGCTCGACGTCGAGCTCGCGTGTCGTCGTGGAGCAGCGGACGGCTGCTGTCAAAGCTTGCAGCTCCGCCCAACAAGCGTGAAGCTGCGCTCTGCATCTGCCGCGCTGCATGCGCTCGCAACGCGCTCCCACGCCCCTCGCGCTCGCATGAGCACTCTCTGCGCCCTATCCCTCGTCGTTGCGCTGCGTCGCTTTGCTTGTGCTTGCTCGAGGCCGGTCTGCAAGCGGTAAGCGCAGGCTGTGCCCTGCACCCTGCGTCTGGCTCGCCATTCGCATCGCTCTGCCGCTGTGAGTGAGAGAGGGCAACGAGAGAGCGCGACGCGCAGCAGCCGCTCGCTGCTGTCAGGCGCGCCTGCATGCGCCTGCAAGGGGTGCAGGCCCGCTGCCGTCCTCTCTCCCTCTCGCCGCCTCCCGCTCGAGGTCGCGTCCTCGCCGCAGCACCCTCAAGCTTCCCTTGACTCCTCGCTGCAAGCGGCAGGCTGCACCTCCTCATGCAGCTGCAGCGCGCAGCCCTATCCCCGACATCGGGCCGCTGCGCGCCATATGCTGCGTGTGCTGAGCGGCTGTCAGCCAGCTGCGACTGATCCCGCGTGCTTTCTCTTGTGCTCTCTTCGATGCGAGTCTGCAGAGGCGAGAAGGACAAAGGGAGCTGTCTCTGCTGGTTGCTGCTCGAATCCTTGACGGCCGGGGATGTCGAGACGCTGCTCTGGGCGCAAAGATAGCATTTGGCTCTCTCGGCGCGTTGCTCTGCTGCCGCTTGCTCCCCAGAAGCGAGATGGGCGACGCACCAAAGGAGTGGATGACGAGATGAGATACATTGCCTGCAGCGCAGCAAGAGCTGGTTGCCTGTGAAGGGCAGCGCGAGGGAGAGCTTGGCAGCGGCGGACGAGACGTCAAAGTGGTGCTACGTGCTAAGCTCTGTACAGCGGCAGCAGGGAGCACGTCTGGCTTGCTTGAGCATGTCTGCACCAGCGCATCGATGTATGCTCATCGCTGCTTTGCACGGCAGCCGTGTCTAGTCGAGTGCTGGCCCTTGGGGCGGCAGGCTTGGATGGCCGAAGAGCGAGAGGGGGGGCGTGGGAACAGCGGCAAGGCGCGCCTCGGCGCTCCGCTCGCCTCCACTTGCCTCGAGCGTCGTGTCCACCACTTCCACCTCCTCTCCCTCTCGCTGGCCGCCGGCATGAACACGCACGGCGGCTTCTTCTACACGCCCGCAGCCGACGATGGCGCCTCCACCGCCGCCTCTGCGTCCGGCTTCGGGAGCAGCTCTCGCCCGCCTCCCACGGCGCCACGACGACTGACGCCGCTGCAATCTTCACGGCTCATGGCCTGGCTTGACGCAGCGCTGCTCGCCCTCTCGCGCAACCATCGCCGCCGCCATGCGCCCGACTCTCCGCTGCGCTCATTGCGCGCCTACTGCGCTGCTGTCCTGCCCGTGCTCGCTGTGCTGGCATCCGTGCCGCCGGCGCCGCCGGCTGGCAGCATCAAGGTCGGCTATCTGCTGCAGCTCAGCGACGTCGTGCCCGAGGCGTGCACGGGCTACGACGCGCATGGTGGACGACCTACGGGCAGGGCGGGCGAGGATGTGCAGCAGGAGGAGCATGACCAGGAGCAGCTGCAGGAGGAAGAGCTCGAAGACGTAGGCACCACCCTCGCGCGCGCTCTGCAGCTCATGCATCTCATCGATGCCCAATGGCACGCCCTCGTGCGCGGCTTCGAGCTCGACTATGCCGCCGTACAGGCCGAGGCAGCGAAGCTCTTTCCATTCATCGGTCCTCCCGCCACTTCAGCGATGCCCCCTTCTTTCGATGGCCGCCATGCCGCCGCCAAGCCACGCGAGGTGCGCCAGTCCGATGGCGCATCCGGCCGCGCCCTCTCTCAGACGGATCGCGTGCGGCTGCAGAACATCGCACTGCGCGCTCGTACCACACTGCGCGCGTGGGGGCGCGCGGCGCTGGATGTAGAGCCACTGCCAGAGGAAGACACGTTCGAGAAGGAGGAGCGGACGCGAGCGGAGGGCGATCTGGAGCAAAAGCCGGAGGAGCTGGATGGGATTGTGGAGCTTGACGATGAGAGCGAGCAGAGTGGAGATGAGGTGGTCGTCAAGCAGGAGGGCGAGGAGGAGGAAGAGGAGATGGAAGAGGTCCTCGTACCGCCAAGCACCGCGCATAGCGCTTCCCCGCCTCCACGGCCACGAGAGGAGCAGGGCAAGGACGACACGGAGGAGGGCAGGCATTTCGCCAATGTCTTCTCGAAGACCGTGAGTGTGATATCTTTCACTGCTTCGCTTGCTTCGCTCACGCTTTTTGATGCAGTTCGATCCAGACGCGTCTGACGAAGACGAGGAGGACGTCAAGCCCGTCATCTCGCACGACTACTCCACCCCTCCCACGCGCACACCGCTCAAACGTCAGCGCTCTCGCACCTCTTCGCCTCCAGCCCGTCGTCGAGCAGCGCCAGCAGATGCGGCCCGGCACGAGCGGCAAAGCTCCGCCTCCCCGGCGGCATCGCCGCCAGCGCAGCTGTCCGAAGGCGTCCTGGCCTGGGACAAGAGCTTCTCGCGCATCTTCGAACGCACGCTCGCGGCGCTGGCGGACGCGCAACAGATGCGGCTCGAGCGCGAGGAGCGGAATGCTGCTGAGGGCCGGTAGCACGGCGGCAAGGCGGACGGGCTAGTGTCATGACGGCGCCGCACCCTGCTTCATCTGCGGCTTCTACTTCATTCAACGTCAGTCAATCTGCCAGCACGATGTGGTCTCCGACAGAGCGAGCGCAGACGTCCTTGGCAGAGGACCTCTGCACTCGCTAGGTTGGAGAAAGCCTCGTGCTGATGGATCGAGTCTCGGCGGATAAGAGATGCAGGAGACGAAGCTGAGCGCTCGCACTGCCAGCTCGCCGCCTCCGTCGTGCAGTCCCCGACAGACTCCCACTCCCATCTTCTTGGCCGTCGTCGCTCCGCCCACGCACCCGTGTGCAGCGTATCGACGACGTCTTCATGAGCTGAGCTTGGAGGATTTCGAGCGACGTGCACTCGTCCCGCTAGTAGAGGAGCTCGCGAGCGAAGCTGACTGCGACAGATGCTCCGCGACCGCCTGCACGCCGATGATTCGGCGTGTAGGCCGTCACGCAGCATCTGCGGCACGTCCACTTCGCCTCGCAAGGTCTCAACCTGCTCTGCACATGCGCTGCTCGGGCTTCGGATGTTCCTCTGGCAATGACATCCTCAGCAGCGCATTGGCTCGTTGCGTGACATAGCAAAGGCGCTACTCAGCCCGCAGCGGGTGTGATGGAGAAGTAGTCGTCCACCTCTGCCAGGCGCGGAGGCACTCTCAGAAAAGGGGTGCGCCGCATCACAAGGGCGCCGTTGGTTCCACAGAATACGCAGATGAGGGGCAATGAGTGCTGGCATACTGAAGGAAGGTGACTTGTGTTGTTCTGGATGTGTGAGGGTGTTGTACAAGTGCTATCAATGGTGTCGTCTGCCCTTCGCTACGTCGCGCGCGAGCCGCGTCCACGCCCGCCGCGAGCGCCGCCGCGCGTGCTGCTCGAGGCTGCGCCTCGGCCTCGGCCTCTCGTCGATCCCCTAGCTCTGCCCCGCGCGCCTCCTCTCCCTCGCTTCGCCGGCAGGCGTTCCTCCTCGTCCGAAGGCGGCGCTGCATCACCGCCGAAGAAGCCCTCTTCTCCGGCTGCGCCTGCCGCAGATGCCGACCTGTCGCCTCCGCCGCCGCCGACGATGAGTGCCACAGCCTTGTCGCACTCCTTCTGCGTCGCCTCGCCGCCCTTCAGCACGGCGTGGAAGCGAATGCTGAGGACCTGCTTGATGCAGTCGTATGCGCGCTTCGTGTAAAAGCCCGTCTCCATCTGCGCGAGGGGCCGCATCAGCATGCATTCTCACGCAGCAAATGCGCGGAGGCAACTCACGTCGAAAGTCTCGCGCAGGTTCTCGGGGCCCTCGGCTTCGATCAGCGGCCGTGCGATCGGGTCGGTGATGTCGCACAGCATGAAGCGGCCCGAGTTGGCCTCGAGCGAGACTCCGTTGAAGATGTGGCTACGGCTGCAGAGCGAGCGAAGCGCGATCATCAGCGTCATGCGTGCAAGGGAGAGGCGCAGCACTCACGGATGTTCATCTTCCACGGCGGCGCCCTGCTGAGCGTCTTGCGCCTCGGCATCGTCATCCGCTGCAGCGTCTTCCGGCTCAGCGCTCCCTCTGCCCTCCTCATCGTCCTCACGTGCCATACTCTCGACGCCGCGATGCAGGTTGCGGCCATCGCCGCCGATCTTGACGCGTCCCTTCGGCAGCTCGTCGGCCTTTCGGTTCATGAAGACGAAACGCTGGTAGCTGCGGGACAAAGAGGGCATCAGCTGAGGGCGTGATGTGAGGACGCAGTGACGGAGACGCACAAGCGCGAGCTGCGGTCGGCACGCGGGTCGAAGCCGTAGCGAATCAGGCAGTCGCGCCATGGGCCGTCCTTCGTCGTGTAGCAGACGAGCGGCAGGTATTGCTTGTGGCTGCGCGTGCGATGCATCGTCAGCCCATCCTGCGCATCCGCAGAGGCTTGAGGACAACATCACTCACAGGCCCACCATCTTGCGCTCCGCCGGCTTCAGCGTGTTGAAGAGCGAGCCACGCGTCCAGACGGGACGCTCTTCGAAGCACTGCGCGGACGGCGTCAGCAAGAATCCAGCAGGCCTTGTCGCTTCAGACCACGACACGCACCTTCTCGAGCGCCTTGAGCACTGCAGCGTCTGACTTCTCGCGCTCGGCTTCAATGTGTGCAAGTGGCGCGTCCGGCACCTGAGCTCTCGTGTCATCAGCATGCAAGCGTGCGAGGAGCGTCGGTGCAGACGTACCGGCTTGGTGCTCTTCATGCTGTAGTTCGGTGGCGCCAGACCTCGCCAGCGATTGGCATTGACGTAGCGTGATGTGCCATCGGGTTGCTGCTGCAGTCTCGACGCTGGGTTCTGCCGGAAGCTGTATGTATCAAGGCTGCGGTTAGCAGGCTGCGACCTGGGCAGCTGCGCGCCATAACGCACCCGTACTTGCGCGCCACAGTCGTGATGGAAAACGCAGGCGGCGTGACCATGAAGTCCTTGTTGCCCCAGCTCTCGCTCTCGGGCATGAAGCGGAAGTTGCTCATGGCTGCTACGTCCATCCGCTGCAGCGCAGACATGAGCAGCATCGTCTGTTCATGGATGTCGGTGGCCGCTACCGAGGTTCGCCCTTCGTCTTGCGCTGCTTCCTCGCCCGACTGCTGCGGCGGCGAGGCGATCGCAGGCTCAAAGGCAAAGTCTGCCAGCTGGCGGAAGCGCAGCGTGTGTCGCGCAAGACCGAGGATCTCTGCCGTATGCTCATGCCGCACCTGCACCTCGTCCTTGTCCGTCGTCGCCGACATGGCGCTGTCGCCCTGCGCATCCGTCGGCGCGGCGGCGCGACGACGACGCCGCCAGACACGCGTGCGTAGACGTAGCACGCCGTCGTTGGTGCCAACGATGTGGCCGTGCAGAGGATGCCGAAAGAGCTCAGTCGAGGCGAGCTGTGCGTTACTGGAGGAAGCAGCTTGGCCGTTGCTGCCCGCGCCGCTACTGCTGCCCGCCGCCGCACTGGCAGAGCCGATGCGGCATTCAATTACGGCGTCGGACATGCCGAGATGCTGGTGCAGGTGTGCCAGAGCGCCAGCGGGCGATGCCAGCGCAGGCGGACGCGGATCGAGCGTCTGTAGCGCACGCGCTAGCGCAGGGTTGTGCGAGAGGTCCGTGGTGGTGTTGATGGCGAGCGTGTGATGCGGCGCAGCAGAGCGTGCGTGTGCCTGGGTACGCGCCGGGACAGAGGGAGTGGAGGAGCCAGAGGAGGCCTGCTGCTGCTGTTGCTGCGACTCGTTCGGCATTGAAGGTGCCGCAGGAGCGCCCACGACGCCCGGATACTCGATGACGACGAACTTGTGACTCTTGTTCGGCAGGCTGCGCACCGGCGCCAGGCGGCCAGCCCGGCGGGCAGGCGCAGGCGCCGCTGAGGGCTCAGCTGCCGTCGTGGCTGCGTCGCCGTCGCTGACATCCGCGACCGCCTCAGCGGGCACGTCCGGCGGTGGCGAGTCCGCGTCGGCGGCGGATGCCGACGGAGACATGCGCGCGGTGGGAGTGAGGAGGATGTGGTCGCGAAGCAGGAAGAGGAGCGAGGCACGCTCGACGCGGCGTCTGCTGGACCGTGCGCAAAGGGCGCGAAGGCGGAGCGGGAAGCGACTCGAGCTCCACCTGCGCAGGTGTTGGCTTGCCTCCCGCCACCACACCCCATCCACCTCACACCTCCTCACTACTCACACATCATGGACCAGCTCTTCAACGGTGCGTCGCCCGCGCTGCGACACCTTTGCACCTACTCACACCCCTCACAGCCGGCAAGAAGTTCCTCGAGTCGCAGAACCAGGGCGGCCAGCAGCAGCAGGGCAGCTTCGGACAGGACCAGCAGAACTTCGGCGGCAACCAGGACAACTACGGCGGCAACCAGGGCGGCTACGGCGGCGGCAGCGACAACCAGGGCTACGGCGGCGAGGGCCGCCAGCAGCACCACGAGGGCAGCGGCGGCGGCGAGTTTGGCGTGCAGGGCGGCGCCCACCTCAACCGCCCGCAGGGCCAGAGCCAGGGCTCGGGCGGCCTCGACTTTGGCAGCATCCTCAGCATGGCGCAGCAGCACGGCGGCGGCGGCCAGAGCAACGGCGGCGGCAACAATGAGATGTTCGGCATGGGTGAGTGTGCCGCAGCGGCTCGCGGAATAGTGACGCCTGGCTGAGCGTTGCGCACCAGCCACCAAGTTCCTGCAGTCGCGCTTGAACAACGGCCAGGTGTCGGGCGACGACTTTGATGAGAACCGCGTGATGCAGCAGCATGCACAGGTGAACGACTCCAACTCGTCTGCGCACGCCAACGACGTCGGCGGTGCCGCGGCCGTCGATGCGCTCAAGAGCATGTTCGGCAGCGGCGGCGGCCAGCAGCAACAGCAGCAGCAGGGCGGTGGTGACATGCAGAGCAAGGTGAGCATCGTGTGTGCAACTTGTATCGGACCCATATGCTTATCGATCTGCACCCACAGCTCATCGCGATGGCCATGGCTCAGGCCGGCAAGGTGTGTGCCTAAGCTCGCTGCGCTTGTCTCCCTCTGCTCACATCCGCCGCAGATGTTCGAGCAGAAGCAGTCCGAGGGCAACGTGTCTGGCGGCAACAAGCAGGACGCGATGAACAGGTGCGCCGCCCGTGGTGTTCCGTGTGTGCGTCATGCTGACGCCTCCCGCAGCGCCGGCGAGATGGTCATGAAGTGCGTAGCCCGCCGTACAATGCTTGGAAGACGAGCTGCGCTCACACCCGTGCCGCAGGATGATGATGAAGCAGCAGATGGCCGGCATGATGGGCGGCGGCAACTCCGGCGGCCTCGGCCAGGTGCGTCGCAGCGTAGCCCCGCCTCGATCTGTTGCTGACCTCTACCGAGCAGCTTGCCAAGATGTTCATGTGAACGCGCTCCAACTCGCATCTCCCTGCTGTGTCTGCCGCACGCGTGACTAGGAGTGCAATTGCGATGGAATACAGTGTCGTGACATACGGAAAGATGGGGCAAGACGGGAACGAGAAGGGAGATAGGCGATGCACGACTACGCGACCGAGCCGAGGCGCGAGAGCATCTCGTCGGCCTGCAGCACCTCATCCTCGTCGATGGCGACGCCGTCGAGCCACTCGAGCGCCGGACAGGCCATGGCGAGCGTGCCGCGGTGCAGCAGGCGGCGCGAGGCAAAGTGCGGCGGCAGCGTGCGGGCGAAGCGGGCGTCGGAGGCGGCATAGAGCGCCTGCGTCTGGGCATCGTCTGCGCGCGGCTCGCCATCGTCCTCGTCGGCGTCAAGGAGCGCAGCGGCGCCGATGTCATGTGGCCGCTTGTGAAAGAACGACTTCTCGAGGTCGGCCTGCGCGGCCTTCTGCTTCAGCCGGGCCTGACGCGCCTCGGCGGCCGCAGTGTCGGGCTGCACGACGTTCGGGTTGGGCATGGGCGGCAGGAACGCCGGTTGCGAGGCTGGCGCGTCCGCAGGCGCGGCCTTGTCGACGAGCATGAGCGGTGGGTATAGGCCGAGCGTGCAGGGGTTGGTGCGCACGTCGAGCACGGCAAGCTCTGGCATGTGGTGCAGCGCGTCGACGATGGCGCGCGAACGCTTCAGGCGGCAGCCGACGAGGCTGAGCCGCTTTAGGCGCGCGAGGCCCTGCAGCGGCGGGATGCGTGCAAAGAGGTTGTAGTCCGCGTTGAGGTGGCGCAGATTCGGCGCGAGCGAGCCCAGCTCTGCCGGCAGCGACGAGAGCTGGCAGCCGGACAGCTCGAGGTACACGAGCGAGGTGAATGGCGCCGTGCGCTCGCACAGTCCGCGCGGCAGGGCGTTGCCCGAGAGGAAGAGGCGCGCGGCGTGCGGAACGTGCTGCGCCGGCTGCAGCAGACCGTTGCCGGACACTTGCTGCCGCAGACTGAGGTTGTGCAGCTTGATGAGCGTCTCGATGCCTTCGACGCGCTCAAGGCCGCAGTAGTCTGCGTGCAGCGTGCGCAGCTGCGGCGCAGGCTGCACGTCGAGGTGCTCGACCGCTGCGTTGTAGCTGAGCCGCAGAGCGCGCAGGCGCGGCATCGACGGTCCGAGCTCGAGGCGCGAGAGCAGATTGTGCTCGACGTTGAGGCTCTTGAGCCGGCGCAGTGTGCCGAGCCCGCGCACAGCTAGCAGCTCGTTGTGGCTGACATTGAGGTGCTCGAGGCTGCGCCAGGCAGTGTCGAGCAAGTTGAGCGCCTGCAGCTTGTTGCCACGCAGGCTGAGCAACTTAAGATGCTGCAGACGCTCGATGCCAGCAATGGACGTGACGCCATTGTAGTCGGCGCGCAGCTCGCGCAGGTTGACCAGACGCGAGAGCGCTACAGAATGACTGTGAGCAGCGTACTCTAGTGAAGCGCGCACGGCACTCACCACCAAGATGCTCGACGTCGTTGTGGCTGATGTCGAGCGTCTCCAGGCCGAGCATGTGGCCAAAGGAGACGGTGGGCGGCAGACTGCGGAAGTGGCTGTCAGTCGCAGCACGCAGCGCCGCGCAATCGAGACACTCACAGGTTGTGGCTGACGTTGAGCGAGCGAACAGTGTCGGGCAGGCCGGTGAGGTAGGCAATTTCGTTGTGGTCGCTGGAGCGCAAGAAGGTCAGCGCCAGGTCTCGGAACTGCAGCGCACTTTGGCTCACAGCTTGACGTGCTGCAGGCGCGGCAGGAACTCCTTGATCCGCACCACGCTCTCGACGCGTCTGCCAGAGAGGTCGATGGTGTCCATCTCCTCCCATCCCGGCTCCCACGGCGCGACATCCGTGATGAGCTCGAGGATGCGATCGTGCGCAAAGGCAAAGCTCGCGTCGGTGAGGAATGTCATCTCTGCATCCATCTCGCCGTGGTGCCGCCGCTCGCGCAGGGCCGTCATGTTCCACGGCGAGCGCCCCGTCGAGACGACGCTGCGGCGTGCCATGGGCGTCCGAGCGCCTCGCGTAGGCGTGACGTGCCATTCCTGCGAGGCCTCGCGTGGGTCCACCTGCTCGCCCTCGGCGAGCTCGGCATCGCGTTGCAGCGCGAGATTGGTCATTTGGCTCAGCATGCCGTGCAGCGACGCGGCATCGTCGTCCTCGAAATCGTCTGGCTCCTCGTCGTAGTGAGGACGTTGCGCGCCTACAGCGCCCACGTCGGCAAAGCTGATGGAGCGCGCTTCGGAGCGCGCAAGGAGCTGGTCGGGCGTCGCTGCCATGCCCTTGAGAATAGAGCGCGGTGCACGCGGCGTCGCAAAGGTGCTCAGTGGCGTCGTGATGATGTTGACCGGCGCGCGAGCTGGGGGCGTGAGAGGCGCGTGGCTCTGCGTCTTTGGCACGCTGAGCCTCTTGCGTGGGCTCTCCCTCTCTCGCAGCTCGGCAGCGTCGGGCACGCTTGCGCGGCCCGAGGTCTGCGTGCGTGCCGTCTGCGAGCGCGTGCCGTTGCTGCGCGTAGTCGCCTGGCTGCGGACGGTAGAGTCGCCATCGCTGAAGAAGTCGATCTCGTTGCGCAGGTTGGAGCCCGAGCGTGGGATGGCAAGACGAACAGGCAGTTGCGACCTGGCAGGCGGTGCTCGCTGCTCCTCTCGCGCGGCCGGCCGTCTCCGAGCCTCAGCTCGTGGCGACTGCGATGCCACCGGAGCCTGCGCCTCCGAGCGTGCGGGAACTGCGCGGACGACAGAAGCGTCCCTCGTGGTGCCGAAGCTCTCAATGTCCTTGAACGGGTCCGTCGAGTCTCCGCTAGCCGCGCTTGCGTTGCCTGAGGCCAGGTCTCTGTTGATGCGCATGAGGCCACGCGATGAGCCGGCCGCCGGGAGCTCATCGGCCTGCTCTTGCTGCGCACGACGTGCTGCCTTGACACTGATCCAGCGCATCGTGGCGCGGTCGAACGTCATGCGCCCGCCGCCGAGCTGATCGAGGTCGGACGGGAGGTCCTCGGGGCCAATGAGCTTTGGCACGCGTTCGGGAGCCTGCGGTGCCTGACGAGCAGGTTGTGGTATTGGCTCCTCCTCGCTGGACATTGCTTCGTGCAGGTCGTGCTCCTCTGCACGAGCACTGAGCTCAGCGCTTCTGGCGCGCTCCCTGGCGGCAAGACGCGCCTCGAGCTGCGCCATCTCACGATCGCGCGCCTCCTCCTCGAGCTCTTCACGTGCAGTGCGCTCGCGTCGCTCAAAGCTGTCCTCGCCGGCCTCCGCCTCGAACTCCTGCTGAGCCTGCTGCACGGCACTGAAGCGGCGAAACAGCTTGCGCGGCGACTCGTCGTCCCCATCCACAAATGAGACGAAGCTGCGGTTCGCCGACGGTATCCGGCGGCCAGAGAGGCGCAGCGGACTTGTCGCGCTCGGAGTGGGCGCACGAGCTCCACTCCGCGTGGCGAAGTGCGCCTCGCCGAGGGTGAGGCCAGACTCTTGGCCCTGCTCCTCGAGGTCGGAGCTGCCGCTCAAGTCCAGCTCTGCGTCGCGCTGCAGGCTGGCGTAGTCGTCGCTGGGCAGGCGCACGCCCTGTATCACCGCCAAGAAGTCGGGGCCCTCGCGCACGTAGTCTCTCCGCGGCGGCGGTGGCCCAGCGCCGAGCGGCTCATGCACGGGTGCGAAGCGCGCCTCTTCCTCCTCGCTGTGCGCAGAAGAGGAGTGCGCCGAGCCCGGCCGGTCGGCCAGCCGCAGGCGTTTCCGCTCGCGCTCGCGCTCCTCCTCCATGCGCTTCTCAGCCGCAGCTGCCGCTGCCCGCGCAGCCGCACGCGGGCTGTCCTCGCGCGCGCGCGTGATGCGAAAGGGCACGGCAGGCGGGAAGACGTTCTTGGTTCGCCCGGCAAAGAGGCTGAGCGGCGTGTTGGGCGCGCGAGGCGTCAGAGGGCCGCGACGCGGAGTGCCCTCGACGCCAGCCATGCCGAAGCCAAGCATGCGCGGCGCAGCTGCAAAGTCGGGCGAGCTGCCTGCGCGCGACGTGAAGGTAAACGGCCCGCTCGGTGCACGGCTCTGCACTCGCGAGGCCGGCGGCGAAGGCGATCTTGAAGGACCTGCCTGCGGAGGACTGACGCGCGCAAAAGAGCGTCTCGACTCGTGCTCGGGCGAGGCAACTTCGATAGTCGGGCCGGGCGGCGAGGCGCCACGAGCCTTGACCTCCTCGTTGCTGGACGCGGCGCTCTGTCTCGCTTCGGGCGTCGGCGTGCGCCACATGCTCTGCAGCTTCAGCGGCGTGAACATGTCGCCGCCGGCGCGCTCGACACCGCGGCCCTTGAGGTTCTTGGCCCACGCAGGCTTGAGGATGGGCGGCAGGCTCTCGGCCTGGCTGAGCTCAACGAACGTCTGCTCCACGTCGGGCTCCTTGGCCGTGCCAAAGTTGACCTCCTCCTCGTCGCTCGAGGACGAGCCCCGCTTGCTCTCGCGCGCGCCGAAGCCCACCTTGGCCCCACTGACCGAGCTGCCCTCACTCGCCTCGCTCGAGGCGCGGCGCGGCGCGGCAGTGCTCGGCGCAGTGCTGGTGCCGCCAGGCCCAAAGGCGCTCGCGCTCAGGGCATCACGGAAGCTGCCGCTCACGCCGCTCGAGCCCGTCACGATGCGATCTGCCACTGCGGCGTCGTGCGACGGCACGCGGTTGGACGGACTGCTGGGCCCAGCGCGCAGCTTCGTCTCGAGCGAGGCGGCGCCCGGTCGGCGTGGCCCGTCGCTGCCTGCCAGCCCGAGGCGCACGGGCGGCCGCACCGTGCTGCCGGTGCCGCCTGTGTGGCCGCTGTCCGAGCTGGACAGCGCCAGATTGGCCGGCGGCGCCAGCGACTGGATCACCGGCGACGCGGGGTCCCACGACTCGGAGAGGTCCTCGAAGCCAGGCATGTTGCGCCACGCAGGCACGCCCGACTGCGGCGCTGGCGGCGCTTGCCGCTCGTCGTCCGGCGCAGCGACGGGCGAGCTTGGCCGCGGCACCTCGTGCGGCTGCAGAGGCGGCGACGCCGGCGCCCCTTCGCCGCGGCCTGGCAGCCCGAGGCCCAACCCCGAGCCGGGCGGCAGGCGCCCCGCGTTCATCATCGCGGCAGCATCGAGCGGCCGCCGCTGCGCATCGCCGACGAGCTCGCTGCGCAGCGCCGGCGCGGCGGCGTCGAGGCTCGGCAGCGAGTCGGGCGACGCGAGCGGCAGCGGCTCGGGCTGCAGCGCGGCCTGCTGCGGCGGCGGCGAGGCGGGCTGTGTGCCGAGCGGCGTCGAGGAGCGCGGCGTGTAGAGGTGCGGCGCCGCGGCCGGGCCGGCGCGTGCGGGCGCGGGCTGCGCGGCAAAGTCGAGGATGGAGATGTCCTGGGACGGGTAGCTGGATGTGCGGGTGGGCGAGGCCGGGCGCGGCGGCTGCACGGCCGCCGCCTGGCGCTCGGACGTGGCGGCGGCGGCCATGCAGCGCGACGCGTCGAGAGAGGGAAGATGGAGCAGGAGAGAGGGGCAGGGGTCACGCCGGGTATGGGAACGGAGCAGCGCGCGACGGGAGCATGGGAGTGGATCGGGTGAGTGGACGCAAGCCAAGGAGCGGCCGTCGCCGCTGAAGCCGGCTGGAGCTGAGGCATGCATCATGGAGAGCCGCACCGCCGCCGCGGCCCTTGGAACGCGCCGTGCAGCGAGCCCTCGACGCGTTTCAGGGTGCAGCGCGGCCGATGGCTGCAAACGCAACCTCCCTCTTCGCGTGTACCATGAACCTGCAGCTGAGCTTTCAATGCTTCATCTGCTGTGATGTACACATCAGAGAGTGCGAAGGCGAGGGAGAGGCGAGGTGCCAGGTGTTGGCGTCACGTGACCCGACGCGTGTTTGTTGCGGAGTGATCTGGGTGACGCGCGCGGCGCGCCTGATGATGCTCCGTGTGCCTGGCCGGCGTGAGAACAGGCTTGCGCCGTTGAGCGACGCTCCTCGATGCCGACCGCCATCACCGCCTCTGCTCCATCTCAGCACATTCACAAGCCTCCGCCCACCGGCGCATACGCACCCACCTCTTCACCGCACTCGCCAGGCCGCGTCTGGCCAGCCACACCATGGACGCCGCGGCGCTCAGCGCCCTGCTGGCGTCGTCGACGGCGACGCTGGCGCAGCTGCATGCCCGCCTCGGCGCGCCCGCCGAGGCGCTCGCCGCCTCCGTCGAGCAGCTGCGGCTGGCGCTGCAGCACGCCGTCGACGCACAGCTGGCACAGGCCGAGCAGGAGGTGCGCGCCGCCGAGCAGCGCTGCGCCGACCTGCAGCGCGAGGTGGCCGAGATGTATGCGGCGCTGGGCATGAAGGAGTCGGACGTGATGCAGAGCACGGAGCGCGTGAGTGGTGCAGCGTGCCATGCCTTGCCGCAGCTGCTCACACTTGCCGTGCAGCCGCTGCTCGCCCGCCTCAAGGACATGGAAGAGACGCTCAGGCACCTCAGCGCCGAGTACACGTCACGCTCGCAGAAGGCCGACGCGCTGCTCTCGCAAGTCACTGCCTACGCGCCGCTGCTGGGCTCCTTCATGCCCAGCGTGCCCGAGACGCCGCAGCCGGCCTCGGAGACGGCGCCGATCCCGCTGCCCGCCTCGTACCTTGCCAGCCTGGCCACCGCGTTGCAGAATGCCGAGAGCGCACATGCCGAGCGCACCGCCGAGCTGCGCGCACATCTGCTTGCGATTCTGCAGCTCTGGTCTGAGCTGTGCGTGCTGCCGACGCTCATCGATGCCGCTGGCCAGGTCACGTTCCAAGCGCGCATCCTGGGCCACCTGCGGCTGCGCGTGGTCGAGCCGCAGATCGCAGACACACCCTGGGAAGGCGCGTTTGAGTCGCTGGCCGACATTGGCGACCAGACGCTCTCGCCGCCCTCCTCGCCGACGACGCGCTCGCGGCCCTCGGGCCCTCTCGCGCCTCCGAGCCTGCAGCCCACGCACGCGCTCGAGCCGCATGCAGCGCACATCGAGGCTGCCGTGGCACTGCGCCAGAGCCTGGAGCAGGAGAAGAGCAAGCGCGAGCTGCGCATCCAGGAGCTGTACGACGAGCTGTACGCGTTGTGGGAGCGCTTCGGCGTGCCCGAGTCGGAGATGGAAGCGTTTGTGCTGGCCAACTCTGGCGCCACGGAGACGGCCATCGAGGCTGTGAGTTGCGCTTGCGGTCCCTTGCGCACGCCGGCTGACCCTGTGGCTGCAGTACGCATCCGAGCTGGCCAAGATGCGCGAGCTGAAGGCACAGCACATGGCCCTCTTCATCTCTGGCATCCGCGAGCGCATCGCGGCGGTCTGGGACGAGCTCTCACTCTCCACGCCGGAGCGACGACACGCTTTCCCGGCCTTCTTCCACGACCTGGACGACACGGGCACCGGCGTCGGCGTGGCGCCGACGGACCAGATCCTTGCGGAGCACGAGGGCTACGAGCATGTGGCGCGCAGCGAGCTGGAGCGCAAGGCGCCGCTGCTGCGCATGGTCGGCAAGTACCGCGCGCTGCTCGAAGAGGGCCTGGAGCTCGAGCGGGCGGCGGCAGACAAGGACCGTCTGAAGGGCAAGCGGGGCCGCCCCGGCGCGCTGCTCGAGGAGGAGAAGACGCGCAAGCGCCTCAAGACATTGAAGCCCAAGGTGAGTGTTGCGCTGTCATGCCTGAGGGCCTTGCGCTGACGCCACGCTCCGGATCAGCTCGAGGAGGAGCTCTTGCGCTCCATTCCGGTCTGGGAGGAAGAGACGGGGCGGCCGTTCATGATCGACGGTGCTCGCTTCGTCGAGGAGCTGCAGGCAGTCGTCGGCCAGGGTAGCGCCGCATCGAAGGTCGCTGCTGGCAAGGTGAGTGCATGTGACGCCCTTCTTCTGGCAGCGTAGGCTGATTTCTTGGCCTCACAGCGCGCGCGGACAATATCGACGTCGAGTGCTTCAAGCGCCGGCCCGCCTTTGAGCGCCTCTGCGCAAACAAACCGGGCCGGCTCTGCGACGCCCATGCGCGCCGTGCCCGCCTCGACGAAGAAGGCACGCACCGCGAGCGGCATGAGCAACGCCGGCAGTGTGCGGGCCACGCCGGCCACTGCCACACGGCGCCCGCCTGTTGCAGGCAGTGCCGCTCGGTCAGGCGTGCCCGTGTCGCAGGCGCGGCTAGCGAGCGCCTCGCAGGTGCCGTCGTCCAGCACCGGCGCAAAGGGCAGCTTTGGCTTTGCTGCTGCCACGCCGCGCGCCGCAAGCTCGACCCAGTTCAAGGCGACGGGCTTCCGACCACGGCCGTCGGCAGGCGGCGTCTTCGGAGGCGGTGCGACGATTCCGGCACGGGTGCCGCCTGGCAAGTGGGCAGCGATGGAGCCAGCCAGGTATCCGTCGCCCGGCCACGATGCTGGCGAGCGGCATGCCTCGGACCACAGCGTGGCCGCCAGCGATGCGACGACGCTCATCCACCGCGCCGTGCCTGCGCCGGCGCCACGACGAGGACCGCGGCCTTCTGCTTCGCTTGCCGACTCGCTTGCAGCCAGAGCGCACGGCGGCACCGCCTACACGCGGCCGTCGATGAGTGGCGCCGGCGATGCGCCCACCATCCGCTCCGTCTCCACCACGACGCTGCTCGCTGGCGAGGCACACGGCGCCTACTCGGCCGGTCCGAACTGGGCCGTGCTAGACGAGGACGAGGAGGAGGCCGAGTGGGACGTGCGCGCCGCACCTCAGGCCGGCTATGCCTGATTGCTTCCCACCCGCTCACTGCCTGCTCTCGCCCCTGCTTCTCCACTGCGCCTGTCCGCCGCCGCTGTACACTAAGATATCCCTCGCAAGATGCTTTCGACAGTTTGTTCGAATTGGGCAGACACGCTTCTGTACATGGCCGGGGTGACGGAGCAGGGAGACGGGCGCGACAGCGGGTGGGAGCGCGGACCAGCCGTGGTTTGGGGCGAAGCACAGAAGGAGGCAAAGGCGCAGCTGTGGCGCGCGGAGACGGCAGACGGAGCAAAAAGAGAGTGTGGGGACGCCCGTGGTGGCGATGTGTGTGATGCGCGACTGGCGCACGAGAAAGACAGGAGCATACGAAGGAGCAGGCACGCGCGGCAGCTTGTGTGGGCGCGCCGTGCGGAGAAGGCAGAAGGTTGCGAGAGGAGAGATGCGCGGGAGCAGCAGGGGTGACGTGACACGGCGCAGAAGATAGATGCAGCAGAACGGAGCGGGATGCAGGCGGCCGAACATCATCGTGCCATCCACACGTCGCTGCCATTCGGCTTGCTGCCGTACGGCTGCTGCGTCTGCTGCGAGTGTTGCTGCTCGTAGCTGGGCCGTGCGTACTCGTCGACGTAGTCGTGGTGGAACGTGGCGATGTTGTCGACGGGCGGCTGCTGCACGTAGGCGCGCTGGCCGTACGGCGCCGGCTTGCTGTTGGCGCGTGCCGGCCGGTCGCCCGACATCTGGCGCTGCGGGCTCGGGCTGGCGGGCTGGCGGTACGACGTGTTGGCCTGCGCCTGCGGCGGCTGCTGCAGCGTCGGCGTCTGCGGCGCGGCGGAGAGCTGGGTGGTCTTGTAGTGCGCGTACTGGTCGTACTGCTGCTCGTACGCCATCGAGTTGCGGTTCGCCTGCTGCTGCTGCGTCTGCGCCGCCGAGCGTGCGGCGGGCTTGGAGCGCTGCTGGTTGCGCGTCTGCTGCTGGTACTGCTGCTGCAGCGAGGCGGTGCTCTGCGCGGCGCCGCCAAAGTCAAACGACGGCGCCTCGTGTGCGGAAGCCTCGGGTGTGCCGGGCGCCACGGGGTAGTTCTGGCGCTGGCGCACGCTGCGGTCGTCGTCGGCACTCCACGTCTGCTGCAGCGGCGTCGAGACCTGCGGGCGGCTGCCGTGCGCGCCGGGCGCGACCCACGAGTAGCGGTTCGTGTTGTGGGCGCCGGGCGTCAGCGATGAGCTCGTCGACGAGCGCGGCAGGCCGGGCGAGCCGGGCACGGAGAGCGTCGGCGAGCTGGGCGACGCGGGCAGGTCGGCGTGCGGCAGCAGCGACGTCGTCGAGAAGTGCGAGCTCTTCTCCCAGCTGCCCGGGCGTGCGCCGCCGTAGGGCGACGTGATGTACGGCGAGCCGCCCTTGCCGAGCGAGTCGCGCTCGGCCATGCTCTTGGCGGCGCGCGCCACCTGCACGGCGGCGAGCGCGACGAAGATGCTGCACAGCGCGCCGAAGCCGCACACGGCAATGTTGTACGGTGTGAAGCCGCTGTTGGTGAAGAGGATGCCGAGCGTCGTGGCCTGGGCGACGAGCACGAGGAGCGCGGCGCCGCCGAGCAGCTTGCCGTGCAGCGCCGTGCGTGCGCCAAAGAGGCGCAGGCCGCGCGTAAAGGCGAGCACGGCGAGCACGAGCGTGTAGGCGCCCGTCAGCGCCAGCACGCTGCCGCTGATGATGAGGAACTTGAACGGCAGCGGGCCGTAGACCTCGGCCAGCTTGCCGCGCTCGTGCGGCGGCTCGCGGATGGCGATGAGCGTGCAGGCGCAGGCGCAGAGCAGGCCCGACGCGGCGACGGGCAGTGCCGCGCGCGTGGCGTACACGTGGCCGGGCATGGCGGAGAGGAGGTCCAGAGGCAGAGAGAGAGAGCGCGAGCGAGAGAGCGAGAGGATGCGGCTAGCAAGGCGGCGGTGAAGGAGAGTGGGGGTGCGGCACGCGCAGGCGGAGAGGGGTATGGGAGACACACGGGAGCGGGACGGAGCGCGGCGAGACGGAGCGGGCTGGGGCTGGGGCTGGGGATGGTGATGGAGCAGACGAGCGGCGCGGCGAGGACGAGGGATGTGTATCGCTGGCGGCACGGCGAGCGCGTCGCGGCGACGGCGCGCGGCAGCAGCAGCCGACAGAGAGCGCACCGCGGCGCGGAGCACCACCAGACCACCACCACGCCCCATCTCGCCGCCGTGCTCTCGCTTCGCTGCAGTGCGCGCGCTGCCTTCTGCGAGCGTGCATGCTGCAGCGGTGCGGCCTGCCCATCTCGCCTCGGACGATCACTTCGGGCAGGCAGCGGCAGACGCAGCGCATCAGTATGCGCGCCGAGGGGCGTGCGGGCCGGCGGAGTCGCCGTGTGCTTCGACAGAAGGCGCGGGCACGGCGCCGCAGCGCCAGCAGCGGCAGCAGCACGGCGGCTGGCAGCACGGCGGCGGCGGCGGCAGACCGGCGGGCAGCGGCACATGCCGACGGTGCGGTGCGGCTCAGCTGCTGCGATGGACTGCACCCGCTGCTTCGTCGCCCTCCCTATGCCTGCCCTCTGCTGCCCAGCACGCAGCAGCCCGACGGCACGGGACGCGGCGCCAGAACGCGGCCGCCGCACGCTACTGCACGCGTGCATGCTGCGGCACGCCTTCGCCCTCGCTGCTGCCGCTCACGCCTCGCACTCGTCCATCTCGCACATGCAGGGCCAGCCTTGGCGCAGTGGAACTCTCCGTCGTCAAGATTGCAGAAGCATGGCGAGCTCGATCTCGCTCTCAATTCGAGGTGGATGCATGACGAGGTCGCCCCGGCTGCTCGGCTCGTCCGACGAGCCGCGGGGGCGTGGGTGTTGGTTGACGGCCAGCCAACACAGACGCGTGGGGGCACGCGCGGCAAGGGACGAGTATGCGCGGGCAAAGGGGCGCGCGGTGGGTGAGATCGCGGCACCTCGGCAGGGCTCGCAAAAGCACCGAGGTGTGAGAGCAGGCCGAGGCGGCCCAAGTGCCGAGAAGGGCAGGCGGCAGCGCCCGGGCGGCGGCGTACCGCGGCGCAGTGCAGGACGCTCGGTGTTGTGCTCCTCGGCCGCAGCGCTGCACCTCGCGCACCTCCTGCGCAAGCTGTGGCGTTGCGCTGCATGAGGCGCGCGAGGTGCGCGTGCCTGCACCTCGCTCCGCAGGGCTGGCGCGGATCGAGCGGAGGCAGGCCGAGGGCTCGGAGGGAGCGACGGCGAGCTGAGCAGCATGAGGCGCAGGCATGAAGGCGAAGAACGAGCTCAAAGCACACTGCACAGCAAGCGTCGGCGAGAGAGAGCTCGGAAATGGCGTGCGGCCGCGAGTGCGGCGTCCATGCGCCGCAACGGCCGCTGGCAGGCGGCAGCACGCTTCGCAGCCGTTGCGTCGCTGCGAGCCGTTGCGGCAGCGAAGGCACAGGCCGCCGGCCGCCGGTCGACGCTGAGGCCGCTCAGCTGCGCTCCCCATACCGTCGACGCCGACTCTTCTCGGCGCGCGCGGGAAGGCACAGGGACCGTTGCGCTAGGGAGGCACGGGCGATGCCTATTCGCCGAGAAGCTTTCGTGGTCTGCTCGGCGCTGCGCAGGCGGCGCTCGAGACACTGGCCCACTCGTCTGGGCCAGCCTGTGCCTTTGTGCTTGTTCCCATGAAGGAGGCTCGTTCGCAGAGTGGCAGCGTCGATCAGTGTCCTCGACGCCAGGGACGACGCGCAAAGAGGGCGCTCGAGCCGCGTTCCAGCTCAGATCTTACAGCTCATGAGCACGCAAAGCCGAGGCGAGGTGCACCTGGATTTGCACTGGACGACACAATCCAGCACCGACGTGCTGCACCGCTATCACTCGGGAACACGAGGGTCGCGCCGGAGGCTCAACGCAGCGTCAGGATCAAGAATCGGATCCTCGCAACCGCCGCGCGTCGTCGAGGCAGAGCTTGGTTCGCGCCCGTCGTCTTGGCGCATGCACTTCACCCGAGCGTGCACTCAGTGATTCCTGGAGGCGGATGGGCTCAAAATCAGCCTGCTCTCTATCTGTGCGTCCTCTTGGAGTCAAACGCATCACGCGGCTTGCCGTAAAGGCGACGCATGGGGCCGACATCTGTGCGCGTTTGCAGAGCGTTGACCGTGATGCACGAGCCTCCCTCTTCCTCGCTCACATTCGCACTTGCCTCCTTCAGAATACCAGCTTTGCTGCAGAAGCAATCAAGAGATAGTGTCTGACTGGTCACGAGGATCCATTAAAGATGGCACGCAGGCAGGCAGCCGTCAAGGCGCGGGGGCGCGTGCGCATAAGTGTGTGGCAGGGTGATGAGGTGGAACGAGAAGGGATGCTAGAGTGGGCGCGTGTCTCTGGCAGATATGAGCGGAAAGGAGATACAGATGATGAGGGTGGTCTACGGCAACAGAGAGACACAGCGACGAGAGAGAGAGGGGGATATATGGCCAGCCTAGGAGAGGCGCTCAGCGCCCGCCAGCCTTCCAGGCGATGGGCGGCGCCGCATGTGCGCGCGACGCTCCCGGTGCCGCAGAGCCGCTGGCGCTGCGCAGCGAGTTGCCAAAGAGGCCCTTGGACGAGGAGCTGCCCATGCCGGAGCCGCCGCGCACGCGAGCAGGCACGCCGGCCGAGGCGCTGCTGCTGCCGTCGAGCGCGTCGCGAGACGTATTGGCGGCGCTGCTGGTGCTGCTGCGCAGAGCAGCCTGTTGTCCAGTGGCCAGACGAGCGGCAGTGTGGCCGGGCGGGCCAGAGGCGAACTGCGCATGGCTCGCGAGGCTGGGACTCGGCGGCTTGCCCGAGTCGGCGAGGCGCGGCAGCGAGCTGCGGCGCTGCCGGCGCACCGGCCCGCCGGCCGTCTCGCGGCTGTCGCGGCGCTTGTACGGGCTGGAGCGGGTGCTCGCCGAGCTACTAGCAGCGAGTGGCCCGCTCTCGGACGTCTGAGCCAGCTCAGTAAAGGGCGCTCTGGCGGCAGGCACGCGGACCGGCGGCGCCGCCGTCGTCGTGGAGAGCGTGCGGGCGCGCGGCGCCACGGCGGCGACGAGCTTGAGGTCAAAGTCGTCCTGCGCCTCGCTGAGGGCACCCAGCGCCGAGTTGGCGGCGGCCCGCTTGGCGAGGAAGTTGCGGTCGAAGAGGCCGCCGCCACCAGAGCCGCTGCCTGCGCTGACTGATCGCGGCTTGGGCGCTGGCCGCGCCGTGGTCGCCTGGCGCTTGGCTGCGCTCCGCTCGTCCTCCCACTCGGTGCCCGAGCTCGCCCCTTCGTCGGCTCCGTCGCTGCTGGATGCCATGCGTGCGTCGACAGCAGCCTTGCGAGCGCGGCCTGCCTCGTCTGGGCTCGCTTCGCTCTCGACGTCGGCCTCGGCACCCGTGTCGCCTGCGCCAGTCGCATGCGCATCGTCGATGCAGCCCTCGCCCGCCTCGTCGGCCCAGCGGAAGGCCTTCTTGCCCTTGTCGACGGCGGCTGGGGCAATCGAGGCCCGTGGCGGTGGCCGCATGGTCGCCAGCGTGCTCATACGCCGCCCCGAGAGACTCGTGCGGGCACGTGCCTTGCGTGGCGAGGCGACGAGGTGCGAGCGCGCCAGGCTGGCGGCCGTGGGCGCGGCGGCAGACGACACGGCGCCCGGCCGGACCTTGGACGGCGACGGAGGTGCGACTGCCCGTGGTGCGTGCGAGATGCGCCGGTTGGCGCGCAGCATGGCCCGCGGCGGAGAAGCGGCGGCAGAGGAGGAGGCGAGCGGAGGCATCGAGTGCACGCTCTGGCGCGCGGAGCGGCGCAGCACGGCGGTGCCGCGGCGAGGAGCGGCAGCAGAGCGTGGCGCCGGGACGTCCGGCGTCACGATACCCGTCAACCGCTGGATGATGGCATCGTTAGAGGCGCCGGCGCTGCGCAGCAGCTTGGCGAGCCGGCCGAGCGCCTCGGGCGTGCTCTCGTCGGCATCAGTGCTGCCAGTCGTCGCGCGGAACTCGAGCTCGCCTGCTGCCTCCTTGAGCGCCGCCGTCGCCCGTGCGGCCGCACCGGTGGCGAGCACGACGTCAGACGCCGATGCCACCAGGTCAGCCTTGAGTGCCTCATACATCTTGGTCGCTCTTGCCGCCTCGACCTCGCGCAGCAGCGCATCGCCGCTCTCGCGCACGCGGGCCGAGGCCTCTGCGTCGAAGCGGTGGTTGTTGGACGCAGCGAGGACGAGTGCACTCTGCATCTGCAGACTGTTGGCGAGAGAACGCGCCTGCGCCACCGCTGCCTCCTCTTGCGCCCGCGCCTCTGATCGCGCGATGAGCGCAGCGATCAGCTGCCGCTCCGCGACCGCATCTGCCGCCTCGTCTGGGCCAGCCTTGGCGATCTCGTCGTCCAGCGCAGCCGCCGCGGCGCGCAGCGGCTCGAGCCGCACAGCCGCCGCCTCGAGCTGCACCGCCGACGCCGCGCGCTCGGCGACCAGCCGCTTGACGTTTTCGGTGCTCTCGAGCATGCGGCGCTTGGCCTCGACGACCTCGCGGCCAATCTCCTCGCGCTTGCGCTTCTCGCCCGCCGACTCGATGGCGCCGCGCTCGGCGAGCTTCGTCTTGAGCTCCTGCACCTCCTCCTTGAGCTCGTGGATCGCCTGCACGTACTGCGCCACGTGGCGGTCGACGTTGAGCATGTTGCGGCTGACCTTTGTGCGGATGTTCTTGGCCTGGTTGGCGTACTTGAGCGTGTTGTGCGTCTCGTCGTAGTGCGCGCTCGAGGGCGACACGCAGACGATCATCACCGTCTTGCAGTTGCCGCCGAGCGAGAACTTGAGCAGGCGCGTCAGCTTGCTGTTGCGGTACGGCACGTGGGCACGCCGGCTGCCGGCCGTCGAGCAGAGGGCGTTGATGCAGTTGCCGAGCGCGAGCAGGCTCTTGTTGATGTTGGCGCCCTCCTTCATGCGCGCGCCGCTGTTGGCCGTCGCCGAGGCGCGCTCCGAGCCGGCGAGGTCGATGATGCTCAGGCTCGCGCTCGTCGTCTCGGCGCTCGTGCCCGAGGCGCGTGGCCGCTGCGTGACGTTGATCTGCAGCACGGCGTGCGAGCGCGACGAGACGGCGTTGGCCTCGGTGGGGCTCATCGTGCGGCGCTTGTTGCCCTCGGTGATGGCCTCGAGCACTGCCTCGGGGCTCGACGGCACGTACTCGGTGATGCCGACGACGCTGATCTTGTTGCTGCTGTCCTCGCGCAGCATCAGCCCGCCGCCGGCCGCGGGCGTGGGCTCGGCGGAGAGCAGGTCGCGGATCGTCTCGTTGTAGATCTCGAGGTACGAGAGGCGGATCGCCACCTCGCTCTCGTCGCGCGCGTCGTTGATGCGCGAGTAGAGCTCGCGCATGGTGAGGTAGATGACGCCCGGGTCGCTCTCGCTGCCGGAGATGGTGTGCGTCTTGCCGCAGCCCGTCGCCTGCCGCCTCGTCAGCTCGTGCGCGCCACCCGCAGCGCTGGCCTGCAGTCAGCACTCACACCATAGGCGAACACCGTCGCGTTGTAGCCGTTGAGGATGCCGTCGAGCAGCGGGCGCGTCGTGGCGTCAAAGACGGCCTCCTGGCCCATGCTGTCGTCGAGCACGCGGTCGAAGGCATAGCGCACGTCCTTGGCCTTCTTCTGGCCGATGCCGAAGCCGGTGCTGTAGAGGCGCGAGATGGGGTTGCCGTCGGGCGGGTCGAAGATGAGCACCTTGTCGTCGACGGGCGTGATGATGGGGCGCAGGAACTTGCTGCGCGGGCCCAGCGCCGGCTTGGCCGGCGACGCCGAGAGGCTGCCGTCGCCGAGGAAGGGCGCGGGGATGTCGGTGGGCGCCAGCAGCGCGGCCTCCTTGGCGCTGAAGGGGCGGATGCGCACTGCGGGGGCTGTGAGCGTGGAGCAGGGCCCGCTGCGGCAGCGCACTGACCGGCGACGGAGATGGACGAGTCGGACATGGCGGACGCACGCAGGCGGCAGGCGCCGCACCAGGGAGCGGCGCTGGCAAGTGCGGCGAGCGCAGCGACACGAGGCTGCGAAGACGGCGCAGAGTGCAGCGAGCTGCCCGCGCCGGGAAGGGCGAGAAAGGTGGGCTTGAGGTGAGGCTGCGGTGTGGAAGTCGAGGAGCAGGAGCGAGAGCGGCGCCGCGCTCGGCGTCCAACACGCGCACGGCAAGCTTAAGCGCGCGCTCTGCCAGCTCCACCTCGAACGGGTGCAGCGGGCGCAACACCACCGGCAGGCGCTCCCAGTCCCCGCCTCGGCCAGCCTTCAACCATACAGCACGACAAGCCTCATTGCTGCTGCTGTTCACCATCTTTGCATCTCAGCATCAGCCCTTCCTCTGAGCTCACCGCTGCCCGCCGCCTTGTCGCGCGAGGTGCGCTGGCACAGGCATGCGCGAGAGCAACACACACCTTCCAGGCACAGGGCCGTGCAGGGGCGCCGCCGCCGCCCCTTCCCAGGCACGCGTCGCGCACGTGACGGCTGGCGGGCGCGCTGCTCCCAGGCGCGCCGCCGCCGCCGCCAGCGCTGCTCCGTGCCCACCTTCCACCACCACTCCCTCACCCTGCACACCATGTCGGCCCTCTCGCGCGCCCTGCCGGCCATCAAGGAGATCCGCCTGCACCTCTGCCAGAGCGGCCAGGCCTCGGCCGGCGCCCGGTGAGTCGTGGGCGCAGAGGCGCATGGCGGCCCGCAGTTGGCCTGCAATCGTGCTCGCTGGAGTACGGCGAGCTGCCAGATGGCCGCTGCTGTGATGCCGCGGCATGCACAGCCTGCACAGCTCCGTGTCCCGGTGTGCTGACAGACCGGCCACACAGCGAGTTCCTCAAGGCCGCATACCCGTCGCTCAAGGAGGCCAACCCCAACCTGCCCTTCCTCATCCGCGAGGCCCAGGGCACGCCGGCTCGCATCTTTGCGCGCTTCGGTGAGTTGGCGGTGGGGCAGATCGTTGAGGTGTGGCGCGGCGCCTGGGCGCAGAACGGCACGGACAGAGCGTCATGACTACGCAGGACGGCGTGCTGGGGACCGAGGCGAGGCTTGAGCAGGCCTTGCCCACGCGCAAGCATGGCGGCGGTGGGCGCCTGGACACGAGCTGTGCCCCATGGCGGCAGCAAGTCTGCCCTTTACGCTCGTTGATAGCGGCTGACGCGATCTGCAGACCGGGGGGTGGAGAAGCATGCGGAGCTCGACGGCCTGAGCAAGGCCGACGTCGAGAAGAAGGTCTCGGCGCTGCTGGGCTAGATGGGGGAGGGGACGAAATGCGAGACATCTTCAGCAAAGCGAGACTGCCTTTGGCAGCTTTGAGGTGCGCAGGGAGCAGGTTTTGGTATTGCAGCAGATGAAAGCATCGCTTGCAGTAGCGGGCGAGAAGTACCGCTGGGCAGAATAAGTGAGTCGTACATAGAGAGAGGTGATTATGGAGGATGCGCGGGGGCGCTCAGAAGAGCAGGATGTACGCCTCGGCAAGGCGGTTGCGCTCGAGCAATGGCGTGCAGTGCAGCAGGCCGGTGCGGAACGTGACCTGCTGTGTCGCCAGTGCGCCGAGCTCCTGCGGGTGCTTGGGTTTGGCGGCCAGCTGTGCCTTCTTGCCCAGCGCCATCTCGACGCGCACCGAGTAGGCGACGCCGCGCTCAAAGGCCGTCTGCGGAGGAGAGGGTCAGTGGATGGCGAGGCAAAATGGCGGCACACGCCATACCTTGACGGCCTGCCGCAGACGCAGCGTCTGCGCCCGGTCGTTGGAGGAGAGCAGCTTGACGACATCGACGTTGAGCAGCGCGTTGGCGTGCGTCTGCGCGGGCGTGTGGGTAGGGTGCCCGAGATACTCGAGCAGCTGGGCTGTGGGGGGAAAGGTGGTGTGAGAGGTAGGCGCAGTGTGCGTCAAAGGCAGGACGCACGCGTCACAAAGATGATCTTGCGGCCTGCGAGGTGGTGAGCTGAAGATTCGGAGCAGCTGGCTCTGCGACTCACCCTCGCGCCGGACGATCATGAAGCGCGAGTAGCTGTGGAGCGATCGGCCGGTCAGCAATCGCCCGCCGGCACTCTGTTGCTGCCGCGAGGTGGTCTTACACATTCTCGAAGCGCGCCATCTGTCGGCCAGCGGTCAGCTCTCTGCGCTGCAGCGTCCGTCGCACCACAGAGCTCACCTGCTCCTCGATCGGCAGCACGCCCTCGAACTGCGCCTCTGCGCCGCCGAGCTTCTGCGAGAACTCGTTGAACGGCGAGGGCCGCTTGGGCCCAAAGAGACGTGCGCGCAGCTTGCCCGCGATGCCCGTTGCCGCCGGACTGCCGAGCTGCTCCGTCTGCTGACGGGCGGGAGTATCTTGCTGGCCCGCAGCACGCCGCGGCGCGGACATGGTCGATGTGCGCCGGTCGCCGGAGAGGAACGCAGAGGGGTCGAGCCCGAGGCTGCGGGCTGCTTGCGTGGTGATCTCGTCGCTGAGCTCGATGCCCGACTCGCCGGAGCGGCTGAGCGCGCTGGCCTTTGCCAGCAGCGTCTCGGCGTGCTACAGGACTGCATCAGCACTGTGTCGTACTGCGCCAGCATGTCGACTCACGACGTCTTCGATCGAGCCAAACGCATCGTCCGACGAGCCGCCGAGCAGGAAGCCGAGCGACGCCTTGGACGAGAGCGCGCCCGTCACCTCGACCTGTCCGCCGACGCTGTACACGACCTGGCCCGCCGAGTCGCGCACGGGCGTGATGCTGAGCAGGTTGAAGAAGGGCGTGCCGTCGAGCTTGTAGTTGAGCAGCAGCTCCACGACGGGCTTGTTGGCATTGAGCGCGTCGCGGATACGCTGCACGGGCTCGTTGGCCGTGCTGGGGCCCTGCAGGAAGCGACAGTTGCGCCCGACGATGGCCTCGATGGGGTAGCCCGTCATGCGCGAGAAGCCCTCGCTGGCGAGCACGATCGGCGCGTCCGGCAGACTAGTGTGGACAGGGATCAGCTGCGAGATCGGGTTCTGTCACGAGCGCGCAGGCTCACCGCGGATTCGTGATGCACCACACTGGTAACAGGAGGGCAGAGATCAGCATGCAACCCAGCGGCAATCCACGCCGACACACCTTCTCCAATGTCGCCACGGTCTTGCGCATTGATGCACGTGGCGAGGCGGACCTGACAAAATAGCGTCAGCCGCAAAGTGGCAGCAGCAGCGGCATCGTCGACGCACCTTGGCCTGCTCCGCCAGCTTGGTGCGGATGAACTTGTTGAAGTGGCGCACGTAGAGGTCATGCCGCACGCCCTGCGCAATGGTGCTGAGCGACTCGTGCGTCGCAAGCAGGTCGCGCAGCGAGTTGACGGCGCGCATGCGCGCCTCGGAGGTGGTCTCGACCTCTTTGCTCGCCTGAGAGACAGCGTCAGCTGCGCACCGATGAGCGCACGCGGATTGCTCACTCCAGGCGAGAGATAGACGTGGTGCATCGCCATGCCGACGGCTTGAGCGTGGCGCAGGACTGGAGAGCGGACGTCAGCCATGCCGAAGCATGCAATCGCATCACGCACTCTCGCTGAACGCCGCCGTGTCGGAGAGAAAGTCGAGCGACGCCACTGCGCTGCGGTCGACGCCGGCGAGCCATTGCTGCCGGGATCTGTCAGCACGTGGTCTCTGCTTGCCCTTCTCCTGCACACTCACACGGAAGCGGAAGCGACCCAGCGCGTCCTCGAGCAGGTCCGCAAAGACGCCCTCGCTCATGAGGCGAATGAGCGAGTGTTCCAGCTCACGCTTGACGCGCGAGTCGCCCAGTGGGTGCGACGTGGCGCGTCCCGGCAGCAGCGTGCCGAGGTCGGGCAGGTTGCTGATCTGGCTGCCGACGGAGCTGTCGTTGTTGCTCGGCGCGTACGCCGTGCTGGAGCCGTTCTGCCCCGAGCTCGGCAGGCGGCCGGCCGTGATGCCGCCGAAGAGGTTGCGCGGCAGCGTCTCGCGCCGGAGCGTGCCGCGCTCCGAGGAGAGCAGGTCGTCCTCGGCAGCGCCGGCGTTAGGCGGCGAGAGGGGAAAGAGGCGCGGCTCCTGCCTGCGCGGCGGACTCGTGCCTGCCTCGCTCGACATGGCCGAGATGGATGTGGGCGCGCGCGTCTGGCCGTCCGAGGCGTAGCGCTCCTCAGCAATGCTGCCGTGCTGCGAGCTCGGCGCCAGGCGCGACGAGGAGCGCTGCAGCGGCAGCGGCGGCAGCGGCGGGACGTGCTCCGAGGCGACGCGGCTGCGCGGCCGCAGCGCCGCGAGGCCCGTGTCCTCGGACTTGAGATTGTCGGCGCTGGCGGCGCGCTGGGCGATGCCCTTGGGCAGGCGCGGCACGTCGGGAATGCGCGTGGTGCGCTCGCTGCCCTGGCCCAGGCGGCGTGCCAGCATCTTGCGGCTGCCCTCGCTCGCCTCGGAGTCGCTGCTCTCGCGTACGCTGCCCGGGCGCGGCGGGCGCAGCCACGACTTGCCCTTGTTGGCCTTGTTGATGATGTGCACGACGTGCGGCAGGGCCTCGCTGCTGGCCGACTGCAGCTCGGGCATGGCGGGCTGCGCGTCGCTGAGGCCGAGGCTGCTGTCGTCGCTGGAGTGGGCGTCGCCGAGTGTCGCGGGCGCCTCCCAGTAGAAGGACGAGGAGCGGGAGGAGGCCAGGTCGCGCGGCTGCACCGCGAGCTGCTCCATCGGGCCGCGAGTACGTCAGGTAAGAGAGAGGCTGATGATGGCGACGGGCGAGAAGGCGGCCTCTTAAGAGCGGCGGAAGTGCGCCGTGTCCATCGGCGTGCGACGACGGCGGGACGCCCTCTGGAAGAAGCGCTATCGCGGGCCTCACTCTGTCCCATGCGCCGGAAGCATCTACTTTTGGCTCATCCTAGAGCGCGCTGCAGAGCCTCTCTGCCGGCTGCGGCGCCTTTCAGCTGCATCTCACCGCTGCGGTGGGCGGCGGCGGCGGCGTGGCCCCTAATGCTGTGACCGAGATGCCGGCTTGCTCAGGGGCGTGCCGCAGCAGCACAGCACCCGACGTTGAGGCGCGGCATCTCGCTGGCAGCTCCAGCAACACATCTAAGCTCTGTTGCGCTGCTATTTCAGGGTCGCAGCAGCGTGTGCTGGGTGTGGTGGTGCACTGGCAGCAGCGAGGCCGGCGCTGCTTTCCGGCAAGAGGGGCCGTGCCAGGGCGCCCAAACGTGGGAGCAGGCCTTGTGATGACGTAAGCACGCGCACGGGCACCCGCCGCGCTCGATGTCGCCCTCGCTCGTTCTCCACCGCCCCTCTCGCTGTCCTTCCTCCATCCCCTCTCCACACGCCCGTCCTCCACCCATGGTGCCCTCGCTGAGCGTCGCGCTCAGCGCCCTGCTCGCGCTCAGCGCACTCGTCGTCGCCGAGTCTCCCGCGCCGCGCACCTACACGCTGCTGCACCGCCATCTCTCTGCCTCTGCTTCGCCCGCCTGGCAGCTGCGCGGGCACGTCTCGCTCGAGCCGAGCCTGAGCGCGCTGCACGGCGTCGACGCGCTCTTGCAGGCACAGGCTCAGCCGCACGAGGTGCTGCACGGCGACAAGGGGTGGTACCAGGTGCTGCTGCAGCCGGGAGATGTGAGCCCGGGCGGCAGCAACGTGCCCGCCGATGCGTGGCTCGCGAGCACGAGGGCGGTGAGTGACATCGATTGTGCCGGGGTGGAAAGGTGCAGCCCGGTGCTCCGGAGACGCGTGTCACACCTCAGCTTGGTGCGCAGCGCGGCAGCAGACCTCGCCCTCTTGCACCACCCGCGCCGCATTCGCCTCGCTACTGACCCCTTTCCCCCGCCGCAGTGCCACCTGCCCTCCTCGCAGGCCCTCACGCTGCACCTCCCGCCTCTGGGCGCCGCCAACAGTGGTTCTGTGCGCGCGCTTTCGCTGCAGACACTCGACCTCGCGTCCGACGAGCTGGACGCGTCGGGCTGCCCGCGCGTGCCTCGCGTGGCCGGTGCTCAGGAGACGCAGACTCAGTTGCATGTCGTCAGGGCGGGAGGAGCGGGCACGTGAGTCGCGCAAGCTAGAGACGAGCTGGAGAGCAGCGCAGAAGGGAGTGCTTACAGCATCTCGGCTGCCAGACCACCGCCGCGTCCGCCGCCCGTCCTCAAGCCGGACGGCACGCCTCTGGCCGACGGCGAGGCACCGCCAAAGGAGAAGAGCTTCGTGCAGAAGTACTGGTGGGCCCTTGGGTTGGCCGGTTCGTGACTTGCAGCTTCGGAGCCTGTAGGATGTCGAAGAGCTGACCTTTGACCTTCCCTCGGTGGCTCCTGTCATTTCAAAACAGTCATCATGCTGGGTGCGTCCTCGAATTGCGTCCACTCTTGTGTGCCTTCTTCGCCGAGCCTAAGCTAACCCGCGTTCCTCTCCTGACAGCCATTCCGTCGGAGGTGGGTCCATTGCGCGTCCAGACCGTCGAGCGTGCTGCTGACCCTTCACCCACCAGCTTGCGGACAGCGGCGAGACAGAGGAAGGCGGCGATGCCATGAGCGGCCCGCGTCTCGGCGGCAGCTCAGGCGCCGGTGCCGGGCCCGCACAGGCTGGCGGCGGCATGAAGCGCATCCGCTGATTGCGCAAGCAATGGAGACGAGAGACAATGTAGATTTGGATTCTGATGACGAGTGACATGCACGGATGGCCGTGGGTGATGAGCGCGGACGAGTGAAGCGACAGTGAGTGATGTGAGGGACACGGCGACGTGAAGAGGCGTGAGTGAGGTCGTCAAGGGCGAATGAGGCTCGAGAACTAGAGTGGGACGGCGTAGAGTATGCGGAAAGGTGGTGAGACGTGCAGAGGGGGCCTCAGCGGCGCATGGCAGCAAAGTGCCCTACATGACGCTGCACTTGCAGCACCCGGCGCCGTCGTCTGCCGGCTGCGGCTGCTGCGGCCTTGCGTCGGCGGGCGCATGCGGCGGATAGCGCGCCGTGTCGAGGTTCGTGAAGGGCTGCGACGAGCTGGAGGCATCTTGTCTGCCGCTGCGGCGCACCGACGCAGGCGTCGCATCCGAGCTTCGCTTGTCGGACGAGAGGTGCGGCGCTGGCAGCAGATGCTGTTGCTGGGCTTCGAGCGCCTGCTGCTCATCGAGCAGCTTCGCCTCAGCCTCAGCCTGCGCATTGATGGCCTGGAGCCGCGCCGCCTGCTCCTCGCGGTCGCGCGAGTCGCGCAGCGCCATCTGGCTCTTGCTCAGCGGCATGCCGCGCGTGTCCCACGTGTCGATGAGGCCGTCTGCGCCGGCGCCCTCGGCAATGAGGCGCTCCTGCGCCACGCGCCGTGCGATGGCTGGCGGCAGCACTTCGTCCCACGGCGATGCTGGTGCGCTATTGCTCGCGCTCTCGCGCTGCGGCGTGCCAGGCGCGCCGCCCAGCGTGGCGCCGCGCTGCCGCGCCGGAGAAGGCACGCCGCCCAAGGGACCAAAGTCGCTCAGCATGGCGTCCGAGGGCGTCGAGTCGCGCCGCGAGCGCATGTTCGGCAGCGTCGCCGGCGGCTCGTAGGGACGGACTGCTGGCGGAGGCGTCGCGGGCGGCCCGGCGCTGGCCATGCTGCGTGAGGAGGCGTGGCTCGCCATGCCGTTCGGCTTGGCGGTCCCGTCTTGGCCGTTTGCTCGTGCGCTCGACGTCCTGCGCGGGCGCTGCACGGGCGCCTGAATGCGTGTGTCCGGCGGACTCGGGCTGCGTTCTGCGTGCGCCTGGTGCGGCTTCGTGCGCGTAGCAGCCCCAGCAGCAGCGGTGCCGACGGACGGGCGGCGCACGACGGCCGGCGGGCGCATGGGCGTGCTGAGCGTGCGCATGCGCGGCGACGGCTCGGCGGCCTGCAGCGCCGCCACGCGCGTGCGGCCGGCAGACGATGATGGCTCGGCGTCGCCCATGCCCGGCAGCGGCGGCGGTGCCTCTGCCGGCGCCCGGCGTCGCGGATCCTCCTTGGCGCCGCGCAGCGAGCCGGCCGAGCCGCGCTCGCGCGCCAGCGAGCGCGCCCGCTGCCGTGCACGCTCGCGCTTTGCCTCTTGGCTCTCTGCCTCTACGCCGGCGTGCTGCGGCTGCGGCTGCGGCTGCCACGGGCCCGTGACGCTGCGCGGCGCCGTGCCTCCCGCCGCCGGCTCGGCGTCGCCGCGATGCGCCGAGCGCGCCGCACGCGCTGCCAGGGCGTCGGCGCCGAGCGGCGCCCATGCGTCGGGCCCCACGGCGTCGATGCGGCTGATGCGGCGGCCCAGCTTGGCCGACTCGGCCTCGAGGCGCTTGCGCAGCGCCGGCACAATCTCCTCGTCCCACGCGTGCGCCGGCGCCGCGGCCGGCGCGGCCGGCGCCCAGACGTCGCGCTCGTGCGCCGCGGCAGGCAGCACGCCGAGGCTCGTCATGGCTGCGGCGGTGCAGCGGTGCGCAGCTCGGCGCGCCGAGGGTGGATGGCGGCGCGCTGGATGGCCGGGCCGGCCGGCGGCGGCGCAGGAGAGCTGAGGACGAGAGGATGAGGGGTGGGGCTGCGAGGATGTGGGTCGTGGCGATGAGGCGTGCTGATGGTGGTGGTGGTGGTGGGAGACAGGCGCCGCTGAGCAGGAGACGAGGCGGGATGAGGCGGCGGCGGCGGCGGCGCTGGAGGTGAGAGGCGGCGCCAAGGACAAGCAGCGAGAAGCGAGCTCGAGGCGCAGAAGGCACCGCGGCGGCGGCCGCGCGAGCGGCAGCCGCTGCACCGCCTTGGCCTTTCGCACGGGCAGCGCAAGGCGCGCCGCTGTGCCGCATGCCGCCGCAGCGCTACGCCCGCACCGCGGCGCTGCCCCTCGCGCGCGCGGCGTGCCGCTCCGCAAGCGGCCGCGCGACCTTCGCCATGATGAGCCCCGCACCAGCCGCACAAGCACCGCTTCCATGCTGCGAGCGCCGGGGCATCAAGATTTGCGCGGGAGCAGAGCGACGGGCGATCAGGCACCGGCGGCGGCTCCGGCTCGCAGCGGCACGGCGCACAACGTGGCCGGCGGCCGTCCTCGCGGTGCAACCGGCTGGTGCAGCTCGCAGGACGCAAGCAGCGTCGTGCGCAGGCTCGCACCGACGTCTGTAGCACCCGGATGCATTCGAAATGTCGCCTGGACCGGTGGCTTGAGATCCTTCCACGCTGCAGCTGCTACAGACGAGAAGCGAGGCTGGCGGGTGGGGGCGGCGAGCATAAAGTCGTGCCTCGGGGCGCCGGCCGCTCCGGACGCGTCCGGCCTGCACTCAGCCGCTGCTGCCCGGTTGCGGCACCTGTCGAAGCAGGGTGCGAGGGCCTGCAAGATGCTTTGCTCTCCGTCCAGCGACCCGCCTCTCAGGCCCTTGGCCGACGCAAGATGAAGTGCCGCCTGCCCCTGCACGGCCACGGCGCAGCGCGCGCCGCGCGCGCGCCCCTTGGGACGCGCCTGCGCGGCTCTGGCGAGCCTGGGGGCTGCGCAACGTCTCGCTTCAGCCTCGCTTTGAGTGTCTAGCCTCGCCAGCCGCGACCCGTCGTTTGCTGTCACTCCACCCGGGCTCAGCTCGGCCACGGCCGCGGACCTCTCCGAGCCCCTGCCCAAAGGAGTTAGCGAGGCTAGATCTGTCAGTGAGGAGGCCGGTCCGTGCGCCAGGCCGGATGAACATGCGACTTTGCCTCGAACATTCGGCCATGCGGATGCGCATCTTGTCCTTGCTCTCGCTCTCTTGTGGCAGCTCGTGCCAGACTGGCGGAACGTCGCTGCTGGAAGCGGAGGCGCTGCACGAAGGATCAAGAGCTCGTCGGGGCGAGGCAGCTCGGGCGATGACGCTCTGCTGAGCGCTGAGGCTGCCGCGCTGCGCAGACGCCGCAACCGGCACCGGCTGCCTCTGCGCTGCTGACGTGCGCCGGCGGCCCAGCGATCAACGCGCGCCGCTTTCCTTTCTCCACATGCGCTCCACGGCGAGCCTCCGATGCAGGGTCCTCGCAGCGGTGGCTTGGGCCAACCAGAGCGAGCGCGATGGCAAGCTAAGCAGCGCAGCACCGATGCGCAGCGCCGAGCGACGGCGGCAGCATGGCGGGCGTCTCATGGCAGCACGAGCATCTCATGAGCCGTGACGGGAACTCGGCGCGGACGGTACGGCAGCGTTGAGCGGAGGTGCGCGAGGCCGCGCGGCGCCGGTGCCGCTGCTTGCGCTCTGCGTCATGAGGGAGCTGACGCACGATCGGGCAGGCCGCGAGGGTGTTGCGCCGCACCGCACCGCAACGGCGAGCGACGCTGCTTAGCAACCCTTCGGCCTCGGGCAGCACGGCGCCAGCCAGAGTACAAGGAGCACAGCGAGGCGTGGTCCTTTCTGCCGTCCCACCACCACCTCCAGCTCCTAGCCAGCTGCCACCCACCCACCCAACCCACCCACACTCTCCACCATGGCCCCCTCCGCCACCAGCACGGCCTCGGCGCCGGCCGCGTCCGGCAACCCCGTTGCGCTCGGCGAGCCCGGCTACCACCTGCCCGTGCGCAGCTTCGCCGACGACGCGTACGGCACGACGGGCATCTACACGACGAGCAACGGCGTCGCCGTGCCGCACCCCTACGCGTCGCAGCGCGTCGGCCAGGACGGCCCGCTGCTGCTGCAGGACCACCACCTGGTGTGAGTGAGGCGGATTGCTGGGCGTGGAGAGCATGCCGCCGCAGAGGTGCTGCAATGCGGCAGCGCCACCGCGGCGGTGCAGCATGCCGCCGATGCCGTGCCACCGGCACGGCAGTGGTGCTGCGGGCATGCCGCCGATGTTGGACCTCGCAGACCGCTCATGTTGGACACGCCACTCACTCCATCCGCCCGCAGCGACCTCCTCTCGCACTTCGACCGCGAGCGCATCCCCGAGCGCGTCGTGCACGCAAAGGGCGGCGGCGCCCACGGCAAGTTCACCTGCACGCACCCCATCCCGCACCTCTCCGTCGCCAAGCTCTTCGGCGAGGCGGGCAAGGTGACGCCCGTCACCGTGCGCTTCAGCACCGTCGGCGGCGAGAGCGGCTCGCCCGACTGCGCACGTGGTGCGTCGGCAGTCAGAGTGGCTGCCTTGCACGGCGCACATCGCTGACCCGCCGCTCAGACCCGCGCGGCTTCAGCATCAAGTTTAGGACCGAGGAGGGAGTGAGTGCCCATGTGTCGGCGGCGTCGTCGTCAACGCTGCCATGCTGACAGTGCGCCACGCAGAACATGGACTGGGTCTTCAACAACACGCCCGTCTTCTTCCTGCGCGACCCGGCCAAGTTGTGAGTCGCCGCGCAGCCTCCGACGCGTCGCCTCTCCTCCATCGTACTCAGCTCCGTCTCCTCGACAGCCCGAACTTCATCCACACCCAAAAGGTGCGAGAAGAAATTGGGCTTTGCAGCGCTCGAGCACGGCTGACATGACCCTTGACCGCTCAGCGTCACCCTGTCAGCCACGCCACGCACGGCGATGACAGCACGCAGTTCTGGGACTACATGGGGTGAGTGCGGCCTCTCCCCCTCCTCCCGCAAGCGCTCACACTGCCAAGAAACAACCCAGAGAGCGTGCACCAGTTTATGTATCTCTTTGGCCGTGAGTGTCCAGCGCTTCTGCCTCTTTGCTTTTTGCTTTTTGCTGACCGCCCGCCACAGCCCGCGGCATCCCCAAGAGCTGGCGCGAGATGCAGGGCTACTCGGGCCACACGTTCAAGTTCATCAACGAGAAGAGCGAGTGAGTCTAAAGCAGCGCCGCATCGTCACCTGCGCCTCAGCTGACGTCTATGCAGGTGGGTGTACGTTCAGATCCACGTGCTGTCGCAGCTCGGCACCAAGAACCTCACGTCGGCCGAGGCCGCCGAGGAGAGCCCCGACGCGCACCAGATCGACCTCTTCAACGCCATCGAGCAAAAGTCGTTCCCGAAATGGGATATTTGCTTCCAGCAAATGACCCAGCAGCAGCAGCAGGAGCGCAACATCCCTGTCTTTGACCTCACCAAGACGTGGTCGCGCAAGGACTTCCCGCTGCAGCCGCTCGGCGAGCTCGAGCTCAACACCAACGTCTCGAACTACTTCGCCGAGGTGCGTGCCGTGTGCTGTCTGTGTCCGTGCCGTGCTCAACTGTGCCCCTTCGTAGATGGAGCAGGTCGCCTTCAACCCCGCGCACCTCGTGCCGGGCATGGAGCCGTCCGCCGACCCGGTGCTGCAGTCGCGCCTGTTGTGAGTGGCCACGGCCTCAGATGGTCCTTCCTGCCCTCGCTGACGAGCCCGCACCTCAGCTCGTACCCCGACGCGCACCGCCACCGTGTCGGCGTGAACTACCAGCAGATTCCCGTCAATCAGCCGCTCGTCCCGATCTGTGAGCACCCTGTCGCGCGTCACATGTACCGGCGCTGACGTCTTTCCTCAGACAACTTCCAGCGCGACGGCGCCATGGTGAGCTCCCCCGCTGCGCGGCTCCGCAGCACTCCGCTCACACCCCTCTGCAGGCCTTCTACAACCAGGGCTCGCGCCAGCTGCACCTCTCGTCGCTCGCGCCGCCCAGCATCGAGAAGGCACAGTACGACATTGCCTCCATCGCCGGCTACCCCGACGCGCACGCCATCAACTTCCTCTCGACGGTGACGCCGGCTGACTTTGAGCAGCCGCGCGAGCTGTACCGCCGCGTCTTCACGCAGGAGGAGCGCGAGGCGCTCGTCGAGGAGGTCGCCGGCCACATGGGCAACGTGAAGCAGGACCGCGAGGACATCCTCGCGCGCGCCATTGCCGTGTGGGGCCAGGTCGACGAGGACCTCGGCGCGCAGCTGGCCAAGAAGACGGGCATCAAGAGCTACGCCAAGTCGCTCAAGGAGATGCGCTTCATCGGCAGCAACCACCCGGACATGCTCGCCACCGACGCCATCCGCCAGCTCAAGCCCGTCGCGGCCGCCTAGGCGATGACCTGACCTGATGAGACCCCCCTCGCGCGGACCAGAAACACCAAGCGCGAGGGCCTGTCGCGTGTTCCCTCTATTCCCGCCTCTTTGTCCGTCGAGGAATTGAATTGTCCTCTCTCACGCCAGCTCACCGGGAGCAGTGTGCGAGGCCGGCCCACGCGTCTGCCGCGCCAGCGACGTGCACGACGGCCGGCTGCCGTGCCAGGCTGCGCCACTGGGCGCTGAGGCGGCGCATCTCGGCGCTGTACGGCGCCGCCAGCTGGCCGCCGAAGCGTGCCGCGGCCTGCGCCGGGTCCTCGGCCTCGCGCGGCACGGCGGCCGCCTGGAGGAACGCATCCTGCGCGGCAGCGAAGACGCTGCCGTGCAGGTCGACGGCGCCGCGCCGCTGGTGGCCCTGCGAGAGCGTCAGCCGGTGGAGCCTCGAGGGACGGACAGCGGCACGCACGCGCTTGAATGGCCGGCTGCTGGGCTGGGCGCTGGCGCTGGCCGGGGCGCCGCGCTGCGAGGTAGACGCCATTGCCTGGGCAAGGAGCTGGGCCGGCGTGAGCGCGCGTCGTCGACACAGTGCTGCAGACGCACCTCGGGAGGGGCCACGAAAAAGGGCGTCGAGCGAAGCATCGTGACGAGAAGAGATAGATGTGAAGCGCCGAAGTGCGTGGAAGCAGCAAAAAAGCGAAGAGTAGCAGAAGAGACCGGCTCGAGAAGGCGCAGGGTGAAGAGAGCAGGACCAGCCTGTGGCAAGCGAAGCGAGAGAGAGAGAAGAGAGAGGAAGACCAGCTTCGTTTGCGACCGAAGAAAAGGGCGAATGTAGGTGGTGGTGCGGAGGAGAGCTGGCCGAGGCGGGCAGTGCTCCGTACGACATGCGCGGCGGCGACGCAGGCGGCGGCTGCTCAGGGGTCGACGCCTCCTCAGGGGCGGCGGCGTCTCAGGGGTCTGTCGTGAGTGACCCTGACGCCCGCTCCGACGCCCACCCGCGCTCTCCCACTCTGCTGCGTCTGCGTGCGGATTTCGCCTTCGGGCAGCACAGCGCTGAGGTGCTTGTGCCAGAGCAGCCCGAGTCGCGAGCGCGCCCTCGACGCGATGTCGTCGCCTGACATGGCGGCAGCAGGCGCAGGTCCGCAGCGTCTCCAATGTGCTCCGCCTCCCGCTCTTGGCTGTGCAGCACTGCAGATGGATATCAATGATGTGTGGGTATGTAGACAAATCACGCTGCGCGCCATTGCGAGTCGTCCAGCTCCGCCAGCGCCTCGTCCATTTCTCGCCTGCAAGCCACGCCATCGGGCGGGCCTCCCTGCACCTGCCACTCTGCGTCCTCAAAGTCCACGAGGAACACCTTCTGCTGCTCCTTGCTCCACATCATGTTGCACAGGGCAACATCACCATGCGTGGCGAGCGCGTGGAGCTGCCGGTATGCCTCGAGCACGGCCGCGCGCACCAGCGCAGCGGGCGCCTCGGGCGACGGCTGGAGCGTGGCGAGCGACTCGCCCACGTCCTCGAGGATGAGCGCATCGACGGCGTTGGGCTTTAGGCGCAGCTTCAGCGGCGCGTACGGGCCAAAGAGCCTCGGGATGACCACTCCATGCAGCGACGCGAGCGCAGCGTAGGCCGCGGCCTCGTGGCGCGCCACGGCCTCGAGCTCCTCGCGCTCCCGGGCCTCGGGCCACTCTTGGTCGAGCCATGGAGACTCTCCCTCCTCGCGCAGCACCTTGACGACGACGGACACGGCGTCGGCAGGCGCGCAGGAGCGCAGGTACGGCTGCGGCACCCGCTCGGGCTCGGGCTCGCTGAGGCGCGACGAGTGCGAGCCTTGATAGAGGTCGAAGTGCCGGCCCTGCGAGAAAGGCAGCAGCTTCACGTAGAGAAATGAGCCAAGGACGTCGCCCGATTGTGTGCTGCCATCATCAGCGGCGCGCGGTCCGTTCTCGCCGCCAGGGTCCGACACAGCGATGCGCTGCCTCTTGGGCTCTCTGCCGTCGGCATCACCTTCTGCACCGCGAACGCCGCGCTTTGTTTGTTGCTCGAGCGCCGCCGAGCGCGCAGTCTCCCTGAACTTCGCCGGGAGAAGCTCGATGACTTCGAGCACCTCCTCGGTCCAGATTTGCCGGTTGAAGGGCTTGGCACGGACGTGCTTCGAGCGTGCATAGAGAGCCCACGCCACGATCGAGGTAATGATGTTGGCGGGCGGGTCCGCCGTGGTGAACTTGGTCTGGGCTGGGGCCGAGGAATCCGAGACGATGCTTGGGTCCAGGAACGCAGCCACGCCCTCGGCCGCGAAGGAGAGATGGCCTGCTTGAAGCTCGACGGGGACAAAGACATTGCCGTAGTCCCTGTTGTGCACGAGGCAGAGAGGAGTCATTGCGTCAGCGCGGCACAGGCGGCGAGCAGCAGGCGAGGACATACGCGAGGACGGAGGTGCACTGCACGTCCACCAGGGCCGCCTGAGCGAAGAGCTGGTAGACAAGGTGGCGGTCGAGCTCGCGCCAGCGCGATCCGGGCGCGACGGCGGCGTCAAGCGGAGAGATGCGGCGCTCCGTGGCGCGCGCGAGGTCGACTTGACTGCGGTTCTTGACCTCGATGAGGCCGACTACATCATCGCCTGTGGCGCAGCAGCGAGGCGAGGAATCAGTACCGCAGCGACGACGGCAAGCATGTCGCCGTGCCACTGACCAGCATATAGCAGCAGATCGGGTTGCACCAGACTCCATAGCGCTTTGCGCGTGTGCGCGTCTTTGACCTCGACGAGCTTCAGCGGTTGCTCCTCCGGTGAGGCGAGCGCAAGGAGGCCGAAGAGGCTGTTGATGATCGGGCCATGGGCAGTGTACCACTCGGTCGTCCAGGCAGGCTCAGCCAGTCCACGGTCGGATCCAGCAAAGGAGCCCTCGGTGAGCAGTACTTGGAGATCTTGGATGCTCAAGACGATGTCAGAGCCCTCGACGAGCGCGGCAGGCGCGCAGCGCACGTCGGGCGGCAGCTCGCCCGGCCCTTGCTGTGCCACCCAGCGCTCGACGTCGCCTGCCGCGTTCTCGAAGATGCTCTGCACCAGCGGCGACGAGAGCGACTCGGCAGGCGTATGCGCGTGAGTCGTAGGATCGTGGACTTCGGCAAGGCTGCGCGCAAGCAGGTGTCAGTGCTGAGCGCGACGGGCCATGTGCGCAGGTCACCGCTCACCCAACGCCGGACGAGGCTACGTTGGCGACCTTGAGAATGCCCAGCACCTCGAGCTGCTTTGCAGTCAGCTTGGCCGCGCCCAAGCTCTTCTTGACGCCCGTGTGATCCAGCACACTGCCAGACTCGCCGTAGCAAAAGTCGGGGTCTTTGGCCAGCTGTACGAGGCGCGGCGATGCGGCGGCAGCGCTAGAGCTGGGCGGCAGACGGAGCTGCACCGTCCAGAAGTGCCGCTTTCTGAGCCGCCGGCGGTCTGGCTCCACGGCCTGCGTCTCGCTGCCCTGTCCCTCCTCCGCCGCCTTCTCTTCGACCGTCCGAAAGCGCACAGCCGAGGAGGTGCGGCCATCGGCCCTCAGCCGTGCCTCGGAGACGACACGGCCCATCGTCGCCGAGCCCGGGCGCGGCGCGCGCCCCGGCGCGCGCAGGAGCGTCGGCGTGCGTGTGCGGCGAGTGTGCAAGGTGGGACGCACGCGGGCGAGGGGTGCGCTGCGCGAGTGAGGGCGTGCGAGCGGAAGGGGATCGGAGAGTGCGGGTGCCGGCGGGAGTGATGAGAGTGAGAGGGATGCATTCAGCGATGCAGCCGCAGCCGCGCGGCAGCCGCCGCCAGACGCAGCAGCGGCAGCAGCGGGGCGGTGTTGGTTCGAACGGTTGCGGCACCTGCGCGCCGCGCGACGCCCCGCAGCCACATCGCCGGCGCAGCGGAGCCGCCGTTGCACCTGCCGCAGAGCACTCGCAGGCACATCGGCGGCTTCTCACGGAAGCCAGAGAGTAGGCAGGCCGGGCAGGAGCCTCGGCGCCTGCTCGCCAGGACCAAGCTCGAACATCGCGAGAGTGTGCAGAGGGCTGGCGGCAGGCGACGAGGGACAGCTGAGGGTCTGCATTCGAAGATGAAGAGAGGATGTGAAGGTGGCGGAAGAAGAGGGGAGGACATGCGGCCCGCTGGCCCTCTCCCGCCAGCCTGACGCCGTCCAGCGCTCAGGGGTCGAGCCTCGGGAGAGCTCGTCATCGTGCGCGAGCATTCCGGCCCTGTCCATCACTCGGAGCCAGATGGCGAGCAGCAGATGAGCACGTCCCCTCACCATGCTCTCTCCCTGTGCTTGGGTCGGCTGCTACGCTGCTGCTGAAGGCCCCCGGGCTCACAGAGGGCATGAGGTTGTCCGTCGTGCGTGCGCCGAGGTCTGGACGAACGTGCAACCCTGTGGCGGAGCTTGGTGCCGCGAGGTCGCTGAAAGCGCTGAAAGCGGGTGAAGAGGCATGGCCGAGACGATGCGGAGATCCTGACGCAGAGCCAGCTCGGATCCAGACCTGCCTTGGCCACGACCCGCCTCGGGGAGTGCAAACGGCGGGGAAGCGCGAGCGTGGGAACAGGACTGGCCGCTGCTGTCTGGCCCAGCCGAGCGGCACTGACGGCGCTGAACGCTGTCACAGGGAGCGGCTTACGTCAAGCCTGCATGCTGCATGTGCTGGCCGCGGTGCCGGGCGGCATGAGACGAGGCCGAATGTGCGCACGTGCGTGGGCGAGGAGCGCGGCGAGCGGGCGGAGCGGCGGCCGAGGCTGGAGAGGGCAGCAGCTGCCCGAGCTCGTCGTGCCGGCGGCCGGCCGGCCGCGGCCGCGCTGCTGCCGGCGGCTTGAGTCAGAGTGGCCTCGCGCCAATTTTGGCGCGCCGCGCTAGTGCGTCGGACCTTCGCCTTGCCACACCATCCGCCATCAGCGCAGCGCAGCCCCTCTCGCCGCAGAGATGCGGCCGGCGTTCTGCCTGAGCGGCTGCTCTGTTGCCGAGCGACGCTCCGCCGTCCATGCGCTGCCGCGGTGCATGCTGCGACGCTGAATGCTGCGCTCAGGCTGTGAGACGCGGTGCCTGGCGGCCAGGCTAGCGCCGGCCGTGGACGCAGCGGTCGGGGCCCGAGGCGTGCACGTTGTCTCTCGTCCCTCGCGGGACGAGAGCGAGGGGCGAGCCGTGTGTGCGAGAGGATGTGGCACCACTCACTTGCGAAGTATGCACGCGAGGAGTGTCCGCTCGCGCAGGATCAAGATTAGCGGCGAGCCCCTCGGCGCCGCGTTCCTCTCGCGTGCGGTGCGCGCGCATGTGCTCAAAACCCCAGGTGCGAGTGGCGCACTACGTCCTTCCCTCCCCCATCCGCTGCCTAGCCTCGTCTAGCACACCTCAAGTACACGCCCGCACACTTCCAGCACGCGACAGCCGTCTCGCAAAGTCAAAAGCTCGCAACGTCTGGGCGCCACACGCAGCCAGACTCGCCGAGCCGAGAACCGCACCTGTCACCCGCCACGCCGAGCCACGCGCGCCGAGCTCAGAAGCACTCCCGCCATGTCGGCCGCAGACGTCATCACGCCGACGGCCGAGCATCCCTCGCCCATCGAGGAGAAGCCCGTCGTGACGTCGCGCAGCGACTCGGAGCTCGACGTGCAGGCGCCGCGCAAGCGCAAGCTCGGCGAGCTCGGCCCTGTTGCGAGTGAGCGCAGGGATGGCCCGTGTCTTGGCATCTCGTTGACCCCCACGCCCCAGTGATCTTCGCCTGCGGCACTGCCCTCTTCAGCGACGGCTACATCAATGCCAGTGCCGGCCCCGTCAACACGATGCTGCGCCGCATCTACGCCGACTACCCGCACGTCTCGCAGGCGGCGTCGCTCTTCAGCTCGCTGGCGTTCGCTGGAACAGTGGTCGGCATGCTCGTCTTTGGCGTCCTGAGCGACCGCATTGGCCGCAAGTTCGGCATGATCTTCTGCTCGCTCTGGCTCACGCTCTTCTCGATTCTCATCGCCGGCGCGTGGGGCGCGGGCGGCAGCACGGGCGGCCTCTTTGCCGCGCTGCAGGCCTACCGCTTCCTCCTCGGCATCGGCATCGGCGGCGAGTATCCGTCGGGCTCAGTCGCCTCGGCCGAGTCGACCGAGGCCAAGGGCGTGAACCCCAAGCGCACGCAGTCGCTGTTCATTCTGGCTACCAGTGAGTCGAGCTCGGGGAGGCCGACGGACCTATACGGCGCCAGATTACACACGCTGACGATTCCACTGTTGCCGCTGTGTAGACACGGCCATTGACTTGTGAGAATGTCGAGAAACGGTGCGGCAGCGCAAGCGCGTGAGCTCACCATCCCCCGACGCGCAGCGGCTTCGTCATCGCGCCCCTCGTCACCGCGATTCTCCTCGAAATCTTCGGCGAGCGCCACCTGGTCTGGGTGTGGCGCCTCACTCTCGGCCTCGGCGCCATCCCGCCGGCACTCGTGCTATTTTTCCGCTTCCGGATGCAGGAGCCCGCGCAGTACAAACGCGGCGCGATCCGCCACAAGCTGCCTTGGGGGCTCATCCTTCGCAAGTACTGGGTCCGCCTCACCGCTGTCTCGATTGCCTGGTTCTGTTACGACTGGGTTTCCTACCCGTACTCCACATTCCGGAGCGTCTGAGAGCCTCAGAAAGCTGACAGGGACCTTCCAGGGCAGGTTTGCTTAGCAGTCTCTTCCTCTCGGGCCTCGTGGGGGACTCCCTGCAGAAATCTCTTTGGTGGAGCGTCGTCATCAACCTTTTCTACATCCCAGGTGAGCACATCCTGTGCAGGATCGATCCTGCTACGTCTCTGATCAAAAGCTTTTCGCAGGGACCCTGATTGGCGCCTGTGAGTAGGATGCGCGGGTAGCATGACCATCGCCGCGACGCGCTGACGCGCCGTGCAGACGTGAGCGACCGCCTCGGCCCCAAGTACACCTTCATCACAGCGCTGCTCGTGCAGGCCGCCTTTGGCTTCGGCCTCGCCGGCGGCTTCCCGCATCTGCGTAACAACCTCGCCGGCATCATAATGTAAAAAAGCGTGCCAGGACCGCGGGCCGCGTCGCGCGGATCTCGTGCCCTTCGCTGACACTCCCCTTTCCCTTGCGCAGTCTCTACGGCTGCTTCGTCGCCGCCGGAGAGGCGGGTCCGGGCAACAACCTCGGCCTGCTCGCAAGCAAGGCCGTGGCTCCCACTGCGGTCCGCGGCCAGTTCTACGGCATCGCTGCCGCCATTGGCAAGGTTGGCGCCTTCACGGGCACGTATGCCTTCACGGCTATCCAGTCGTCCGTCTCCGGAGGGAACACGGATGCGGATATTGCTTACGAGACGCCTTTCTACATTGGAGCGGGCCTCGCCCTCGTCTCGGCCGCGATCGTGTATCTCTTCATCCCTCCGGTGACGCACGACGGCATGGCGCGCCTCGATGCCGAGTTTGAGGCGTACCTGGCCGAGCACGGCTACGACATGAGCCTCATGGGCCTCAAGGATGCTGCAGCCGACAGCGAGGCTGCACCGGTTCGCGAGTCTGACGAGAAGGCGTCGCGCTAGCCAGACATCAAGGGCTCCGGCTCGCGGCTCGGACGAGGAGGTGTCGCGCCGAATGCTTGCACATGCGCGTCTGCTGTCGCTCTTCCTATATACCTCGTCTTGCAATCCATCTGTCTTCGCGGTGCTCTGCTGCTTGTAGCACTACCGGGTATGCCCGTGCTGCCTTCATTGTGGCACACCTTCCGTGTGAGCCGAGCTGCGTGTGTCGCGAGGTGCGGAGGGATGCGTGCCATGGCGCGAGCTGCCGGAGGCCGTGGGAGCAAAGGCATCGTGCGCCGCCGTCCGTGCGCCGCCGCCGCGCGCCGCTTGCCCTTCGACCACATCGTCCTGCTCCCCTCCTGCTCACTGACACCGTCCACTTCGCCTATTCCGGCCCTTCATTGCACCTTCTCCAGCTCTCTGCACCTGCTCCAGCTCTCTGCACCTGCTCCAGCTCTCTGCACCTCCCTCAGCCAACAGCTCACCGGCCGGCCTCTGCAGCGCGGCTCAGCCACTGCCCGGGCCAGCTGCAGGCCTGACCCTCGACAGTGCGCAGCAGCTGCCGTGGCCCGGCCTAGACACTCGGGCACCTCGCACAGCGCAGCCCGCAGCCGCGCTCGCTCGGGTCCGCGCCATGTCTGCCGCGGCCTCGAGCAGCGCAGCGCCGCCGGGTGCGCCACACGACCAGCGTCCGCCTGAGGCGCACTGGGACGGCGACGCCGACAGTGTCGATGAGAAGCACCTCGGCGGCGGCAGCAGCTCCGGCTCGGACGACGACGAGCCGCGCACGCCGCGCATCGGCGTCCTGCTGCTGGTCTGGATCCACGGGTGAGTCCGCTGCGGCGGCACAGAGCGCCCTGCCTCTGACCTGCTTCACCAGCTTCAAGGGCTCGGCGACGTCGACGTTCGGCGACTTTCCCGCACGCCTGGCACACATGCTGCAGGCCTCGCACCCGCACGTCGCCGTCGCGTCTGAGATCTACCCGACGTACGACACGCGCGGCTCGCTGGCGCGCGCCTCGGACGCGCTGCTCGAGTGGCTCACGACACGCACCGTGGAGCTCGAGTGCAAGCCGGCGGTCGACGCGGCGGGCGTCGAGGTGCCGGCAGCGCGCTCCGGGCGCGGGCTGGGCGCCGGCTCGGTACGCCTCATCCTCTGCGGGCACTCAATGGGCGGCCTCATCGCCGTCGACGCCGCCGTCAGCTCGGCCAGCTCGGCGCCGCCGGGCCCGCACCGCCACGACCAGCTGTGGCCGCGCATCTGCGGCGTCGTCGCCTTTGACACGCCCTACTACGGCGTACACCCAAAGACGTTTGCCAACGCGGCAAGCAAGTACGGCAGCTACCTCAAGACGGCGCACAGCATCGGCTCGCAGCTGGCGCCGCTGGGCGCCAGCCTGGGCTTCTGGGGCGCGTCGCAGGCCGCCGCCGCTAGCTCCTCGGCGCGCAAGGTCAAGGACACGCCGCCGCAGGAACAGAAGAAGGCCGCATCGGGCTGGTCCACGGCGCTGCTGGCGGGCAGCGCCGTGGCGCTCGCGGCGGGCGGCGCGACCGCCGGCATGTGGTACGGCGGCGGCTACGACTATCTGAAGGAGCACATGCTGTATGTCGGCAACCTGTGGGACGAGGAGGGCCAAAAGGCACGGTGCGTCGAGAAGCCGGTGTGCTTCCGCTTGCTTTCTGGCTGACTGCTGCTGCTGTTGCAGGCTAGAGCGGCTTGTCGAACAGCCCCAGCTGTTCTTCAGGGCGTTGTACAACCGCCTGCCGCCCGCGAGCGGAGCGCGCGACAAGCGCACCTTCATCGTGCTGCCGCCCGCCGCGTCGCCCGTGGCCGACTGCTTCGAGGCCGTCGAGGAGAGCGGCGCCGCCGACGAGGTCGACGCGCACACGACGATGTTCACGCGCTTCTCGCCGGGCTACGTGACGCTGGGCCTTCGTGAGTCTCGCGTAGTGTTCCTGCTAGCCTCGCCGCGCTCACACGCTGCCAGGCGCCGCCGCCATCATCTCCTTCGCGCTCGACAACGAGCAGGAGGTCAGCGGCAAGGCGCAGACAGCCGCGTGGCAAGCACCCGACGTCAAGGCAGAGGCCGCTTAGGGGTGCTGTACAAAAATCATGATACCCTTGTCTCGCCGCACGCAGCAGCACACAGCACAGCTGAGCAGGCAAGTGTGCATTGCTCGCCAGCCCTTAGACCGCCCAAATGTGCTCGACCTGGAGTGATGCCGGAGTGTCAGCGGACGCAGCATGCAGAAGGACACGCGACGCACCTCGTCGATGCCGCCCGCCTGCGGCTTTACGGGCGGCTCCTCTGCGACCTGCTCGCCCTCGTCGTCGTCCTGGATCACCTCGTCCTCGAGCAGCTCGGGCCCGAACGACAGCACCGGGCGCAGCGGCGCCGAGTCGGAGTTGGAGCGGCTCAGCGGGCCGCTGCCGGCGCTGCTCGACGAGCGCCGGCGCGCCGCGGGCGAGCCCGGCCCCGCCGCCAGGAAGCGCATCTCCTTGGGGCTCAGGTTCTCCCACGACTGCGCGCCTTCCGGCGGCGGCGGCGCGCTGAGGTCGTCCTCGCTGGCGCCTTCTGCTGCGCCGGAGCCCTCCATGTGGAGGTCGATCGTGCCCACGCTCTCCGAGTCCGAGATCGACTCAGCCTCCTGCAGGAAGCGTCAGCACTGCTCCCCGCACCACCTCGCACACTACTCACGCCGAGGATCTCGCCCAGGCGGGCCCACGCCGTCTGCGAGCCGTCCTGCGTGAGGCCCCACTTGCCGCTGCTCCAGCCGTCGCCAAGCGTGCCCTCGCCGCCGAACACCTCGCTGAGCACGTCGTCGTACTCGTCGAGGTAGCCGTCGAGCAGCTCGTCGGGCAGCGAGTAGCGCAGGCTCGTGGCCGCGCCCTCGGCGTTGCGCCGCAGCGGCGGCAGAATGTCCGTCTCGAAGAAGCTCGCCATCTGCCGGCCGGGCGACATGGGCGGGTGCAGGCCGTTTGCGGCGCCGGCGCCCTGGCCGAGCCCGCCGGCGCCGCCTTCCTGGCCGGGCGCAGCCTGCGGCAGGCCCTCGGCGAGATTGGTGCTGAGCGAGCGCCGATGCCCGTGGCCCTGGCCGGCAGACGGCGGCCCAGCGGCCACTGGCGGGCTGAAGCGCGAGGCGTTGTAGTACTTGACGAGGCCGCGCAGCGCCTGCTCCTGCGGCAGGCTCTCCTCGACCTCGGCATCGACGTCGCCGCCGGACAGCCAGTCTTCGCGCAGGTCCGGCCGCAGGTTGAGGTAGATCGCCGTGATGACCTTCATGTTGCTCTGGCGCCACTTGCGCCCGCAGAACGGCACCTGGCTCTTGATCACCTTGAGCGCGTAGCGCTGCAGCGCCGGGTGCGGCACCTTGAGCGTGCGCTTGAGAATTGCACTCGACTTGTACTGCACGAGCAGCAGCACGCGGTGCACCTTGCGCTTCGTGAGCTTCTGCAGGATGCGCGTAAAGTGCAGCGCGCTGAAGAGATTGCGGAACGAGAAGTTCGTCACGTACTCGATCTCCTCGCCCTTGACGCCCAGGTTGGCGACGCCGCCGAGCGGCGGCGGGCTGCCGGCGCGGCCGCCGAGGCCGATGCCGTACTGCGGACCGGGCAGCGCGTCCTCCGGCTGCGGCTGCCGCATCTCCTGGCCGCAGTTGAGCTCGCAGTAGCGGAAGAAGTTGAAGTTGGGCGCCTCGTTCTGCGCGCGCACCGTGTTGCCGACCTCCTGCAGCCCGAACATCTTGAGGATGAGCAGCAGGCAGTTCGAGTCGACGAGGAGCTGGCTGAGATAGTGGAACTTCATCGCGTGCGACGCCTTGAACCACTGCAGGCACAGCAGCAGGATCGCGCTGACGGCCTTCGACGTGATCTCGCGGTGCCGGACAATATCGATGTCCTCGAGCGTGGGCGGCGGCGTGTCGTCGGGCGCCATGCCCTCGGCGACGGCCTGGGCGTGCGGGCTGTTCGTGCTGCTTTGCTGCGTGACGGTCGCCAGGAGCAGCTTGAGCAGCACGACGACGCCGTTCTGCAGCTGCGGCAGCACGGCGCGGTAGAAGGCATCGACGCGCTGCAGGCGGCGCGTGTCGGCACGCTGCTGCCGCAGCGATGCGACATTCGCCATGTAGCGCGGATTGTCGAGCACGGCCAGCATGTGGTCGGCCTCGGCACGCGTGAGCTCAGCTTCGATGTCACTCTCGAGCTCTTGCAGGCGCTCCAGCGTCGGCTCGCCGCGCAGCTTGAAGCCGTTCGGGCCGGCGCGGCGCGAGCGCTCGGTGGTGTGCGACAGCGGCGCGCCGACGGAGCTCGGGCTCCGACTGCCGCTGCCCGACGAGCCGTCGTCGCCCGTCCGGTCGAGGCGGGACAGCGGACTCAGCGCCGCAGCGCCGTGTGTCAGCAGCGATGGTCCGGCGCCTCCGCTGGCGCCCGACGAGTCGCTGCTGCCTTTCCGCGGCGGCGTGGAGCGAGCTGGCGCAACGCCGAGCCCGACGCGCTGCCCGTCCGGGTTGCTGCCGACGCCGCTCTCCTCGTGGATGCACTGCTCGCGCAGGCGCCACGTCTGCCAGAGCTCAAGGCTGACGTGCATGTTCTCCCGGAACAGCCGCCCGGCCTCGTCGATGCTGAATGGCACCAGACGTGCGCCCTGCACGGAGCGCGAGTACGGAAAGACGAACGGCCGGTTCTGATCCGTCTGGTACTTTTGCTTGTTCGGCTTCGGCGATGGCGGAGGCGAGGGCGCAGGCGTGCCCGGGAACGGCCCATTTCCGGGGGCACCTGGGGCGCTGCCATTCGCGCCATTCGCTGAGGTCAAGCTGCTGTCGGCCTGGCCGAGCGGCCGCCGCACAGGTATCGGCGACACGGCCGAGGCAATCTTGTCCGTCGGCAGCTCGCCAGGTGCGCGCCGCGGCTGCTCGAAGGTGGGGTACTTGACCGTGATCTCTTCTTGGAAGGCCTGGAAGTCGAGCGGCGTGGCCTTGGTCGACAGCCCTGCAGCAGATCTAGTCAGCTCCGGCTGTGCATGGGCATGGGGCTACTTTGCTCACGCGGTGCCGGCTGCACTGCATCGCGCAGGCCCTCCAGCTCGCGTGCGAGCTTCTTGCAGCGGTCAATGTCGGCCGAGCCGCCCATGCAGCACAGGATCGACTTCCACAGCAGCAGCAGCAGCTTCTTGACCGGATAGCCCTTGGCGTTCTTCTCGCGCAGGCTGGCCACGAGGCCGAAGAGGTAGATGGGCATCGGCGGGTCCAGGCTCACTGTGCGCAAGTCAGCAACCGCCGAGATGAGCTTCGCAGAGCAGAGACACGTACTCAGCTCGTCGCCCCACTCCTCCTCGCCGCGTGCCGTCTCGACGAGAATGTAGAGCTGCGCAAAGTGCAGCGCGAGCTCGAGGTTGATCTCGTCGAGGTAGTCCAGCTTGGCCTGCGGCGTGAGCAGCGGCTCGACGGGCGGCTCGCCGGGTGCCGGCACGGTCGACGACAGAATGTGGTCTGGCAAGGCGCTGCGAGAGGCATCAGCAGCGGCTCTTGCCGCCCTCACATCGGCACGCACCTGAGCCAGTCATGCTTCCAGCCAGCGAGCCGCAGCGCGCCGTAGATCATCTCGACGCCGCCGAGATTCCGCACCATGCGCGCGTTCTGCCCCATCCACTGCAGCTGGTGCTCGGTGCCGCTCGTGTCGGCAAAGGCGCCCTGCAGTAGGTAGAGGAGCGCGCGGCTGGCGCGCTGGCGCGTCGCAGGGTCGCGCACCTCGAGCTGCGAGAGGAGCAGCGAGATGGCACGGCGCCGCGAGGAGGAGGGCTGCGATGTCCACTCTGCAGCGGGCGCATCAGTACGGCAGCAGCGCGGAGACCTGTTCGCTACTCACCAGATGGGCTCGCTTTCCCGCTCGCTGTCCCCGGGCCAAGACCAAGGCCGAGCGCTCCGCCATCGGGCTCGCTCTCGCGCGGCTTGCGCTCGTCCGACTCGCCCTCGCCCTGCGCCGCGCTCGGCGCGCCGCCCGTCTCGCACCACTCCTCCCACGCCGCGCGGTTCTCGGCAATCTGCGGCGCCTCGACGTACGAGTAGAACTCGTCGATCTCGCGCGGCAGCTCGTCGGCGTCGGCCTTGCCGTCGAAGGCATACTGCTTTGGCTGCGCGGGATGTCAGAGGCGCACAGCGCGACGCACGGCTGCCTCGCTCACCCGCATTCGGTTGGCGGCCTGCATGGCGCGCAGGTTGGCCACCGCCGAGCCGGCATCCTGCACGCCCTGTGCGCCGCCCGTCTGCTGCATCGCGAGGCTCTGCTGTGCCTGCTGCTGAGCCTGCTGCACGGCGCTGCCCGTGCCCGCCGCGCCGGCGCCGCGCCCCCAGAGGCGGAAGTTCATCACGCGGCCCGGCTCGTGGCGCCAGGCGCTGGCTGGCTGCTGCGCGACCTGCGGCGCCGCAGGCTGCTGCGGCGATGCCATGGCCGCGGCCTCCTCCGGCGGTGCGGTGGGCGCCGGCGCGGCGGACGCGGCAGCGCTGCCGATCGGCTCGGGCTCGGGCGGCTGTGACGTGAGCTCCATCTGGCCGCCGTCGGGCGCGCCGGGCCCCGAGACGAGCGCCTCGCTCAGGTCCGAGCTGCCGTGCGCGGCCAGCGTGCCCTCGCTGGCCTCGTCGCCGGCGGCGGCCGTGACGCCGAGCGCGCCGCCGGACATGGGCAGCGGCTCGAAGTCACCGTCGCCCGGCAGCTGTTCCTGCGCGGCAAACGCGGCGTCCTCGTGCTCCAGCGGGGGCGCGACGCTGGCAGCCTCGAGCAGGCCGTCGGGCGAATGCTCGGGCGACGAGTCGAGCGGCGCGCCGTCGTCGTCGAGCAGCAGCTCGGGCGCCCGCGGGCTGGCCGGCGGCAGCAGCGGCCGCTCGTCGGCCTCGGCATCGGGCGCTGGTGCCGCCGACGCCATGGCGCGCGGGCCACGCTAGGCCGGGAGGCGACTGATTTCGAGCAAGCAGTGCCAGCTGGCCTGCACCACTGGCGGTATGCGAAGCTGGCCCTCGAGAGTTGTGTGCCCGATCAGAGGCGAGAGGAGAGGGGCGACGCGCGGGCCGCCGAGGCGCCAGGGCGGCGCAACGGGCGAGACGGCGCGCTGGGCGGATGCGCGACGGAGCGTCAGAGAGGAGAGGAGCGAGCGAAGCAGGAAGCCTGTCGTGTTGAGGCACCGTCTGTGCGCCGGAGGGGGATGGTGGGCGAGAAGGAAGGCGCCGCTGCCCTCCGCTGCCAGCGCACCCCGCTGCTGGGCGGCGCATGCACGTGACGTCGCACGCCTCGGTGGTGGCCTGTGCGGATGCGGCGATCCATCTCTGCTTCCAACACAAAGACACCTGCTGCCATCCAGGCGTCCTGCAAGCACCTGCTCCAGCGACGCATCAGCAGAGGCTACGTTGCAGAGAGCTTCAGATATTGCCATGAATACCACATCGCTGTGCGGCAGCGCACGGCGCCCAGAAGGTGCTCGAGCGACGACGGCGAGCGTGGGAACAAGCCACAGGCGAGGCGCGCCTCCGAGCTCCCACCCCCCTGCCCGCTGGCGCGCGCCGCACCTGTGAGGGTGCATTGCACCTTCCCGACCACAGCGCCCGTCTCGTCACCGTCCGCGTCACCGTCACCAACACCGTCTCCGTCTCTGCAGTGCTCTCGGCGCCCGCCGTCCCTCTCCCAGCGCTCGTCCGCCTGCCGCCCGCCGGCGCCGTGCGCGCTGCGCCTGCTGCTCGGGGCCGACCCGACGCCTCCTGGCGTTGAGCACCGCCCGGCATGGACTACATCTCGCGCCTGCGCCGGGTCAGCGGCGTGCCGCGCGGCGCCGTGCTGCCGCCGGCGCCGCCGCTCGAGCGCCTGGCGCGCCACTGGCGCGTGCTGGCCGCCGAGCTGCGCCAGCCGCACCAGGCCGCGCTGCACCACGGCGTCGGGCGCAGCGACGTGCCGCGCCGCATGCGCAGCCTCGGCGACGAGCTGCTCGACCAGGCCGAGGGCGACGATGCGAGCGCCGAGGGCCTCACGTGGGCGCTCGACGAGAACGGTGAGTGGGCGCAGGGCATTGGAGAAGCAAGCGCGGCAGTGAGGCGACTGCGGCAGGGAAAGTGATCACAGGAGATGGGCGATTGGGCACAGGCGCGATGACGCTCGCAGCACAAGCAAGAGCTTGCAGCAGGACAGCGCATGAGGTCTAGAGGCGATTGCAGCAGAGTCACACCCGCAGCCGAGCGGCGCTCGCAGCAGAGCGCTCGCAGCAGAGCGGCACGATAGCAGATCAATGGGCAGCAGAGAGGCGATGGCAGCAGAGCGGCCCGCAGCCGAGCACCTTGCTGACATTGGCCGCAGTCTTCCATGTGCTGGTCCAGCTCACCGCGGCCGACCAGCCGCCCGGCGCACTGGCCGAGACGGTGCAGTTCTTCTCGCGCCTCTGCGGCGAGCTGCCGGCCGCGTTCCTTGCCTCGCCGCGCCTGCACGCGCCGCTGGCCCGCCTGATCCGCATCTGCACCGGCGATGCGCAGCGCGGCCCGCGGCGCGAGGACACGCAGTCCGACGAGAGCAGCTCAAGCGACGACGAGGAGAGCGCGCCCGTCGCAGTCAAGGCGGGCAGCGCCGAAGAGCGGGCACTGGTGGAGCTGCTGTGCAAGGTCGCGAGTCGCCTGCGCAACACGCCCGAGCTGCTGCCGGTCTTCTTTCGCGAGAAGCGCGCGGCGCCTTCCTCGGCGAGGGCAGACGCTGCGGTGCCGGCGCGGCCGGCGAGTCCGGCTGAGAGCACCGCCAGCGCAGAGACTGTACGTGCCACAGACGTCGCCGACGACGCCAAGGCTCCGCGCGCCTCGACGCCGCCGCCGGCACGCACGGGCTACGACTTTGCTCTGCTCTCGAACCTGCTGCGCTACGCCCATCGCGAGGAGCAGACCGGCGAGCTTGCCCGCTCCGGCCTCTTCTTCCTCTTCTCGCGCGCATTTGCACCGACGCACAACCTGCGGCGGCGACGTGTTAACCCCAACGCCGAGCGTGTCGAGGCGGAGGACGAGTCAGAAGCGGTGCTCGGCCGGGCCCTGGCTGCGTACATTCTGGAGGGAGACTTTGCCGATGTGCTGGGCGCCGGCCTCGGCGCGGTGTACGGCCTGCTGCCGCCTCGCATCTGCATCAAGGAGCCCGGGCCCGGCGGCGAGCAGAGCGACGCCGGCTCGAGCATGCTCGGCGCCGAGATGAGCCTGGGACTGGGCCTGGGCAGCGACGAGCAGATGCGTGACGCCAATCGCGTGCGCGACGGCGACCTCGTCGAGTCGACATCGCCAGAGGTGCAGACGCACCTGCGCACGCTCACCGAGCTGCTCGGCTTTGTGCAGCACATTCTGCGCACTGCGCACGCTGCGTCATTGGGTGCAGATGCCGAGCTGGCACGCACGGCACGGGCACTCAAGACACGGCTGGCCGACGCGGTGCGCAAGAGCTTCCTGTGCAACCTGCTCAGCCCGACACTGCTCGAGTGCACCGACGCTGACGGCAGCGCAGTGGCGGTCCTGAGCTATCTCGATGTGCTGCTGAACGCCATCGACGACGACGGCCCGCTCGCAGACCTCATCATCGGCTGGCTTGTCGGCGACAGCGACGCCGAGGGCTCCACCGGACGCCTGGCAGACAACGTGCTGACGCTCGGCGGCTCCGCGACTGCGCGGCGGCGGGCACGACGCAAGAGCTATGCGCTGGACGGCCACGGCCGGCGCGGGAGCACCATGTCCACCGGCGCAGCGAGCGGCGACGACCGCTACGATCTGCGCGACTTCATCGTCGATAACCTCTCTGCGGACAAGCGCGCCGCCACGACGGCAGCGGCGCTCAGACTGACCTCGACGCTGCTCTCTCGCCACGGCCGCTTCACCATAGAGGGCTTCCTCTCGGCCGAGCCGGATGACCACGCCACTGCGTTCCCCTTTCCCTTCCCCGAGGCACTACCGGAGGACGATCTCGACGACGATTCCTCGGACGTGGAGCTCGCAGCGACGCCGCGGCCCGGCCTGAGCATCGCGCAGCACATGCACGAGCTCGACATCTTTCTGTCGCTCGCGTCGGTCATCGAACACGGCTCAGGGAGTGCGGCGTCGTCGAAGCGCACCGCCTGGACGCACAGCTACTCGCAATACCTTCAAGACGCAGAGGACGCTCTTGTCCGCGAGAGCACGTACATCGACGGCGTTCGCGCATTCGAGGCTGCGAGCGCGAAGCGCAGCCCTGCGGGCGTCTCCGAACCCTTACGCCTGCGCGCCAGCTCTCTCTCCACGAGCGAGCCGCCGTCGCCGTGGCAGGAGATCTCGGACCTTCAGGCAGAGGCTGCCACCTCTGCGCCCTTCCCGCACCGTCTTGCGCCGCCCGACCGGGTGCTGCAGGCACTGCTGCACGTGCTCTCTCGTTTCTTCCAGCACACGCCCGCCGTCAACGTGGCGCTGACCGGCGTGCTGGCCAGCCTCGCGCTGTGCCCGTATCGCAGCCTCGAGGGCTGGCTCGTCTTCGAACGCGGCGTCGAGCTGGGCCCGGACGCAGAGGCCCAGGGCGACGCTGCACGCCCGCCGACAGGCGCCTCGATGACGCGCAGCACTTCGGGCACGTCGAGCCGCTCCGACGGCGACTCCGACGACGACTCGTCCGGCGACGAGGAGGAGCACGAGCTGGCGCAGCTGGCCTCGTTCTGGGGCCGCGGCACCGACTGGACCTCGCGGCAGGAGCGTGTCGACTCGAGCGCGCCCGCAGCCGGCAAGCGCTCGGCACCTGTGGTGCTCGCCCTGCTGCGCTCACTCGTGTCGCAGGTGTCCTACTACCGCGCCACGGTGCCCGGCTTCGACGCGCTGCTCGCCGAGCGCCGGCGCGGCCTGACCTACGTCGACAATCTCAGCGACGCCATCGCGCCTGACTCGCTGACCGCCGGCCTGGACGGCCTGTCCGAGAAGAGCGAGGCGATGCCGAGCGCCAGCGTGCCGGCGGGCCTGCGTGACGAGCGCAGGCTGTGGGAGAGTCTCGGCGTGCAGCTCGAGAAGGAGGAGCTCTCGAACACGTCGCTGCCGCTGCCGCCCAGCGCCACGGCCTCGGTCGGCCAGCGCGACGCTCCGCGCACGCCCGGCAGCGAGACGGAGGCCGAGCCGGAGCTGCTGAACCCCAAGCGCGCCAGTGGCTTTGCACGCTGGTTCGGCGGACGCATCAACCTGGCGGCCGCTGCGGCGGCTGCGGCTGCCGCCTCAGCCACGGGCGCGCCCAGCTCGCCAAACCTCTCTGCGCGGGCGCCCTCGCCCGCTGCGGCGCCCGTGATGCCCTTTGCGCAGCACTACACGCACACTGCCGGCGTACTCCTCGAGGCGCGCGCGGCCCGCTATCCGCAGGGCTCGTGGGGCGATGCGCTCAAGAGTCCCGCGGCGTCGCCCGCCACGAGTGCGCTCTCGGGCTCGGGCAAGCGCACGCGCTTTGCGCAGGAGGGCACCCACGACGGCGGGCGCTTCGTGCTGCCGGGCGTCGACGAGGCGGCGGGCGAGAGCAGCCTGCCGCGCAAGGCGCAGAGCCTCTCGTGTCTGCTCGACAACGTCGTCATCCTTGAGGAGTGCATCAAGGAGCTCGTGGCCATCATCCAGGTGCGCCGCGGCGCCGGCATCGATGCGCTGCGCCTCACGGCGTGACGCGACGGCGACGACGACTGCAAACGATATACCATTTTACGTCTCGCAAGCGCGGCGCAGCTGTGGCAGGGCGGGGCATGCGCAATCAGAGCGCAGGCCTGACACCTGACATTCTATTGGCTCATGTGCAGCGTCTCACTGCGCCCCGCAGCCACGTCGAGCACTGTCGTGGGACAGACGCCGGGCAGCCGGCGTTACCGTCCAGATGCGGGCGCCGTCGATCTCGCTCTTGGACGCCGCTGCGGCGCCGCCTTTGTGTTCTGCTGACGCCGATGTCTTGCGTGGATGCTGCTCCACCCGGCTGCGGCGGCGGACTGTGGGCCGGGCAGCGAATGCCGTGAGACCGGCAAAGCGCCACAGCACCAGAGCCACAGCAGCAGCGGCAGACGCGGCGCCGCCGGGGCCAGCCCTGCGCGGCGACGCCGAGACGCAGCCGCAAGAGACCTGCCTAAAGCGGCGCGCCTCCTCCGCACACTCCGCCCGCCAACTCTCCCTCACGCGTCGCGTCCGCTCGTCAGTCGAGCATGAGCTGCTGCTGCCTGCGATGTCGTCGAGCGTCGAGGCCATCGCCCCGCGAGCTCATCGCCCCGCGAGGTCTGGCCTTGGGCGTGCTTCATCTGAGAGAGAGATGAGAGAAGACGCGGCCCAGGGCCTTATTAATCTGGCGGCGCCCCTGGGCCAGAAAGGTGCCTGGAGCGGCGCTCGCGGAGAGGGGCAGCTGAGCAGTGCGATGGTGCGGCACTCTCTCCTCTGCTGCTCTGCTGGGGCTGCGCCGCTCTGGGCTGGCGGCTGGCGCTGTCATGTGGCTGCGATGAGGTGCAGCACCAGCGCCGCCGCGCGCATTCTGATTCTATTGGCGCGCGGGCGGTGTGCGTGCGCGCTGAGCGGCTGCCGCGCTGCGTGCTGAGGCTGCCGCCGCCGGTTGCGGCACGCCGCTGCAGCCCCTCGCAGGAGGACAAGGCAAGGCGAGCAGTGTGCCGCTGGCCCTATGCCTGCACCTGCAGCTGGGCGGAGGAGAAGGTGCCGCGCCGCCGCGGCGCACTGCATCGGCTGCTGCCGCTGCCGCCGCGCTGCGCGCGCTCCTCGCACACGCTGCCGCGGCCACCGCTCACCGCCGCCGCCGCCGCCGCTGCCGCTCACCACGCCCTCACCACTCCCGCCCGCCTCTCCCTCTTGCTTCCTCCATCCATCCACTCCCAAGTTCGCTCCCAAGGCCGCCCTCCAAGTTCGCCCCGTCTCTCTCCGTGGCCCGTACGCAGTCCAGCCTGCGCCTCTCTCCTGCCCTGTAGCCCTCTCGCCGACGCCCACTCTCGCTTTCTCCGACCTTCTCTTCTCTGCCTCGTGCCACCGCCCGCGCCGCCGAGGCACCTCTGCTGCTTGCGACATCCACGCCGCACAGCTGGCTGCTGCTCTACTCCTCCAGCCACACACTCGTTCGCGCCCGCCATGGACCAGAGCTCGCCGCGCACCGGCGTCGCGTCCGAGAGCGCCGTCGAGCGCGACCAGCGCATCATCAGCGCGCGCAAAAAGGTGCGTGCCGCCGGCGCGGATCGCAGGATGCGCCTGCAGCGCTGACACCTCGCCCGCGCAGCTCAAGTCGTACCGCGCCAAGCAGGCGCAGATGGAGAAGAAGCGCATCTCCATCGTCACGCAGCCAGCTGCCGGCAGCAGCCACGCGGCGATTGTGAGCAGCGCCGCCGAGCCGCGCGCCGACGAGGTCAGCGCGCAGCTCGAGCGCTACTCCATCTCGTCGCAGCCGGCAGCGCGCACGTCCGTCGGCCCGCCGCCGGCTCACTCGCGCACCTCGTCGCGTGCCGGCCACGGGCGCGGCCATTCGCGCAACGGCTCCATCTCGCTCGCCGGGCCGTCGTCGGTGGGCGCTGCCGCCGCCGCGCCGGCGCCCGCCGCACGCCCCACCAGCACCATGGCCTTTGTCGCCTCCGCATCGCACAGCCGCCGCCACTCGCGCAGCGGCTCGCGCTCGGCATCACGGTCCGGCATCCGCCCGGCGAGCCTGCTCTTCGGCGCGCCGGCCGCTGCGCCGCACCGCCGCGACAGCGTCAGTGACGCGCAGCAGACCGCCTCGCTGGCCGAGCCCACTGCCGTCGGCTTCCCGCCGCGCGTGCCCAGCCCGCTCAGCGCCGAGGTGCTCAACACGCCGCAGACGTCGTGCAGCGCCGACTCGTCCACACCCGCCCAGACGCCCGTGGCAGTGCAGCCCACGCCCTCGTCGCACGCGCGCAAGCCGAGCCGCCACTCGCGGCGCACCAGCGTGAGCACGCGCCGCGAGAGCATGGAGATCATGGGCGGCATCGGCCTGGGCATCGGCGCTGCGGCCTCGGCCGACTCGGCGCTCAGCAACGCGACGACAAAGCGCAGCAGCCGTCGCTTCAGCACCAACCGGCACAGCGGCATCCTCTCGGCCAGCGTGCTCTTCGGCGGCTCGCCGGACCCGGTGCCCGGGATGCTCGGCTCGCGCGCCAGTGTGCGCCGCTCGGGCGCGCGCAACGACTTCGACTGGCGCGTGTTCGCCACGGGCGCCGAGGAGCCGGCGCCAAGCGACGGCAGCGACCGCCTCACCGCGCTCGAGAAGCTCGAGGGCCGCAGTCGCCCGGCAGCCGCATCGACGCAGGCGTCCAGCGGTCCCAGCAATGCCGCAGGCTCAAATCGCCGCCACTCGCGCCAGAGCAGCGTGCAGCTGCCGAGCTTCGACGACGTGCACGGCTCCGAGGCCATGGACCGGCGAGCCAGCGTGTCGCTGCTCGAGGCCAACGAGACGACGACCTCGTCCGAGCGCCCGCCACCACTGGCGCCGCGCCTGAGCCTTGCGCCGCCCGCCGCCGTGCTGTCGCTCTCGGGCGACGTCGTCGAGGCCCTGAGCGTCAGCGCCGCCGCAGGGCCCAACTCGCGACCCACCTCTATCCGCATCGCACCCGACGCCGCCTCGCAGCTCGAGGGCCTCGGCACATTGCTCGAGGAGGAAGAGGAAGAGGAGGACACGTCGCTACTGTCGCCTGTGCGCGAGCGGCCGTCGCTCGACCTCGACCAGGCCATCGAGCGGCGCCAGCGCAAGGAGGCCGAGGCCGAGACGATCAAGCAGAATCGCCGCGGCTCGCTGACGCCCAAGCCGCTCAAGCTCAAGAGCCGCCCGGCAAGCCTCTTCGTCGGCTCCAACATGGGTCTCGCCGCCGCCGCTTCGACGCTGCTCTCTCCCCGCGGCATGACGAGCAGCAACTCGCTGCCGCAGCTGGCTGCTCTCGCCGACGTGGGCGAGGAGGGCGAGGCGGCAGCCGAGGACACACCGGCCCAGACCGAGGCGCCGATCTCGTCGCTGCGGCGGTCGAGCGACTCGGAGACCGCGGCACCTGCAAGCGCCAAGCCGCGCGAGGTCTCGCTCGTGGATGCACGGCAGAAGCTCGCCGAGGCTCGCGCCAACGTCGTGCACGCCCAGCAGCACGGCGCCGTGGCCACGCCCGAGATGAAGCGCAGCTGGCGCTCCTCGCTGCCGGCCGCATCTGCCGTGCCGAACCCGCAGTCGAGCACGCCGCCATCAGACACGCCCGTGCGCGTCCGCCAGGGCATGCGTGCCCTGCGCCTCGGCAGCGGCAGCGTCTCGTCCGGCCCCCACCACCAGGGCGCCAGCGACTCGCTCAGCTCCATCTCGAGCGTCGCGACGTCGTTGTCCGCCGGTCCTAACGCCGCGAGCAAGCGCCAGAGCATGTCCATGTCCGTCTCGACATCGCGCGACGACCTGCAGAGCGCCTCGGCGCACGCCTCGCCGACCAGCCGCGACGGGCCGTCGCCCATCGGCCTGCGCAACCGCAGCAGCATCCACTACAAGCCGTCCAGCTCCACGCCGCTCTCGGCACCCGCCGCCGTCGGCGATGCCAACGCATCCTCTTCGCCGCTGGCCACCCACCAGGCCACCTTCGGCATGCCCAGCAGCAGCAGCAGCGCCGTGTCGCACGGCATGTACGAGGAGGTCAAGTCGGCGCACGCCCGCACGACGGCGCTGCTCGAGGCCAGCCGCAAGCAGGCCGACCGTCTCGGCCGCGAGCTCGCCGTGGAGAGTGAGCGCGCCGCACGCGAGTACGCCGAGCTCGAGCGCTGGAGCGCCGAGGAGAAGCGCACGCTCGGCATGCGCATCGAGCACCTCGAGAGCGGTGCACTGGCGGCACAGCAGACGCTGCAGGCCCGCGAGGCCGACTGGCACGCTCAGCTTGCCGAGGTCCAGCGGCAAGTCAACGAGGCCAGCGAGCGCCTCGAGGACGCCGAGGCCGAGCGCGACATGCTCCAGGAAGACGTCGATGGCTGGCGCACGCGCTGCAGCGACCTCGAGAAGTCGCTGCGCACCGAGCGTGCGGCGCTCGACGAGGAGCGCCGCTTCCGCACCACGGCCAAGCTGCGCATCGGCGTGCTCACGCACAAGCTCGAGGAGGCCGGCCTCACGGTGCCGGCCTCTGCCAGCGAGGAGCTCACCTTCGAGGACAGCCTCCCGCACGACCTCGTCTCGGCGCTCCGCAGCCCTGCCCTGGGCTCCTCCAGCCCCGTGCTCGGCCCCGGCTACTTCTCGCCGGCCATCGGCGGCAGCGGCTTCCCCGTCAGCGATGCTGCGCCGCCGCCGCAGGCCGTCAAGCTGCTCAAGGAGATGCGCCAGCAGATCTTCAACCTCGCCGGCAGCCTCGAGCACGAGCGCAAGGAGCACCTCAAGGCGCAGCAGGAGGCCTCGTCGCTGCGCGCAGCGCTGCAGGAGCAGGACGAGCAGCGCGCCGCGGCGGCTGCCAGCCCCGCCGACCCGCCCTCGCCGAACGAGTGCGGCGACGACAGCCATGCCTCGAGCATGGGCAGCGTCACGAGCGGCAGCAGCAGCGAGCGGCACAGCCTCTCCGGCTTCGTGGCGCCCAGCAGCAGGAACAAGCGTCACGTCTTTGCCTACGACAGCAGCATGGGCAGCACGTCGATGGGCAGCGGCTCGATTGCCACGGGCGCCTCGAGCGTCGTGCCGTCCGAGTACGAGCACGGCTCGCGCTCGCTCGACAGCGCCGACAAGTTTGCCTTCCTCTCCGAGCTCGAGGCCGCCGCCGGCGGCCTGCAGCCGCTGGCCGAGACCGAGGAGGAGCAGGACGACCTCGAGGCGCTGAGCGACCACGCCAAGACGCCGCTGGCGCGCGCCTCGTCGTACATGGACGACGAGCCCGTCGACCTCGAGTCGGGCTGCTTCGGCGACGAGGAGGAGTACGACGACGACATCGAGGCGGCCAACCGCGCTTCGAACGTCGAGTCGTCGGTGCCGCCCACGCCCGGGCTCGACCACTCGAGCCAGGTCAAGTCGACGTTCGGCACCATTCCCGTGCTCGCCGTCGAGGGCAAGGTGCTGCCGCACAGCGCGCAGTCGTCGCTCGACAGCCGCGGCCCCACGTCGCCGGGCACGTCCACGTCGCCCGAGAGCGACGAGGTGCACACGCCGGCGATGCTCGCCGCCGACGACTGGATGGACGAGCTCGATGAGGACGACGAGGAGGCGGCGGGCGACGCCACGCGCCCCGAGTTTGTGCGCGAGTGGTCCTTCAGCCTGGCAAGCGCCGCCATGGAGGCCAAGAAGCAGCGCGTGCTCGAGGCGCGCCGTGCTGCCGCCTCGGCCGCCAGCTTCGCCGCCGCGCCGGGCTCGCAGATGCGCAAGCGCATGCCGCGCCGCCGCAAGCTCAGCAGCACCGAGGACTTCTTCGGCCTGATGAGCCTCGACGTCAAGGAGCCGCTGCCGGCGCTGCCCGTGCCCGACGCCGCGCTCGAGATGCCGCCGGTGTACGTCGACAGCTCGAGCCAGTACAGCCCGCAGGCGTCGATCGACTACCGGCGCACGTCCGTCGAGAGCTACGACCGCTCGCCGCGCGTCAGCATGCGTGTGTCGAGCGGCGCCTCGCTCGCCCACGGCGCACGGCCGCCCGTGGCGCGCAGTGCGTTTGCGCACCAGCAGGACGTCTACGGCGGCGCCACGGGCATCCTCAGCGTTGAGGACGGCGGCATCGCAGCCATGTCGTCGCCCATCGGCGGGCTCATGGGCGGCGCGCTCGCGCGCATGTCGCTCGGCGGCCTGACGAGTGCGCTGGGCGGCCTCTCGGGCTACCTGCTCTCGAGCCAGTCCAACGTCGCGCAGGCGGCCGCGCTCGCCACCAAGACGTGCGCCGCGGCGCCCGAGCTCGAGACGCCCACGGGCAGCATCAGCTGGAGCGCCCAGCGGCGTGAGGAGCGCGACGAGGAGGAGAGCCTCGGCTCGTACCACAGCTACGCCTCGCGTTCGCAGCCGCGCACTGCCGCCTGGTAGCCGCCTCGCTGTCGTCTTGGTCTGGAGGCCTCCCTCACGCCCGCCCGGTGCCGCACGGTGCCGTGCCCATGTCTTGTTCTCGCTTCGTCTTCTGCCGCGCCACTGCCCGGCGCCGCGCTGCTTTGCCATATCACTATGCTCCCGGCTTCACCTTGTATCCTTGCCCCAACTCCCTCGCCGCGCCGCGCCCGACTGGCTCGGGGCCTGCGTGCGCTGTGCCACCCCTCTTGTTCCCCCCCATACACTCCTCACGATCTGCCACTGCGCGCTCAAGCCGCGCTTGCAAGCCAATGAAACAGCCATGCCCTCTCTTTTTCTCGCCGGCGGTCACTCGTGGTGACTGGTGGCTGCGCCCGATGGCGGTGCACGCGCCCGGCCGCAGCGCGGCGACCTGGGCCTGGCGCGCTGTGTCTTTGCCCGCGCGCAGCCATTCGCCCGTCCGGAGCATGCACATGACTTCCTTCGCTGCAGCGTCTGCAGCAGCGTCTGCAGCAGCGGCAGGTGCAGCAGCGGACTTGCTGCGCCTGGTCCTCACTGGCTGTACATCGGCAAAAGCGCCGTGGCGCTGCGGCAGACGGCCAAGAACGACGCTCGCGACAGCCTGCGTCAGCGGCGCCCAGAGCAGCGCGCGAGGGGCTGCGCCGCCAGAGCGCGTTTGCTTGCCGTGGTGTGGCCGGCAGGGATGGCAAGCGCAGCAGTCCGAGCGAGAGTCTGAGTGTGCCAGCCCCAGCATCGCAGCGCCTCTTCTCACCCTCGCTGTCGTGTGCTGCTGCTGCTGCTGCTGCTGCTGCGAGCGGCGCCAGGCAGAAGCCCTCATGCCTCGATGGGCGCTTCTGGCGCCGGCGGGCGGAGCGGCGCGCGCACAGGCACCCGCCAGGCCGCCGCGCCGGGCGCGGGCACGGCGCCAGTGTGCGCGCGGCATGCCGCACCCTGCCGATCGAAGCGTCAGCGTGCATTCTCGATTTTTGCCCTCTGCTGCCATGCTCCGCATGCTGCGGTGCCGCCAGGCGTGCCAAGCGCCGCTCGAGGTGCTGCTGCCCTCGGCGATGCTCCCCTGTCCCTCGGATGCGGCGGCGCTCCTCCACGCTCGCAGCAGCGCGTGCATCGGGCTGCCTTGTGCCAGCGGCGCCCGGCTCTCTCCTCTCCACCACCTCAACGCCCGCCCGCAGCCGCCATGTCGGCCCCCACGGACCTCTTCCAGGCGCCTGCCGAGCCCGGCGCCGAGGCCGGCGTGCGGCGCCGCACCGCCGCCGCCGCGTCGACGGCGAGCACCTCGCACGACGCCGACGCCGACGCCAGTGCCGCGCCGGCCCGCTCCAAGGCCGCCGCCAACGACGCCGACGAGCACGACGACACGCCCGGCCTCGGCTTCCCGCACTTCGCGCAGCACACGCCGTGGCACGAGCGCAGCTGGGCCTACCAGTTCCTGCCGTTCCGCGGCATGTACTACGACGTGCGCCGCCGCGCGCCCTACGCAGTCGTCGACTGGACCACGGCCTTCCGCCCGCACAACTGGTGGACCGTGCTGCAGGGCATCCCGCGCATGTACTTCATCAAGTGAGTGTCGGTGTGGCGCCAGGCATGGCAGCAGGTGTGGCAGCTCGCAGAGGGCGCTGCTGCCTCGACTCTGCCTCTCTGTCGCTCCGTCTCGGCCTGCGCTGACGCCCGCGCAGCCTCATGCCGGCCATCGCCTACGTGCTCGACATGTACCACCGCACCGAGGGCGCGTACGGCATCAACGAGGTCATCCTCGCCTCGGCGCTCGCCGCCATCGTCTTCTCCGTCTTCTCGATGCAGCCGCTGACGTTTGTCGGCGTCACCGGTCTGATCAACCTGGTGCGTCTGCCGCGCCTGCCGCGGCCCGGGCGCGTCGCTGACGCCCGCCTGCGCAGGTCAACTACACGCAATACGACATCGTCGTGCAGTACTACGGCCTCTCGCAGATGGACTACCTTCGCGTGCAGGCGTGGTCGCTCATCTGGGCTGCCGGCTTCCACTTCATCGTCGCCGCATTCAACATCTGCGACTTTACGCGCTTCATCACCGACATGACGTCCGAGACGTTTGGCTTCTATGTTGGGTGCGCCGCCCGCGGCTGAGCATTTCCTCGCAGGGCCACTGCTGACCCTCTCGCAGCATCGTGTACATCCAGAAGGGCATCGAGCTGCTCATCCTCGAATTCGAGCCGCTGCCGCTCGACAATGCGACGGGCTGGCTCTCAGTGGTGATTGCCATCCTCTTCACCGTCTCGGTGTACCTCGTCTCGGCCGTGGGCCGCACGTCGGCGCTGCCGTTCAAGCTGCGCTCGTTTGTGGCCAACTTTGCCTTTACCGCCGGCATCCTCTTCTGGACGGGCTTCTCCAACATGCCCGAGAACAGCCTGCGCCGCGTGCCGCTCGAGCGCCTGCCCATCACGCGCGCCTTCTTCCCGACGATGGACCGCTCGTGGTTCATCGACTTCTGGAACATCGAGCTGCGCTGGGTCTTCGTGGGCGCCGGCTTTGGCTTCGGCATCGTCGTGCTCTTCTACTTTGACCACCAGGTCAGCAGCGTCATGGCGCAAGCGCGCAAGTATCCCGTGAAGCGCCCGGCTGGCTTCCACTGGGACTTTTTCCTGCTCGGCATCACGACGCTGGTCTCGGGCTTCCTCGGTCTGCCTGCGCCGGTGCGTCGCACCGAAGCCCAGTCTGCTGCCTCTGTTGCTGACCTCACTCCTCACAGAACGGCCTCGTGCCGCAGTGCCCGTGGCACACCGACTCGCTCTCCGTGTTCAAGCAGGTCTCCGAGCCCGTCGACGACGAGGCCGACCCGCGCGCGACGCGCATGCGCTCCAAGGCCAAGATCGTCAACACGCGCGTCGTCGAGCAGCGCTTTTCGCACTTTGCCGTCGGCCTGCTGACGGTCGGCACAATGACACGCCCGTTGCTCGTCGCACTCGGCACGATGCCCCGCGCCGTTTTCGCCGGCGTCTTCATTCTCGTGGGCTGGATGTCGATCGAGGGCAACGCAATCACGACGCGCACGCTCGCGATCTTCCGCGACGACGCCATGGTCGCGGCCGACGACCCGCTGCTGAAGCTGCGCCGCAGCAAGATTGCGCTCTTCGTCGGCATCCAGTGGCTCTTCTTCGCGATGACGTTTGCCATCTCGCAGACGATCGCCGCGATCGGCTTCCCGATCATCATCGTGCTGCTACTGCCGCTGCGCACGCTCGTGCTGCCCAAGTGGTTCTCGCCCGAGGAGCTGCGCATCCTGGACGCGCCGACGGCCGACTCGGAGGTCGTGCTCGCGAGCATCGGCGGTGGCTTTGGCGTCACCGGCAAGGGCGAGCGTGTGGCGCGCGACACTGGCATCGCCGGCGAGCTGTGGGACGGCGACGACGACGACAACAAGCACAGCCGCGGCGGCAGCAGCGACGAGAAGACGCGCCGGACTGCTGCCTCAGACCCCGAGAAGCAGAGCCCCTCTGTCGCGCTGACTGCTGCGCCCAGCAATGCCGGCTCGAGCCGCAGCGGCTCGTCCGCCGCACGGGAGCGTCCTTCTACCGTTGCTGCGCCTATCGCCGACGAGAAGGCGCACCAGCAAAGCGAGCCTTCCGAAGCGCGTCCGCCGGTCGTCGCGGCTGCGCAAATTGCCCCGGCGCAGGAGTCTCCGGCACCAGCAGCGCCGGCCAGCGACGAGCAGGCGCAGAAGACAAAGCCCGCCGGGCTCTGGGCGCGCATCCGAGGTGCCGCGGCTGCGCCCGTCGGCACGACCACGACGACGACGGTCACATCCACAACAGTGCCCGCCGCGGCCAATTCCTCTGCCGGCGGAGCGACCAGCGGCCCTTCGCCCGTCACAGCCGAGCAGCAAAGTGCGATGGACAAGCACGTCGATGCGATCGCAGCGGGCACCGTCGCAGCGAGCGCCGGCGCCGGCGCGCTCGGCTTCCTGGCTGGCAGCAAGGCTTCGAGCACCGAAGAGCGCGGCACAGACGACGCCGAGAAGAGCCGTCTGGATGACAAGGCTGCCGCGCTGGCCGAACGCGAGCGCGTAGTCGCCGAGGAAGCCGCACAGAGGGAGGCGGATGAGAGCCGCCGCCGTACCGAGGCAGCGGCCCTCGCGCAGCGCGAGCAGTCGATCGAAGAGCGCGCTGCGCAGGTGCATGCGGACGATGAGAAGCGTGCGGCCGCGGCCGCAGAGCTTGCGGAGCGTGAGCGGGCCATTGAGGACCGCGCTGCCGAGGTCAAGACCGACGATGAGAAGCGGGCGGCCGAGGCAGCGGCTCTGATTCAGCGCGAACGCTCCGTGGAAGATCAAGCTGCAAAGATCAAGGCAGAGGACGAGAAACGCGCAGCCGAGGCCGCTGCTCTTGCCGAGCGCACCCGCGAGATCGAGGACCGCGCCGCCCAGGTGCATGCAGACAACGAGCGGCGAGCAGCAGAGGCAGCTGCTCTTGCCGAGCGGAATCGCCTGGCCGAGGCCCGGGCTGCCGAGCTGCGCGAGGAGGAGCGTCGGGCGAAGCAGCTTGCAAAGGAACACAAGGAAGAGCTCAAGCGGCAGTCGAAGGAGTTCAAGGCCGAGTCCAAGCGCAAGGAGCAGGAGCTGAAGGCGCAGCGCAAGCGCGAAGCGGACGAGGCAAAGGCTGCAAAGCGGATCGAGAAGGCTGCGGAAGCTGCCGCTGCGGTCGCCGCTGCCGCTGCGGCCGCCACAGCAGCGGCGGACGAGAAGGCCAAGCAGCACCGCGAGGCCGCGGAGGCCAAGCGCGTGCAAGAAGAAGAGGCGGTTGCTGCGCAGCGCCGTCAGCAGGAGGCCGAGGCGAAGGCTCGCGAGCAGGAGGCCAGCGCGGCCGCCAGTGCGGCCGCCGCAAGGACAGCCGTCTCTCACCAGGCCGTTCCGTCTCGCGACGGAGCTGCGAGCCCGCCAGTCCCTCCGAAGGACGCACACGACGGCGACGAGACATCCGGCGCCAAGACGACGGGTCTGCTCGGCCGCCTGTTCCACAAGCGTCTGGACGGCACGGACGACGCCGAGGAGACGCCGGCGGGCTCGTCGGATGCGCCTGCTGCAGCCGTCGTGGCAGCTGCCGCGCCGGCTACGCCGCGCAAGTCCGTCGACGCGAAGCGCAGCCGCAAGTCGTCGGACGCCGCTGCCCGCTCGGCGCGCAAGTCGACCGATGCATCGCGCCAGGCGCCGCCGGCAGACAAGCTCTCGACGGCGTTCTGGAGCGACGACGCGCCTGCTGCTGCTGGAGCGGCACCGAGCACGCCGGCCAAGCGCTCGGCGCGTGCCGAGCCCGCCGAGCTGCCCGGCAGCCCGCGCGCCGACGGCTTCATCGAGCACGTCAACCCTCGCTTTGCGAGCCCCTCGGCGGCGCTGCCGCCGGCCGTGCAGTGGCGCGAGCCAGAGCTGTAGTCATGCCTCCGGATCTGCCTCCTCCCTGCGACCCTCTCCCTCTCCTTTGCCCACGCTGCTCTGCTTTCTGCTTCCCGGTGCTTCCATCCGCGCCGAGCCTGCGCCATACCCTCGCACCACTGCTTGTCTTGCCCGACCCTCTCCGCGCGCCGCCTGCGCGGTCTTCGCAGCCTGAGAATGTCATGCTGTCTATTGGCCCAAGCGCTCCCTTTTGAATGCCGAGTCGGGCGCAGCCTCACAGGTCGAGCGCCTTGCGTGCCATCTGCAGCGCGCCATCGCGCGTCTTGTTGCCTGCGCACGCGTGGAGTGAGCAACGCGGCCAGGACCTGCTGCGCATCTGCGCTCACCGCCGATGAAGCCAGACGCGTGCACAAAGACGCAGCCGGGAATGCCGCTCTTCTCGCTTAGCTGCTCGTCGCGCACGCCGCGCCACTGCTCGGGCAGCGCGCGCCGCGAGTTGAAGCTGTCGGCGTGCTCGGGCACGGCCTGCACGCGGTACGAGCCGGCCTCGTCGGGGTAGACGACGTAGATGATCTGCTCGGCCTCTGGGATGCTCAGGTCCTTCTCGAGAGCGTAGACGTGGTCCTGCGTAGAGGCGTCAGCTCACGCGGTCGCGGCATCTGCGGCTCACGCACCTTCCAGCTGGCGTACTCGTCGAAGACCAGCACGCGCCCGCTCGGCTCGCCGCTCTTCTCCTTGCGCACGGCCAGCGCCCGCTCGACGATCTCGCGTGCCGGCAGCCAGGCCTGCACCGTGTAGTCGAGGCGCTCCCAGAACTCGCCGCCGGCCAGCGCGGCGGCCTTCTCAAAGCGGCGGTCCGAGTCGGCGGCGCGCGCGGCGGCGTCGGCCGGCAGCTCCTCGTTCCAGCGCGGGTTCAGGCGCCCGACGCGCGCCGAGAGGTCCGTCGAGGACTTGTAGGCGGCCGTGGCGCCCGGATACTGCGCCTGGCCGTTGTCGATGCCGTCGATGGCCTCGACAAAGTCGTCGTACAGCTTGGTGTGCAGCAGCGGCAGCAGCGGCGACGCGTCGTCGAGCGAGAGCTTGGCGGCGAGAATCTGCGTGCCAAAGTGCCTGTGCCGCGTCAGTCATGGAGCCTGACATATGTATAGGCCGCTACGAGACACGGAGATGTCCACTGCTGCCAATCCTATGGCGCAACGCAGTGCCAAGGCGTGACCCGCTCAAACGCAGACATCTACCGCTTGCGTCTCCGGAGCGCTTCAGCTGCATCTGCACGTCCGCTGCGTGATTGTGCCCCTCACGAGCCCGCGACCCGGCGCAGCTGCTGCTACCATCGCTGCACCGCTGCACGGACACACCACCGAGGGCCACGGCCACTCACTTCCACACGAGGCCCGCGCTGCTGAGCTTCGTCTTGTGCGCGGCGTCAAACGTCTCCTCGAAGCCGCGCTGGTGGTGGTCGAAGCGCTGGCGCGCGGCGTCGTACTCGGCGCCGACGTCGACGACGCAGTGCGCGGCGGCGATGCGCGCGGCGTCGCGCGTGCGCACGAGGGGCATGTCGGCAAAGCGCGGCAGAGCGCGCAGCAGCGACACGGCCAGCGCCTCGTCGGCTGTGTGCGGAGGGTGAGCGGAGGGGCGGGTGCAGCGGCGGGCAGCGCGGCACACCGGCGCCCTGGACCAGCCGCCTCTGCCGCAGCTGTACGTGCTGCCAGAGCTGCGCGGACCTGCTACGCACCGTGATGCGTGCCCGAGTGCGTGACGAGAAACGGCGGCGCGTCTGCGGCGTCGCCGTCGAGGCGCACACGCTTGGGCGACGACATGCTGCGGGCGGCAGCGGGCGGCAGGCGGCGGAGTGCGGTGCGCAGGAGCAGCGGAATGGCGAGCGAGCGTGCGGCAAAGTGCAAGGGTTGGCGAAGCGCAGGCAGGGGAGTAGAGTGACAGAGGCTGATGGAGGAGAGGAAGATGGCCGCACTTGGCAGGCGTGGGACTCTTAGCGCCACAAGGCGCCCCAGGGCGGCTGACGTAAGCGAGCGGCGCGCCTCCACTCGCTTCTTGTTCTCGCGCGGCCTTGTTCGAGCTCGCGCGGCGCCTGCCTCTGCTCCACGTCCTCCCTCACAAGTCACCTCTCCGCAGCGTCCATGCTGCACGGCACGGCGCACCGCTGCGCCCGGCTGCCGCGTGCGGCGCTGTCTGTGCGCGCCGCGACGCCGTGGCTGCGCCGCGCCGTCCATCGTGCGGCGGGCAGCAGCGCCGCCGCCGGCGCCGACGCCGACGACGCCGCCGTGCCCGCCGATGCGCCCGTCGCCGCGCTGCGCAACCTCTCCGTCTGGGGCCACATCGACGCCGGCAAGACGACGCTCACCGAGAAGCTCCTCTTCCTCGCCGGCGCCCTCGCGCCGCCGCCGCCGCCGGGCACCGACGCCGCCGCCGCGCCCGCCTCGTCGCGCGCGCCCGGCGCCGTCGACAGCGGCAGCACCGTCACGGACTTTCTCGAGGAGGAGCGCCGCCGCGGCATCACCATCCAGTCGGCCGCCGTCGGTCCCTTCCGCTGGCGCAGCTCGCTGGCGCCCGCCGAGTGTGCGCCGGGCCGCCGCGCCGCCGCCATCTCGCTCGTCGACACGCCCGGCCACATCGACTTTACCGTCGAGGTCGAGCGCGCCTTGCGCGTCGCAGATGCGTGTGTCGTGCTGCTCGACGCCGTCGCGGGGGTGGAGAGCCAGACGGAGGGCGTGTGGGCCATTGCGCGCCGGTGAGTGGGCGGTGTGGCGCGCGGCAAATCAGCAGCCATGCCGGTGCTGCTTCCCGTGGCCCGCAGCTCAACCTCTTGCGCACAGCTACAACGTCCGCTCGCACGTCGTCTTCGTCAACAAGCTCGACCGCGCAGGCGCATCGCTGCCGCGCTCGCTGCGTGGCGTCGCGCGCCACCTGCACCCGCGCCCCGTGCTGCTGCAGCTGCCGCTCCTCGCGCCCGTCGAGCCGGGCCACGCGGGCGGCGGCATTGCCGGCCTCGTCGACGTCGTGACGCAGCAGCTGCTGCAGTACAGCGGCGCCGCTGGCGAGGTCGTGACGCGCACGCCGCTCGCCGAGGCGCTGAGTCTGGAGCTCGTGCCCGCCGAGCTGGCGGCCGAGGCGGCACGCGCGCGACATGCGCTCGTCGAGACACTTGCCGAGCTCGACGACGCCCTGCTCGACGAGCTGCTCTCTTCGGAGGCCGCCGACGCGCACGCGACGCTCTCTGCCCGCTCGGTGCGTGCTGCACTGCGGCGCCTCGTCCGCACGGGCGCTGTGCTGCCGGTGCTGTGCGGCAGTGCAGCGCGCGGCATCGGCGTGCAGGAGGTGCTCGACGCCATCGTCGCCTACTTTCCCTCGCCCGACGAGGCCGGCGACGTCGACGCCGCACAGGCTCGCGGGCGCGACGGCGGCTGTGTGTGGGCCACGCTGCCGCCCGCGCCGGCAGCCTCGCGATCAAAGGCGGCTGCAGCGCCAGCCGAAGCGCAGCTGCCGCAAGCGCCGCCGCGTGTCGCCGTGAGTATCGATGACGCCGAGCTTGCGGCGCTCGCGTTCAAGGTCGTGTGGGACAAGCGGCGCGGCCCGCTGACCTTCGTGCGCGTCTACGCCGGTGAGTAGCATCGGCAACACATCTGGCGAACAGACGCTCACGCCTGCTCACAGGATCGATTACGCGGGCATCCATGCTCTATAACACCACCACTGGCGCGCGCGAGCGGCACTCGAAGCTCCTCCTGCCATACGCGGACCGCTACGTCGAGACGGAGACACTGCGCGCAGGGCAGATCGGCGTTCTGCTCGGCCTGCGCGACACACGCACTGGCGACACTTTCATCGATGCGCGCGTAGCCAAGGCCAAGGCAGCGGCGGGCGGCAGCGCAGCGCCATGGGCAGCCCGTGCGCGCGAGATGCGCCTGCGCTCCGTCGACGTGCCGCCGCCCGTCTTCTCCATGTCCATCGAGCCGGCGTCGCGTGCCGACGAGGCGGAGACCTCCGAGGCGCTGGCGATGCTCGTGCGCACCGATCCGAGCTTGCGGCTCGACGACGGCGGCGCAGGCGGCGCCGGACTGGGCGCAGCAGGCACGGGCCAGATGGTGCTATCGGGCATGGGCGAGCTGCATCTCGACATTGCACGCGGGCGTCTGGCCGACGAGTTCGGCGCCAAGGCGCGTATGGGCAGCGTGCGCGTCAGCTACCGCGAGACGGTGCTGGGCCCGCAGAGCGCCCGCGTCGAGGAGCTGCTCGACCGCGAGATGCTCGGCAAGCAGGTCAAGGCCGGCATCACCTGCGAGGTGCGGCAGCTGGCGGATGACGAGGCGGGCGACGAGCAGATGGGCGACAATCTCGTGCTCATCGAGCTCGACATGGCGCCCGACGAGTTCGCCGACGTGCCAAAGGCGGCCGCCAGCAACTCGAGCGGCGACGAGCTCTCGCCGACGGTGATGCGCGCTGCCCTCTTGGCGGGCGCGACGGCAGGCCTCTCGCGCGGCCCGCTCTCGGGCAATGCGCTGTCGCGGCTGCATGTGCGCCTCAGCGCGCCGCGCACGTTTGGCTCGGCGCTGACGCCGCCACGCGCGCTCTCGGCGGTGGTGCGCGCGGCGCTGCTGGCAGCGGTGCGCCAGCTCGAGCCCGGCTTGATGGAGCCGGTAATGCGCTTGCGCATTGCCTGCAAGGAGGCCAGCCTGGGCCGCATCGTCGCCGACCTGACCGGCGAGCAAGGCGGCACGGTGCTGGCCGTCGAGCACGAGGGCATGGACGACGGCGACGATGAGGCACGCACCGGCGCCGGCGCCGAGCTGTACGTGCCGCCAGACGACGCGGCACCGCCGCCGGGCGCCGACGAGGACGCGGCGGGCGGGCGCACCGTGATCCACGCATCGGCCCCGCTGGCGCGCCTGGTGGCCTACTCGTCGCGGCTGCGGGCGCTGAGCGCCGGTAATGCGGCGTTCGAGATGCGCCTCGACGGCTTCGCGCCCGTGACGCCCGAGCGCCGCACCGAGATCCTGCGCGAGCTCGGCCGCGCGGCCTGAGCGGCTGCCTGAGGCGCGCTACATGCCGCCCTCGACCTCGTGCTCCTCGAGCGCGCGCAGACGGTGACGCGTGCCGTCGAACTCGATCTCGCCGGCCTCCTCGCCGGCACGCACATCGCTGGCGAGGTCGAGGCCGTGTGCCAGGCGCGCCAGCACGAGCGACGAGGAGAGCAGCGCGTAGCCGCCGTAAGGGTTCGGCGGCGGCGCGCTGCCCTCAGCGCGGGCGCGCTCGACGGCTCGCGCGTAGGAGCGCAGAGGTGGCGTCGGCGCCGGATGGTACACGTAGCCCGTCTTGCTGCATCGCAAGTCAGCACACGCGCCACACACGGCAGTCGCATGCCCACTCACGCGGAGACGCGCAAGGCCGCGGGGTCAAAGGGCTCGCGGTACGTGCCGCCCCAGAGCAGGCCTGCGCTGCCGGTCAGCACCGGGCGTGCGCACGCGCCCGTCTGCGCCTCACCTTCGTCGCCGAGCTCGCGGTACACGATGGGCGTGGCGGCGGCGCGCAGCATGTTCAGCTCGCCCTGGCACGGCGAGACCTGCGCCGGAGTGCGTCAATATGCATATGTCACCCAGACGGCAGTGTCCGAGAGTGTTGCACGCAGTCCCGGAGCGCTGCGGCCTCTTGCTCTGATCGCCACTTGCTGCGGCAGGGCGCGTGCTGCCACATTGCGTCCACGCCCCGTCTCGCCCGCGCCCACTCACCCACGCATACGCGCCCTGCCCGTCGCCGCCCTGCTGCTGCGCCAGCGCGAGCTCGGCGCCGGCGCGCTGCACGCGGCGCACGCGCGCAAAGAAGAAGTCGAGGAAGCGCGCGTCCTTGAGCGCCGAGGTGATGTTCTGCGGCTGCGTGGCGGCGAGGAAGAGGAGGCCGTGGGTGCTGATGTTGTAGTGGTAGACGCGCGGCGCGGGCGCGGCGGCGGCCGAGGCGTGGCGGCCGCCGGCGCGCAGCTGGCTGGCGCCAGTGCTGGCGCTCGGCGGACGCAGCAGGCCACGCAGCGCAGCGGCACGCATGGCAGTAGGCGGCCGAAGGAGAGAGTGAGGCGCTGTGGTGGTGGTCGCGAGGCAGGAGCAGCACGGGCAGCGAGGCGAGGCGAGGCGCGCGCCTCCACACGGCGCACGGCCCGGCGCGCGCGGCGAGCGACGCCCACGCTGCCATCGGCATGCGCCAGACAGACGGCGAGCTCGGCAGCGGCCTGCCTCCCAGCCACCACACCCGCCGTGCGGGCCCTCAACACCTGCGCTGCGCCGCCATGTCTGCAGCCCTGGCGCTGCTCGCGGCGCTGGCGACGCACGCCGCCGCTCCCTGCCTCGTGCCGCACTCCAAGGTCGAGGAGAGCTTTGCGCTGCAGGCCGTGCACGACGCCCTGGCACACGGCCTGCGCCGCCCGCAGCACTGGGACCACGTCGTCTTCGCCGGTGCCGTGCCGCGCAGCTTTGCGCCGCCGCTGCTGCTTGCCGGCGCTGTGGCCGTGCCGGTGCGTGTGTTCGGCCTGGCGGGCGAGGGCGCGCAGGTGGCCGGTGAGTGGAGTGTGCAGATGGAGCGCGGTGGCAGACGATGGCCGCGGGGATGGCATCCCTGCTGCTGGATGCTGCAATGTGGCTGTCAAGATGTGAAAGCGCTGCCGTACATCAGCAACACCACTCACCATCCGGCGCTGACTCGTTGCCCGCCAGTGCGAGTCCTGCTCGCCGTGCTCTACGTGCTCTCGCTTGTGCCGCTGCAGCGCACCCTGGCGCCCGGCCGCTCGCCGCGGGCGCGCCAGACGCGTGCAGCGGCCCTGCTGCTGCATGCGCTCAGCTTTGCCGGCGTCTTCTGGGCTGGGCGCACCACGCCTGGCAATGTCGTGGCGCCGGCGGGTGAGTGAGAGGTGCCTGGGCGCAGATGGGCAGGCGGGACCGCGAGACGTGTGCCCTTGTGCTACTACCTCTGCTGCTGCACTGCTGCCGCTCAGACGCTGTCGCCGCTGACACGGCGCCGCCAGTCAATCTCGCGCTCGCCTCGCTGCTCTCTCCACGCCCGACCGTGTGGGCCCTCGTGCTGCTCGCCTCGCTCGCGGCAATTGCGCGGGCCGAGCTTGTCGGCCTTGTGCTGCCTCTGCTGCCGCACCTGCTTGCCGCACTCGGGCTGCGGCGCTTCTTCCTCGCAACCGTGCTCAGCGTGCTGCTGCTCGGTGCCAGCGTCGCGCTCGACACCTACCGGTGGCAGCGGCCCTTTGCCCTGGCGCGCGGCGGCCTGCTCTGGGCGGAGGCCGAGGCGGCGCTCTTCAACGTCGTCGACGGCCACGCATCGGATTGGGGCGTGCTGCCGGCGCACGCGTATGTCACGCGCTTCCTGCCGCGCCTGCTCTCTGGTGCGCTGCTGGCACTGCCGTTCGGCATTACTTCTCTTCTCTCTGCCCCACGCGAGAGCGCGACAGCCGATAGAAGCGCACGCCGAGCTCTGCTTGTGGCTGCGGCTCACGTCGCGCTCATGTCGGCGCTGCCGCACAAGGAGGCACGCTTCGTCGCGCATACGCTGCCGCTCTGGCTGCATCTGGCTGCGCGCGGGCTCGTGACGCTGTGAGTGAGGCCGTGCGCCTCGTACTTGCGTCTGCTCACTGGCCGCTCAGCACGCATGGCCCGCTGCCGCTGCCAAAAGCGCTCTCCGCGCAAGGCTTCGTGCGCTTCGGTGCGCGACTTGGGGCGGGCATCGTGGTGCTGCTCTGCATGCTGCATCTCGGCATCGGGCACGCCGCCAGCGCAGCCAACTATCCCGGCGGCGAGGCGCTGCGCTGGCTGCACGAGCATCCCCCTGCTGCACCCGGTGCGTGCATTTCCTAGAAGCAGCTTAGACCTGCTACTGACGACGAAGCTGCGTGCAGTGCATCTCCACATCGAGCCGGCGGCCGCACAGAGCGGCGTGACGCTGTTCAACTCGCGCTTCCTGCCACGCCCGGCCGACGCCTGGCTGGCCGCGCCGCCGCAGCAGTGGGTGTACGACAAGCGCGAAGGCGTGCAGCCCGACGACGAGGCGTACTGGCGCCGCGTGACGCACCGCCTCGCCGATGCGCCGTGTGCCAGCCTGGCGGCACCGCACGCCGGCGTGCGCTGGCGCGACATGCGCCCGCCGGCGACGGACTTTGCCGGCTGGCGGCGCAGCGGCTGGCGCCTGGAGCCGCGGCGGCATGCGCGTGTGTGGGTGTGCGAGCGTGCCGACCGCGAGCGGTGAGGCGCCGTGTTAAGAAGAATGAATTGAGTCACCCGCGCTTGCGTATGCGTTCGCAGGCGTCCGGGAATTGTGTGCGTCGACCCTGTCGCTGGTGCGTTGCTGCGGCGTGCCTCACTCGGCAGCGCCAGCGTGCAGGTCGGCGGGCAGGCCAGATGGGCTGCTCAGAGAGGCGTTACAACTGAGTCAAAGGCTGCTTACGTGATGGCCACAACAGGCCAACTACCGTGGGAACAGACCGGAGTTAACGGTGTCATCCTCACCCCCCGGACATAGGCGGTGCGGCCCGCCTCCTGAAACCTGCGTCGCGGCGCCGGTCGGTGCTGCTTCTGCTTCCGCGCCAGCTCTAGCGCAGGCGCAACACACAAGATGTGTGCGGCTGCATCAGGCCGCAGCCTACGGCGCCCGCGATGTGCAAGGAAGAACACACAGCCCGCTGCCAGTCTTAGTGCATTCGCGGCGGCAGGACGCGGCGGCCGCCTCGAGCTCGCCGCGCTGAACAGCCCAGAGATGCTGGCCGTGCGCCGTCTCGTGCATGAAAATGGGACGTCCTCTCGCCATAGCTGCGTATTCCGACAAGCACAAGCTGCGTCTGCGCTGCTGCATGTGCCTTCATGCTCGCAAGCGCAGCTGCAGCGCATGCGCTCGACGGCAGCGTGCGCGGCGCCATGCGATTGCGGCGCCCCACGCGGTGCGCCGCGCAGCAGGCGCAGCACGAGGCGCTGTGCCGGCGTGCGTGCCGCTCGTGCTTGCCTCACCGCGGGCGGCGTCGATGAGTCAGAGGGCAGCGTGCTTCCCAATGCGAGCCTGGCTGAGTCTGAGTACTCGACTGCCGGCGCCTGCCGCAGCACCCAGAGCAGCGAGAAGGAAGGAAGGCGCTCCTGGCTGCGTGGCCCATGCGCGGCACGCGCGCCCTCTCAAAGCCGCGCGCCGCGCGCGTCTGTGCCTGGCGTGCTCTGCTGAGGTGACTTGACGAGCGCGCCGCTGCCGCTCCTTGCTTCTCAACCACATCAACCAGCGCAACGCACCGCAGCGCACCGCCGTCGCGCCTCGCTCCGCTGCATTTGCGCTGGACATCTGCTGCGCCTGACCGGTCTGCCGTCTGCGCCTCGCTGCGCCCGCCCGCGTGCCCTGCCCGCTCTGCCGCACGGCGCATCCCACACACGCATCCCGCCGCCATGTCGCTCGCGCCCACGCCCGACGCCGCCGCACAGGCGCAGGCGCAGGCCGTCGCCATGGTGCAGCGCCGCCGCGCGCAGAACCGCATGGCGCAGCGCCGCTACGTGAGTCAGGATCGCCCAGCTGTGCCTGCCTGCTGCTGCTGACCGCCGGCCAGCGCGAGAAGATGCGCGCCGCCGCCTCGGGCAGCGCTGCCGCACCTGCCGCCGCCAGCTCCAGCAGCAGCGGCACCTCCTCGGCCGCGGCAGCTCCGGCGCAGGACGCGCCCGTTCTGACGCAGCCCTCGCTTCTTGGCGCCCTCGCAGCGGCCGACGCGCCCGAGACGCAGACGCAGGCCGCTGGCGTGGCGGGCCTCGCGGCCGCTCCGCTTGTGCCGAGCGCAGCGGCCTTCTCCGCACTGCCGCCGCCCCCGAGACCGCTGGAGCAGCACGCCTCGCTCTTCCTTGCCACGCAAGAGGCACGTCAGGCGGCGCCTGTCGCACTGCGCCAGGATGAGGCTTCGTCGTCGTATGGCACACATGCTGCGCGCGACGTCTCAGACGCCGCCTTCCACTCTGCCGGCGCGCCTGACCTCGACTGGCTGATGCACGACCACTCGCCGCTGGCCGCGGCGGCCAGCAGCCTCGCTGGTCTCTTTCCTCCGGCGCCCGCGCCATCAGTGCACGCAGGCGCCGCCAGCGCAACCGCACCTGCGCTGCAGTCGCCGACGTCTCTGCTTGAGCTGCACAGCGCCCAGCTCTACGGACCTGTCCCTCCTGCCACGGCCAGCGCCAGCACCTCGTCGAGCGCCGCTGCGGCGGCTGTCTCGCCGTCGTCCGACTGGGCCCGCATCCTCTCCTCGTACGTGGCCACGCCCTCGCCGACGCCGTCCGGCACATCCGAGCTGCCGGACAGCACGGCGCTGAGCAGCTGGCTGGCGGCGTCGCCGCGTCTACTCTCTCCCTCGCCCGCATCGCGGCCGAGCGGCAGCAGTCTCGACTCATCGCCCACCTCGGTGGCGTCCGCGAGTGACGTCGGCAGCGCCGCCTCTGCCAAGGCGCAGGACGAGTGCCGGGAGGTCTCTGTCGCTGGATCGGCACACTTCTGGAGCTGGACCTCGGCATTGCGCTCGTATCCCATCGAGCGCGATGAGCAGAAGCGCCGCCTAGCCGAGCAGCGTGCCCTGCTCGGCCTTCTCGTCGACGGCGACCCTATGGGCGACTCTTTGATTCTGCCGCGCCAGGACTTCCGCAGAGCGATCGTGCTCAACTCACTCGCGCTTGGTACGTGGCGGGGTGCGGACGGGCACCGCTGCAAGTCACTGATGCGTCTCGTCTCCGTCGCAGGCTTCGACGAGCGCGACTTCCACAACTGGACGACGCCTTCACGCATTGGCAAGCTGTGGTACGGCTCGGCGCCAGACGGGAGCATGATCAGCGAGGTGGTCACCAGCCCGACTGAGCGGAACGAGGGCGCCCAGCAGCCGGCCGGACGTCTGAGTCTGCTGCCTGGTGACGCTCAGCTCAAGCTGTCGCCCATCGCCATCGAGGACGAGCCCGTGGAGGATGAGGCGCGGCGGCGTGAGAGACGAGAGGGCGTCCCGCGCAACATGTGGCCCACCAAGCTGCAGCTGAGCGTGCCGCACCCGACGATCATCGTGAGCAGCCCTCAAGCGCCAATAAGACCGCACGCTGACCCCTGCAACACAGGACGCGCTGCCGTGGCCCGCGGTGCGCGATCGTCTCATTGCCGCATCGTCGAGCGGCATGATCTGCATCAAGACGGCCAAGAGCGACGCCGTCAAGGGCGGCGCGTGCGAGGGCTGGCACAACACGGCGTTCTGCGTGCACGGCGCTGAGCCGGAGGACAACTTCGACGAGGCGTGCTGGGAGGTGGCTGAAGGTGCGTCTGCTCGCGGCAAGCCCGGGCATCGGGCGCTGACAAGCGAGTGCTCACCGTATGGCAGACTACGCCATGAAGTACTGGTTCTTGTTTGACGAGGTTAGTAGCCGCTGCTCTCTGCTTGCCGTGCTTGCTCTGACGTGCCGCCGCTGCTCAGGCCACGATGAGGACCACCAACCGCTGGCGGCGCGCACGAGGCGTCGCGCCGATCCGTCTGCCCGGCACGGGCGCGGGAGCTTGACGCCGCCGCCGGCCGCGCACCGCCCAGGCAGACCCGCTCCGCTCGATCCCAATTTTATGTCACCAAGCCCCTCGCTGTATCATATCCGCCCTCGCCACCACTCAAGCGCGTCTCTGTGTAGCTGTGCATTGCGCCCTCAGGCGGCTGTGAGGTTCGGAGGCGCCCACTGCATCTCTCCGCTCTCGCGCTCGCGGCGTCGTTGCCGTGCGGCCTCGTCGCGCTCGTGGTCCCTCCGTGTCTCGCGCTCTCGGCGGCCGAGAGCGTCGAGGCGCGCCCGCAGAGCCGCGCGCAGCGCACTCGCGAGTTCCCGCGTGGCCGTGGCCGAGGTGCTGCCGTGCGACGGGCGCGATGCTGGGTCCTCGGCGTGGCTCAGAAGCGCATCGAGCGTGCTGTAGGGCAGCCACGTGCTGCCGGCCTTGCCCGTCAGTGGCCCGCTGGCAGCGGTGCTCTGCGCAAGTGTGAGCCAGCTGTCCGACGCCTGTGCTTCAAGCCCACTCACGCGCTGTACCATGGCGATGGCATGCCGCAGCGCCTCGTCCGTCAGGCCACAGCGCACGCATGCCTGCACGAGCACATCTGGCTTGTTGCTCTGCGCAGCGTCAGCACCATGGAACGGCGATTCCGCGTGCCGCCTCGACTCACTCTGAACCAGTCCATGAGCCATGCCGGGACCGTCTCCTGTGCGCCGAGGCCAAGCACCCGCTCGAGCACAGCCAGGTGGTACTTCCACTGCAGCGCCTCGGAGTCCTGCGCCTCGAGGTGCGCGCGCAGATAGCGCCATGCCCGCTCCGATGCCGGGCCCTCCCACGAGGCGCTCCGCTCCGAAGCGAGCAGGAACGCCGCCTCGCCCTCGTCGTCGTCGGCGTCCTCGTCGTCACGCAGAGCGGCGAGCACAGCGTGGGGCGCAGAAGCCTGGCCAGCCGCCTCGCTCTCCTGGCGCGCGGCTCGCGCACGCGTCAGCGCCACGCACTTGGTCGTGAGGCTGGCAAAGATGCCAGACTGGTCGACGCCAAGCACCTGGGCAAGCGAGATGGCCTTGTCGTAGTGGTCGTGCCGCACGTACAGCAGGACGACGTTGGGCGCATCAAGGCGCGTGGCAGTCGAGGCGACCTCCGGGTACTGCTGCAGCAGCTCCAGTCGCGCGAGCACAAGGCGGTACTCGCGCCGGATGTCGTCCATGCGCACGATGCGGATTGCCTTGGCGCCTTGCCGGAAGAGGCGCTCCGGCAGATAGGCGCCCAGGCGCGGGCGCTTGTGCTTGCTCAGCGCAGTGAGGCGCGCTGTGAGTGGCAGCTCTGTAGCCTCGTCCTGGCCGCTCTCTGCGGCGTCGGCGAACCAGGCGTTGCTCTCGCTGACCAGCGCGAGCGCGTTCATCGCCGCAAGGTAGCTGCGTGCCTGTAGCACGGCCATATCCGCATGCTGTTCAGACGCCGCAGCCGAGGCGGCCGCGTCAGCCAGTCGTGTCGACGAGAGGCGCTGCTGCAGCTCGCCAAGGCGGTGTGCATGCTGATACATGACCGCGCCAGCTGCACCACGTCAAGCGTCAGCTGCGACCGACTGCACGGCGTCATACTCGCACTCACCGCTCTTGAGGTCGCCGCGGTGCATGTGGTATGCGTAGAGGATCCGGTAATAGTTGGGCTCGCCCAGCGGGTCGGAGTTGCGTGCCTTGAAGCTGAGCGTCCGCTCCATCTCTGCCTGCATCCCCGGGAAGGACAGCGCGAGAAGATGGGCAACCTCGCCGGCCTCGCACATGGTGCCGACCAGTCCGCGAAGACACTCGCGCCGCACCGCCTCGGTCGGCGCGGTGACGACGCACTCGTGAGCCCCTTCGAAGTCGCCGGCGGCAAGGCGTGCACGGAAGACGCGGTGGTGTAGCTCAGTGGTGCGCTCCGACGGGTACGCCAGCGCCAGAGAGGCAAAATTGGCGGCGTCCAGCGGGGAGACGGACGCGAAAAGGTCGGAGATGTGGGCGTGATACAGGGCAATGGTGCGGGAGGGGTCGCTTTCCTCACGTACCGCGCGAGGCATTAGAGCAAGCAGGCCTGTGCCCGAGGCGCCGAGCTCCTCATCCTGCAGCAGCATCTGGTACGAGTCGAGCATAGGCGCCACTGTCGCGAGCTCGACCGACGCCTCGTCGAGGGCACCAAGCGCCAGCAGTGCCCGTCCGCGCACGTAAGCGCGAGCAGCGCATGGCGCGTAGTGGTCGAGCAGCTGCATGGCCGCGCTCGGGTGGCCGAGCAAAAGCAGCTCGTTCGCTAGAGTGCACAAGGCGCGGTTCAGCTCCGCCTCGGTGCGAAGTGCAAGCGTTGGCGCGGGGCGACTGTGCCACTGCTCGCCCGCAGGTGGCGGGCCAAGCAGGCCAGACGCGGCAATGAGATGGGCTGCCGCTGCGTTCGGAGCCTCTGCGTCGAAGAGCGGCAGCAAGCGGCGCAGCAGAAGAAGATGCAGCAGGTTGCGCGCTTCGCCGTTCGCTTCTTGCGCCGTCCCATCAGAGCTTGGCGCGTCCATACTCATGCGCCCGAGGCTGTTGGCCACCGCATCGTCCTTTTCGTCTTCCGAAGGCTCTCGCACATCGACTTCGCGCACTGCTGGGAGCGCGGCAATGTCGAGCAGGCCGACGAGGTCATGAAGTGAGACGAGAGCGCGACTCGTGAGGGCGCTCCGGGCGTCCGGGTCGAGGTCCAGCGCGTCCGAGTCTTCAATCGCGAGGAGTACCAGGCTGAGGAGCCGGGCGAGCTGCCGGCGTGCATGCAGCGAGCGCAGCGTTGCGTCCGCGAGCAGGGCGATGCCGAGAGGGCTCTGGCTGCCGGCTGCCTCGGGCACGCCGCTGCCACCGGATACCACGGCATTGCCAAGCGCCCAGAGCGCCGGCTCGAGGTCTTCGCCAAGGCGTCCGCAGGCTGCGCGCGCGGCCTCAAGGGCAGACTCGTCCACAGCCAGCTCGGCAAAGATGCCGCTGCCGACGTCGAGCAGCGCGTCGTCTGCGCCAGGAGCCAGTGCGGCCGCCACCAGCTCCTCGAAGTCCTCGCAGCTGCCCGGCGGCAGCGCGCTTTCGAGCCGCGCACCTGCGCTCACAAGCAGAAGCATGGCGCGCGAGAAGCTCTCATCCTCGGAGAGCGTGGCTGAGCGTGCGGCGTCGGTGATGAAGGCGTCTCGTTGAGCAAGCGCTCGGTCTGCGGCACGGCCGCGAGCCCGCGCTGCGGCCGCTTCCAGCTGCACGGCACGCACGAGGATGCCCGCTGCGTCTGGCAGCGACGGCACCACAAGTGCACCAGCGGTCAGAATGTGTGGCGCGACGCCGGCGGCGCGGGGCACGAGGCACAGAGGCGCGAGCGACTCGCTCTCCGCTTGCTCCAGAGAACTGACGAACGCAGTCCACTCGCGCCGCAGCGCGGCTTCGTACGCCTCGACTTGCAGCGCTCCCGTCGACGGATCGCGCTCCAGACCGACACCTGCGCCGACGGTTGCGGCGACCTCTTCTTGCAGAGATGCGTAGCGCGCATCGGGTGAGAGTACCGCGGGCCGAGGCGCCTCGGGCGAGATCGACGCCTCGAGCCGGTCGAGGTATGCGTCCAACACAGCCGGCAGATGCTCTAAGAAGCGGCCGCCGTGGAAGAGGCGGGGCACAAGGAACTCTGATAAGTCGGCGCCGGCGTCTTGCAGGGCAGCGTCGAACGCAGCGCCGTGAAGTGGCGGATGGCAGGGCTGTGTGGAGCAAACTTGCCAGCCGCGCGCCTCGTCGCTCGTCGCCAGCTCTGCAGCGTCGGTCTGCTCGCTCTCGTCGACGGCGAGCGAGGCAAGCAGCGGCTCGCCCTCACCCTCCCACAGGCCCCACAGCGTCGACGGCGCGCCCTCGTCGAGCCACGCATCGCAGAGCGACGCCCTGCGCGTTGCCTCGCCCTCTTCGCGCGCCCACAGCAGCGTGACGTCGGCCACGGCTGCCGCGCCGTGCGTCTCCTCAGTGAGAGCAACGTCGTAGGCCAGGAAGAAGCGGCGCGCGCTCAGCGGCGCATGGACGAGCAGCCGGATGCCGCCATCGGTGGCGTAGGCCTTGAGCAGCGGACGGGCGCCCGGCGCAAAGGCCTCCAGCGCCTCGCCTGCGGCCGACGAGTGCGCGGCCGACGAGGCCGGCAGCTCGATCTCGCGCACGCACGTGCATGAGACGAGGTCCCAGATGCGCAGCCGCGCGTCGGCCGCAATGCTGAACGCCAGCGAGCCGGCGTGGTGCGGCAGCTCGGTGCCGGCGCTCCGCACGAGCGCGGTGCTGGAGGCCGGCGCGGCGCGCGTCACGCCGGCGAGTGCGAGGGTGCGCTGGCCGCCGGCGCTGGGCGGCGCACTGGCGGCGCTCTTGGCGGGAGTCGTGCCGCTGGCGCCGGCCGGAGCGGCGCGCGAGAAGAAGCGCGACACGGAGCGCAGGAAGGAGTGCGCCCGCAGCGCCGTCGTCTTCCACTGGTCTGCACGGCGCGGCGCTCAGCATCGCGCACACGCCACGCACGCGGAGCCCACTCACCCTCGAAGAGGCCGCTGCCGTCGCCGCGGCGCGCCTGCTCGGCGAGCACGAGGCCGGCGTCGCACTGCAGCAGCACGCAGCCGGCGTGCACGGCCCACATGCGCTCGATGCCCGGCAGCGCCAGCTCGGAGCACGCCGGCGGCGGCAGCGGCGCGGCGGCGGCGGCGGGCGCGGCGAGGGCGGCGAGCGGCAGCGACACGCGGTGCAGCGCGCCGGCCGAGGCGGCGAGGAGGTGCAGCATGCCGTGCGCGCCGTCGGCATACAGCGCCGGCGCCGCACACACGGGCGCCACGAGGCGCACATGCAGCACGCGGCTGCGGCGCGCGGCGACGAGGCGCAGCTCGAGCGTGCCCGGCGCGGCGGCGAGCGTGCGCAGCAGCAGCAGCTGAGCGCCGGGCAGCACGAGCGCGGCGCCGAGCGGCTGGGGCGGCGCATCAGCCTCGCCCGGCGGCGGCGGCGGCGGCGGCACGGACGAGGGCACGCCGACGTCGGCCGCGCCTGCCGCGCCGGCGAGGAGCAGCAGCGGCGCGTAGCTCAGGTGCAGCGGCGCCATGGCGGGCGCGGGCGCAGGCGAGGGCGCAGCAGCGGCAGGCAGAGGGCAGAGCGGGCCGGCAGGCAGGCGGGATGAGTGGGAGTGGTAGCGAGAGAAGAGCAGGAAGCACGACGGCGCGTCCGTGGCAGCGCGAAGCCGGCCAGGCAGCGTGGGAGCAGCAGCGTCACGTGTTGCGTGCCGTGGGAGCAGCGAGCGCAGCGCTTGGGCGCGACTTGGCCGCGCTCCGCCTGCGTCTGCTGGCTGCGCGTGCGCCGCTCGCGGCCTTGCCTCTGCTCCTCCCACTCCGCAGCATGCCCGCCGCCGACGCCTTCATCAACCCGCTCACCGGACAGCCGGCCGTGGCGCAGCCGTCGCTCGGCGCACGCATCGCCGGCAGCGCGCCGCGCACCACGCCGCCGCGCCGCGGCGCGCGTGCCGGCGGCGTCGCCGGCGGCGCCCTCAAGCGCGCCGGCCTCATCGACGAGGACTCGGGCATGCGCGACGCCAGCGGGCCCTCGCGCCGCGGCGGCGGCGGCGCAGCCAAGGGCGGGCGTGCGGCGGGCGGTGCGGGCGGCGGAGCGGTGAGTGGCCGCCGTGTGTCGAGCTCCACGGCCTCGCGTCCCGACTGACCACGCCGCATGCAGGCTCGCGAGCGAGCCAACCCGCTCGCACGCCCGCCGCCACGCACGCCGTCGTCGCGCCCCGGCGGCAGCGGCGGCGCCGGCAGCTCCGGCGCGCAGGCCACGGGCGTCGTGTACGGCATCCGCGGCAGCGCCGCGGGCGCGGGCGCGCCGGGCAAGGGCAAGAACCGCGTCGTGGGCGAGGCACAGGGCGCGCCCGCCGTCAACGCCAAGACGGCCGGCGTGCTGCGGCAGTTTCTCGCGAGCCGCTGGAGCGAGCAGGCGCAGTTCCTCAACCTCGAGGTGAGTGCCACGCCGGGCGCCTGGCCGCCGCACACGCATGTGGAGGTGCCGTGCGCCCAGGCGGGCGTTGCGCAAGCTCTGGGCTGACCGACATGTGCGCCAGGCGATGGCCGAGGACCCCATCCTGAAGCGTGCAGAGCTGCGCCCTCCCGGCGCGCCTGGCGCGCCACGCGACCTCGGCAGCGTCATCTGGAAGCTCTGCGCCGATGCGTACCCCAACGTGCGTGATGCGCAGCAGCCCGCGCGCGCCGCGCCATCTCACCCGCTGTGCCTCTGCAGTGCGTCACCATCTCCCTCGCGAAGAACGACTTCAAGACGCTCGTGCCTGTCGGCACGCTGCCGCAGTTCCTTCCGCGCCTCAAGGTCAGCCGTGCGGCCGCCCGGCGTTGTGCTCCTGCGTAGCTCATCCTCTCTGCGCATCAGAATCTCTCGCTCGAGGGCAACGACCTCAAGTGGACGCGCGACCTTGTCTTCTTTGCCTCGTCCAAGTCACGCGCCACGCCGCGCTTCGAGGCGCTGCACGAGCTCATTCTGCTCGACAACCCGATGCAGCAGAATGCCTGTGCGGCAGGCAACGAGGCTGGCTACCGCCAGGAGGTCCTGGCGCGCTTCGCCGATCTGACGATGCTCGACAAGCAGCCAGTGTCGGAGCAAGAGCGCGAGACGGCGCGCCGCAGCAAGGGCAGCAATGCAGCTCCGCCGGCCGTCACTGCCGGCGTCGAGACAAGAGTCTTCCCCGTGGCCATGGGCCCTGCCTTTCACTCGCCGGAGAGCGGCGACATCCCGGCACAGTTCCTGCAGAAGTGCGTCGTCTGCTGTGTACGTCTCCGGCACACACGCTGACAAGGCGGACTGCAGGTTCTTCTCTCTGTACGACACCTCGCGCGCCGACCTGCGCCCGGCATACGCCGCCAACGCCACCTTCTCCGTCGTGCAGCTCAACGCCATTCCGCCGAGAGCCAGGGCTGCGGGCTACCAGTCGTCGCCCTCGCTGCCGCGCCAGCGTGATCTCAACTGGCGAGGCTACGCTACCGTGCCGTCCCACAACATCATGCAGCTTTCCAACCGCCCGGCCACCAAGGGCTTTCCGCGCGGGCCCAACGCCATCATCGGCACGCAGGCAAAGCTGCCGCGCACGATCCACCCGCTCACCGACCCGAGCAAGTTTCTCGTCGACTCGTGGCTGCTGCAAAACGCGGCACTGGGCGCAAAGATCAACGCGCCCACCGCACAGCACGGGCACGCGCTCAAGCAGCAGCACCCCCCTGTGCCCGAGCCGGATGCCGTCTTGTTCATCAGTGTGCAGGGCGAATTCCAGGAAGGTGAGCTGCGCACGAGGCCGAGAGTCCGCCTCACGCTGACGCCCAGTCTTCAGCGCCGTCCCAGGGCGTGCGCTCCTTCACGCGCACCTTTCTCGTGGCGCCCGCCGCGCCTGCCTCGCCGTGAGCACTGCCCGCAGCGGGTTCGTGCTGCCACAGCCTGCTGACGCCGGCCGTGTTGCACAGTGCCGCAGAGTCGGGATGGCCGTGCATCATCGTCTCCGACCAGCTCACGATCCGCAACTACATGGGCACCAAGGCTTGGGCGGCAGATGCGCTGCCAGTCGAGCAGGCATCGGGCGCCGGTGCCAGTGGCACAGCTCCTGCGCCTTCGTCCGCCACGGCAGGCACTGCCGAGCTGCCGGCCCGGCTCCGAGACGTGCAGCCGCAGCCCGGCCTCTCGGCCGCGCAGCACGACCTCGCGCTCCAGCTGAGCGCCAAGAGCGGCCTCACATATCCGTTCGCCGTGCTGTGCCTAGCTGAGAATGCCTGGGAGGGGCAGCAGGCATGGCAGAGGTTCGAAGAGCTCAAGGCGGCCGGCGCCATCCCCGCCGAGGCCTTCGCAGGGCCCTAGTCCAGCGCGTCGTCCGCGCCCGCCCCGCATTCCTCTGGCCCTCGCAGCTGCACAGCGTGTGCCCGTCTCCACATATCCGCATCCACTACGCGCCCGCGCCATTTCTGGCACAGCCAGCTCTCTTAATCACAGCATTCTTCCCGTGCCTCGACGAGTGTCCTACGCGTGCATTGCGAGACCGTGTGCGCTGCAGCGGTCTAGTTGCCTGGTGCGAGTCTAGTACGCCGATGCGCGTCCCTCCTTGCGCGAGTCGCTGGCGGCAAAGACCTTGGCCTTGCCCGGCGGGCCCTGCTCGCGCATGACTGCCTGCACCTCGGCGACGGCCATGTTGATGTCGACCATGTCGACGTCGTGGCCGCGCGCCCGAAGAGCCTCCACGAGCTCCTCGTTAATCGTCGTCTCGGCCGACACGGACGCCGGCAGCAGCTGGTGGTGCAGCCGCGGCCGCTCGATGGCGGCGGAGAGGTCCATGCCCCAGTCGAGATTGTAAAGCACCTGGGCGACAGCTCCGAAGATGCGCGAGCCGCCCGAGCCGCCGATTGAGAGGAAGAAGGAGCCATCCGGGTGCTCGATCTGCCAGGAAGCGACACGTCAGCAGCACGCTGCCGCGTGCACGTGCAGTCCACTCACAATCGTCGGCGACGTGCTGCTCAGCGGCCGCTTGCCCGGCGCAGGGTAGTTGAAGGGGCTGGGTCGCAGGCCAAAGGCATTCGGCACGCCAGGCGTCGAGGTGTCGTCCATCTGAACAGGCACGTCAGCACATGCGGCGACGCCGAGCAGCGGACAGCTCACCTCGTCGTTGAGGATCACGCCCGTGACTGGGTCGAGGACACCGCTGCCAAAGATGAGGTTGACGGTGCTCGTCAGCGCCACAGCCTGGCCGTTCATGTCGACGGTGCTGAGGTGCTGCGAGGGGGCAGTCAGCATGTGGGCGACGGGTGCGCGCCGGCGCGCGGCGGCTCACCTGCGTGCCGTGGTCGTCGGTGATGTCGAACAGCGGCTCGTAGTACTCGAGGCGGTGCGTGCGGTCGTCGTCGATGCGGCCGCGGATGCGCTGCGCCTCGTGCATGCTCGGGATCTGCGCGACGACGCGCAGGCTCGACGCGTTGAGGAACGCGGGGTCGCCGATGTGCGTGCGCTGCGCAAAGGCAAACTTGCTCGCTTCGACGAAGCGGTGGGCCGAGAGGCCGTCGTCGGCGCCGTCGCGCTTCCACTGCGGGTACAGCGCGGCGACGTTGAGCAGCGTGAGCAGCGGGCCGCCGCACGCGGGGGCCGGCGCCGTGTAGACGGTGCGCTCGCCCCAGCGGCCCTGCAGCGCCTCGCGCTCCTCGACGCGGTACTCGGCCAGGTCGCGCAGCGTGAGGATGCCGCCGGCGTTCTGCACCTTGGCGACGAGGGCCTGCGCGACGGGCCCGTGGTAGAAGGCGTCGGCGCCGCCGGCGGCAATGGCCCGCAGCGTCTCTGCGTACGCCGGGCGGCGCACCGTCTCGCCCGCCTGCAGCAGGACGCCCGTGTCGGGGTTGACAAAGACGTCGGACCACTCGGGCAGGTCGTACATGTACAGGCTGCCGAAGAGCTGCGCGGCAAGTCAGCATGCGGCGTGGAGCATGCCTGTGGGCGCGACCACCCACCTTCAGACGCCGCGCCAGCTCGCGGCTCACGCGCGCCGACTCGGCGAGGCGCACGCTCGGCGCCACGAGGCGCGCCCACGGCAGCGAGCCCCAGCGCCGGTGCGCCGCCCACAGGCCCGCCACCTCGCCGGGCACGCCGACGCTGAGCCCGCCGAAGCGCGCGTCGCCGGGGCGCCCGGCGTACATCGTCGCGTTGGCCGCGCGCGGCGCCGTCTCGCGGAAGTCGATGACCGTCGTGCGCGAGCAGTGCTGGCGCCGCGGCAGCCGCCGGTGTGCTGCTGCGTCGGCGTGCTCGGCGGGCGACGAGGCAGTGGCATTGCCCGCCGCGCCGCACGGCACGGGGTCGCGCACGAGCATGAAGCCGCCGCCGCCGATGCCCGACGAGAACATGTTGAGCGTGCCGACGCAGAACGCCGTCGCGATGGCCGCGTCGACGGCCGTGCCATTGTCGCGCAGCACTGCGGAGCGCGCGGCGTCAGCATGCTTGGCAAGGCAGCGGCGGCGGCGGCGACGCCTCACCGTCGACGCCGACGTCGGAACACACGCCGTTCTCGCTCGCCACGGCGCCGCGGCGGCCGCGCGCCAGGTGCGGCGTGCCGTTGAAGCGCCCGCGCGCCCAGCCGGCGTGCTCGCGGCGCTCGGCGCGCTCGCGGCGCACGACGAGCACGACGAGGAGCAGCAGCAGCGCCGCCGCGGCCGCCGCCAGCAGGCGCCGCAGCAGCGTCTCGCACGCCCGGCGCCGCGGCGGCGCCGCCCGCGCGGCGCGCGGCGACGGCGGCGGCAGCAGCGCGCTGCGCTCGCCCGGCGGCGCGGCGGACATCGGCGACACGGAGGCAGGGGACGGGGCGCCAGCTGCTGCTGCGGCGGCGGCGCTGCTGGGCGATGTGCTGTCGTGCTGCTGCTGCGGCGGCGGCGGCGGCGGCGGCGTGCGATGCGACGATGCGGCGATGCCGGCGCTGATGGATGCGGCGAGGGTTGTGGAGGAGCGGATGCTGCACGATGGACGCTGGCGGCTGCGCTCTATGTCTGTCGCTGGGCAACGGCCGCGCGCGCCGCGCGGGCTTGCGGCCGAGAGCAAGGCAAGCCCCGTCGCGGCGGCCAGGGGCGCGTCCGCCTCGATCTCGCCAGCCGCAGCCGCGGCGAGCGACCGCAGCGCATGCGCACCGCCAGCGACTCGCCGGCAAGGGCCAGCACGAAGCAGCGAGTGCAGAAACAGCGCCAGCGGCAGCAGCGCTGTGCCCGCCGCGCTGGACCGCGGCCGCCCCGGCATCCTGCGCTGCTGCTCCTGCTGCGGTGTCAGTGTACGGCAGGCGAGGCGGCGCGAGCAGCGTCGTCCGGCCCCTGCAGCGTCAGCTGCCCTGCGCTCTGGCAAGTGTACAGCTGGCATCTTGCTGCACCTGCCTCTGCCGCCAATGAGCATGCAGCATGCAGCATGCAGCATGCAGCATGCACACGAGAGACCGCATCCCGACGCTGACGCTTGCCCGGGCCAGTCTTGCTCGCCGCCACGCCCGATGCGGCGCTCTGACTCGCCCGGCAGCGGCAGCAGCAGCAGCAACGTCTGCCACCCACCGCTGCAGCGCAGCCAGGCGGGCCCAGCATCCAGAGGCAGCCCAGCGTCGACTAGCCTTCAAGACGGCAGCGTCTGCTGCTCCCGCCTCTTTCGAACCACCACCTCCGCCCGCTGCTTTCCTTTGTGTGGCACATCTGCCGCCGCGCACCCCTCGCTCGTCTGCCGCCGACGGAACAAGCGGCGCCGAAGTCGCCACCCTCCTGAACGCGTGACAGACCGGGGCTCGCGCCTTGTCGCTGCATCCAGCACCATGCAGCGCCCACTTGACGATACATTCCCTTGGGACCGCCCACTTTTCACCGACGATGCATTCGAGGCCAGGCTCTTCGGCGAGCCCGCGGAGGCGTACTCTCCCTCTGGCTCCCGCCATGTCGTCATCCGCCTTCCGCCCGCCGTCAGCGACGCCTCTCTGCCTCCGCCCGCAGATGCCGCGCTGCTGCGCCTGGTGCGGCTGGAGCAGGCCGCCGCATTCGGCAGCGCGTGGCACTATCCTCACGGCCGCTCCCGGGCCGAGACGCTGGAATTTCGCCGCCAGGCACGCGAGGCGGAGCGGCACGGCGCCCTGCTGCGGCTGCTCGGCGTGAGCCTGACATCCTCGGGCGTCCGCTGCGGGTGCGTCTCATCTCCTCGCTCTCCCCTCGCTGCCGCAGCTGCCGATACGCGCGCGGCCTGTGGCAGTGCGCAGCAGCGCGTCAGATGCGCCGCCGTCCGGCCGCGGCCGCCGTCGTCGTCGCCCGAAGAGCTCCTACTCGAGGCTGCGCGCTGCGTCGAGCGCTGGGCCGAGTCTCAGACCTCCACCACCGAGTGCAGTCGCCGTCTGACCCTGAGCGTCGAGCAAGGCAGCATCGTCATGGCTCTGTATGATGCCAACGTCCAGCTTGGCTCTGATGGACGCATATGGCCTTCCCCGGAGCGGTTCTGGCGCCAATACGACATCTGGATCCCCTCCTGGTTCGAAGCCAACGGCCCAGTCATCAACGCTATCCTCACACTGGTCTCCGTTGCGCAGAGCTCTCCGTCGTCACCGCCGAGTCCGCCTCTACGGCTCGTCCAGCACGACAGTGCAGCGCGTCGCGGCCGTGCGCACCTCTGGGACCTGGTTGTGCCTGCCTACGTGCTCTTCCAAGGCGAGTGGGGCTTGTGCGTCGGCTCTGCCCTTCCCTTGCTGACTTGCGTCTGTGGCTAGGCGACGAGGCAGTGGCTTTCATTGAAGTGGACAATCGCGACCGGACAGCGTTGGCGCGCACCACACAGCCAAGCGTCGGGCCGTCCGAGACGACGCTTCTCAAGGAGGACAGACACCTCATACAGCTTTGTGCACCTGTGCGGTGCAGATGTCGCGTACGGTGCAGTACTGGGCGACTTCGGGCGTGCGTTCATGCCCTTCGAGCTCCATGCGGGCGACGAGGGGCGTCATCATCTGTCGTTCGCAGACGAGGCCGTCTGGACAAGAGTTCTTCCGACCCACGCGCCGCAAAGGCGGAGCGTCCAAGGTTCGTCGTCGCAAGTGCAGTGGTGCTCGGGGGCAAACATCATCATGTCGCTTGTCAAGTGGGCGCTCTTTGCCGCGCACCAACACGGGGAGCACGGAGCGCCCCTCGCTCAAAGTGTGCCCTTGGAGGAGCGTCCAGGCGCGGAAGACTTGTTCTCTGCCGAGCTGCGCAGTCGTCTGCAAGCTGCGCGGCAAAAGGAGGAAGACAGCACTGGACCGCCGCGCAAGCGAGTACGCTCCGAGGCACCTGAGCTGCCCGCTGCGAAAGAAGAGGGCAACATGAGCGCATCCACAAGCGCCGCACTCTTAGACGCTGATGCACCTCCGAGGGCGTCAAGCAGCGTCTCAGCGCACGTCGGCGTGGACGATCACGCCGCCTCGACGACGGGCACAGCAATCCAAGCTCTCTCGTCCGGGCCAGGTGTCCGTGAGAGAGATGCAGAGCACGCAGGACAACAGGGGCGCAAGGCCGTGACACCCGACACCGCAGGATCCCAAGCGCCGGGCAGTCCTCCCGTTCCGGCCGTGAGCGCCAGCGACACCGAAGCAGATGCGCCAATGCGAGACGGTGGTAGTGCGCGACGGTTCATCTACGCAGGTTGGCTCCCGCATCTGGTGGATGACCTCTTTGAGTTCTATCCCGGCCGCATGTCGTCCCACCTCAGCGAGCCCGAGCCGGACCTGCCTCAGACCTACCTGCGCTCAGCGGCGCCGGCCGACGCCGAGCCGTGTGTGATCAAGGTGCCGTGCGCGCTGCCGTCGGACGACATCTACTTCTCCGACGAGGGCGAGTTCGACGAGGCCTTCAACGCCGTGCGCCTCCGGGAAGCGCGCGAGAAGATTGCGGTTCTTGCTGCCGACAAGGACGCCGAGCAGCGCCGCCTGCTGCAGCGCGAGGTGGCGGCGTACGAGGCGCTGGCGGCGCTGCAGGGCACGGCCATTGCTAATCTGCTGTACGTCGGCCCGCTGCGTCTGCGCCTGCGCGGCGACATGGATTGTGCGCTGGTCATCGACAACGAAGGCACGCCGCTCGATACGCTCGACGCCTCGGCCGTCGCGGACATGTCGCCGGCGGAGCTGCCAGCGGCTGTCGAGCACGCCCACGCCCAGCTGCACGCGCACGGCTGGTGCCACGGCCAGGTGCAGCGCTGCAACATGCGGCTCTTTGCCGACACCAAGAGCGTGCGCCTTGTGGGCCTCGAGTATGCCGAGCGCACGGACAGGGCGGCGGACCATGCGGCCGAGATGCGCGAGGTGCGGGTGCTGCTCGACGAGTGGCTCGGCAAGGTCGGCGAGGCGCGGGCACGTCGCACGGCGCACAGAACCAAATGATTGCTGCAATAAGAATGATGTTGCAGCCAGGCGGAGCACCGTCGAGTGTCGACGACCGTGGTCAGGTGCCTGGCACCTGCACCTGCGACTGCGACTCTGGCCTACGCGTCTTTTGAAGTCCCAGAGTGAGAGTGGGCTGAACCCCGACGCTGCGACAGCCAGACGAGAACGACAGACTCAGAGTAGAGTCCAGTGCGGTCTAGTCGAGTGGCGACTCAGAGTGAGTCCAGTGCAGTCTAGTCAAGTGGCGAGTCTTGGCTGTGACCAGGCCGACAGAGGGCAACGTCCGTTCTCACGCCAGTCTAGCCCCACTTTGCTTTCCTCTCAGCCGCTTCCGGCGTCGCGGCCGAGTGCAGCCGCCGACCGCAGCGAGTGACCGTTGGACCCGCTCGGCACTCTTACTGCCTGAGCCTCCCACCACGATTCCATCCGCAACCCGACCCCATCCGACAATCTCCCGCGCTGCCCGACAGTCGCGCCTCCGCCACAACTCGCGACCCATGCGCTCGCGCCCCTTCTGTCATCCCCCGCCACAGGCTCGCATGCCCACATACATCGCTCTCCGCGCTGCCGCTGCACTCGGTCCCTCTTGTAGCCGTCACTTCGTCATTGCGCCCGCGCCCGCGCACCACCGAGCATGAGCAACGCCGGCGCGGAGGCGCCGCCCCCCGCGGGCGCGAGCACCTTCTCCGCCACCAGCGAGGCCGTGTTCGACGAACGAGACTCAGAGGATGTGGGTCAGGAGCTCGAGGTCCGGCTGCACGGTGCTGCTTCCAGCACTCTCGACCCTGCGGCAGCACGCACGGAGGATGCTGCGCGCTCTGCTTCGTCGCATGCTGCACCGCCGCTGCGCCTTTTGCAGCTCGCGCAGGACCCCACCTTCCTCTATCGCCAGGACAACACGCCGAGCGATGAGAGACGTGCAGGCGGCATCGGTGGCTGCACCAAGCCCACCGACAACCAGGAGAAGATGCTGGAGACCCTCGGTGTGGAATTGGCTTCCTCGGGCGTGTGGTGAGTGCTGCTTTCTTGTGGTGGATGCAGAGCTGACCCGGCTTTCGTTGCGTCCAGTCCTGATGGCGCCGATGCCTCCGTGCCTCCTCTGCGCCGGCCCGCCGCGTCGATCTCGTCGTCCGACGTGCAGCAGCCCTTTCGCGAGGCGGCTCGCGACGTCGAGACCTGGGCCCAGACCACCGGCGAGTCGTCCGCGCGAGACGCTCCGGCTCCGACGACCTCCGCCGTGGCCTTGCGCGTCGAGGCGGGCGACATTGTCATGCGCCTGAAGAACACCACCTGCCTCATGGGGCCGAGCCCCAAAGCGCACGCTCTGCCCGGCCCGGCACAGCGCATGTCCGAAGCGGACTGGACAGAGAAATGGTTCCGCGCAAACGGCCCAATCATCAATGGCCTGCTGGCGCTCACTGCGACAGCGCAGAGCCACACGTCGCCGTCGTCGCCGTCGTCGTCGTCGCCGGCGTCGTCATCGTCGTCGTCAGTTCGTCGCCCGCTGAAGCTCGTCGAGATCAGCGCAGCCGCGCAGCACGGCCGCGCGCCCCTGTGGCACCTCGTGCAGCCGGACCTGGTGCTCTTTGCGGGTGAGTAGTTGTAACGCGGCTGCGCATGCTTGCGGCATTGACGTTTTGCCGCGCAGGAAGCGAGGTTGTTGGAGGGATCTCAATCAAGAACCGCGAGCGCGAGGAGCTGGCTCCTGCGACCCGGCCGACACTTTCGCCCCTGCAGACCAGCAGCAACCTGCAAGAGACTGAGCGCAAGCTCCTTCACCAGCTCTTCGTGCAGACGGCGGGTCTCAACGTCGCATGCGCTGCAGTGCTGGGCGACTATGGCCGGGTCTTGATGCCGTTCGAGCTGCAAACCCAGGACCGCTCCTCTGTCGCCGCACACATCTCCTTTGCGAACGAAGGCGTGCGTGCACAGTATCTCGATCGTGCGACGGGACTGGAGCCGAGCGTGACATTGGCTGCGCCGCAGGTGAAGTGGCGCAAGGAACACAACCAGATCCTCTCAATCGTCGAATGGGCGCTCTACGCAGCCAAGAAGCACTTCGAGGAGCCGCCGCCCTTCGCTCGGTCGTTCAGGACGGAAGAGCTGCTGGAGGTGCGGCCGCTGCTGCCACCAGACGGGCATAAAGCGCTGCGAACGGAGGGAAAAGCGGCGGCGGAGGCAGCCGACGCCGGGCGCACTCGCAAGCGAGCTCGATCGTCCTCGCCGACACTTGCAGACCCCGGCAGCAGGCCGCCTAGTGGTGTCCCGACGAGCGGACTCGGCGACAGCACAACCATTGCGAGCGGCTCGTTGGTCGCTCGTGACGACGATATGGTTCCGTGGCAGGGTCTGCACGACCCGCAGAGGGGCCTGTTCCTCTACATCACGCTCTGCCCGCACTGGCAGAGCGACTTCGCGCGCGTCTACCGCGCGTGGCACTCGCCGCACCTCAGCGCGCCGGTCGCCGAGCTGCCGCAGCCGTACTTGCGCACCGCGCCGCCGCCCGACGCCACGGCCTGCGTCATCAAGACTGTGCGCGAGATCGACGAGGACGAGGGAGAGCTGTGGACGAACGCGGACGCGGCGAAGCTCGCACGGTGCGAACGAGCGGCCTACGCCGCACTGCAGCCGCTGCAGGGCGCGGCCTTGCCCCGCCTGCTGTACTGCGGCCCGCTGGAGCTGCGCCTGGATGGCCGCGTGCCTGTCCTTGTGCTCGAGCACGCCGGCACGGCGCTCAGCACACTCACGCCCGCCGCGGTGGCGGCGGCGGGTGTGCGCGACGCTGTTGTCGCGGTGCGTGCGGCCGTCGCCGCAGCGTTCAGCCAGCTGCACCGCCACGGCTGGTGCCACAACGATGCGACGCTGTGCAACATGCTTTTTGACGTCCGCAGCGGCCGCGCGTGCATCATCGACCTGGAGAGCGCGGCGCCGTGCTGCAACGGCGCGGCGGAGTGTGTCGTCGCGGCCAGGGAGATGGAGGAGGTGCACGCCGAGCTCGACCTGTGGGAGGCCGAGGCCCGCGACTGATACCCTCACCATGCGCTATCCCCCAATGACACACGTCTGAGGCGACGGAGCGCGGTGAGACACAGATGGATGCGACAACGCAGGGAACAGCATGCTCGGCGAGAAGGAAAGAGGAAGCAGCCGCCGCCGCGCGCCGCGGCGGCGCGCCACGCGGCGCACGAGCCATGCCCGTCACCGCCGCGCGCGCGCGCCCCTGTCATCGTGCTCCCTGCTCTGACGCGGCTGCCCTGGCGCGGCGTGGCCTGACTTCCGACCCTCACCTCCCGCATCTCCTGCTCGCCTCGCCTGCCTCGCACACCACCTGCGCCCGTCTGCCTCCCGCACTGCGCACGCCGGCCGTGCTGCCCTGCCCCGCGGCGCACAGGCGTGCCGCTGCCTGCGCGCGCCGCCGCCTCCGCCATGGACGTGCCCGAGCTGGCACGCACCGCCTCGCCGCGCCCGCGCGGCCACCGCCCGGCACCCGTGCTGCCCGGCGGCGCGGCGGCGCCGGTCTCGTCGCCGCCGCCGCCGCAGCCGCCGCAGTCGGGCCTCTTCCACGATGCGGCGCTCGACGATGTGTGCCGCATGCAGACGTTTGAGAACCAGGCGTTTGCGACGCGCGACTTTATGGCGGCGATGAGCGAGCGCCTCATCAGCCGCAGCAAGGCGGACCCGGGACGTGAGTGGCCGGCGTGTGGCGTGGCATCGGCGCCTGCGGCGGGCGGCGTGGCGTGGCCAGCGGTGCTGAACGGCACAGAGCATGGGCGGTGCTTGGCGGCGCAGAGCATGGGCGGTGCTGGGCGGCGTCCGGCGTAGCATGATCAGCGGTGCTGACACGCCGCCTGCCGCGCAGCGTTCAACCCGCGCCCCTTTATCCGGCAGTTCGAATCGTCCGTCGATCGCCTGCTCGCCCTGCGCGCCACCCTCACCGCGCAGGAGTCGGCCGAGGCGTCGGCGGTGCGTGTCTCCGAGTCGGCGTACGCGTCCAAGCTGCGCGACCTCTCGTCCAACTTTGCCAGCGTCGAGTCGTCCTTCGCCGGCCTCGAGGAGCGCTTCACCGACGTCGGGCGCACGGCGCTGCAGACCGGCGAGCAGCTGCAGACCGTCGACCGCCTCAAGACGCGCGCTGCCGAGGCGAGCGACCTCATCGAGTACTACTACCAGTTCGCCCGCGGCGACACGGCGCGCCTCGACCGCCTGCGCAAGGAGGGCGGCCGTGAGGGGCGCCTGCGCACTGCCGTGATCGCACGGCGCCTGGCGGCCATCGCGCGGGAGGTAGACATGCCCGGCGCCGAGCAGGTGAGTGGCGCCGGTCCGACTGGCCCGTCCGGCTGCTCACGCCGCAGCGCAGACGCGCGACACCATCGATGCGTTTGCGGAGCGCTTCGAGCGCGACATGCTCAAGCTCTTTGACAAGTTCTACCGCAAGTCGGATCCCAAGATGATGTCGCACATTGCCAAGGTGCTGCAGAACTTCAACGGCGGCCACAGCTGCGTGCAGATCTACGTCAATCAGCACGACTTTTTCATCTCAAAGGACCGTATTGGCGGGCGCGAGGGCGTCGCGACGAGTCCGATGTGTGTTGCGACCAGGCGCGCCTTGTGATGTCTCCTGCTGACGCACGCACGCAGATGGAAGAGCCTCACCGATCCCGATGCGCCGCCGCCGCGGACTGAAAAGGGCCTCGACGAGCTCTTTACGGAGATCCGCCAGACGGTCGAGATCGAGGCGCAGATCATCGGCGCCGTCTTTCCGTCGCCGCTGCTCGTTATGACGACGTTCCTGCAGCGCGTCTTTGCGCAGAGTGTGCAGGCCTACGTCGAGGTGCTCATGGACAAGGCGTCCGAGGTCGGCGCGGCGAGCAGCGGGCGCGATGCGGCGGGCACAGGTGGCGATGCCGGGCCTGGCGCAAGCAGCCTCGCGTTCCTGCGCACGCTGCACTTGGCGCGCACCATGGCTCTCTCGCTGGTGGCTGAGCTGAAGATGTACGACTTCCGCTCGAGCGGCACTGCTGCCGCCGCGAAGAGCGCCTTCAGCCTGCACGAGACAGGCAGGCTTCTCGGCGGCTCGACTACGCTCGACGCGCTGGGCTCGGCCGCCCACGCCAGCAGCGGGAGTGCGCTTGGCGGCATGCTGGATCAGGCCGTGGAGGAGCTCTTTGTGCCGTATATGGAGGGGGTCAAGTACGTCGACCGCGAGGGCAGATCGCTCACGGACCTGTACGCGGCGTACTTGCTGCCCTTCTCGAACTACCACGTACGCACATGCGGCCCTGCGAGCCAGTCCTTGATGTTCACATCGCTCTGCAGCGCGCCACGCATCAAGTCAAGACGTCCACCATCTTCGACCGCGTCCGGGCACAGGTTCAAGCGGCTTCGATTGCTGGTGGCAGCGCCGGGGCTGGCGCAGCAGCGGCGCCTGTTCCGGCCAAGACGTCGGGCTTTGGCTTCAGCAAGCTGTCTGGCTTCGTCGACCGCGCCCGCGGAGGCACCACTGCGGCACCCGCTGCGGTGCCAGCCGCGCTGGGGCAAGACGCGGCTGCGGCGGTCGCTGGTGTCGAGGGCGAGCAGGTCGAGGAGAGCGACGGCGAGCTGAGTCTGGAGGTGGCCGAACGCATGCTGCGCTGGCACGCGGAAGCCATTGGTCGTTGCGTCGACCTGAGCACCTCCTCGGAAGTGTCAGTGCATCGTCACGCGCCGAGCTGCTTGACGCTGACGCACCGCAACCCAGCCCGAAGAACGCGTTTGCGCTTCTCAAGGTCCTCGCTGAAGCCTTCATCAAGTCGTACCTCGAGACTGCCCTCGCCTCGGCGCAGAAGCTCGTCGACTCGCAGGACGTGCGCGGCGCCACGCTGCAGGACATCAGCCCGCTGGGCGAGGTGCGGCAGGTCGAGCTGATCGTGCAGCTGTGGCAGCACTACGTGACGACCGCGCTGCTGCCGCTTGCCGGCTCGAGTGTCACGGTGCGCCGCGAGATGGCCATCTACAACAACCACTCGCTCCTGCGTGTCGAGGGCAAGTGCGATGCGATCTTGCAGAAGGCCACCGACAGTGAGCAGGACGCAGGCATGCTGCAGCGGGCTCTGGCTGATCCCGCGCCGTCCAGACATCGTCGCCTATCTGGCTGCTCGCCTGGCCACACAGAAGCGCAACGACTATGCGCCCAAGAACGACGAGCTTGCCTTTGCGCGCATCAACACGGATCCGTGCGTCTCGTGCTGCGAGGCACTCGAAAAGGTGCAGTCGGTTGCGCGGGCGACCAACGGGCTTGGCGGCGGCAAGAATGCCGAGGCATTCCTGACCGAGGTCGGCGTCACGTTTCACGGACTGCTGCTCGAGCACCTCAAGAAGCACACGGTCAGCGCCGCCGGCGGCATCATGCTGGGCCAGTGAGTGTGCCTGGCGCGCATGCACGGCAAGCCCAGTCAGCTCACAGCCGCCCGCAGAGACCTGTCCGCCTACCAAAACGTGATCAGCACCTTTGGCATCCCAGCGCTGTCGGACCGCTTCGACATGCTGCGCCAGCTCGGCAACCTCTTGTGAGTGCGGGCTAGGCGTGATGCTGACCGTCGACTGACACGCCGGCGCCACCACAGCATCGTGCAGCCGGCCGTGCTGAAGTCGTACATGCGCGAGGCACACCTGGTGAGTGCGACGTCCTCTGCGTCTGCGCCTCGCTCATCGCGTTACCCTCGCAGGCGCGCATCGACGAGCGCCTGCTGCGTCCTTACCTGCTGCGCCGCAGCGATTACAAGGTGCGTGGCCCGGCCCGATCAGAAGGCACCGCATCTGACGCAGCAGACTCGCCCGCCAGGATGTGCGCGATCTCGACGTCGCCGACCTGGCGTCGCCGGCGGGCGCGGCAGAGCCAGTGGCAGCTGTGCACGTCGGCGGCAGCGAGGCGCGTCTGGCCCAGCTGATCGCATCCGTCACACCCGCCGCACTGGTGTCCGGCGCCTCGTAATGTCACCCGCATGTCACCGTCTCCTCTCAGGCCGCTCCATAGCACGCGGTAGATTGAAGCATCTCTGCCGAGCGCAGTCCTCAGTCCTTGGCCTCTCCGCTGAGGCGCTCCACGCTGCCAAGCTTCTCCAGCTGCTCGGCAATGAGCTGCTGCTGGATGCGGAGCGCGCGTGCGCGGTCGCGCTCGCCCGTGCGGTCTCTGAATGGGGGGAGGTCAGCGTAGGCCATGCGGTGTCGCATCTGGTGGCGCACTTGAAGACGTTATCGAGCTGCTCGAGCTGTGGAGAGGCGCGGTGAGCCAGTGACACGCCGCGGCATCGCGCGCGGGCCACGCACCGGAACGCCCGCCGTCTCCGGGCATGCCCAGAGGACCCAGAAGATCGACAGGAACGCAAAGACGCAGAAGAAGACGAACGCGCCGTACGACGTACCCTCCACGAGCGGAGGCGTGATCAACCCAACGGTGAAGTTCTGTGCCGCGAAGGAAGCGTGAGATGATAGCGCCTCGCTGACCGACACGCAGACGCACGAAGAACCAGTTGCTGAGCGTGCTCAGCGCCACGCCCTTTGCGCGCAGCGACGAGGGGAAGATCTCGGCCGGCATGGCCCACGGCACGGGGCCCCAGCTGAGCCCAAACACGACCATGTAGACGAGCAGCATCGAGACGGCCACCCAGGCGTCGACCTGGTGGGCCGGCCAGTTGCTCGCAAAGCTGTGGATGGAGGCGGCGCTCAGCTGAGTGCGACGTGCGCTCGTTGTCGGCGCACTCACAGTGCCGTGAGGACGGCAGTGATCAGGAGGCACACCGTCGTGCCGATGCTGCCGAACGCCAGCAGCGGCTTGCGCCCGATCTTGTCGATGAAGAAGAACGAGAGGACGACGCCGAGCAGCTGGCACAGGTTCGCCACGCCTGCCATGATGAGGGAGAGGTCGTAGCTGAGGCCCAGTGCAGCGAAGAGCGTCGGTGCGTACTGCGGAAGGGTCAGAGAGGGGTGACTAGCCGCATCGTGCTCATCCTCACGTAGATTAAGGCGTTGATGCCGACCAGCCTGCGCTCGGGGTCAGCTTTAGGCCGAGGAGCGGCCGGGGCGCACATACTCACTGCTGGAAGAACATGACGCACACGCCGACACCGGTGCGCCGCACACAGCCGGCGCGCAGGCAGTCGACCCAGCTCCAGAACTCGCGCATGAAGCCGTTGGCCCCCGGATGCCGCTCCTCGCGGATCTCGGCGTGCAGCTGTGCCTCGGCAAGAATGTCGATGAGCTCGGCCTGCACGAGGCTGTCGTGTGGCGGCCGGTTGCGCAGGCGCGCGAGCACGGCCAGCGCCTCGGTGCGGCGCCCGCGAGTGGCGAGCCAGCGCGGCGAGTATGGCAGAAAGTACACGCCCACCAGGAGCAGCAGCGCCGGTGCGATCTGCAGCAAGAAGGGAAAGCGCCATGCCCACTCGCTGTCCTGGCAGCCTTAGCAAGCGTCTCGTTGCATGCCTCGCGTGTCTCACCTGGCGATATTGCGCGAGCCGTAGGTGATCTGCAAAGGGTGAGTGAAAATGCAGCGAGGGCTGCTTGCGCACTCACGTCTGCAGAGAGTCAGCCGATGCGCACACGCTTTGGTGCCGAAGCGCTCACAGTATGCGACGCAGATGCCGAACACGATGCAGAACTCCTCGAGGCCGAGCAGCACGCCGCGAATCGACGGCGGCTGCGAGGGGATGACATGTCGTCAATATAGCGAGGCCTCCGGCGCTACGCTGAGGATCACACACCGAGATCTCGGACACGTAGAGCGGCGCGACCATGCTCAGTGTGCCGATGCCGATGCCGCCGAGGAAGCGGCCGACGACGAGCATGGCATAGTTGACGGCGCCCTGCGGCACGGGTCAGCGTGCTCGGGCATGCGAGCGTTGCGGGGCGGCGACGCACCGTCTGGATCGCAGAGCCGAGCACGAACCACGCCACGCCGGCGAGGATTGCTGTGTGGCAGCCAGAGTGAGCATCGCCGCGCCCCACACACAGCACCGGCACGCACCGCCGCGGCGGCTGAAGCGGTCGGCCACGTAGCCGGCGCTCACGGCGCCCAGACACGCGCCGAGCTGCAGCAGCGCCGTGAGGAAGCCCTTCCAGAAGCCGGCCGACGGGTGGCCGTCGGCGATGCGCGGCACGACGGCGATGAACTGCGGCATGACGAGCGTGACGCTCACGACGCCTGCGCGGCGGGAGTGAGCAGCGCAGCGGCGGCAGGCATGCAAGCATGCACACCTTGGTCGTACTGCGCCGGCGGGTCAGCAGCAGCACTGCCAGGCAGCTGCCATGCACACTCACGCCGAAGAGCAGGCCGCCGAGACAGGCGACGGCGGCACAGAGCACGACGTGGGCGTTGGCCGCCAGCCCCGCGAGGCCCACGCGCCCGTAGGCATGGCGCAGGCGCTGCGGCTCGGCGGCGAGGGCGCGCAGGGCGGCCGCCGAGCTGTGCGGCGGCGGCGAGCGCCGTCCGGTGCTGTCCATGTTGCGTGGTGGTGGGAGGGGTGCGGCGTGCGAGGGGCGTGCCGGTCACGCGAGGCGCCCGAGAGCATCACGGGTGCAAACTGTGCATCTCGCTGTCGAGGTAGCGCCGGCGTTTTCGGCGGCGCGCGGCGCCGATCCTGCTCCCACGCTGTCGCGCGCCCAAGTGGCCGGCGCCGCGGCGTCCGCGGCGCCGAAAAAGTGCGGCGGCGCGACGAGGGGCGGCCGGCGGTGGCAGTGCGGCCGCGCCTCGCCTGTGCCTTGCATCTCCACCCTGCTCCCTCCTCGCCCTACCGCGCTCTTCGATTGCCACCTGCTCTTGCCGCCCTTGGTCGCCACGCCTGTACACGCCTGCTCTCTGCCGTCTGCTGCGCTGCGCCTCGGCCCACCTGCCCGGCCCGCGCCGCCGCCGCCGCCATGTCGCGCCCCGAGCACATTGCGCCGCCCGAGATCTTCTACGGCGATGCCGAGGCGGGCAAGTACACCAGCAAGTGCGCTGCCGTCGCTGGGCCCGCGGATGCGCATCCGCTGACGCCTCACCCGTCCCTTCAGCTCGCGCGTGCAGCACATCCAGCGCTCCATGACGGAGCGCGCCCTCGAGCTGCTCGCGCTGCCGCCCTTCTTTGCCGACGGCGGCGCGCTGCTGCTCGACATTGGCTGCGGCTCGGGCCTCTCGGGCGCCGTGCTCACCGACGCCGGGCACGAGTGGGTCGGCGCCGACATCAGCCCCGCGATGCTCGAGGTCGCGCTCGAGGAGGAGGCCGAGGGCGACATGCTCCTCGCCGACGTCGGCCAGGGCCTCGGCTTCCGCGCGGGCATGTTTGACGGCGCCGTGAGGTGAGTGCGGCGGTGTGCGAGGCGGGGGCGGTGTGCACTGCTGCTGCGGTGGCTGTGCAGGGCGCAGCGTTGCGGCGGCGCATGCGGCGGCAATGTGCCAGTGCGGCCCAGCCTGCTGTGGCAAGGATGCTCCGGGCCTGGCGACGCCGCGTCCGTCCAGCTGCTGACGCCGGCGGCCGCAGCATCTCTGTCCTGCAGTGGCTGCTCAACGCCGAGAACCCGCGCACGTCGCCGCTCTCGCGCCTGCTGGCCTTCTTCAGCACGCTGCACGCCACGCTGCGCAACGGCGCGCGCGCCGTGCTGCAGTTCTACCCCGAGTCCGACACGCAGGTGCACCTCTGCATGCAGGCCGCCACGCGCGCCGGCTTCGGCGGCGGCCTCGTCGTCGACTACCCCAACTCGAAGAAGGCCAAGAAGCTCTTCCTCGTGCTCTGGGTTGGCGGCGCCATGGTGCCGCCGCCAGGCTGGCAGGGCGAGCTGGCGAGTGCCAAGCACGAGGTGCCGCAGGGCCTCGTCGCCGAGCACGAGATGGGCAAGGCGGCCGCGACCCAGGTCAAGTACGAGAAGAAGCGCGACGGCGCAAAGGGCAAGAAGGGCAAGGGCAAGCGGAAGAGCGGCGAGAGCACCAAGGAGTGGATCGTGCGCAAGAAGGAGCTTTACCGCACGCGCGGCAAGGAGGTGAGTGTGGTTGTGTATGAGGTGGCCGTGCATCGCTGACGACGCTGCTCGCAGGATGTGCCGCTGGACTCCAAGTTCACGGGGCGGAAACGCAAAGACCGCTTCTGAGCGTCTGGGCCCGTCTGTCATGTCAACCTGGGAATCTGATTGCTGTCACCGTGCCACCCTGCTGCCGCCGCCTAGAGGCCGTCGTCCATGTCGAGCGGGATCTGCACCTGCTCGCCAGGCTTAAACGCCGGCAGGCCTGTCCCGCGTGGTCAGTATGCGGCGTGCACAGATCTGCGCGGCACTCACCGAGAAAGGGGCAGCCGCTGCAGCGGAAGGCGTCGCCGAGGAAGCAGCTGCCGCACGAGCTCGTGGCGCCGCGCGTGTCCACATTGACCCGCTTCACCACGCGCGTGACGCCGTTCTCGTCTGTGATCGTCTCGGTGGTCTCCATGCGTGCGGGCGCAGCGCCCGGCGCGCCGTTTGGCATGTCGTTGGACTCGGCCAGCTGCACGATGGGGTCGGTGCCGCGCGCCTCCTCCTCCTCGAGCTCCCGCAGGCCGCACGTGCAGCCCTTGCACGCCTTGCGCCGCTTGCCGCCCGCCAGCGCAGCCTCGACGTCGCAGTCCTCTCGCCGCACGGCGCGCGGCGCGATGCGCTCGGCCTCGCTCAGCAGCGAGTCGGAGTCGATGAGGCCCGCCGACGCCGGCGCGGTGGCCCACAGGCTGGCCTTCTTGGCGCGTGCTGCGCCGTTGGCGCCGCCGAGGTTGAGCCGCCGCAGCGGCACGGCGGCAGCGGCAGCCTTGGTGCCCCGCACGGCGCCAGCGTCGAGGTCAATGGCGACCTCCTGCAGGCCGCTCTCGAGCAGCGTCTTGCGCACCTCGGCGAGCTCCTCCGCCGCGCCTTCGCTGCCGCTGAGCGCCTGCACGGAGAGCACGCCCGAGGGCACCAGCGCCGCCTGCAGCACCGCGAGCAGCGAAGGCACGATCTGCGCGGCGGGCACGAGCAGCAGCACGGGGCCGTACGACGCAGGTGTGAGCGTAGTGGCTGCAAAGGGTGTCAGCGCATTGACCGCGGCGGCGACGCTGTCTGACGCACCGGCGTCGGTGATGCGGTCGAGCATGTGCATCTCGACGGAGGCGCCGGCCTCGGCGCCGAGGCGCTGCACCGCCGCCTGGTACGAGCCGTCGGCCGCGGCCTGCAGCGACGCCACGACGAGCGGGCGGCCGGTCGCGGGCGCCGACGAGGATGAGGGTGCGGAGGACATGGTGGAAGTGGTGTGGTGGTGGAGTCAGCGAGCCGCGCCACCGAAGCGGGCGAGGCAGCGCCGCCGTGTCGAGCTCGCGTGAACTGCGCTGCCGGCCGAGAGAATTTCGCGCGCGCGATGCAAACGCCGGCCGGCGATAAGGCCTGCCCCACCCAATTGCAGCTCAGCCAATGGTGCTTTGGGTCTGCAGGCTCTCCCCTCCAGCCAGGAGAAAAAGACTCACTCTTGCATCTGAGTGAAGGCAGGGAAGCATCTGTGTCTGCCTATGAAGTCCTGGGCAGCAGCATGGTGCAGAGTTGCAGACTGTTGCAGAGCAGCCAAGCATCACTCAGCATGGCAGAGGGCAGCAGAGTGTAGCAGACTGGCAGGGCCAGCAGGGAGCACCAAAGAGTCAGGCAAGCGCAGCAGGGTCACAAGGGGGTGCCTAGCTAGTGTGCCTGTCCTGCAGGGAGTGATTGAGCACACCATGCTGGTATGCGTGCTGCTTCTCTTCCAGCATCAGGTCTGCCGCACGGCGCTGGCTGAGCTGCTAGGCAATCCCTTCACAGATCATCTGCTGCTTGTACAGCTCTATGGCTGTGGGTTAGGGTTAGGGTTAGGGTTAGGGTTAGGGTTAGGGTTAGGGTTAGGGTTAGGGTTAGGGTTAGGGTTAGGGTTAGGGTTAGGGTTAGGGTT